AATCCTCATTCTTTGATGTGTACTAGTAAGGGAAAATTCTTGAAAATCAAACGATAGCGTTTTTCGCCCCAAAAATGAAGACTTTTCTTATTGTTGTGCCAGAAGGGCTACAACTGTCTATAAAGATTAAGGTATTCTTGATGGGTAGATATGTCTGTGTTGTGCAACAACATGGACAAGCTATGATAATTAAAGTGCATCTCAGCTATCTAAATACTGAGGTTCACCAGATGTGATAAGCGTTGTACAAGATAAATTGCTACTTTGGCATTCAGAACTTAGTATAAATAGAATAACTCTTGTCTTCATCAATAAATCATTAGTTTTTGTGTCTGATCTTATTCAAATAAGTCTTTTCTTGTTTTTATAATATTGAACATTTTTTATAAGCTACAAATTATAATCCTTTTATTCTTTGTGCTTAACACTTATGATACATATAAGATTAAATTGATCGTAAAGATGGAATGCAACACTGGAGGCTCTTTTTTTGAGACTTGCATATGCTAGATTTTGAATATATTCACAAAAAGCCTGTTTTTATATTTTTGAAAATTGCTTATTATTTTTAGTCTGTAAGCAGAATGTAACTAGCACTATTGGGTGCGCCTTGTTTAGCTCTCTATAAATGCATTAGAAAGTTGGGTACAGCAATGATAGTTTCTATAGTCAAATTCTGCAAAAACGCTTAAAAGATGTCAGATCAAGTCAGGTTTAGTGATAAAACTGACTACTGCATAAATCCAAATTTGAGTACCGCAACCGCCGCTGCCGCGGCGGAGAGTAGTGCTCAACTCTACTAGCTGTGACGTCGGATAAGACGCCCTCTCATTTTTCCATTCCCCCGTTTTTTTTTCCCTTTTTTGCAAAACGCGCTCAGCATGAAACCATGGTGGTTTTGGAAACCGTTTGATTGATAGTAACGCTCTAACTTCTGATGACACGATTTTGTACTGTTAAAAGTACTCGATACTGCCTCTTTGAAGTGGAATAAAGTAGGTACTATTCGATGATGAGCAATATAAGACGTAAAACCTGTACTAATCGAATCTTTCTATTATGTTTTGATAATTTTTTTGCCTGTTTGACAAGGGTGCTGCTGCTATTTCTTTTCTGTTGTCTCTGCTGTCTCTGTTGTCTGCCTCTTGGTCTTTGTCTGGTCTCTGGTGTCGTTTGTTCTCTGGTATTTCGATGGTGCTGGTGTTGCTGCTGCTGTTGCGAATTTGGTTTTTCCTGGTCTACTGTCTTTGGTGCATGCTCGTTCTCTGGTCTGTCTCCGGTGATTGCCTATACTCTTCTGGTCTATCTGTGGCTGTGGTAAGTGGTAAGTATCTTCTTTCCTCTGGTCGCAATGATACAAAGCTTCTTTGAACGTTTGTATTATTGCTTCCTTTCTCGTGATAATGCATTTTATCATGATGTTTACTTTGTTGCGCTTTCTTCTTTTGCTGTCTGCGTTGCCTCTGTGGCTTCACATGAGACAACATTAGTCATTATGTTGTAGTGCAAACTTATACCACCATTGCTTTTGTAGTTGTGCGTGTTTGCGTTACATTACATTCGACTATTACCATGCACTTTGCTCATGTATGCAATTCTGTTGCAACAACAACGAGCTGTTTTGAACATCTTTGATGTTACATTTGTGATATGCTTTTCTTTGGTCCACTCTGTGTGAGTGTCCCTTTTTTTTTTTTGCCTACATACTATTATATTCCTATAGTAGTATGTTCTTTTCTCCTTTCTTTTATTATTTTTATGTTTCTTTGAAGCATACTTTTTTACGTTGTGGTGGATGTGCCTATCACTGAAGCTCAACAAGAACTTATCCGAGGCTAGGAGATAGATAGGCTGCCTCCACTTGGTTATCGCTACTTACTTTAGTGATGATTGAGGGTCTCAATGCCTGAATTTAAAGCTAGGTGGTGCAAGTAAGGCATGCTCTAGCACCTGAGGGAAATTTGATGATAGTAACAGCTATATTGTTATATATATATATATAGCGGAGCTTAAAATTTTGCCTCACATCAAAACAAGGGGAAACCCTCGCAAAATTTTTTTTAGGTCAGCGGAGTTTTCAAGCAATCTGATTGGCTAGAGGGTTCAAACAGCGAAGGTCTATCACTAATTGATGTACTATTGATCTGTCACTTATTATGACGAACAGTTGTTGCCATTCCAGTACTTAAAAATGTTAAAAATATGCAAATTATATCATCGAATGTAAAATTTATATTTTTCTTAATCTGAAATATACCTCAAATAAATAATCATTTACTGTAATAATAAAAATATAATCATAATACTAATTGGATAAATATGTAATAAAGTTATCAACTAGAAGCAATCTCATTGAAAGCCGAAATCGTTCAAATATCACTCATCCAAATCCATACTATTTCAATCTATTAAAAAAGCGCTCCTATGTGCATCAAAATACCATTCAAACATACTAAAGTAAAGAGGCATACTTATATCGCACATCATGTGAATGAAGCATTTTTGATCACAACAATGTATTCAATCATACCCATGATGGTTGTAATAATAAGTGATGTTATCTTTATTCAAATATGACGACTATGTCTTGATGCCATAGCTGCATGATACCGCAGCTAAATAGTTCTTCACTTTAATAACAAACATCACACCTTAAACTGTCAAGGTTACATTAAATCATGCTATGACGATAGTTCATCCAAGCCCATCAAGGCTACTCAAATCGATCCTTATGGCCAGTACTCTTGCATTGATTACTACTTTAATTCAAACATCAACAACATTTGCCAGACATCGCAATAGCAGCATCTATTGCTCTCTATCATCGCTAATCTTGCAAGCTAATTGCAAATGTATAAATACTTTTTTTTCTACTCAATTCCAGGACTTTGAGTTCATTTTATACGCAAATAAAATACAGTTGATTTCTATTGTATTTTACTATTGCTTTATTTTTTTTTTTGTGAAATCCATTAAACCTGATTTCACTGCAAACTTGACACATGCTAAAAGGTTCATCGGCTTAATTGCCCTGAGCGTGCTGTTATTATTTTGTGCATGACTCCAATATCGTTCAGTAGCAACTAGCAGTTTATCATCAAACGCATTGACTATCATACCACTTGACCAATCTTATTTTAAGGAACAGCAATAATGCATCCCAAATCAATCGTTTGAATTAAATGAAACATGCTGCATGGTCGTATCAATTCCTACCTCTATTTGAACACACAACGGTATCTGACAAGGTATAACGCTAGAGAATCTTCGTTTTCTACTAAATAATGCATCTATACTCTTATTTGAGAACAAATACACTTCTACCTGTTAACTGTCAAGTGTAGTTACTCTGTATCATAGATCATTTTTATTGCGTTCAGCTTTATTGATTTTCATATACATAAATCCTCAAACTAAGATACGCTTCGATCAAATGCAATCATTTTCTTCTTGTGTGCGTATCTAATCAGATTTTACACGACCCAAATTCTGAATGTCTTGATTCTGAAATAAACCAGGGCCAGAATGCAACTGATGCTACCTTTGATTACTCACGAAGCCAAAAAAGAACGTCTCCATAACATATGTTTAAAGAGTCGCCACGAACTTCGCCTTTCTGTCAAATATGCATGATAAACGTCAATCTAGCAGCTTCAAAATGGCCACATTTCTCCATTAGGATTTTATCGTTGTCTTGTTCATCTAACTGTTGCCATCACTCAGTAAGCACAATAGCCATGTATCTTCAACTATGAATAGAGGAATAATTTATATTTAGTCATGTCTTGTTCAATCATTAACTTTTATACATCCTGTTTATATATCATCTGTATCTAAAAGCCAATATCAATAGCCGTAACACTGCCAGGTAGCATATGTATATGATATCAATATCTATATTGCCAACTCTGTGAGCTGCAGTTTCTTGGTTTACAACCTTATCATGACTTGCCTATCAGTTCCCTGTCGGATACCACAGCAATCGCCGTTGACTCGTCCTTCATTCCTTTGCGTTAGCAAGCCTCAGAGCTTGCGCATCTGTAAGTAACCAAAAAAGTATAAACGGTTGAGCTTTTTACCCCACTCCCTTTCTTCCTCTTTCTTTCTGTTTCTCTCATTTCCTTCTTTGATTCAAGGTCTTCTTAATGAAGATTTACCCGGGTTTACAGTTTATTCAGCTTTGGTGCCGCCCTGAACTCGTCGTACAGTAATCCCTGCTTCTCCTATGACGGTTTGTGCTTCATCAACTTACGGCGAGTTCTTACTTTAAGTTGGCCGTCAATGTGTAAGTATCTTCACTAATGTATTGAATTAAGATTACTAAATGTTCCTTTAGTCTTTTTCCCAGTCAATCAATTCCTCTTGTGTCTATTTGCTTTGGTTTCCTCAATTTCTCTTCTCTCCCTCCTTTGTATCCAATCCAAATTTGTCTCTCTGTCTGGCTTTTACGAATTCATCAGTGATCTTTACGAATTTAACCAAATTGAAGTAAATAAACTGTGTCGTGCTCACAGTTTCCCAATAGGTGCAGAATAGTTAAACAGCATTTCGGAGTTTTTATTACTGCCAAATGGTTTAAATGAAATGTACTATAGATGATCGCTATCAAGATGTGATCTAATATCAATCTCTTGCATCTAAGAAATACGAACTCGCAGAAGAACAATTCAAATATGACCTGAATAAAGTGCCATTTGCAAAACGAGTGATAAACAGTTACATTTGGCTGATAGAGTCACTCCATCACAAATATAGACACTTTTTGCATTGTTCAAAATCCAAAAAAAGAACTAACGAAAGCCCTTAATAGGAAGAATAGTTTATCACTGTATAAAGATTGAGAGAAAACCAAGTCAAATGCCCCACATTTTATTTATCCAACACTGATGATGATGCAGAGGTATTTCCCCACACTTGGAGCCATCTAAATTTAATTGATCCTCTTCTTCTTTAGTTTTTTTTTCTTTTCTTTTTCTCCTTCTGTGTAGTATATTATACGCATGGAGCAATCATCATCCAATATTGCGGCATCCACGACCAATGCTCGACTCGATGATGCAGCAGCAACAACAGCGACAGACGTACCTTCACCGCGCACTGTAAGAACGAATTGGTTGAGGTTTTCATGGAATCAAATATCCGGCGCAAGCAAGGCGATACTGTTGATATCATTCTCATTATCGCTTATACAGGTAATGCGCAGAATGAGCCATACACAATGAATGACGGATGATAATACTTAACCTAAAGATTGCTGTCACCATCGCCATCCTTGCCATTGGAAGCAGTAGTGGCATGTCATGTAGCAAGCCACTGCAATTGTATCTTATCATTTTTGTCGTGCGAGTGGGTTTATCACTTCCTCTATCAATCTACCAACATTTATTTACACCCAGAGGCCGAAGACGAAACAGCAGAAGAGGTAGACGAGAAGATGCAAGGCGCAGACGAAGAAGACAGACTGAGAATAGACATGATGCGCCGACAATGCCTGCAACAACAGAAACCAACAATACTTTAGCTGCAAATCTGAATTCACAAGATGACAACCATTTACAGCAAGATGTTGGCAACAATCAGCATGAAGAGGAAGAAGGAAATCAAAATCAAGAACGACCAGCTTCATTAATCAGTGGATGGACTGATAGGTAAAAGGCTATGCAGAAGGAATGTGGCGCGATTTAGTGGTAGTAGTAGTAACACATCTATCCGTATAGGGTGAAATCATTACTGGATTTGTTTGCCATACTATGGTTCATTGTAGGCAATTATTTGATATTTTCACAGTCTGAATGTCCAACTACAGCAGCGCCTTATTACTACACTATTCTTGCTTGGATATTACTGGGATATTTGATCTTGCTGATTCCATTGCTTGCTTGTGCAGCTGTTATATTTTGTTTGCCTTGTGTCTTGGTAGCATTGAGGACATTCAGCATCAATGTAACCAATGTCATGGTTGGCGGTACAAAGGAGGAAATTGCTAAAATCCCGGTATTCAAATACAAAGCATCGGCCAACTCAACAGCTACTACTGACAATACAGCTACCACGCAAACATCAGAGAATGCCAACGATACAAACACAAACACAAACACATGTACTACTACTACTGCGAAAAAACCCAGTTTTATAAGAAGAATCATGAAAAGACCATCCTACCACAACAATCCAGATCAGCAAAAACAAAATGCTCATCTTGAGGCCATCACCATACCTAGAGCGGAAGATGCTGCTTGCTCAATTTGTTTGGGAGAATATGAGACTGATGAACTCATCTGTAAATTATGGCAAGTGTATTCCTTTTCTCTTTTTGTGCCATGTTACAGGTGCGATATACTTATGCAGATTGTTTCCTATAGGTGCCAACATCATTATCACAAGGATTGTGTACAAGAATGGCTGGCGCTGAACTCCAAATGTCCATTATGTAAACGGGATTTTCGAGGCAAGGATTATGTGAGTGATTCGGATGAGTCTGATACAGATGACGATGAGGAGGAGCAGTATTAGGGTGAATAAAACCGTGTAAATTTGTGTACATATACAGCACCCATTCAACGAAATATAAGAGTCGAGTAATTTACATTTTTATTAGTAATTTTAAATGTACATGTGCTTGCAGCTGTATAGCTGCAGTTGTTGCTAAAGTGATGAGCCGTTGTGGTGGGTGACATTGCTGTGTTATTTTTGTGCTGGAAACTATGTGCATGAAATCTATGCTTTTGATTTAATCAGAAGCAATCAAAGATACAATCATCTTGTAGAGGTAAAAGAAGAAACACTAATATACCGAGATTCATTTAGTTACACGTAAATAAAACACTGGCCCACTCAAAAAAGAAATACTTACCAAAGCGTAGAAGCCAAGTTTCAAGAAACTTTCCTTTTTGTGCTTTGACAAGGTACGGAAAATCTCTGTGGCATCGTACATGTGTTGATGATTCATGACCCTAGTTGCGTCCATATCAGCTCCACTCCTCTGCCAAACAACAAGCACATGAACACTTACTTTCTAATATTGAGAGCTAACACGGGTAAATTGATAAGCATAGGGAACCAATGGCCAGTGACCAAGAAAATAAAGAATACAAAGGCTTGCAATCCCATCTCGGGCAAGACAAACTACGCATGTTGTTAGGCTACTATATTACATTGGCAAGTAAATGATAAAACTTACTTGGTTGAGTTTGTTGCAAAGGTCAATAGGGTTGATATAATCACATTCTAAATCAGAGAACATGATGACCTACCGCATCCATCATCATTAGAGGAACATTTGGGGCCCCACTAGACATTATCTACTTACGAAAAAGACCATCAAGAACAGGAGAATGGCTGCCAAAACGACTGCAGTCAGGAATAAGAAGACGGGCCCAAACATTTTATATGATGATGAAAATACAGAGAAACAAAAGAAGAAAAAAGAAAAAAAAAAAACTCTTTTTGCTAAAGGTTGGTGTTTATAAAAATGAGAAACCTACCAATCAAGCTCTAACAAACAATGAGTTTCAAAGCGACGAATTTCGTGTTTGTGTGTGTGTGTTTTTTTTACAGTAATTTTTTATGTGAAATGGATAAAAGTGTATATGTGCCAAGTGGAAATGAAGTGTATATATATATATATATATAAAGGATATCATTGAATAAAGATAATTATGATAAAAAAATGCTGTTATTGATATGGTGGTTGTGGCTGTTGTAGTTGTACCATCGACATAGAGAATCCAGATCTCCTCTAGTCTCTAATAAAACATTTACTGCTCTCTCAAATTCTAGCTGGAGACCTCTGACTGAAGTCTCATCTGCCGAATTGCCCAAATTTCGTCGAGTATCAAAAGGTTCTTCTATACATAGTGCTCGCTTGCTCTCCATTCCCTTGTGCCAACCCTTTTCATAGCGACTCAGAAGCTTTCCCGAACGAACAGATATCACTTGAGTTGCATAATCAAATTCGAATGCAAATTTACGAAAGAAAGCATACAGCAACCCACCTAGACTTTCATGGTTAGATCGGCCAAATCCGACAAGTCTAGACAGATCATCACAGAATGATGAGTTCATGCCGTTGATTTGTACATTGTCGTTGGATAGCGTGTGCGATATCTCATGTAAATTAGGAAGAATAGGAGGGCTTCGTGTTTGTAAAAAGTTGATGACCATACAGGTCCATGTATAGGTGGATAAAGTGCCACCGCTTGCTGCATCGTTGAGTTGTCGTTGCTTTGCCCAGTGCTTGATGATGAGTATCAGTGGTCTCACTCGAGGGTCAATGGCTACATAGGTCTTTATCATGCGCGTGTTTTGCAATGCCAGCAGATTGTTCACATTTAAATCGCAAGCCAATTGTCTGTATTTCTCTCGAATGTTAGCTTTGTTCTCCATACATACATGAGCACAGCACACACACACTCAGAGCAAAACACTTACAAAACGGGATCCCAAATCTTGACGATGGGCACTTTTGCTCTGGGAATGGTGCGCACAATCTGTAAGCCATCTATACATGCGAGCACAAGGGCACAATGAATACGACAGCAGCGATGGATGGGAGCTGAATCACACTATTACACCTACTTTTTCGTAACACACTTGCCAGTGTTTTTATACAGCGCAAACCATTCCAAGATGTTGAAATGCAAATATCAACATCCGACTGATTTGTACCAAGATTGTTTTGTGAAGATCTATGTTTGTAGTGTGGATGATGAAATCGGACCAAATTGATCAGTACATTATGTTTTTTTTCCGGCATTCTTACTTACCCAAATAAGTGCACATTGAATCTATGCATTGGCCATTCTCGATTTAATAGCTTTTCAATCTTGATCATCACCATCTGCCTTTTGTTGAATGACTGTCGAGAGGGCAGTAGTTTCTAGTGTAATGGAGCATTGAGTATATGTGGCAAGTCGCATTCTTTGCTTGGGTATTTACTTGGTATAGTTTCAACATGCCGAATGATAGGCTCTCATGGAATGGCAGTGTGATGGGCGGATATAAAGAAAAGTCTAATTCCTCTTCTTCCTCTTGCTCAACACTCAGTGGATTTTTTTCTTCTTCTTCCTTGGTGGATCCAGTACAGGACACCACTGTTGAGTCATCTGTTAAGACGGATGAGCAAGATTCAAATGCAGAAGAAGGAGACGAGAAACCGAAATCATCGTACTCCTCCTCCTCGTCCTCTAGATGCTGTACAGATGGTGGACTATAGTAATAGTTATTTACAGAGACGGGTGAGAGCATGGTATTTGGAAAAAATGAGGAAAGACGGAAAGAAAGACCTCTCTAATAGGAAACAAAAAAGGTGAAAATATTAAAGGCTTTTTCTTTGCACTTTTCTTGTGTAATCTTCCTGTACTTCTTTTCATACTCCAATCATAATAGATCCCTTTTCACCCTGTTGATCCTTTCCATCAGTTAAGAAGGTTTTACTATCCTATCATCATTATAAAGATCTGCACTTTGATGTACTGATTTTGCAATTATTTTGCAGATTTATAAAGTTACAATTGCATGAGCTCAGGCTGTTTTTTCCCTTTACAATGGATGGGATCCGTCGTTTTCCCGTTGAGAGATGAGAAGAGTCATTTGTGAAAAAGTATTCCGAGATTTATGTCTATTCTTGCTTCTCTCGGGAATCATTCAACACCATTGGGGGTTTTTTTTCCCAGCAGCTGCTTGAGGATATAGAAGAATGAATCGTTCGGGTGGTAACCTACATTTGTATGAGTTTTATTACATTCAATCCAAGGGGATTGAGGATGCCAAAGGGGTCAAATCATTATATTTATAACTCACAGACGCTCTATACCTAAAGGCATTTGGTAATAAGAAGAAAAATCAAATGTTACTCGAAATAAAATGGCTGTGATTACCATATATGATTCAGTAAAGGTCATTTTATTATGTAACAAATGAATTTTTATTCGGTCAATTCCAGTTGCTGGTTGAATCCACATCAAGACCATACCAGAGAGGCATATCAGGGATTTTCTTGTATATATTTATTAAAAATTCATTGCGAAACAGAGCAAGCAAGGGGATTTATCTCATCTATTCTAAACCCTAATTCAGCGTATGAGATGACATTATCATGTAATTCATCACTTATGTAAGTAGCCATTGTATACACTTGTTTTCATAATGATCTTCCCTTTTACGAATATGGATTTTGGTGATACAAAATATAATCGGTCAGCCAGTCATTGAGTGAGAGAGACATGATGCATAATTCAATGGTAGTACATGAAAAGTGTGTATGTATTATATACATAATTGCCATACGCAAGAATAGAGTTTTACGCAAGTAATGCATGTAGCAGGATTTGTTTTGGAGTATAATGGAAAATGCCGCAGTTTTTCAATAGGCAAAGAGTAGCACAAAATAGATAATGAAGCATCTATATAGTGCTTATATATCGCATGGCATTGTTATAGTTTCATTTACAACTAAACAAGACGTACATTAGAATTTTTGTCAAAAAGTAGTAAAAAAAAACGACTTCCTACATGTCATTTGCTTCTACTTCGTTGTTCTGCTATCAGTCTTTTCTCAAGCTTTTACCAACAAATACGAATAAAAATACAATCATCTTTGAAAACAGCTGTTTGGCTAATCAAGGGCACTTTTTGACTCGCAATTTCCTTCTCATCATGAGCTTTAATTATCGATTTCTCTTCTTAAGAAGAGGGTATCATGACGTTTGCTAGCCAAAACGGATTTCAATCCCCGACAAAATTCTGCTGGTCCAAGATTGGTCAGAGTTTGCTCGAAATCAACTCGATCGACCTATTTTAGAAAATTTATTATATAAGTTGCGATGATCAACCAATGCTTTCTAGTGGTTTTTTGAAGTACTTTTGAAGGCGCATCCAATGGTGCTAATTACAATAGGTGTTTTAAACAAGCTTATTGAGCAATAATTGAAAGTATGAAATGACATTTCTGGGGAAAATGTTGAAATTCTACATGTCAATGTTGTACAAACTAAGTTTCAGGGGTTGCGTTGGATCGAAACAATCATTTTGACCTGACATATGCCATAATAAAAGTCTCCACTTTGGAGGACAAAAGCGCGATTGTTTGATTTTCGGTGAAAATCATGAGGGATACCTCATGGTTTTTGATGGATTTTTGATGGATTTTTGACGATCCCAAAAAAGTTGAGTAAAGGTGTCAGACAGTGAATGCCAGATGAGAGCAATTGCTTGGTGCTACTCTGACGGTCTAAAACGGCCTTTAGCACAAGGCATCGCGGCTCAAATGCATCTAAATTATGCTGTGTTTTGTAAATTTTCGTGTACTAAGAGGCAATGCAAATGTGCTGTTTGCCCGTATATGATTTGTTTCCGTGGCTACAGACGTGGAGCACTTGGAATCAGTCAGGTTTACAACGATAAAAAAGGGGTTACAAAGGATTCTCATATGATAGTACAAGGTAAAAAGCCAGCATTTATAAATTGTCAGATGAAGCTTACAATATTCTAATGAGACGCGTCAAGACGATAGGTAACGAGAGTTGCCGCTGTTTAGGTGTCTTCTGATAAAAACAAAGTAAAATTAGAGAAGAACCAAAAGTGCAAAAAGTACTTGTATTATTTGATAAAGCAAAATGATGGTCAATCACAAGTGACAAATACTGAATATGTTAAAAAGCCCTATGCAAATAGTGCACCACTGCACACACTTCTCAGGTCAGCGTACGTGGAGAGCTCAATCAATTGTATTGCAATATAAAAAAGAGTTTAAAAGAAGAAAGCCATTCTTCATTGACTAATTTGGCATTTGGTATTATTTAGATAGGTTGAACATACACCCAGAATCTGGTATCATCGCTCAAGTACTTCTTGTCGCTTTCGATTTGAGCTTTGATCCAATAAACGCCATCTTTGTAGTTTTGGATATCCTGAGTGTTAGGGTTGTTAATACCAGTTTCACCATTTCTATGGCCAGCAAACCACTTGTCCAAACCAAAGTAAGCTTGAGATTCTTGTCTTGATTTAATGTCCTTGGCCAAGTTGGCGTTGAGTACAGCACCCTTGTTATAATCTGATGGACCATAGCTCTTGAATTCAGAAACAGAGGTACGCAACATGAACCAGCCTTGCTTGAAGATGCCAAAATTGGCAGAGTCTTGAGTTTTACCGTCACCGTACACATAGTTTGTAGTCATATCTTCGGTTTCAAGCATAGCAATAGCAAGCTCCAAAGTGGTGCCTCCGTTGTTCAAAATTTCTTGCTTTCTCTTGCCCAAATTTGCGACAGTGTAATGACCATTATCGGCGGCCAAGGCAGTAGCAATAATAGCAAAGAGAACAAAAAAGCTAGAGAAGATGTTGAGTTGCATTTTGAATAGAGAAAGAGAATGGAGATGAAAATACTACTAATTTATCTGTCAATTTATATTGCAAAAATGTCTGATTATATAAGCTGTTGCTCCCAGGCTTGACGGCAGTCAACCTTGCACTATTATGATTTATGTGTCTCTTCATTTTGTGCACATTCTAAAAGCCAAGTGTGATTCTAACATTAATATGGTATTCATGCTTTATTGGACGGGATCGAGCTCTTGTTGTAGCGGGAAAGTCGTTAAAGCCCGCGGATGGTACCTGAATTAATGTATGGGTCCACTCTCATGCAGCATATCGCATGTAACTCACATGTGAATTCTTTACCATTTGCGAGCAATCACTCAATGTTGACCTCAAGACCAGTTCATATCTGTATAACCTTAATGCTACCTGAGATGAACGCATTGATGGTGGAGAGTCATCATTTGCCATTTGCGTGTTGGTCTTTTTTTTAAGATTTAATACATAATTGCTCTGAATAACCATCATTCTCGCACTAAATCTTAATGTCGATTCTTCACTTGTACAAGCATTTTCCAACCCATACATCAGTCCAAGTTATACCATATTATTCAACTGCTGATCCTCGATATTAGAAACATTCAACATACTGAAGATATTTTCTATGTAAACATAGCATTCACATGTATTTAATTTAGTTTGGATATGTCAAAACTGCCTCAACTAATACTTGATCATTTGCATTTGGACGTACAAACGGAAGATCCAACATCATGCATATTTATTAGGTAAGCTTCGATTGCTTATTTGTGTCACTTTGACAGCCGAGGATTTATGATGCCTAACACAAGGCGGGCACTTATACTATACTACCCCACATTGTATGCCTAAGTTCTACACTTCATGCGATATCATACCTTGGAACCTGGTGCCGGTATAGATCAACTTTATTCCTAAATAATACAAGGTTTAATCGATAAGGGTAACATGTGAGAAACAGGATGGCTAAATTCACAATGGAAAATATGTGAATGGGCGATAGAAGAGATGAGATTCTGGTGTTCAATTCACCCACTGTATCTGATTCAGTTGTATTGTGTTTTCAACGCTCGCAGTCGACTTCTTTTGCTGCCTCTTTCAGGGCTGAACAACGTATTTGCACTTGATTGTTGGGGGAGGGGGGAGGGGGAGGGGCAGCACTAACACATCTTCACGCATTCAATGATTGTGAGTACAGACTATGAAAATATGGCTATCGATCTCTTAGGATCTGAACATTTAAGTCTTGATGTGCAAGCTTTTATAGCAATGCAGCTTTTTGATAATAATTTGCTTATGATGGTAACAAAGAGAGAGCAAATTCTTTAATTTTAGATGATGGTGTTTGAAGAAACAGTGCTTTCTTGAACTCTTGGAAGCTTCAACTCACCAATATGGCAGACAGCACATGTAGAGTCTACTTTCTATAAAGGCAGCATGTAGCCAGCATTGTCTTCAAGAAAACATTGGTCAACATTTCATCTAAAAGTTGTAGTTAACAACGGTGTCTAGCCAACCCATAAGGGCAATTATGTCATTTCTGTAGGGACCAATCGTAACTGTCTCTAGATTTTCCTGTCTTTGCAATAGCTATATATAAGTGTGGCAACAGGTGTATGCTCTATCAACAAGGTGTGTAGTAGGTACGTATTCTAAAGCTGCATGATCATTTTCATGCATTTGCATGGTGAAGTGCCTGAAGTATCCTATACATAAGATTCAGTTTCTATTGGGCCCGTCTCCGCAAATGGATTTGATTGTAACCGGGGGTTGATTAAACTTTTTTGTCCTCTTTCTTTCCCATTTCCTATGGCAATTATGCTTCGAGCTCAACGACAGCCTTTACTACAATTTAAACGACATTTCTCTTTAGATGTGAGTAGCATGAAGCCAGCTAATTCAATCAGCAGCACTGACAAATCTACACAGGGCCGCAATAGATTGTCCAACAAGTTTATTCCTATGACAAAGGATAAACCATCAAACTCAGCGGACACTTCAAGCCATCAGATCTTATTAAAAGCAGGATTTGTTCGACAGGTACAAGATACACCATGATGCGGTAGATGACAAGGAAGACATTGATGTGCTTGGCTTTTGTAGAGTGGCGCTGGTATTTACTCTCTATTGCCATTGGGCTTGAGAACAGTGGAAAAGATTGAACGCATCATTGATACCGAGATGCAGGCCATTGGTAGTGAAAAGTTATCACTTCCCATGCTGCTCAATCCTGAGGGATGGAAAAAGACAGGGCGCTGGGATGGATCCAAAGGAGAGGCAAGTAGCTTTTGCAAGATGATCGCAATCCGAGACTTACATGGATGATACCAGTTTTTCCGTTTGCAAGACAGAAAGGAGTCGGATCTCTTGTTAGCACCTACACACGAAGAAGAAATTACACAGTTAGTCGCAGCACAACTACAATCATCCAAGCAACTCCCCATACGTTTATACCAGATTGGCAGAAAATACCGTGACGAACTTCGACCTCGAGCAGGCTTACTGAGAGGAAGAGAGTTCATCATGAAAGATCTGTATTCATTTGACGCCACGCAACAAGATGCCTACCTTGCGTATGATCAAGTAGCTCAAGCCTACCGTGCCATTTTTGAAAAGATGGGAGTGCCATTTGTCGTTGCTGAAGCCGACAGCGGCAACATTGGTGGATCTAAATCGCATGAATACCATTTGATTTCACCCGTTGGAGAGGATACCTTATTGACCTGCCATAGTTGTGGATATACAGCAAACGAAGAACTTGCAGTAGGCAAGTTGAAACAGCAATTCAAGGACAACAGCGCTGCTTTGACAGATCTGATCTCGTTGCGCAATGTGGATACAACAGTCGTGTCGTACAAGGCTACTAATGCTGCCGAGGATGGTGTTGTCGAGGGTCTCGCTGCTATTTTCACGCCACCACAGCGCGATGCTAATGTGCTCAAGGTACAGACGCAGTTGAGCAAATATCTAAAGAAACAAGGCCAAATGAGCGAGAGAGCAACCATGGATATGGATGTGGTACCTCAAGCCAAGATGGATAGTATGGATCCTGCCGCTATTCCACATTTGCACGTCTTTATCGATGACGCATTGGATCTAGACTTACAACCAAGCCAACAACTGACTATCCACTCACAAGATCATTTCAGACTTGCTAAAGAAGGAGACCACTGTGTCTCATGCGCAGAGAAGAACAAAAAACTAAGTAGCGTGAAAGCCATTGAATGTGGGCATACGTTTTATCTTGGTACAAAGTATTCCAGTGTATTGGATTGTGGGTTCCGAGAGAGCGGTAAAAAGGGAGACAAGATTCCCGCTGAAATGGGTTGCTATGGCATTGGTATCACACGACTCTTGGCAGCTGTTGCAGAGGCACGCTATGATGAAAAGGGTATTGCTTGGCCAACATCACTTGCACCTTACAGCATATGCATCGTACCCACAGACGATAGAAAACAAGAGTTCAAGGAGATCGCGAATCAGATATACGACCAATTAGGTGAATCATTTAAAGGAGATATTGTCATTGACGACCGCCGATCTGGATTTGGCGCCAAAATGAAGGACGCTGAATTAGTAGGCTATCCTTACACCATCATTGTCGGGCCCAGATCATTGCAACAAGAGCAGCCTCAATTAGAGATTCATCAACGCATTCAACATCAAGAAAGCAAAAAGAGTATGATAGATTTGAAAGATTTACAACATGACATGTTTAATACAGCTTAGAAAATAAAATATTAAATAGTTATACACTTGAGAAATTTTAGTAGGGATCACGGTTTTCAGCCTTTTGGATAGTAGCATACAAGACATTAGCCTCGGTAGGTGGTTCAACCTCACCTCTCAGCAGAGCTTCAGCACGGATAGGTTTACCATAAAACTTTTCATTTGCCTTCTGTAACTCCAATAAACCAGTGCCCTCAATTGACATACCAGCAAACAAACCCTTTGATTTCGTGTATGAAAACACAGGCGTCACCTTCTTATCTCTGATATCACCAGCAATTGAAGCCTCTCCACCAGCACCAATGGGACCAGCACTCACGCTCAAATTACCACCCAATGTCAAATTTCCACCTTGAGAGAAAGCGCGCACGGCTTCATCGCTGTTCAAGATCAAGACAAAATCAGTGATATCAGCGCCAATTTGCGCACCAAATCCAACACCGCCCGTAGCAATTGCTGTAGGAGCACTCCATCTACCATCGGGTAATTTTGCAACTACAATACCACTACCAGCACGTCCACTCCATAAAAATCCTGCCTTGACTACAGTGAAAATGGCAAGACCTCTGGCTTCCTTGATGACTGAAACAGGGATAATTGTATCGAATCCGTTCTCAATCTCTTCTTTGCCTGAAACACATAACATGGGAGAATGGGTGTTACTACGTGGTCATGTAAATAAATCAAGAAACCAGCTACTCACTGATAAACTGCTCCAAAATACGAGACGCTTTTTGACATTCTTCGCCAAGACTACCGGGAATGGGGCTGTTGAAGTTGGGGCCGCTTTGAGCTGATACGCTGTAGTAAGCACGGTTGCTCGACTCTTGCAATATAATTTACTTACTGGCAGATGTTGCCATGTCGCCAATTTGACGACTGGCTTGTTGGCCAAAAGTGGTGGCGCCTGGATGAGGTTTGATCAGTGACAATGCATTCACCAAGCCGAGTTCAATACTTACTACTAGCAGCGCGAGAAGCCTGTTCTTTAAAACGATCAAACATGGACATATTTTGTGTAAGAGATAAACAAAGAAGAAAAAAGAGGAAAGTTTATGTGCTTCTTTTATACACGATACACACACCTTTTCAGATACATTTATTTACATCATATGTACCACCTTTCTGCCCTACTGACAATAAACCCAGCATCACATGCGAATCAGATAAAAATACACATTTTATTTTATGCTTTATGAAACCAAGCCAAGTCTTGGATGTCATTCAACGAAATTCTCTTGGACGGATCTCTTTCTAGAATTGCTTGGACAACTTGCTTTGCTTCAGCTGAAACGACACAATCGTGGGGCCACTTGATCTCTGCTCTCACAATGCGGTAAAACAGCTGAGATACACGTTCACCCTTACGTCGGTCATATCTGAATGGCAGATAGCCTACCAGCAGACTATACAGAATGATGCCCAATGCCCATGTATCCGTCTTTCGTCCATCATAGTCCTGCTGTTGCACAATTTCCGGTGCGGCATACTCTTCACTACCACATCTTGTCACTAGTAACGGTGACTCGGGATCTACCACACGAGCTAGACCAAAATCTGTGATTTTCAGTATTTCGTCACTGGATTGCTTATGTATCAGGATGTCTAGTGAAAGAGGTATGAGTACATGCACTTTGCTGCGAACGGGCTCTACACATGCTTACTTTCTAGTTTGAGATCTCGATGGACAATGTTGTGTTCGTGTAAATATTTGACAGCATGTAACAGTTGTAAAAATAATGTTCTCACTTGTGCTTCGTTGGCGGCCGAGTGTGTCAAACTCAACTGATGGTGCATTTTCTGAACAAAGTCAAACAGTTCGCCGCCTTCCACATACTCCAGTACGATACACATCAGCTGCTCTGTTTCCATTGTCGCTTCCAAATGCACAATGTTGGGATGGTCAATAAAGTTCAAAATGCCTACTTCTCTTTCTATGCTTGATCTCACTCGAGGGTCGTCCAACAACTTTCCTTTCTGAATGGTCTTGATAGCGACATAGTTTCCATGCGGATTAGATGCTAAATAGACTCGAGAAAATGCACCCACACCTAGCAACTTGATAACGTGATAACCGCCAATGGTTTTGCCGACAATGTCGATGATTTCTAGGTGGTAGTTTGGGGTATGGGGTATCGTATTGGGTTGATCTCCAAGATTGGGTTGTTCAGAGAGCGTAGGAATCGCTGTTGTGGGTGTACCTGAGAAGCTAGACAGCACTGGGATGTCTTGCTCACCCGATGCGCTTGTGACAATGGGAAGAGACGGAGGAGGTGGGAATACAAAGTGTTTGTTATTGTTGGCCGTGGTGTTGGGCAGAGGTGTAGGTAGGCTATGGAGTGCGTCTGTTTGCAAATCGGGTGTCGTGGGAGATAGTAATGGCTCTGTAGCATACAAATGCTGTGGAATTGGCGATGGTGCAGGTGCCTGTGATGCCTGACGTGCGACCAAATGACGAAGACGGCTGGCATAACTATCATGGTGATATAGATCGTCGTCTTTGGGCGTTGGTATGGACGAAGTAGGTGATGAAGGCGGGACACTCTGTCTTATGGATATCTTGCGAGAGAGCGATGGTGGCGGACGAGGTGTCGATAAAGAGTCGGAAGACGTGTGAAAAAATGCATTTGTTTTGCTTGTATCTGTATTAATCTCTAGTGCAGGTGTGGGCCGACGATGATGACCAGCTGCAGTCTAAACAGCAATTAGTATTTTCTTCTCATCTTCAACTAGAAAAACAAAAAACCCTGCTGCTTACTTGGCCCTGTTCTTGTGCTTGGTTTTCTGGAGATCGTGTAAACTGAATCGATGTGGCCTAAGGGATCTCAGTTCAGGGACTGTTCAATTGATATGACAGCAACACTCACCATGATGGTTGAATTATATATTATGTGTATAGGCTGTATTGAAAAAAAAAAAGAAAGAAATAAGAAAGAAAGAAAAATGTTTGGGATTATATGAAACAGAAAGGTTTTTTCAAATGTATAAATAAAGAGGCCTATTTATTTGATTGAATCTACAATGGGAGGACCATGTTATTTTGAGTCACGCATCTCGCATCTGCACCAATTGCAAGTGAACCTTATGTTTTTACCTTTTTTCGAGCATCGCTATTGTATGTAAACCCCTCACCAAATGCCCTCCTTTAGATACCGTTATTGGTAGATGGCCATTGAAATGATGACCACAGCAATTGTGTATTTTTATGCGAACGACAAAAAGTTGGCGTTTTTCTTGTCCTGTTCGCAAAATGCTCTGCCTTCACAGCGAATGGCCTTTATTCCAAATCAAGAAATCAATCCGCAACTAATGTGCTGTTACGTAATAAGTTCGACATTGGTAAGAGGCGTGTCTATGGCATTTCATTCCAATGTTTGCTATACATTTCTATAGCTATTGCTGTCATCCACATGAGCTCGGATCTTTCGATCCAACTTGATTTTCTCTACAGCATCTATTCCCTCGGAAAATCAAAAAACAGAATCAGGAACCATACATGTTCAACTAAACACTCGCAAATATTTAGCTTGATATCAATACTCGAGAGGGATATATATTTCTCACATTTTGCGTAACACATGTTCGAGTGCGACCCTTTGATAGTGTTTGTTGCTGTGTAGAGAAACCAAAGATTTGGCGATCAATTCATGCGTTCTCTCTATTCCTATAAATACGTTGTGTTACAACGGAGCACGATATATTTATAAATTTGCAATGAAGCTGCTGCACGTTTGTCCTTGGTTTCAACAAGTCATGTCTCTGTACCTCGGTGTATATGAAATTCTGCTTTGGAGGGCCATTCCGTGGATAGTGGTAATAGTCCCACGGAATCAAAGTGGCTGTGCTGTATCATATATTATTTAATCGATCCTCTCGGCCTTCATATATGCGAATTATAATAAGGCTATTTATAAACAACTGCTGGTTTTTTTTATACTGCTGCTATCAGGAAAACAACAACCTCGTCCAATAATCAATCAAATAATGCTTAACATTAATTCCATTAAAATGCATCAACTACTATTTATCAATCTCCAATATTGTGCTGCTCACAACATATTGGTGTCGCCACATCTCTTTACATAATCCCTCTCGTTTGATACCAGACGCGCTGTTAGTCATCTCCTCACTCATTAGCTCTTTGGCGAGTTTTGACCTAAACCAATGTTCTTTGCCGTAGAACCAATGTACAGAAACCTTCGAGTGGTTTTGAAGGATTGGTATTATTTTTTCATTGCTCTCTTGCAATTCAATATCTGAACGATAGGTGCATTTACGCTTGCATGTCTTGCATAGAAAAAGCAACTTTACTACAACTTTCTGTTTCAAAGCTTTGAGGGATGTTGCCAGGACTTGAATGCAAAAACGTAAAAAAAAATGGCAAAAGTGTGCTGCACTTGGTAACTTCTATTGACATAAATCTTGCGCTAAATCCCTCAAATCTGCTCATTTACAGAACAAAAGATGAACAGACAATTGCTATCTTCCTGCTCCATGTAATAACACAAGTTTGCATTTTTGGGTTGCTGGAATAATCTTTTTGCATAGTAATTTCTTAAAGAAGTGCATTTTGCGATCAATGTCGTGTAATTTCTAGTTTTTGTTTCATCAAACAGCAATGTCAATTTTCTCAAAACTGGTACTAAAGCTTGTGGTTAATGGCAGTATTCACAAGTACACGAAGGGTTCCTTCTTTATTCGCGCGCCAAGGGAAAAAATTCAGGAAAAACTCCTGTCAAGCCCTCAAAGTACTTTTGTGGCAACATTTCTTTATAAAACTTTCAATGATTTACTTGTATTTGCATTAACGCTCTTTACATTATCGTCATAACATGATGCATTTATTGTTACTGCACACTTTCAAAGTCTCAAAAAGGAAAGAAGGATCTTACGAGTATCTTGATGGACTAATGTTATTAAATGCAAGGCTTTAAAATAAAACCATGGCTAATAATAATACCATGTAATTAGCTACCTACATTTTATTGGCTTCAAAGGTACCTAGTATTGCCTTCATGATTAGAAGGGCATTGAGTTTGCCGACCGGCCCCACCAGCGAAACTCAATACCAACTCAGAATCATAGTTTGCTCCAGATTGGCCAAATTTTGATAAATTTCGACCTGATCAACCTGTTTTGTCATATTCGACTGCATAAATACTTATGATCATCTTATACTTCCTTAAGTTAGTCCCTGGTGGTAGGGCGAAGTGGTAGAACTCCCGTATGCCAACGGGAGGATCCCCGGTTCAAATCCTGGTGAACGCAAGTTGTTTGATTTTTTGACGTAGTACTGATGTCCTCGTTTGGTGTTTTGTACTCTTATCCATTATCTATATTTTGACGATTTCCGCAAGACTGTATTGGCTCTAGGAGTCGCACCTTATTAGTAGTAGATTTCTTTCCCAACTTAGTTCAAAAATATCTTATTCCCCTTCATTGCAGACATTGGGTCCACCAACAGTCTTTTCTATCCCTCAGTATGACATTTAAAGGACTTTAAATAAAACCTGGAGCTCGTCTCCCCTACAAAAAAAAATACTTCCTTAAGCTTTCTTGGAATACGTTTCAAGGCGCATCCAATGGTACCAAGTAAAATAGATGCTTTGAGTAAATTGATTGAGTATTTTATGAAAAAATGAAATGAGGTTTCTGGTCAAAAAATCGAAATTGTTAAGCACAAAGAATAAAAGGATTATTATTTGTAGCTTATAAATGTTCGATATTATAGAAACAAGAAAAGACTTATTTGAATAAGATCAGACACAAAGACTAAAGATTTATTGATGAAGACCAGAGTTGTTCTATTTATACTAAGTTCTGAATGCCAAAATAGCAATTTATCTTGTACAACGCTTATCACATCTGATGAACCTCAGTATTTAAATAGCTGAGATGCACTTCAATTATTATAGCCTATCCATGTTGTTGCATAACACAGACATATATCTACCCACCATCAAGAATACCTTAATCTTCATAGACAGTTGTAGCCCTTCTGGCACAACAGAAATTCTACATATCAAGGCTCCAAAAAAACGATTTCACAGATTGCGTTGAATTCAGAAAATAATTTTGACTTGATATATATATCATAACAAAAATCTTCATTTTGGAGGTCAAAAACGCGATCGTTTAATTTTTGATAAATTTTTTTTTGTATGAAGGCAGGCTACCACTCGTATTTATTATGTTATTAACATGCTACCAAAAGACTATTCTACCTAAAACGACTAGTCTATAAGTGTGTGCACAAGAGGGACAAGAAGGGCATGACTACTAATTTGAATTATTACCGGGGCAAAGAGTGTGTTCCCACGAGAAGGACCCAAGAGATTTTTGACTAAGGATAGTACTGTCAGCACTTGATCAGATGGTTATCGCGAGAGAACAAAGATACTCGATCGAAGCCGCAAGCAAGAGAGAGAAAACAATCAGAACCACACCAACAACTACGTTACCAAACTTCTTGCTGAAAACCAACTTGAAATCGCGCCAGACATTGCACTTCATGACCACCGTTTTCATCCAATCACCCAATTCAAAAGACAACGTGAGGGGAATGTACTTGCGCCATACAATTCCAATATCTTGACCAGAAGAATACACAATTTTTTTCAAATCCTGAGAGGAGATTGCAGTGAAATTGGGTTAAATGGATTTCACAAAAAAAAAATAAAGCAATAGTAAAATACAATAGAAATCAACTGTATTTTATTTGCGTATAAAATGAACTGAAGATCCTGGAATTGAGTAGAAAAAAATATTTATACATTTGCAATTAGCTTGCAAGATTAGCGATGATAGAGAGCAATAGATGCTGCTATTGCGATGTCTGGCAAATGTTGTTGATGTTTGAATTAAAGTAGTAATCAATGCAAGAGTACTGGCCATAAGGATCGATTTGAGTAGCCTTGATGGGCTTGGATGAACTATCGTCATAGCATGATTTAATGTAATCTTGACAGTTTAAGGTGTGATGTTTGTTATTAAAGTGAAGAACTATTTAGCTGCGGTATCATGCAGCTATGGCATCAAGGCATAGTCGTCATATTTAAATAAAGATAACATCACTTATTATTACAACCATCATGGGTATGATTGAATACATTGTTGTGATCAAAAATGCTTCATTCACATGATGTGCGATATAAGTATGCCTCTTTACTTTAGTATGTTTGAATGGTATTTTGATGCACATAGGAGCGCTTTTTTAATAGATTGAAATAGTATGGATTTGGATGAGTGATATTTGAACGATTTCGGCTTTCAATGAGATTGCTTCTAGTTGGTAACTTTATTACATATTTGTCCAATTAGTGTTATGATTATATTTTTATTATTACAGTAAATGATTATTTATTTGAGGTATATTTCAGATTAAGAAAAATATAAATTTTACATTCGATGATATAATTTGCATATTTTTAACATTTTTAAGTACTGGAATGGCAACAACTGTTCGTCATAATAAGTGACAGATCAATAGCACATCAATTAGTGATAGACCCTCGCTGTTTGAACCCTCTAGCCAATCAGATTGCTTGAAAACTCCGCTGACCTAAAAAAAATTTGCGAGGGTTTCCCCCTGTTTTGATGTGAGGCAAAATTTTAAGCGCCGCTATAATAGCAATATAACCGCAGCTATCATCAAACTTCCCCCAGGTGCTAGAGCATGCCTTACTTACATCACCTAGCTTTAAATTCAGGCATTGAGACCCTCAATCATCACTAAAGTAAGTAGCGATAACCAAGTGGAGGCAGCCTATCTACCTCCTAGCCTCGGATAAGTTCTTGTTGAGCTTCAGTGATAGGCACATCCACCACAACGTAAAAAAGTATGCTTCAAAGAAACATAAAAATAATAAAAGAAAGGAAAAAAGAACATACTACTATAGGAATATAATAGTATGTAGGCAAAAAAAAAGGGACACTCACACAGAGTGGACCAAAGAAAAGCGTATCACAAATGTAACATCAAAGATGTTCAAAACAGCTCGTTGTTGTTGCAACAGAATTGCATACATGAGCAAAGTGCATGGTAATAGTCGAATGTAATGTAACGCAAACACGCACAACTACAAAAGCAATGGTGGTATAAGTTTGCACTACAACATAATGACTAATGTTGTCTCATGTGAAGCCACAGAGGCAACGCAGACAGCAAAAGAAGAAAGCGCAACAAAGTAAACATCATGATAAAATGCATTATCACGAGAAAGGAAGCAATAATACAAACGTTCAAAGAAGTTTTATATCATTGCGACCAGAAGAAAGAAGATACTTACCACTTACCACAACCACAAATAGACCGGAAAATACAAACTCACCGGGTATAGACCAGAGAACGAGCATGCACCAAAGACAGTAGACCAGGAAAAACCAAATTCGCAACAGCAGCAGCAACACCAGCACCATCGAAATACCAGAGAACAAACGACACCAGAGACCAGACAAAGACCAAGAGGCAGACAACAAAGACAGCAGAGACAACAGAAAAGGAACAGCAGCAGCACCCATGTCAAACAGGCAAAAAAATTATCAAAACATAATAAAAAAAATTCGATTAGTACAGGTTTTACGTCTTATATTGCTCGTCATCGAATGGTACCTACTATATTCCACTTCAAAGAGGCAGTATCGAGTACTTTTAACAATACAAAATTGTGTCATCAAAAGTTAGAGTGTTACTATCAATTAAACGGTTTCCAAAACCACCATGGTTTGATGCTGAACGCGTTTTGCAAAAAAGGAAAAAAAAAAACGGGGGAATGAAAAAATGAGAGGGCGTCTTATCCGACGTCACAGCTAGTAGAGTTGAGCACTACTCTCCGCCGCGGCAGCGGCGGTTGCGGTACTCAAATTTGGATTTATGCAGTGGTCAGTTTTATCACTAAACTTGATTTGATCTGACATCTTTTAAGCGTTTTTGCAGAATTTGACTATAGAAACTATCATTGTTGTACCCAACTTTCTAATGCATTTATAGAGAGCTAAACAAGGCGCATCCAGTAGTGTTAGTTACATTCTGCTTACAGACTAAAAGTAATGAGCAATTTTCAAAAATATGAAAACAGGCTTTTTGTGAATATATCAAAATCTAGCATATGCAAGTCTCAAAAAAAAGAGCCTCCAGTGTTGCATTCCATCTTTACGATCAATTTAATTTTATATGTATCATAAGAAAAGTTTTCATTTTTGGGGCGAAAAACGCGATCGTTTGATTTTCAAGAACTTTCCCTTATTAGTACACATCAAAAAATGAGGATTTTCATGAATTTGCAATAATCCAAAAAAAGTTGAGATAAAGCATCAGAAAGTAAAGGGTGGACAAGGAGAACGCTTGGCCCTATTCCGAGCTTCCACGACGCTTTGTAGCATGAGTTATTCGTGCTTCAAAATGACTAAATTTGGGCAGAATTTGTCCTAAAAATAAGGCGTAGTAGGTTATGTTGCCTCGGAAATAAATAAATTACAGCTCTGTCTGATGTTTCTGATGTCCTGCATTTGTAGAACTCAACACCTAAGCAATCGACGCTTTTATTCTGGTTCTAAGGCTCAGAACCTCCCTCTTTTTGATGGTTACTCACAACAGAAGTATCATACCTAGCCGTGAAACTAGACTTAAAGCCTATCCACGATGTAAAACACTCATATTTAAAGAGAAATGGCTGAAACCGGACAGCCAGACTCGATGTCAGCATAATGGGGGCGAGCAAACAGCGATATTTTGTATCAAAGTCGGGCGAATAGACATCTATGATGCCTGTAAGTTCCATAATACAAGATTCGACACCAAGTGTGGAATTTGAGGCTTTATAGACTAAAATCCACGGAAAAAAAAGACTAAAAAAAAAAAACAATAAAGTCAACTTGATAAAGGTATGTTTTATTATCAAACTGACAGGTGTAAAGTAAACTGAAGTCTCTCTACTGGCCAGGTAGATGATCCTTCTTATATACTATAACAATGGATAAAAGTTCTATTAATTAGATTAACAAATAAGTCAACTCAGATCAACTAATGTCGAATTAGGCTAAAAGACAACTCCAGCAAGCTAATCATGATTTAGCTCTCTCTGGATGAATAATTAGACTCTCATCCGAAGTACCCTGATCTAACCTTTCTATAAGGATAATTAATATCGATCTAGTAGCATGTATCCGATAGGTACAGTCTTCTTAGTCTATATCAACAGTACATATCTAAGTGTATATCGCTGAGCATACATCTTTAGCATGATAAGCCTTTTGTAACATGATTGTCCGAGAAATCGACAACGCGAATGTGCTGGGTAGGCACATCACGGGGCAGCAATTCACCAGTAATGTCGGCTAAAGTATAACTAACATTGCGAGTATAGTTCTTGATGAAATATGGACCGAGCCATCTGGGGTGAAGTTTAGTTGATCTGACAGGGTCGAAGAGCATGACCTTTGAATTGATGGGATACTTCTCTTCAATGATCTTGTGATGCTTTTCGAAGCGCTCATGGTCGCGCAATTGTGTTTCTTTGATACGCTTATGGATGGCAGGGATTACCACATCCTTAATGTTCTGTAAGCGGGCATCAATGACTTCTTTGGTAGGATCCTCGGGTGTCTGGTCAGCATTAGGCAATTGAGTGTAATTCTGGAAGAGATTTGGGGCAAGCCCAAACATGATAGCAAACGACTGCGATTGATGCAATCTAGCGTATTGAATGTTCATGGCATACTGAATGACATCGAGATACTCATCCCATGCCTCAGGTTCTGCAGCATCGTGTGTCAATGAAATAAAGATGGATCGTTTCGAAATGCCCACATACGCTTCGACAACACCATTAGCTTGTGCAGCGTACGGCAACGAGGTCAAGCGATCCATGCCACTAATCTGACTGAACTCTCTCATAAATGCTCCAATAAATTCAGAGCCATTGTCACTAGTGAGCCGCTTGAAAAATCCAAAGAGACAACATACACTAAGCAATGCTCTTGCAACAGTGATATGACTCTTATCAGGAAGAGCTCGTAAAATGGTGAATCAACTGAAATAATCGACAATAACTAGCAGGAAGTTATTGCCCGAGGTGGAAGTGGTAGCAAAATCACCTAAATCGATAGCTATATGATCGAACACATTGTCTGGTAGCACGCTACGAGGAGGATGATATCCCACTTGGTAGATACCATGCGATTGACAAGCATAAAAATCCTTGGTTACTGTGGCGATGTCATTGCGCATGTTGGTCCAATGTACCTTGTAATCATTGTGCAAAATCTTTTCCATTGAATTGATGCCAACATGACCGAGTAAATGCACTCGCATAACAAGCTCTAGACGATTCTTCTTCGGGGGAGTCATGTAATCAGCATATTTCATAGCACGTGAAATAAGAGCATTACAATCTGACTGTCCACCAGATGAACCACTGTATGAACTTTTGGCATCAGCAGTCTGTTTATTCTTTAAATCTTGAGCGCTGACAGATGGCATGTTGTAGGTGCTCGCATCAAAAATATCAACATTGCTATCATTCAATTCCTTGGAATAGTAGTGTGGATCCAATTCGGTTGGCATCCCAAAGGAAAGCTGCTGCAATTGCTTTTGATTGTTGAACTGCTTCTTGCGTTTGAACTGCGTACGATTGGAGTGATTGGGCTTAGCAAGAGAAAATTGAGTGACTTGGGACTCTTTGGCGTGATGAATTCGTAATAATAAGTCGATGATAATAATCAGTTGTCAACTGTATCTAAAACGAAAAGCAAAGAGCTTCTTTATTACAGGGCATCTAGCTTGCTTAAATATGGTAGATCCCTGGTCAATGACTACTACGTTGAGATGGTATATAAATAGCAGGCCACTGGGGCCTTATGGATTGTTGGCATAGCTTGTTGAGAGGCCACCTAAGTCGGTATGTTTCATGTAGTGTAGGTGGATCTCGATATTTTGACATTGGGGAGATTGAATGTATTGTAGTTCCTGAGGCACCTGTGCACACACAATTGACTGGACTTGTAAACATAGATGTGATGTGATACGATAAACATCATCTATGCTGCTACACTGTAAAAGGTGGCTTGAGGAGAAAGTGAATGTAGCCTAAGATGCATGCTTGTATGCAACATGGCGTTGGTGAAGCCATGTTTGTTCTTTCGCATAGGTTTACGCTTTTTTTCAGGTAGCATAATACTTTGATTGTTATAACGATTACCCCCACCCAGGTTATTGCCACCCTCGTCATCGTCAGAGGTGAATAACCGACTGAGTGCATCAGGTAATAGGTTACGCGTACCAGGGATATGAACCAGCTCATACTTGTAATCAAAGAACAGTTTCTCATACCACGTCAACAGCATCATGTTGGGCGTACTTTGCGTTTGAAGCCAGATTAAAGAGCGATGATCTGTGTGCAAGAAAAACTCAATACCGAAAAGCCATTTGTGGTATTTGGTAAGCATGTAGACAATGGCAAGCAACTCACGTTTGGTAGTAGAATAGGCCATTTCAGAAGGGGAAAGCTTACGACTCGCCATGACAACGTAATGAACCACGCCATCCTTGATGTAGTAGATGATACCACCGATAGCAGTAGCTGAGGCATTAGTAGCGACGTGCAGCTTGTAACGAAAATCAACTGGGCTGAGGGCGACTGGAGATGACAAAGCATCCTGCAACGATTTGAATGCCTTGGTGTGCGCATCAGTCCACAAACCAGAAAGGAATTTACAATTGCGCAACGCATCAAGAGGTGCTGCCAGTTCGCTGTATCCAGGGATGACTGTTGTGCCAGAAGGGCTACAACTGTCTATGAAGATTAAGGTATTCTTGATGGTGGGTAGATATATGTCTGTGTTGTGCAACAACATGGATAGGCTATGATAATTGAAGTGCATCTCAGCTATTTAAATACTGAGGTTCATCAGATGTGATAAGCGTTGTACAAGATAAATTGCTACTTTGGCATTCAGAACTTAGTATAAATAGAATAACTCTTGTCTTCATCAATAAATCTTTAGTTTTTGTGTCTGATCTTATTCAAATAAGTCTTTTCTTGTTTTTATAATATCGAACATTTTTTATAAGCTACAAATAATAATCCTTTTATTCTTTGTGCTTAACAATGACATTGCGAAAGTAATTGCAAAACACCAAGTACTTCGTCAGCTGCTTACCAGTGGTAGGTACAGGCCACAGATGAAAATTGGTCAATTTGCGAGCGTCAGGCATGTAATGAAATAGCCACCCAAACGCAACTTAATTGAAAACCAAAGTTCATCAAATAGCACTCATTCAAATTCATGCTATTTGGATCTATTAATGAAAGCGCTCAAATGTACTTAAAAAAACCATTTAAAAATACTAAAGTAAAGATGCATGCTTATATCGCACATCGTGTGAATGAATCATCACTCCTGATCAAAGTATATTCAATCACACCCATGATGGTCGTAATAAGTGATGGTATCTTTATCCAAATAGAATCAAATCAATAACAAGCATATTCAAATATGACAACTATGCCCTGCTGCCATAGCACTACGGCCCAACTGATGTTCTCACAGAACATGGATGCGCCCTTTTGGGAACATCGATGTTCTCATGAGCACATTGATGTTCTCATTTGAGAAGGTGTAGTTTTCCACATGAATAAAATGGTTTTAATAGCTAAACTATAATATTGTAGGCAACAGAGAGACTTTTATTATCTGTAAGATTCATAAAATTACTAAACGTATTATAAATTGCACGAGAAAATGGCAATTTAAAATTACCTAATAACTACTTATTAAAGTAAAAGAATATATTTCAATAAGATATTCGGGTAGTTTCGTGGGAAGAACGTCAGATCCACAACCGATAGGTTGTGGGTTCGACCCCAGTAGGAGCATTCTTTTTTTCAAATTTCTGAAAATCGATGTGCTCATATAAGAATATAAATGTGCTCACATGGGAACATTTCGGATGTTCTTATAAGAACATCCGCCGACTTATAATAGATCTGTAGGAATGCCGATGTTCCCATATGAGAGCATTTTTCGCCTTTCGGGAACATCGATGTGCTCATTTGGGAACATCAAATAGATTCTCATATGAGCACATCGATGTTCTCATGAGAACATTAGTTGGGCCGTAGTGTAGTTGCACAATATCCCAGATAAAAGGTTCCATACTTCAATAACAAACATCACACTTTAAACCATCAAGGTTACATTAAATCATGCTATGACGATAGCTCACCCAAGCCCATCAAGGTTACTCAAATCGACCCTTATGGCCAGTGCTCTTGCATTGATTACCACTTTAAATCAAACACCAACAACATTTGCCAGACATCGCAATAGTAGCATCTATTGCTCTCTATCATCGCTAATCTTGCAAGCTAATTGCAAAAGTATAAATACTCTTCTTTTTTTACTCAATTCCAGGATCTTCAGTTCATTTTATACGCAAATAAAATACAGTTGATTTCTATTGTATTTTACTATTGCTTTATTTTTTCTTTGTGAAATCCATTAAACCTGATTTCACTACACTGCGTTGAGCAAACACAAACTTGTCCTGGTTAATTTGGAGATTAGCCTTGGTCAAACGACGGATCACCTCAGCGACTAACGCAACGTGCTCATCAAGAGAGTCAGTGTACGTAAGGCACCCTAAATGGTCGATATAAAGTAATACCTGATCAAGCATGTCGGTAAACAAATTGGATATCAAGCGCATAGCTAAATTGCCCATGAAATTTACTCCAAAGCACACCTTCCTGTGGACCCATTGCGTTTGCCGGGATGCAACTGGAGCCCATTGTGATGCAGCAGATCCAGCAGCAGTGCGAGTAAAAGCGGGTGCTGAGATGGCAGCAATCTCATTTGCGATTAAAGTTGATAGCGATTCACGAGCGATAATGACGATAATGTCAACATCGTAACTATCAATGATGCCATTGGATTGACAGATGGTGTTAATCTAATCCTTGACTACCCAAGGAATGGCATCCAGGAACAACTTAGCCAACAAGTAATCGGATGGGGCTTGATCCAGGGATCGACGACGCAAGTCAATAAAAGAAAGGCCTTCACGTTTTCACCGGGCAAAAGCTGAATGCTCAACAAATCAGACGCACAGCGTTGACGTTCTTCCAATACGCTAATGCCATAACGAGCCTTGATAGCCGACTTGAAATCATTCCACGATGCAGGAGCAGTGCAAGCAGAAGTGAACGAGCCGTACCAAGTACGTTGTTCTGGAGACAGCATAGGTGGTACTAAGCGAGCATATTCCTTGTCGAAATCCATCTTGTAAGCGAACATGACATCCTCAGACTTCAACAGACAAGCGTCGACTGTAGGAAATATTGGGCTTTTGGGGTCGAATTCATCCATACCAACCCACTGAAATGCAGGTAAGTTGTTGGGAAAGAAAACTGTTACTGAGGCGCTCTTGTTGGATTTGACTCCATCGACTGAGGATGAGCCAAACGAAGCAGCAGCCGAAGAAACGAGGTTATCATTTGCAGTAGCCTTGGATGCAAGCAAACAATCTCGAATCTGTATGATACTTTGAATGGACGTATTCAGCTGGATCAACCGAGCTAGGGCCTGGGCTCTGGCCTCCTCACTTTGCTCAAGGAGCAAGGTCGTAGAGAGAAGCTGAACTTCGGCGAGCTGATTGTCAACAATTAGCTTCAACTGATCAGTGCGACCTTAAAGGTCCACGTCAATAGAAGATGAACTAGCAGAGGAAGGGGGATCGAGGTCCATCGCATCACTAGCAGTAGTAGTGGGAGCTTCGCCAGCTTGACCACCCAATTTCTGAGACGTTTCAGCGAGAAAAAACTGAGAAGGGTCAGTAACATCTACAGCCTTGGTGGCACTGGCGTCTGAAGGACGCAGCTCAGTGTTTCCAGCAGGCTTAGATTCGGAACTGGGGGATGTGGTTGTACTTTGAGCAGACATCAGAGTATACAAAATTGAGTAGTAGCAAGATTAGTACTAATGATACAATCAAGGTTTTGATTAAAAAAATGATGAGTTCGTAATAATAAGTCGATGATAATAATCAGTTGTCAACTGTATCTAAAACAAAAATCAAAAAGCTTCTTTATTACAGGGCATCTAGCTTGCTTAAATATAGTAGATCCCTGGTCAATGACTACTACGTTGAGATGGTATATAAATAGCAGGCCATTAGGGCCTTATAGATTGTTGGTATAGCTTGTTGAGAGGCTACCTAAGTTGATATGTTTCATGTAGTGTAGGTGGATCTCAACATTTTGATATTAGGGAGATTAAATGTATTGCAGTTCCTGAGGCACCTGTGCAAACGCAATTGACTGAACTTGTAAGCATAGATGTGATGTGATACGGTAAACATCATCTATGCTGCTACACTGTAAAAGGTGGCTTGAGGAGAAAGTGAATATAGCCTAAAATGCATGTTTGTATGCAACAGTTTAGTGATAAAACTGACCACTGCATAAATCCAAATTTGAGTACCACAACCGCCGCTGCCGCGGCGGAGAGTAGTGCTCAACTCTACTAGCTGTGACGTCGGATAAGACGCCCTCTCATTTTTTCATTCCCCCGTTTTTTTTTTTCCTTTTTTGCAAAACGCGTTCAGCATCAAACCATGGTGGTTTTGGAAACCGTTTAATTGATAGTAACACTCTAACTTTTGATGACACAATTTTGTATTGTTAAAAGTACTCGATACTGCCTCTTTGAAGTGGAATATAGTAGGTACCATTCGATGACGAGCAATATAAGACGTAAAACCTGTACTAATCGAATTTTTTTTATTATGTTTTGATAATTTTTTTGCCTGTTTGACATGGGTGCTGCTGCTGTTCCTTTTCTGTTGTCTCTGCTGTCTTTGTTGTCTGCCTCTTGGTCTTTGTCTGGTCTCTGGTGTCGTTTGTTCTCTGGTATTTCGATGGTGCTGGTGTTGCTGCTGCTGTTGCGAATTTGGTTTTTCCTGGTCTACTGTCTTTGGTGCATGCTCGTTCTCTGGTCTATACCCGGTGAGTTTGTATTTTCCGGTCTATTTGTGGTTGTGGTAAGTGGTAAGTATCTTCTTTCTTCTGGTCGCAATGATATAAAACTTCTTTGAACGTTTGTATTATTGCTTCCTTTCTCGTGATAATGCATTTTATCATGATGTTTACTTTGTTGCGCTTTCTTCTTTTGCTGTCTGCGTTGCCTCTGTGGCTTCACATGAGACAACATTAGTCATTATGTTGTAGTGCAAACTTATACCACCATTGCTTTTGTAGTTGTGCGTGTTTGCGTTACATTACATTCGACTATTACCATGCACTTTGCTCATGTATGCAATTCTGTTGCAACAACAACGAGCTGTTTTGAACATCTTTGATGTTACATTTGTGATATGCTTTTCTTTGGTCCACTCTGTGTGAGTGTCCCTTTTTTTTTGCCTACATACTATTATATTCCTATAGTAGTATGTTCTTTTCTCCTTTCTTTTATTATTTTTATGTTTCTTTGAAGCATATTTTTTTACGTTGTGGTGGATGTGCCTATCACTGAAGCTCAACAAGAACTTATCCGAGGCTAGGAGATAGATAGGCTGCCTCCACTTGGTTATCGCTACTTACTTTAGTGATGATTGAGGGTCTCAATGCCTGAATTTAAAGCTAGGTGGTGCAAGTAAGGCATGCTCTAGCACCTGAGGGAAATTTGATGATAGTAACAGCTATATTGTTATATATATATATATCGGAGCTTAAAATTTTGCCTCACATCAAAACAAGGGGAAACCCTCGCAAAATTTTTTTTAGGTCAGCGGAGTTTTCAAGCAATCTGATTGGCTAGAGGGTTCAAACAGCGAAGGTCTATCACTAATTGATGTACTATTGATCTGTCACTTATTATGACGAACAGTTGTTGCCATTCCAGTACTTAAAAATGTTAAAAATATGCAAATTATATCATCGAATGTAAAATTTATATTTTTCTTAATCTGAAATATACCTCAAATAAATAATCATTTACTGTAATAATAAAAATATAATCATAATACTAATTGGATAAATATGTAATAAAGTTATCAACTAGAAGCAATCTCATTGAAAGCCGAAATCGTTCAAATATCACTCATCCAAATCCATACTATTTCAATCTATTAAAAAAGCGCTCCTATGTGCATCAAAATACCATTCAAACATACTAAAGTAAAGAGGCATACTTATATCGCACATCATGTGAATGAAGCATTTTTGATCACAACAATGTATTCAATCATACCCATGATGGTTGTAATAATAAGTGATGTTATCTTTATTCAAATATGACGACTATGTCTTGATGCCATAGCTGCATGATACCGCAGCTAAATAGTTCTTCACTTTAATAACAAACATCACACCTTAAACTGTCAAGGTTACATTAAATCATGCTATGACGATAGTTCATCCAAGCCCACCAAGGCTACTCAAATCGATCCTTATGGCCAGTACTCTTGCATTGATTACTACTTTAATTCAAACACCAACAACATTTGCCAGACATCGCAATAGCAGCATCTATTGCTCTCTATCATCGCTAATCTTGCAAGCTAATTGCAAATGTATAAATATTTTTTTCTACTCAATTCCAGGATCTTCAGTTCATTTTATACGCAAATAAAATACAGTTGATTTCTATTGTATTTTACTATTGCTTTATTTTTTTTTTTTGTGAAATCCATTTAACCCAATTTCACTGCAATCTCCTCTCAGGATTTGAAAAAAATTGTGTATTCTTCTGGTCAAGATATTGGAATTGTATGGCGCAAGTACATTCCCCTCACGTTGTCTTTTGAATTGGGTGATTGGATGAAAACGGTGGTCATGAAGTGCAATGTCTGGCGCGATTTCAAGTTGGTTTTCAGCAAGTAGTTTGGTAACGTAGTTGTTGGTGTGGTTCTGATTGTTTTCTCTCTCTTGCTTGCGGCTTCGATCGAGTATCTTTGTTCTCTCGCGATAACCATCTGATCAAGTGCTGACAGTACTATCCTTAGTCAAAAATCTCTTGGGTCCTTCTCGTGGGAACACACTCTTTGCCCCGGTAATAATTCAAATTAGTAGTCATGCCCTTCTTGTCCCTCTTGTGCACACACTTATAGACTAGTCGTTTTAGGTAGAATAGTCTTTTGGTAGCATGTTAATAACATAATAAATACGAGTGGTAGCCTGCCTTCATACAAAAAAAAATTATCAAAAATTAAACGATCGCGTTTTTGACCTCCAAAATGAAGATTTTTGTTATGATATATATACCAAGTCAAAATTATTTTCTGAATCCAACGCAATCTGTGAAGTCATTTTTTTGGAGCCTTGATATGTAGAATTTCTGTTGTGCCAGAAGGGCTACAACTGTCTATGAAGATTAAGGTATTCTTGATGGGTAGATATATGTCTGTGTTGTGCAACAACATGGATAGGCTATGATAATTGAAGTGCATCTCAGCTATTTAAATACTGAGGTTCATCAGATGTGATAAGCGCTGTACAAGATAAATTGCTATTTTGGCATTCAGAACTTAGTATAAATAGAACAACTCTGGTCTTCATCAATAAATCTTTAGTTTTTGTGTCTGATCTTATTCAAATAAGTCTTTTCTTGTTTTTATAATATCGAACATTTATAAGCTACAAATAATAATCCTTTTATTCTTTGTGCTTAACAATTTCGATTTTTTGACCAGAAACCTCATTTCATTTTTTCATAAAATACTCAATCAGTTTACTCAAAGCATCTATTTTACTTGGTACCATTGGATGCGCCTTGAAACGTATTCCAAGAAAGCTTAAGGAAGTATTTTTTTTGTAGGGGAGACGAGCTCCAGGTTTTATTTAAAGTCCTTTAAATGTCATACTGAGGGATAGAAAAGACTGTTGGTGGACCCAATGTCTGCAATGAAGGGGAATAAGATATTTTTGAACTAAGTTGGGAAAGAAATCTACTACTAATAAGGTGCGACTCCTAGAGCCAATACAGTCTTGCGGAAATCGTCAAAATATAGATAATGGATAAGAGTACAAAACACCAAACGAGGACATCAGTACTACGTCAAAAAATCAAACAACTTGCGTTCACCAGGATTTGAACCGGGGATCCTCCCGTTGGCATACGGGAGTTCTACCACTTCGCCCTACCACCAGGGACTAACTTAAGGAAGTATAAGATGATCATAAGTATTTATGCAGTCGAATATGACAAAACAGGTTGATCAGGTCGAAATTTATCAAAATTTGGCCAATCTGGAGCAAACTATGATTCTGAGTTGGTATTGAGTTTCGCTGGTGGGGCCGGTCGGCAAACTCAATGCCCTTCTAATCATGAAGGCAATACTAGGTACCTTTGAAGCCAATAAAATGTAGGTAGCTAATTACATGGTATTATTATTAGCCATGGTTTTATTTTAAAGCCTTGCATTTAATAACATTAGTCCATCAAGATACTCGTAAGATCCTTCTTTCCTTTTTGAGACTTTGAAAGTGTGCAGTAACAATAAATGCATCATGTTATGACGATAATGTAAAGAGCGTTAATGCAAATACAAGTAAATCATTGAAAGTTTTATAAAGAAATGTTGCCACAAAAGTACTTTGAGGGCTTGACAGGAGTTTTTCCTGAATTTTTTCCCTTGGCGCACGAATAAAGAAGGAACCCTTCGTGTACTTGTGAATATTGCCATTAACCACAAGCTTTAGTACCAGTTTTGAGAAAATTGACATTGCTGTTTGATAAAAACAAAAACTAGAAATTACACGACATTGATCGCAAAATGCACTTCTTTAAGAAATTACTATGTAAAAAAATTATTCCAGCAACCCAAAAATGCAAACTTGTGTTATTACATGGAGCAGGAAGATAGCAATTGTCTGTTCATCTTTTGTTCTGTAAATGAGCAGATTTGAGGGATTTAGCGCAAGATTTATGTCAATAGAAGTTACCAAGTGCAGCATACTTTTGCCATTTTGATCTGATGTTTTTGTCAAGTTCATATCAATTGTGATTATTTTTTGCTTTGTTTGCATTCAAAATCCGGCAACAATAGATGAAGAGTAGTGTGCAATCTTTCTACTAGGAAAAGGAGCATTCAATTATTAATTACCGGTATTTATTGTTTTTTGTATGTCATGTCACACACAAGCTGCTTCGTTCTGCTGATGGCAGCCCATTGTTGTTAGGACCGAAGCAACAAAGAACGATATAGAAAGAGCGACTACAAGCCTTCAATATCATTTGATCAGCAAACCAAGATTAATAAGCCATTGCGATCTATGCTGCAACGTACAATTTCATCTTTAATATTTATAGCATGGTACATTTAGAATGCATTTTGGTGGATAACATGCTTCATGTTAACAGGTTTCTGTAGCCTTTAGGAATGTCACAATTGATGTCCTGAATATACAAATGTATATCTACTGAAGTAGTTTAATTATTGCGCGCTCTCTTTTCTTTGCAAGATCGCACGCTGCTCTCTAATTATGCAACCATGTTTCCTGTAAGCTCTCTGTCATGCCTTCACTCAATAACAATGAAACAATCTCTGGAATGTAGCAGTGGATGAGAAGACGCATCTGTGTAAAATACTAATATCAAGCTATATGAAGCATTTGCGTATGAATAATTTGATTTCTCAGGGTAGAGGGTCCTTGAAATATTCGCTCATTTGTTGTACTCAATGCTTAAGGGGCTTGAGGCTCTCGTTGCACACAATGGGTTGTTTGGATTTCAAAGGCTACATGCGCCATGCTGATCCGAATAGTACTATAGCAAAATCTACAGGCTTTGACTTCAGGGCCAAGACACAATGATGATTCAAGAATCTAACAGAGTAACATAACGGCATAGCAGATACATGGACATGGAACAGTCTCTCCTCACATCGTTAACTGTAGATTCTCTTGCAGAATTGACACTCCTCTTGAAGCGAAAAAAGTGTTTAGTAATGATTGGAAGATAAATGAAGCTTTGGGTAGTACCTTCTTTTAGACCTTTCAAGCAATTTTGGCTGGTAAAAACTCTGGTGTGTGTCCTAATCCATAAAAGGCATGCATCTAATTTTACATTTAAAAGCGAAATTCATCAACGACATCCCCACCCCTTCTTTTCTCTTTCTCTGACACACTCCCTTTTTTTTTTTTTTTCGTAATATATGCCAACAGCTGCTTACATATTCTCAACTCTTGACGACGAACCTATAGTACCCACTCGCAGTGATTTCCATATAAACAACGATAGCACTGAATTGAAAAGAAGAACATCCTCTTTTCATATGGATCATCAAACGACAAGCACAACTTTACGTACCTCCAACAAGAAACCAGTGACCAAGGATGATTTGGAAGAACTGGAGTTGGATTCGTTTATCAAAGACGCTAAAAAGGACGACATCATTATAGAAGAAGCTCAAACACTGAATCCTAGAGATTATGGCAACTTTGCCCTGCTCGTCACATTATGTAAGTTGATGTGATTCACTACGAAACTCATTGCCATCTAATGCATCCTCTCTCTCTACCATAGATTTATTACAGGGTATTCCTATCGGCCTCTGCTTTGGCTCGATTCCATTCCTACTGAAAGCAAAACTATCTTATTCCCAAATCGCCATCTTTTCATTATCATCATGGCCCTACTCACTCAAACTATTATGGTCACCTATTGTCGACGCAGTGTATACACCCAAACTGGGCCGCCGTAAATCCTGGATTGTGCCTATTCAAATCCTCACAGGCATTCTGTTTTATTTCCTCGGCAACAACATCGACGCCATGATGAATGCAGATCATGTCCCTATTTATGCATTGACCTACTCCTTCTTGACGACCATCTTCTTTTGCGCCACTCAAGATATCGCTGTCGATGGCTGGGCACTCACACTGTTATCAAAGGAGTCCTTATCGTACGCATCCACAGCACAAACGATCGGTCTCAACTGTGGCTATTTCTTGTCATTCACCGTGTTCCTCAGTTTCAATTCGTCGGAATTCAGCAACAAATATTTGCGCAGCGTGCCTCAGGAGCTAGGTGTACTGCAATTGGGATCCTACATGCGATTCTGGTCCGTCATGTATATGGTGGTTACTGCCTATCTAGTATTTTGCAAAAAGGAAACAGACATCAAGGACGAGGAAGCACAATTGGGTATTCGAGGAGTGTATTCGACTATTTGGAAGATTTGCAAACTGCCACGTAGGTTTAATGTGTTGGATGGGATCGCAATGTGTTATTTACCGTGATATTTTTAGACATGCGCTCTTACGTTGGTGTTTTATTGGTATCCAAAATTGGCTTTATCTGTCATGAAGCTGTAACATCGCTCAAATTGTTGGAAAAAGGATTCTCAAGAGAGGATTTAGCATTATCAGTGTTATTGGATTTCCCACTGCAGATCTTTTTTGGCTATTATGCCGCAAAATGGTCGAATGGAGCTCGGCCACTGAAGCCTTGGTTGTATGCGTTTTACGGCCGTCTGGCATGTTCAGCATTGGGTATGTTGATTGTTGCTGGATACCCTCAAGATCAGCCTGTCAGTGCGTTTTATTTCGGGATGATTATGCTCTCTACAGTGCTGAGCTCTTTTATGTCGACTGTTCAATTTGTCAGCATCTCTGCGTTTATGACAGGTATTGCAGATCCCATCATTGGCGGTACCTATATGACAGTAAGTAATAGACTATACCACTCGCAGAACTGGAAGCACTCATGCATCGATTAAATTAGTTGCTCAACACATTCAGTAACTTTGGAGGAACTTGGCCCAAGTTTTTCGTATTGGAAGCAGTGGATTACTTTACAGTCAACACATGCTCTGTACCAAACGAGGCAGGTGAATTCCTATCATGTACAACAGAAACCGGCAAAGATTGGTGCAAACAAGTCAATGGCACATGTCAATTAGAACGGGATGGCTATTTCATTGTGGGCACATTATGTGTGGTACTGGGCTTGGTCATGCTGTTGGCTTATATCAAACCCATTGTCAAGAGATTAGAGAAATATCCCAAGAAGATGTGGAGACTCAATCCAGAAGGCAAAGAGTAGAAGAAAAAAAAAATAAAAATAAAAATAAAAATAAAAAATAAAAGTCCTACTTGGAACTTTCAAATACTAGGCAAAGCAGCGGTTGTATTTTTAATGGTGTGTGGACAGGGACAGACTGGTCATCGCTATTTGCATTGTCAACTGTGGAGAAGAGTGGTGATCTGATCTGTCACTAGCATGAGCTCAATTTATCAACGCCCAAAGATCTCAGTGCCTAAAAGAGCACAATAGACCACCAGATCAGTTCTGAATGTTGTACTACTCCCCTCCGATGCAGCTACCGGACCATCATTGTGTAGTTGCATGCAGGTTGATTCCACAGGCACCATCTTATACTCCAGTTTTTTACACAGTCTCCCTTCCCCGCTTGATTGTTTTCTTTTTTGTCTCTCTCTCTTTTCTGCACTTTCTTTTCTTCTTATCACAATAAGCAAAGCATAGCCTACCGCAACAATGAAGACACTATGCATCATAGTACTGTCATTATGTAGTCTAGTCTCTGCCAGCCTATTCTCCTCAAGCGATGTCTACATATCTTCAAGTAATCGTATAAAAAGATTTGTTGTTTAAATAATCCAGTAGTAAATATATATATAAATCCTACCTACCCCCCATTGTAGATCCAGTTTTGATATACTCGAATGGTTCAGTCATCAATCTACAAAATACAGTGCTTCATCAGAAAGATTACAAGTCTGGCATTGTGCCGTTTGAAAATCTAACAGCGCCCGATACGTCAGGACTTGAAGTATGTATGCGTGGAAAAAGCTTCATGACATGAAATTAACTAGATGTGTATAGGGAACGCTGTACGATAGAGGCTATTCATGCCAATTAAATGCATCTTTCACTGTGAGACCACCGTCTGTTTCATTCTTACCAAGTAAAATTGCACTGGTGAAGAAAGGTGGAGGGTGTAATTTCTATGAAAAGGTGTACTATTCAGAGTTGGATGGTGCCAAAGGTGTCATAATCTACGATGATATTCCATTCAGAGATGATGATACCTCAGGATCCATGGTAAGCTATTGCTATTTCACACAAAAGAGTGGAGAGACACTCATGAGAGTTGATGGCATAGAAAATCATCAAAGGAAACCTCACTATCAGCATGTACTATGTAGACTTGAACATTGGGCTGGAACTGCTCAGCTTACTTGAATACACATCATCTCAGCCTATCAATACAACATTTGACAATTCGTCTACTTTTCAACCTGCTATAAACCTCGTGATGCATCCTGCTGTTGGTGGCTTCCCTAGTGCTTGGGAATTCACATTGATCATAGTGGTTGCATTATTAGCCATCAGTTTTCTAGCTTCAGGTATGTGTTGTTGATTGATGTTCCGAAATACTAAATTTAGTAACCCTTTCTATCATATAAACACCCTTCTTGTCATGCATTTTCTTGTCTCTCTCTCTCTCTCTCTCTCTCTCTTGCTCTCTTTACTTGCAAAATTCAACACAATATGACGATATTTCAACTAGTTGGTATGCACTGGCATCTTTGGCGCATCAGACGTCGTCAACGTGCCTTATTCGAAAATGGTCTATTGGAAACTGCCAACATCCAGCAAGTTCAGAAAAGAACAATTGATCCTGCATCCTTATCCTTATTTCCTACCCGAATTATTGGAGATGAACCGAACTTGGAATTGTCTCGTGTAGAGTCTACTCGGTCAACAAAGGCTTTAGAAAATGCTGAATTACTATCATCATCAATTGTCATACCCATTGCTACACCAACTCTAACAGCCAATGCCACGAGCAGCAGCACGACTACACCCGCAGCAGCTCGAAGCGATGAATTTGACGATGCTTGTGTCATTTGTTTGGACGAATTTGCCTTGGGAGATCAAGTTCGCAAACTGCCGTGTGGCCATGAGTACCATTGTGAATGTATAGGTAAGGACGAATGACACATGAAAAGGAGAGACCACAGATCAAGTGCTAACCAGTGCTTAGATCCATGGCTGACCATAAAATCTGCTTCGTGTCCATTATGCAAACATGATTGTGCCTTGGATGTGCCAAAAACGGAAGCAGATGAAGATGAGTTGGAACAAGCAGAGAGACGCTTCTCTGAAAATACTGACAATCCTGAGCGAGACACCCTCCCACCTACGTCGACGCCATCACCACCTCCTCCATCGTATCATTCCTTTTTCTCGTCACTGAGATCCAGCCATAATGGGTCGCCCTCAAGTGCCTTTGGTCCTACCATCAGTGCCGATCGAGCGGAAGAGTTTAGTAGATCATGGATGGCTAGAAGTCTACCACGAAATATGCGTCGTCAGATTCACGAAGCTGCACAACAAGCAGCGGCTGCAAACCGAGAAAGTGTGATTGAATTACCTGCTCGTATGACCAATAATACCCCAGAGCAAATCATGTCTGTTAATATACCTGTTGTTGAACCCTCAACACCTCCTCCATCAAGTTCTCGTTGGAACCGAATGCGCTCTACCATTTCTTCGTTTGGTCGTCGTTAATTAGCTTATTTTCTAATACTGATATACATACATTTTAAATATAAATACTCTTTTCATCATCATGTCATTTGCTGTTATTGTATTTTGTCATGTGTTGTTTGTTTCTTAAAAACCTGTACTAGCCGATGTTGATTTTTTAAGCCCAAGGTAAATACTATCTATCCGCAAGTGAATTCAGTTGACCATGAGAAACATCAATTACATCTCGTGCCCCTGAATCAAATTTTGGTGATATCAGGATGACGTTGTATAGGTAGAAATGGCAAATGAGCAAAGCTGATCGCAAGCAACACTTGCAAGAGAGCATAAGGATGGTCTCGGGTATCAATTAAAGCGATAAACGTATATTTAAAACCCTGAAAGACATTTTTTACTATACGAATTTAGTTGGAGCAGCCAACCTAGAACGATGTATGCCAAAAAAAAAAAAAAAAAAAAAAAAGCTTATTTTGGATCCATGATTTGACGCAATAAATAGGCTCTCGATAGATGTCAAATGAAATTACGTTGTATGCTCTCAGGGATTTACAGCCCACACAAACCCTTCTATTGAACAATCGACATCACATTACCCAATCCACTAGACTAAAATAACTGTAATTACAACTTGCAAAAAGTAAGAATTTCTTTTATTGTTTGATCAAAAGAAAACATGATTGAAAGATGATGTTGAAAAGTGGATTATTTACTACAAAATCATACATTAGCACAACAAATTCCTATATAAAATACATACAGATAAACTTACTTGCTTCATGGCATCCTTCTTACCCTTGCGTTCAAGGATAGCGAGACGAGACTTGTCCAACTTGAGGTTGGTAACAACAACCTTGGAGGGAGAGATACCAATAGGGGCAGTGGCACCGTTAACCTTCTCGCGAGAGACACGGTCAATGTGGATAACCCACTTCTTACGGTAGACTTGGACAATCTTACCCTCACGGCCCTTGTAAGTACCGCGGACAACCATAACCTCATCATCCTTACGGACAGGAATGGAACGAACGCTGTGCTTCTCACGGAGTTCCTTGGACAAAGGAGCACTCATGATCTTACGACGGACATCGGAGGTGGCAGCGAAGTGAGCCTTTCTGCTCTTTCTGCGAGAGGAGCTAACATCTATAGAAGGTTGTTTAGTTTAACTGTTCTGGCCACGTTGCCACATTTGACAAAGAGTAAGAGAGAAAGAGAGAGAGAGAGAGAGAGAGAAGTACGGGTGCTTTGAGTAGAGTTGTAGGTAGTTGCTTATGGTCAACATTACAGGGTAATCAATTCCAAATGTCGCAAACTGATAGCCCATCACATCCATCCCCGAGCATCCATCCAGTCATGACATCCATGCATCCATCTTCTTTCTCTCTGGTTTTCTCCTTGTCAATGTGTATCTGATGTGATCGTACCAGCACTGAACTTCATTGTTGTATCAAGACGTGTGTGCACGGAAAGGAGGATTCATTTGCTTGCCTGATACTCCAACTGATTTGAATGACCACCCAGCGTCCCAATGTTGGCGCCCTTCTTCTTGCGGAGACTGTAATGAGCGAACCTGTTGATGTGTAGCCATGTCCGGGACAGCCTTCAAAATGTGCATTAAAAAAAAAAAAAAAAAAAAAAAGTACAATTACATTTATTATATGAATCAGTTTGAGTGTATCTATCTAATGATGCTTTTGCTTGTTGGCTCCATTGTCTTGCTTTAGAAATGCCTTGACTTGACCAGCAGTAGCAGTGTACCAGGCATACAAGACAAAGGCCTGAATGCCATGGAATGCGGATAACCCCCAACTGGTCTCTACTGGAAGAGGTCCATCGTTGCGAGATTGGAATACAACCAAGGTCATGATCATATGGTAAAACAAGAAACCAGCAGCTATTGTTACAAGTCAGAATGAATGAGCTGACTTGATCTCCCCATTTGCCAATGCATCCCAAAATCTCTTACCTGCACCACGCTTGCAAGGCAACATGTTGGGCATATCACGACACAATAAACTAATAATGGCAATACAAGCAACGCCAGCACCATAGAAACGCAACAGCAACACTTGCGTCAGATCTAATTCATGAGGTATGATAAATGTGGTTGCATGGGGAAGCAGCAGCAATTGAAGGGCAATGGCAGCTTGAATAACACCATGCTGAAGACGAATGTGAGTAGGGTGACGCTTATACGGACAGCACACAGCAACTTACAGCAGCAAAGATGGTATTGAGTGCAGACATGATGTTTGATGATGAATGAAGAAAAGAAAACGTTTGAAATTTAGACGCTGTCTCATTGTATGAAGCTTATGAAAATCAACCATTTATTGGGCCAATTTGGCCCCAATATCATGGGGATGGAGTCACATTGGATGCGGAAGGAAATTTTATTCGGGCTACATGCTTAATCTTGATGCTTCTTTGCGTTTCTGAACTTGAGTTCCTGAGAAGCCAAGTCAAAGATTCTATCATCGGAAGCGCTGATGCCTCTACGAGTATCACGAATGATCTTTTCCAGTTCAAACTTTTTCATGCTGCTGAATCTAGATGGTAGCTTTGAAGCAGACTGAGCCTTCTTCATTTGAGCAAGCTTGGAATCCAATGTGTCGAATAATGCCTTGATCTCTTCATCCTTGGTCTGCAGATAGTCTTGCTTATCTTGCAATTCATTCACCATGTTTGGACTCTCCAAAGGCTTCTCGAAATCATTGCTATTGATATAATCGCCAATGAGATTTCGGTCATCTTTCACTACATGGACAAGAATATAAGCTAAAGGAAGACAGCAAACGCTGCTAAATTCAACTCACTTTGTTCAGTTGCACGTGAGATTCTGATTGTCGATTCTTTGGTGTATTTAGCATCCATTTCAGCTGACTTGGCTCGACTGTTCAAGTCTTGGATGATGTTGAGCATTGAATCATTGTCTGCCATCTTCCACTCGCAATCGTAATCTTCAAAGGCATCTGCAGTCTTTGGATTGAACAGATCGTTGTTTCGTATGTACAGATCTTCTTGGATATTTTGCAAGAGCAAGGATGTCTATCAAGTTGTATCGTCAGTATTCAAAGGATCTCTTGAGAGATTCTTACCGTATTACTTACATTGTCCATGTCTTCAAGCGTGCTAAAGTACAACTCTTCAAACTCTGCTGCCATGGGCGTCAAATTCTTGCTTCTTGTATGAGGCTGAGCAGTTTGCTCTAATCTTTGTGGACGGAAAAACTTGATATCAGGCTTGACAGCAGCGATTCTCTCGGCTTCCAAGCGCTCCTCTTCAGCGATGCGCTCCTCTTTTAATCTCTTTTCCTCGGCGACGCGTTCTTCTTCTAATCTTTTGGCTCTAGCAATACGCTCATCTTCGATTCTTTTGGCTTCAGCAAGGCGCACTTCCTCTAATCTCTTTTCTTCTGCCAAACGTTTGTCTTCTGCAGCGCGCTTCTCGTCAGCGGCACGCTTCTCCTCCTCAATACGCTTCTCTTCTGCAAGGCGCTCTTCTTTAGCACGGCGCTCCTTCTCGGCTTGGCGCTCTTCTTCAGTAATAGCACGTTTCTGGGCCTCCTTCGCTTCCTCGTCATCCTCGTTGCTTTCTTGCTCTGACCCGGTTTGATCCTGCTCGTCAAAGTAGTCATCCTCAGAATTGACATCGTTCTGATAGCCGTCCTCATTGTCTTGATTACTGTCAGACTTTGTGAAATCACTGCCACTCTTGACATCCACATCATCATTGTCTAATGCTCTTTGAACTTGTTCAAATGACATGCTGCATCCTCCATCTTCGTTGTCCTTGTCTTGATCATCTTTTTCTTTGTCGTCGCTGGTGGTAGGAGAGAGAGGAGCCTGTTGGTCGCCCATATCAGATGCTAATTGTACAATGGGAGCAACAGCATCTTGTTCATCCTTGTTGTTAGTTGTAGTAGTCTCTTCTTCTTTTTCTTTGTGTGATAAAGCATCTGTAGGTGCTTCAGGCTCCTTCTCCTCAATAGGCTTTGCCAGAGTGTTGTTTTGTGATGGAACTGCATCAGTGGTACCTGTGGTTGGCAGGGGTGTCTCATCTTGAGGGGGCTTCTCTGATGACTTCTCTGATGGCTCTTCTATTTGCTTTGCCCCTTTAGCAGACTCATCCTCAGTATCCTTGGTTGTGGTTGACTTTGATGTAAATGTGCTCGGTGAGGTGAATGATTTGGCACCAAATAGGTTTTGGCCAGAGAGAGAAGGTTGACCAAATGTTGAAGATTGTCCAAATTTTGAGGGCTGTCCAAAGACTGAAGGCTGTCCAAAAGCTGAGGGTTGGCCAAATGTTGACGTAGACTGTAAATGTTCCTCATCACCGGTTGAGGATGCTTTTTCAGCTACAGTGCTTGTTTCAGACGCCAATGTGGAGGGAGCAAATGAGGTGGTAGTGCTTGCTTTCTTTGGTTGCTTCACCATATTCTTGAAACCTCCAAACGATGGAGTGTTGCCTGTATTTTGACCCATTTGTGGGGCTGCAGAACCGAAAGAAGAGGATCCAAATGCCGTAGTTGATCCAAATGCAGGTTGCCCAAAGCCAGAGGATTGGCCAAAGGTACTGGTGCTTCCAAAAGCAGAGACAGGCTGTGGTAATTTCGTTTCGGTGGAAGACGATCTAGCCAAGGAAGCAAACTTGGGTGCACTACCAGCTGCGTTGAAGCCAAAGGAGGGAGCAGCGCCAGTGTCATTGGCAAGAGCAAAGGCATTAGGCAGCTTGTTGTCGCTCTTGGTAGCAGGTGCTGTAGTGACACTGGTCGACTTTTGAGGCATTGGAATGGTGTTGAAATCCATGGCTTCTATCATCTTGTCATATTTGGCACCAGACTCTGCTAAGGCTGTGTTGTAGATATGGTACGAGAGCAAGAGTCCATCTGTAGTCATAATGTAAAGCACAGGCATGGGCGGGACCGGTGTATCATTTTCAGCAGGATCGAAAGGAGGTAGAGGCTCTGAAGCAGAATAATCAACAGCCAAACCAACAGGGTACGTATCCTCCACATCATCCGTAGACAGCGGTAAGCTGGGTGAATTCTCCAATATCCAAGTGGCCCACTGATCATCATCTCCTTGTCCGACTACATTCAACTCGTTTGCAGCAGCATTCGTAATAATGATCACTGTCTTTGCATCTGGCCCAATGTTGCGCACAACTGCTGTGTAAAAGTATTCCTTTGGACATTCCATAGCCAACACGGGAAGCACTTCGTCCATCAACACATACTTTTCCTCCTGCGTCTGCTTCTTGCGATTCACAATGTAAGGTCTGTGATTGTACTCTTCATCCACTTTGTGGGAATAAAAGACGAAAAATACATGGTTTTCAATCCAAACAAGCGTGTCCACTGTGTATGATCATCAGTACATGTTGCATTGAGCGAACTAAGCATGCTTACCAATGCGCTCGGATTGTGGGTCATTTTCTAAAGCCTCGGGTGGTGGCACCTCGTCCTTTTGGTTGCCTTCAATGTCGTATGTCATGATGGATCCAGCGGATGATCCACATGCAATCTGCTTTCCTTTGGGTGACCAGCAAATACTGTGGGCGTTGTGCATGATGGCAATCACATCATTGTTCTGGATCAGTTCGCAACGGTTGTCGTTGGTGAGAATGGCAATAATGTCAGGGTATGCTTCTGGGTTAGGCTGGAGACTAACGATTTCACAGCCTACGCTGTAAGTGTGTGATGGTGTAGCAGCTTCTTTCTACAGACATAGACAAGGCAATCAGTATGGCAAGTAAGTTATGCTATCCCCCTCGTTGATATATACCTGCTGAACGATATCATGGACGTTATATGTCAGGAGTGTACCACCGAGCACAGCGACAAACAATTGGAGTTGATCTGCTGATAAACTGACATGGTTGACTTTGCCTTGACTCACAACTACTTGAATGGTATTATCCAATTCAGCGATTTTCCCCTTTTGTGTCTGATAGATGATTTCTCTCATCTTTTGGCTGTGTCCAAGACAAAAGCCTATAGTAGTGTTGATAGTGTTGAATGACACCTATGCAGTTTGTAGATGGGCATACACACACTTACCATTTGCAGTGGCAGCAATAAAGTAACCATAACTACTTGAACATGCTAATAAAGATATGTGGTTTTTGGTTTGAGCTACTTGAGCGTCTGGTAGTTTGATCTTGACATCGGGCACAAGACTCTTGATTTCGAAAAACTAAATGTCATGAGAGAAGTGTGTCAGTCAGCTCTAGTTGAAACGCCAATTAAAGCATTGAATAATTACACTGGCATCTTTTTGCTGTCCTTCTTGAGATGTATCGTATGTATCCTCTGCTTCGTTCAAAGCACCGAATGGGTTGGCATCTGACATGGTGTGATGGGTTTCAATAGGCGTAAACGCGATGTTGGTTAAACAAGAAGAAAAAGAAAAAAAAGGGTGTCTTGATGGGATTCCCGCGTTTACAATGATGTTCGGATAAGGGTTACTTCTCCGCCACCTGTGTCAATGCTGTCATGTTTGCAACAATATACCACGATGAGCAAACAACTTGCGACATATCTGAATCATTCATTAGGTTAGAATTCATGTGTTTCATCAGCTGATATATCCCATTGAAAGTGGCTTCTCATTAGTGGCAGGTGCGTGTTTCACGGTGGATGGTAGCCATAGATCCATTACTGCACGCAGCGGTAAAAGCTTCTCATGGTCACTCATGCATGCTTTGCTCATGAAAGGCGTATCAATCACTTAGAGTTACTCAATTATGCGCTGTATGGACGGTCTGCTATGAAAAAGTATGATAAATTAAGTAAATTTGTCGCAAAGTTGTAGATCTCCACGTCTTGTAATGCATTGGCAAGACTCGCTAACGTTGAATGATTATCCGATAATAGTTGCTTGTAAGCTGTAATATGCATTCTTACTCCTGAGCATGGATTGTGCACGATAATTTCTAGATAACAGACCTTGTTATGCTATTTTACGCCGATATCTAGTAGTACACAACCATGTAAATCAACCTCAAGCTGAGTACAAAGTATATTTCGAGTTTTATGCGATCCCAAACATCGAAATCAATGAGGACAGTGCATTTTCAATCTGAAAGACGTATCAGAATAGCATTTTTGCTCCATTTAAACAGCAAAGCATGGTAGGATTTGAACTATATTCGAGAGCATGTTTCTCGCGTAATATGCCGTTTTAGACTGCCAGAGTGACACCAAACGGTTTCTTTTGATCAGTACTTGCTATCTAATACGTTACCTCGATTTTTTTTTTTGAGTGATAATACCAAGGTCGATTTTCCATGAGGTACCCTTCAGGGAAATTTTCAAAAATCAAACGATCGCATTTTTCACCCAAAAAGCAAAGAATTTTGTTATGGTGTTTATAAGATCAAAATGATGCTTGAAGCTGGGCGCAACATCCAAGAGTGTTTTTTCGCGAGTTACATAGGCAAAAAGTTAAATTTCCCGCCATTAATTGATTTTCAAACTTTCAGGGATTGCTCTGTGGCTTTAGTGAAAAAGTTGGTTGTGAATGGCACCATAAGATGCGCCTTAAAAAGAGGGTCAAAAAAGTATATGAGTGATAGGTATCGCAATTATGAGTAATTACGTCGAATCTTGATCCAAAGATAAAACTGTGTCAAATCAAGTCGAAATTGAATTACTTTGTTTAGAAAGGTATAGCGGCGATTTAATCAATTTTGGCGCTGAGAAATGCTTTTGTTCAACACTATGGAGGCAATTGACGAATGCATTGCTGTAAAACGTTCAAAAAAAAAGTAGACAAGCTAATCATATCCTTTCAAAATTTTAAAGAATTGTGTGCTGTACAAGGCGAATGAAACCACCGGCAAAGCCGGCAATGAGGAGGGGGTTTGGGGGAAGAACATAACGCGTCTAATTCAACACTTGATAGCATTAGTATATAGTAGGGGGGGTTTTACCGTAGCGAAGCAAAGGTGCAAAGCCATGGTAATAAGGAGTAATTCAACACTTGGTAACATTGATTTATATGAGGGATTGATCGCAGCGAAGCAAAGATGCAAACCTATGACAACTAAGCATCCAATCCAGCATTTGATAGCATTGATCTATACGAGGGCTTAACTGTTGCGGGTCGAATATGCAAAACCATAGTATCTAAGCAGCAGATTCGATTTCTCGTTTTCTTTATTAATAATGGATTGTTTAAAATCTACTTATATAGCAGACTTTTACTATTACTAATTTGAAATGTCTACGGCGACAGCCTTCAGGGCGACACCGTCATCGAGTGTAGCGAGATTGCATCTAATTCAACATTTGGTAACATTCATTTATAAGAAGGTTTTACCATAGCAAGGCGAAGGTGCAAAGCCATAGTGTTCAAGCAGCAAATTTGGGTTTTTATTTCCATTGTTAATAAGCTTACCAGCAACATAGCGTATCAAAACTTGCATGAATCAGCTTTAACGAAATAAATATGCCTCCTTATTCGAATTAAAAATTGCTCAAGCTACGGAACTGCCTTTCCAGTAAATTGCAGGTACCAAAGATGTGATTTATGCCGCGTAAACAAACTCTATAGAGCAATACATAATCAAATTTGACAGCTTTCAAGCCTTCATATCTTGGCGTGTAGACCTTTATGAGCCGCCGGAATGACGCCAAACAATTGTACTTGAGTAGTAGTAACCTCCTTACACCTTTGTTCAACCTCTTGGGCCAAAAAAAAACATGGCCAAAAATCGACCAAAAAGCATGAGGTACCCCTCATAGTTTTTATCGAAAATCAAACGATCGCGTTTTTCACCTTGAAAATGAAGACTTGTACTATAGTATGTATTGGATCAAAATGTTTCTTCCAATCCAAAGCAACCTCTGAAACCACTTTTATGAGGTTTTCATATGCAAAATCTGGCTATTTTCGCTAAAAACCTCATTTCATATCTTACCAAATAGCTCAATAATTTTATTCAAAACATTCATCTTACTTGGTACCATTGGAAGCGCCTTGAAAGTTACTTCAAGAATGTATTAGGAAGCATAGGGCGATCATCACAATTTATATAGTCGAATCTCACAAAATAAATTAAAGAAGTCGAAAAAGACGAAATCTATCTAATCTTGATCAGAAAGAATACACTGAGTTTCAATTGATTTTAGCGGACGGCCCAAATGCCTTTCTGTTGATGACAACGATGATTGCGATGCTGGTTAAATGGGGATCATGGAATTGAAAGGACAATTGCTTAGCGCAAATATTTTTTGGAGAGCTTTGCCTCATGAAGGTGTCTTTTTCAATGACAATATCTCAAAAAGTCGCTGTAGATCTTACACAAGTCCTGTATTTATTTGCGACCAGTCTTATGCTGCCATCTTATTAAGAGCATCAGCAGCAGCGAATGATATGGCAATTCTATTATCATAAAATGGCAGTTGTGATGTACAAATGCTGCATAAAACCTGAATTTTCTTTCACACTGTCCCAATAATAGGTTTTGTTTCCATAGTTAAAATAGCCTTGAAAAACGATTCTAAAAAGTAGGTTGTATGCCCTAAATGCGGCCGCTATGGGGCTTTAATGCTGACTTCGCCATATTCAAGCAAACAGAGAATACCCATACATGTGTCATACGTGAACAAAGCATGATAGTTCATCATGATGGCACTACGCATTTCATGGTCGTAACGCAACGGAAGGATCGAGATTCTTCCATAAGCACATTTGGTGACAGTCCAAGATTTTAGCCATATGACAGTCTGAAAATTTTACTTTTTACCCAAATTTCCATTTTAATTCTTTTATCCTTTTTTCTTCTTTCCAGCTACAATGTCTGAAAAGTACAAAACTCTCAAAGTCAAAGAACTCCAAGGTAGGTTAAATGTATTTATATAGGTGATGCAGCGACTGATCAAGGCTTGTGTGATAAAACAGAGTTGCTGCAAAAGAATGATCTTTCAACCACTGGTAAAAAAGAGGATTTGATCGCAAGACTAGTCAAAGACGATGAACGCAAGGCATTAGAGAACTTGGAAAAAGAGTTTGAGCTGGATGGCGATTTTGATGAGTCCAAAATTAACCTGTAAGTCATCATTTTGTTTGTTCAATAGATACCAGCGTATATACTCATACCCATACATGAAAACTCGCAGAAGCGATATTCCTACAGACGATATCTTCGCACTCGAAAAACTACCCTTGATTGAGAAAGAAAGTGTATTATCTGACGACGACGACGATGTTGATCTCATCTTTGAAAACAAGAGGCCATCCAAATCTAAGACAACTGCTGCGTCCTCCACATCAATGAGTGCTGTTATATCACCTGTTACTTCCACTACACTTGTCGGGGCGAAAACTGCTGAATCTATCGTCAAACAAACAGAGACAGCCAAACAGACAGCGCCCATATCCAGTACTACCTCGAATACAAACACCACTACAACGACCACAACGACTACGGCGAAGGCTACAGTCTCATCCTCTTTCAAGTTTACACCCATCACATTTGACAAGAAACTGAGCATTACCAGCGCTCCTGTCGCTACAAAACCTGCAGTTACTGCTCCTCTTACACCCAAAACTACGCCTGCGGCTGCTAAGCCCGCACCAGCGCCAGCAAAGACATTGGACGATAAAGCAGAAAAGTTACGACTAGAAGCCGAACGTCGATTGGAAAGATCAAAGCGATTTGGAGTGAAATTGGATGAAAAGGAAATGAAAGAGATTAGAGCTGCTCGGTTTGGTATTCAACCTGCTACCAATGCTACACCAGCGACAGCAACTAGTACAAAAGCTTCCAAGCTCACCACACAAGCTACTCCAAAGAGTAAAGAGACAAGTATCAAAGACGATGGTAATAAAAAGAAGGCACCCGTTGATCGACAACAAGAACTTTTGAAAAAGCGTGCTGAACGATTTGGAATGTCAAAAAATAAAGAGGAGGAAAAGGAAACACCGGCAAAGAGGGCAAACAACAAGCGCAGAAAGAAGGCTACTTCAGCGACATCTGCAAAAGAGTCTCCAGTAAAGACGGTTCAAAACGGTCGAGTCACCAAGCCAAAGTTAACGACGCCTATTGTTGTAAGCAAGAACAATAGCAACAACAAGAACATCACGGTCAATGTAACTAAAAACACTGTATTAAATAAGAAGCAAAAGAATGTAAATATGCTAAACAAGGAGGGTATTATCTCCCAAAATAAGAAAAACATCATCAATCAACGAAAAGTGAACATGGCCAACATCAACAACACCAACAGCAAAACTGCTCCTATTGTGAATAATGGCAGAGTGATTACAATTGCTCCAAAGAACACAAACACAGCACTGGCACCTGCACCCTCAAATACCCTGAAGCGAAAGCGCAATGAAAGTCAGACTGCACCTGTAAGCAATGGTAGAAGTGTCGTGATTAACCCAGACCTCCATCCAAACCAAAGAAAAGTAACCATTGCACCTGCTCCTCCTGTCGCCGCTGTGATAACACCCAAGGCAACACAAAACGGTAGATCGAGAAACAGCAACAACAGTGCAACTAGAAAAAGAGGCCCGGGAAGCCGTCAACGCAACAAAAGCAATAGTAATGTAAGTATGCTTATATGTGCAATAAACAAGTTGGTCTGATCCAATTGCGAAATTATAGCAACCTGTGCCATCTCCTGTAGTTGCTACACCTCAAACTCAAAGACGTAACAAGCGAAGTCGTCAACATTAGATTTAAGGAGAGATTTATACCTGTCTTAATAAAACAAATGTTACAAGCCTGCTTTCTCTTGAATTGATTCAAACAAAATATAAACGCTGGTTGGTTTTATTTTCGACAAATGTAAAATTATAGTAGTTACGAAGGGGGGTAGGGAAATAAAAATATTACTAAGTTGTGAGAGTAAGATATACATTTACAGTGATATAAATAATTAAGAAATGATGCATTCTTCAGATTGTCTTCTGCCATTGATGTGTCGCTTCTTCTTGTCATCTTTTCCTAATGATCTTGTTGTTAATGCTTGGTGTCTCAAAGTACCAGGATCAATCTTGTGCTGTTGCTGTAATAATAAAGTATGCGATAACAAGGCTTGATTGCCATTGAGTGCTTGTTCTTCTTGTGGTGTCAATCCAAGTGCCAATGCGTATTGGCGAATGCTCTCTGCGTCTTCTGGTTTCAGATGCACTGGCGTTGACTTGTGAATACCGCTGTTCTTTGTACTAGGAAAGGTTCTTGAGGGATCATGAGATTTACGGCTATGATTATAGATTTTAGCAGAGAAAACCCACTATCTCAAGAGTTAATAAGTTTTCAAACAGCAGTTATAAGCAACAGACTTACATCGTAGGAGGGCTGCTGTTCATTGACCTTGGGAGGACATGAAAACGCTAATTTTTTACAATGCTCATGACAAATAAGAGCACACACTTCACAAAAGATAGACTGTGCAGTCATTAAATCACCACACACTTTGCATTCGACAACTATTCAAAAGGGTCAGACTTTCTGTAGCAAGAGTTATAAGTTGCAGGTCTTACCTTTACCAAAGGAAGTATGGATGAAACGATGCGTGATGTAGTCTTCTTCATCTCGCAAGCCAAGAGGCACCTTGAGACGTTCAATTTGCTGTTCCGCGTCTTCATCGCCATCATCGTACAGTGTCATTTGGCTTTCGGTCATGTCAATACCACTGCTATTTCTCAGTGTCATGTTGCTTTGGTCCATTTCATCTTGTTGAGATTCGTCTTCATCAGCTGTATCACAAGGATACACTTGTTGAGGGTGATTACGCAAGTAGCTGGACAAATCATGAGAGTAGGTTTCTGTCTTTTTGATGCGTTGTTGATTTTGCAAGATCCAAGGATGTTGCTTTAATTGCGTAGCAGAGGGACGAGCTTCAGGATCCTTTTGGAAACATGCCTCCAAAAAGTTCTTCATATCAGAAGAGATGTTCTCTGGCAGTGGTGGACATTGATCTTCAACGATACGGAACATGGCAGACATGGCAATCATATCGGCATAGGGTGGCTTTCCAGTAACAAGTTCGACCAATGTACAGCCCAGAGACCATATATCGGATTTGGTGGAAGCTCCCTTCAATTCAATGACTTCAGGTGCCACTGTGATATAATAACGTTAGTAGTGAGCATGAATCTGATTTACTATTCATGTCAACTTACTCCAATTGGGCGTGCCTGAGACGGAACCTGCATCAGCTCCTTTGATCTTCAAATTCAGGGACACACCAAAATCAGTTAGTTTGACATCGCCCGTTTTAGTAGTCAATATGTTGGCAGCTTTTAGATCACAATGAACAACTTGGTTTTGGTGAAGGTATTCGAGTCCGTTGAGGATCTTTATACAGAAAGACGCTACCAATTTTTCGGGAAATGCCCCGAATGCTTTTAGTGTAGACATGAGAGACCCATTTTCTGCAAATTCCAGAATGATGTTGACACTGTGCTTGCTCTGAATAAAGCCCAAATAACGAATGACGTTTGAATGAGACAAGGTTTTGAGCAGAGCTACTTCTTTCTACAGATCGTCGACCCACAGGTTAGTATGTTAATGTCGAAAAAGGGAGACGCTCCCTTTCAAGGGATATTGTATGTTTACCATCATTTCTTGATCTAGCTCACCATTTTCAAACAAGAGCCGTTTGACAGCAACAATTTCTCCTGTTGCCAAATCAAGTGCACGATACACTGAACCAAATTGACCTTTACCAATGCAGTTACCCAATTGCTAATACGTATCGTATTAATATAAATACGCTACAATAAAAAAAGACACTTACATAATGTGTGGTTGTTTGATCATCTTTTGTATGCAATAGCAATCTCTCTTCCCTGTCATCTTCAGCGGGTGATTTAGCTAGGATTTCGTTCGCTGTTTCTCGATATTGACGATCAAGTTTATGGCCTAAACTTCCTCCCTTCACAACAGGTGGCGAAACTTCTTCTTTCATGATTTCTAATTCTGCCCGTTTCTTAGAAGAGCCTGAAGCGTTGAGTCCATTTGTGTTGTTGCGATTAGGAAAAGTGTTGCTTTGTCGTTTGGTTCGTTCTGCAGGAGAAGATAATCGACGGTGTTGCTTTCTTTGCTGCTGCTGTTGCTGCTGATGGTGATGATGTTGGTTGGTCATGTCTTCCAAGATGTCCTTTGGTTTGTTGCGGATAGATGCATTTTTTGGCGTTTTTGGGAGCATGGCAGAAACAGAAGAGTTCACTGATGATATTGATGAATGCGTGGCCATGGGGTCTAATGGCGGTAAATCATGGTTGTGGTCATCATAGTGAGGAGGAAGACGTAGTGGTGATTTGGGGGGTCTTGAAAAACTATTAGACGTAGGTGAGGAAGGCGTTGTGCGAGACATTTTGTGGTGTTCATAATCGTCATCATAGCTAAACGTATCTGAGGGAGCTGTGTAGGTAGATCGAAGGCCTGCTTTGCGAGAGGCAACAAGCGCATCTCTGTTCAATCGAAGCCTCGATTCTCCACCTTCTACTGTTTTTTCTCCTGTTTCTGAAGAGGAGAAACCACCAAAAATATCTCTTACATCTCGGTATTTTGTTGATTTTTCTTGCTCTTCTTGTTCACTATGCTCAAAATGTGGGTCTATATATTTATAGCATTAGTATTGGTAATTGTGGTTCCATTTCAAGGCTATTTACCGTTATCTCGGTCATTTTCATGCCTGTTCTTACTAGAAAGACGATTTTCTGAGTGATGGCCAGCAGAAAACTCATTCAATTGATTGTTTTCGATATGAGGGTCTTCATCTTGATCTTCTTGATCTTGGAATTGTTGTTTTTGTAGTTCTTGTTGATGTTGTGCTGCTGCAATTTGTTTTTCAGTAAGACGAGATATTGCTAATATTGTGTGTATGACCTATTATCATTCGAAAATTTAGTATTTGAACAAGGAGAGATACATAGAGAGAGTAAAAATGATAGTTCAGGGGTAAATATTTTTTACTATTATACAAAAAAATTAAGGAGAAACAATACTCACAGCTGTCATGTCTTTGGCTTCAAACAGATCTATAGTCTCAAATAATTGCGCACTATTCAACCCAAGCTATATTTATAAAATCGTTAATAAGAAGCACTCCTGATTTGTTCCGTGTATTTGCTATCTTGTTTCTACGGCTTATCCTCCTCTTTTTCTTATGATGGATGTCGATATTTACCTGTCTGGCTCCTTGCAAAAACCGAGTGATGTTGTCCATCTAAATTGAATTATACAGATTAATAAGTATACAAAAGCACCACCTAAATGACATACCTTGATAAACGATAGATCTCTTTGACCGACTTGCTTGATTGTACCAGGCTTAAGTTTATTTACAAGACTACATATTGAGCATAATCAATACACATACCACACAAGAACACACAGACTCCCCTATTTTTTCCTCCTTTTTCTCTCTGTTCCTCTCTGATCTCCTATGTGTATACATTACTTGCATAACAAAACACCGTCTTTCAGTTCTTGATGAAGTTGATGATTTAATGTTAAAGAAAGGTCCAATGTAGAATTAAGGTAATCGATGGCTGCTTGTTCGTCTTGCCGAAATTGTTCTTGTTTCATGCGATCGAAAAGTAAATCTGCACCACTTTTTGATCTAGCAATACGTGGGGCTGCATACGATGAGGTTGCCATTGCAACTAATGCAAAACTACTGAATAATGTGATAAGTGCCAATGTATAACTGGTGTGAAAGTGTTGATGTGCTACAGGCGAATGAGTAGCGATCAGCAAAAGTATAAAATGATGGAAAGAGAAACAAGAAGAAAAAGTAAAAGAGTCGAAAAAGAAAGAGAACCGGCTCATTTCTTTATAATATGCATTTATTACCTTAATTTATCGATGGAGACACATAGTCAATAGCTATTATTATACAAATGACTACGTTCACTCTGTATTTGTTTAATTTGGGCAATTGTAGTAGTTGCTTCTACTGGAAATGTGATTCATTAATAGGAGCTCAAGGAAAGGGAGAAAACTCAAAAAGGGACATGTCTGGTATAAAACATCTTTTACATGGCTCTTAATGTATGAAAACCAGATGTTGATGGAAAAATACAGGTTGTTGACTTGAATTGTTTCTCATACTTTCATCAGCAAGCAGAAGTAGGTCCACAGTTAGACAACCTACGGAACAATACTGTTAATCTGCCTATGCTACTCCTTCAGTAAGATTAGTAGTAATATATGTATATATAACCAAATGATGAATATGTTGCTTTATCATATTAATTCATTACGAGTAATTAAAACCATCTCTAAAGACTTTGAATGGGTGTTGAGGTATAAGTTCGATGTATTCAAAAGCAATTATACATAAAGCATAGATGGTGATAATGTATGTATAAACACTTGTGACAACAGCAAAAAGCAGCAGTAGTAGCAGTACATTGCGCATACAGGATTTGCTTGGTTCTAATGATTACGCAAATATACCCAATGTCAATAATGGCAAATAGTGCGGCAACAAATGTAGATGCCAAAATACTTCATCAATCCAAATTTTACCATTTTTTCATATTTCTTGAAGCCCTATCATGAAAAGGAGCAATTATTGACCAAAAGCCTGTAAAAACTGATGACAATAAGAGCTGTCAATTATCCAATTCCTTCGCAAACATGAATATGGGTTATGCTGAGACAAGTGGAGTCATGGACTGCCAAGAAGATCTACTATCATCACATCAGATCCTAATGTTGTGTTGAGCATGAGAGTCAAACTGCCTTTTAAGAATACTTTTCATTGTGATAGAACACAGGAGAATGTGTATACTTGCTATTTTGATGTCTTTTTCACACAATAAAAGGCGTGCTGTGGCTAATCAACCGAAAAGAAGGAGTCTGTGGATCCATAACCTTTTATAGCGGGAAAGGCTCTCTCGCACTAGCATCTGTCCCAATTGTCTGCTCCTCCAGGCAATAACAACAAACACAACTTATTGGATCTACTCTGCATCTATGAATAAGTAATACTACTAGAATCTTTCTTACTAAACGAGTGTTTGTGCTTCGGATGGCTCTCTACCTTCGCTTCGCTTTAGTGAGAACCAACCAGCGCAGCGGCAACTCGCGCTGCCAATTGCCCTTGCGTATCTTATCAATATACCACTACTTTCATTTTGACCCTCCACTTACATATGAAGACTCTTCATAATACCTGTGGATTTGATTCTTGTTTGATGTTTCACATTTGTATACTCGTAGAGACTAAATACGGGCAACCAGTATACTTGTATTACCCCTTTCTAGTCAAGAAGGTGCCAAATACAGCAAAATTCGTGTGCATTTGGGCCGTGTTTTCTCGCTTTAAACGTCGCTTTAGATCGCTAGAATAGCATCAAGCAATTGCTCTCATCTGACAGTTACTAATTACCACTATTGCTCAACTTTTTGGGGACCAAAAAAAAATGGACAAAATTTGACCAAAAAGCATGAGGTGCCCCTCATGGTTTTCATCAAAAATCAAACGATCGCATTTTCCGCCTTGATAATGAAGACTTTTACTATGGTATATGTTAGCTTAAAATGTTTCTCTCAATCCAAGGCAGCTCCTAAAACTTTATTTGTGCAACTCTCATATGCAAAATATTGACATATCTGCCAAAAACCTCATTTCATATTTTCAAGAATTGCTCAATCCGTTTGTTCAAAACATCTATTATAATTAACACCATTGCATTCGTCGTAAAAAGTACTCTAAGAACCCATTAGAAAGTATGGGGTAATCTTCTCAATTTATATAGTCAAATTTGAAGAAATATATTAATTAGATCGATTTAAAAAAGATTTGGCCAATCTTGAGTAATTGATTTGTATCGAGGTTTAAATAAGGGTTGGCTCTTTAACATAATGATGCCTCTCTGTTGATGATGATAAAATATCGACGAGGATCTCCTTCATGCCAGTATACAGCTTATCACCTTATTTCAAACTGTTACCATAAATTTATTTCAATGTATTATCACAGAAAATTGCCACAGCCGCTTGATAATAATCATGTTATTATATATTACACAGACCAAGTAATAAAAATCTATAATAAACTGATGATAACCAAATGTTTCTGACGGCCATAGAAAATGGACCGCACAGTTAAAAATGACATGGCTCTGTTAAGCTAATTTGTATTACTAAACTCTGCAAAACTTCAGGTTTAATAGAGTAATTAGGTACAAATTACCGATCAGGTGCGAATCTATTATGCTTTGCAGAAATGATACCCTAACCAAACTGTGTATGATACTTCCAATGCAAAATTAATTGATGTATATTTAAGCTCTATATACTTTTCGACTCTAATCTAGTATTACAAGCGGCAATGATAGCACAGTGCATGAAATAGAGTAATAGAACAGAGTTAGCTGTTTAATGCTCTTTTATAAAGTGTGGTGTCCATGGCTATCTCATGTTTTCATCGCCATACGCATCAAATGATTGGTTACAAGTTAGAGTAAGCTTTCTAGCGAGCATTTTGGATGGCAGGTGTTTAGTTTCTAGAGTACTGCAATTGTAAAACGCAGGTCTTTTACGTTATTGAGAACATTCAGTCTAAAAAATAGATATGGGACACAACTAGAGTTGCGATTTGTGCATAGTTTGTGGAACACTAATGTTTAAGAGCAGGTCCTGTCAATAATGATCCATCAGCCTGTGTGTGTACAATGAAGATTATTCAGGCAATCATTTTCTTCATAGGCATTGTCATCAGCTATGACCAGGTTAATTTGCACTGTAGTAAATTGACATTTTTAAATCCGCTTGCCCAGATTACATAATCACGATATTTTTTCTTGAACTTTAAACATATCAACTTGATTAGTGTAATTGAATTTCAAAATAATGAATTCTCTATTTAGGCACTATCGAGTTCTGAATCGCAGCTTTTTGGTATAATTTGTTGTATAAAGTGACGCAAAGATGCATGCTCCAGACGACAATCTGTTGGCCGCATCTTTTACAAAATAAACCTCGTCTGAAAGGCAATTTGAAGGGCTACCTTTATTTTAAGTGCCCATCCATCACATGCTTCTTACCTTGAGATTTATATTACTCTGAAACATTTGGTATTCTCGAAATTACTGGCAGCTCTACCTCAAGGTTTGGATCAACCGAGTTTACGGAGAAAACTGCGGATCAATCTGCATCGTTATCTGTTACTTTTAGGTAATAACTGGTCACACTGAACCTATAAAGATCTGGAATGTTCAATTGACACTTTCAATTAGACACTTCACTTTCAATTCATCAAGCATGTCTGATATCCAAGTAACTCAAATCGATGCAAGCTATGCTCAAGCTCTCTCTGCTTTGGGCAGAAAGTTATTTGCAGACACATTCAGCCCTGATAATGCTCCAGACAACATAGAAGTCTATTTAGATGAAAGTTACAAGCCAGAGATTCAAGAAAAGGAATTGAACGATCCCAAGATGTACACATACATGGCATTCGATGAAAATAAGGCTCCTGTTGGTTTTGCTCAGATGCGTCAGAATAAGAAGGTGTATGATTTTGTTGGAGACCCAGAAGCGATTGAATTGCAAAGAATCTACGTTGATAAAAACTGTGCTGGAAAAGGTATTGGCAGCAAATTGATGGAAGCATGTCTTGTTAAAGCGAAGGAGTTGAACAAAAAGACCATGTGGCTCGGTGTTTGGGAATTCAACCCTACTGCTATTAGCTTCTATACCAACAAGGGCTTCTACAAGGTTGGATCTCACATTTTCAAGATTGGAGAGCAAGAAGATACTGATCACATTATGGTTTTGAAGTTGTAAATCAATAGTTATTTCGTAGATAGTGTACCAACATTGTAAAATATAAATTCCATTCTGAGCGAGCTGATGATCTCATAAAATGCTTATACTCATGTAAATTAGACAAGAGGAGCGCCCTTCGTTGGCCCAAATGTTGAATTTAAAGCCTGCTGACATATTTCCGAGGAGCTTTAGCTAGTTTGTGCACATCTATTCGCTCGTTTGAACGAATAAATGGCAGGTACAAAAAGCTGAACTGAAACTGATGCAAAGTTCTTCAGAGCAGCTTTCTCATCAGCCCTGAATGTAAAAGATAAGCAATATTGTGTGTAGAATTACCAGCTATGCCATAGCAAACATCCGAATCATTGCTTTTATTTACATTAGCTGCAGTACTAATCTGGCGCTTATACATTACAGTAACAAAAATGTTGATCTCCCATTTTGAATATATTGGATTCCAGCCTTTTCAAATTCATTACTCCTGTAAAAGTTGACAGCAGTAGTGTTGAATTCTCAAACGCCGAGCCAAATGGTCTTTTTGTTCAACTCCTTCGCTTTAATGATGCATTTGGCCATCAGTTCACTACTAATGCCTTGTCCAGCACGATTTTTATCGACATAAGTTCTATGCAGTTTGATTGCCTCTGGATCGTCCACGAATTCATATACTTTTCAGTTTGACGCAACTGAGCAAATCTGACTGGAGTCTTGCTCGCATCAAACGCTATGTAAGTGTAGAAATTGGGGCCAGTCAGTCCCTTTTCTTGAATTTCATGCTGACAACTTTCATCCAAATACGTTGCCATGTTTTCCGGCGTCGTATCTGAACCAAATGTATATTTGAATAGCCTCCTTCCTTGAACAGTGAGTACACGGACATACTTTGTATCGATTTAAGTTACTTGGATATCAAGCATGGTCTTTTAAATTGCTCAGGAAAGGCACAATCTAGTATTTGATATGTATACAGTAATAATGTGGCGAGTCATGATCTACAGAAAGATACAATAATGATCACAGGATTGTAAATATCATAGCATAGTAAATTTATGGTCCTTAGACACCTTCAAAGCCTTAAAAGAAAGAAGTTGAGTTAATAAGTATTTTGATAGACTGACGTTATTAAATATAGAATGCAAGGAAAATAGAATGGTTAACAATAGTGCTATGTAACTTGCCACCTACTCTCCATATGCTTCAAAAGCATCTATTACTGTATTGCCTTCACGATTAAAAGGGCATTGAGCTTGCCAGCCGGCCCTACCAGCCAAAATTAATTCGAACTCAGACATACAGTCTGCTCCAGATTGGACAAATATTAACGATTTTCGACTCGATTATAACTATTTTGCCAGATTCGACTATAAAGATATGATAATCATCCCATGCTTCTTTAAGCTTTCTTGGAGTGCTTTTTAAGGCGCATCCACTTGTATCAATTAAGATAGATATTTTGAATAAGCTTATTGAGCAACCTTAAAAAATACGAAATGATGTTTCTGGCCAAAATGTCGAAATTTTGCATATGAAAGTCTCCTAAGCAAAGCTGTAGGGGTTACCTTGGATTGAGAGAAACATTTTGAATTAATATATACTACTATAGTAAAAGTCTTTGTTTTCAAGGTCAAAAACGCGATTGTTTGGTTTTCAATAAAAACCATGAGGGGTACCTCATGCTTTTTGGTCAAATTTTGTCCATTTTTTTTTTGGTCCTCAAAAAGTTGAGCAAAGTTATCAGCAAGTAAGTGCTAGTTGAGAGAAATAGTTCAGTGCTATTCCGGCGGCCTGAAACGGCTTCTAACATGAGAAATTACTGCTCAAATGCATCCAAATTTTGCCGTGTTTTCCATGATTTCCAGCAGTAAGAGGTAATGTAAGTATGCTGTCTATCTTTATTCGAACTGTTCCCATTAATACAAGTGTGGAATATCCTACAAGAGTCAAAACTACAGCTATAGGCCGTTTATTGAGGATTCTCGTATGTTATGGTCGCAAAATTTAAAAAAGTGAAATATTGGGATATATCAATAGGCTTTGCATTGGCGGTTTTTATTGTATGATGCAAGTATATCCTTGTGGATAGTATCACTGTGTTCAATGTTATCTGTTAACAGAGAAGTAAGCGAGTTCCTAAAGCTGTGTATCAAGCTCATAGTAAAACTGATGCTTTCAGAATATGCTTGGTTCAGATGTGGAAAACAAAGCTCAGCATACCAAAGCTATGTTTAATCTTGTATCTGGTAGCCTATTATCTATATGTAATCTGTATTTTATGCAAGGTTTATAGTGCGGCATAATTGCCATCAATAACAAATTGAGAAGGTGAGACAAATGTAAAGCAAGGAGGTCAGCATCTATTATAGATCCATCGGATCAATGTGCTGAAAGAGGAGAGAAAAGGTTAGAAGCACAAGCATATGTTTTACCTAGTATATAACAAAATGCAATGCTGCAATGTTGACCCAACGATAGGGTTTACCATTGAATGCAAATCCCGGCCTTCTCATTGCATGGTGGAGATCGAGATTTGTGTATAAAATAGTACTCAGGCTATTTTAGATTTGAAAATATTCCCCTTGAAATATTAATAGATAAACAGAATCTTTAAGGGGAAGGAGAACAAAAGCAATCCGCCTATATTTTATACCTGATGAGGAAAATTACTGAATTTGTATGCTTATTTTTAATATATGTAATCATGCAAATAAGAACATCACAACATCCCAGTGTCTTTATGCTTTAAACAAAAGAGAGAGAGAGAGGCATGCACGATGGGATGCACCAGGAAAGAATTAATAAATGTATGAGTGATGTTTCTCACGTCATTTCTGCACCTTTTTGTGGGTTTCGCTTCTCCTTATCCATGAGGGTTGCTCCTTTTCTTCTGCGACACTCCTGCTTTGGTAATTTTCCTTAATATGAATCTTCAAACACCCAAGATGGCTCTCAGATATGTATTATAATACACACGCACACATACACATACAGATTTACATGATACATATATGAATTTGTTCACTCTAACCACAAAATGGAACTTAAAGAACAAAACTTGACATTACAATGTGCATTAATCATGAACCAACCAAGTCTAAAAAACATGCGCAATAAGCACCTTGGCATGTTATACAAGTAAGAGCTGATCGACAGTTTGTTAATAACAACATGACCAAACGACAATTGATATCATGATGAATTGTCAAGCCATTTCGTGTCTTTTTTAGAGTTTGTTTAAGGGTAATGTAGAACAAAAAGCACCTTGTTGCATGCAAAATGTGGCTCTCCTTATTGCTAATACTACAGTTGCTGTTGTTGTTGTTCTTGCTCATGTTGTTGCAACCAAAAAGCATCGGATCGGATTCTACAATAGTCGATTGCAATGGGTGAGCGGACACAGTGGATGTGCTCTCTCTTCTCTTATTTGGAGCGTATAATTTGTACACTTCTGAGTGCTTATTATGTAATAAACATACAAGTAGTTACTAATGGGGAGGTTGCCTGCAACTTTTTAGCTAACCTTTTGTTGTTTGTGCCTGTTGTTGCGCTGCTGCATTGTTCTTTTTATAAATATATGTATCGGATCCAAACATCGATTCAAACAATATCATGTCGATCATGTCTCATCTTGTATATTCTCCCTTAAATCTACAGTTGATTGTATGCCTTCAAATCCACCTTTGAAGGTGCTATGTCATCAGCTAGCCATCAGCTAGCCATATTTTGATTGATCTCTATTACAGCTTTTGCATTTGATTCGGCACACGAAACATTACTGTTATCAACTTGATGCGTACAAATGAAGTGATAATGTAAAAGTCATTTGTTTATATCCATTCAGGGGTAAAAGCGAAAAGGGATGATTTATTGGTTACACCTACAGATTACTAAATTAAAAATATTCGAGCGAACTATAGTGTAAAAACAACAACGTGTAACACACACAGTAAACACACTGAAAACACACTCGCGCAAGATGATAGTTATTGGCAGTTCTTTTTTTTTTTCTCTCGATGAATTGCATTTCTATCACTGCTTATATGTAAAACGTCATTTGAGATGTATGCTATGAAATAGCATCGCTGATAAAGGGAGGCTACTGCATTGTTCGATTGGTTACATAACATCCCAATGGAAGAAAGGGAGATACATGTGAATGACACTCAAATTTTAACACTGCATAAAGTTTCTTTCCGCTTTTCGCATTTGTTACCGAGCTTTGTATGTGAACTGTTTCCCCTTAAAAAAATCGATTGAATCACATTCAACTTCAATCTTGTAAAATACTAAATTTGACCATCATCGTCTTTTTTTAATAATGGCAAGCCCAATTAACCGTATATAGTTGTCGATCAATGCGATTAATTATAACTCTCAAGTGTGTCTATATTGCCACCGAAATGCCCATGACATCTCCTGTTTTTTCGTTTTTAGTAATGTGAAATGTATTTTGATTCGAGAAAAGCGTGAATCTAACTTTTTTGTTTACATGTTATATGTATATACAAAATAAAGAGAGCAAGACTGAGAGAGATACATGATGCATACATTGTATTCTCGGAAATAAGCAAGTGATTCGTTATGATGGACTATGATTTGAGAAGACCTCCTAAACTCAAAAAGGCCTCCATTGCTTGCTCTTTCTCTCTCCCCCCTTAATTGTGGCCTTACTGTGTTTGTATATCAGACTCTACACTATGAGACACGCCCCTTCTTCCATTATGTGCTTCTCTATTCTCCTTGCTCCCTCTCTTCTCTTCTGTCTTGTGCCTCCCCTTACTTCCTAGATCTCCCCTCCCCCCAACATTCCACCGTCAATCAAACCCATTGATTGATATATAAATAAGTATATTTTGACAAGTCTCTGTGTTTTTCTCTCTTCTTTTCTACTTCTTTACATCTTCTTGTCTATACATATCATCTTTTTTAATTATTAGAAAAGACCCATATACATCTATACATTACATTTTTCACTGAAAAAAAGCTATTCTTCTTCCTATATATATACATGTTAATTTAAGAAATCAAAAAATCCAAAAAATTATACCTTTCCCCTATTTTAATGAACATCATGAACTCTACCATCCATCAACAACAATACCAATCTACCTTGTCAGCCTACAATGAAGGCATGCCTTTCTTGCAAGACGACGATGCCTATTATCAACGCGACATTCAACAAGATGATCAAGAAGACTTGAACAATAAAAAGTTCCAACAAGGTGATGATTTCAGACCCACTTTCTACAACCCATTCGAGATCAAGCACCGTAGAAGAACTTCTCGCGCTCAATTCAAGGTTCTTGAAAAGACCTTCCTCGAGAATCCAAAGCCTAATGCTGCTGTTCGTAGATGGTTAGCTCAAAAGCTTGTTATGACACCTCGTGGAGTACAAGTCTGGTTCCAGAATCGTAGAGCTAAAGAGAAATCTGTCAATGCCAAGTCAACTGAATCAGCCAAGAGCACCAGCACAACAGCTACAACAACAGTACCTCAGGCCACATCATCGTCATCATCTTTCTCTTCATTATCACCCTCCTCATCTGTAACATCTTCACCTACTTCCGCCATCATGACATTCTCTACCCATCAGCCGGACATGTACAGTTCAGAACCTCTTATCAAGGATAACAGCCAATACAGTGGTATCTATGAGAACACTTGTATTCCAAGCCCTCCATTAAATCCCTCTGCCTGTGCTTGCGCTGATTGCTCAAATGTATTTGCCACTCCCATGAGTCGTGCCATGTCCTACCCTCCTTTCTATAGCGATGCATCCTGTTCTGCTGCAGATGAAGAAGAATTGCTCATGACGCCTGTTACACCATTTGTTGATAGTCAACAACAACAGTATATGTTTGATCCCGTCTTTATGAACAACCGTAAATCCTATCAACATCAGCAACAACAACAACAGCAACAACAACAACAACAACAACAAGATTGGTTGACATCGTCTAATTTTTTGGCGCAAGATACTAACTACTATTCATCACCTAATCCCATGGCAACCAATGATATTGCTGTGGCTGCTGCTACTGCTGCCATGCGACGCATGTATGACGATAACAATTCCATGATGTTTGACAATCGCAGATATTCACTTCCAGTCAATGCATCTCAGGACAGATATATTCAATCGACCGAGGTAAGTTGTAGCACTCGAGGCTAATCTATAATGATACTCATACTCTGACTTCTAGCTGTTCCGTCGTCTTTCTGAACCCATCTTCAATACTGAATTGAACTTGAATGATCAATTTGATTTATTACCATCAACTGTGTTGTAAATGTCATCTTTTACACACTCATTCATCATCCCATCCTTCCGTAATTTATTCAATTCTTACACTCTTTCACTTATGCATTTACAAATCTCTCAGCAAAAAATTATTTAGTACTATTCTTATTATATGTATATACCTTATGTATTCCCCCTTTTCTCCCCTTCAATATCTTCTCCTTTTTTTCTTACTTTCTGCGTGGTTGTATGTTTACCTTTTTTATTATTTACCCTATGCTCTTATATTTAATTTATGCTTTGATCGGCCGGTTCTGCTTCTGTTCTTTTTTTCATCCAAAACAACTCAAGACATCTCACTCAACACTACAAAAAATCGAATCATCCCCCTCATCCTACACCCTTTCCCCCCCCCCCCTCAAATTCACCTCCAATATACCATATACAATTGAAAATCTATAAAAAATTTATATCAGTTCATTTCTTGGTAGATATCGGTTTCTTTTTCGTTCCATTTGGTAAACAAATAAACACTGGACTTCATTACACTTTTATCACTGTTTATTTCCCGCCTTTTAGCTTCTTGTTTGTGTATATTTGTGTACATCGTATTAAGCTGCCTATTGTACTATGCGCACTAACCGCATGCGCTAGAATGACCTACTACTAGTAGTAAACTTCGTCTGTTCCAGACTGTTGATGAAAAGCGTGCGACGTTACATTACTTTGAAGGCTTCAATGCTTAATATTTTTGCATAATATGAATTTAATCTGTAGAATCTCACAACTTATAATTGTAAAACTAAGAGTCCTCTCATTATGTTTTATCTTATCTGATTTGTCGTACCACTTTGCAAGAATATCTGCTGTTCTTCTTTGCTTGAATTAAACATATGTCAAATATCATAGTTTCCGCGAAATTTGTCTAGGGAATACGGTAGACCAAGCGTCAATGCGAGCAACTAGACATATTTGGTATTATTGCTCTTTGTTCATAATCGTGAGTGACGAATGAAATGCACTAGGATAACTATGGTATTCAAGGATCAACTGTTGCAAACTAACGCAATCTGAGCTCAACTCTCGATGGTCATGATTCTCTCCCCTGCTCTTTGCGAGCGAGCTTGATATCCTAGTAAGTTCTCATGAAGATCGAAAGCATACATCATGATATCCCGCGACAGCTAGCCTCAACTTACACCCAGTATATCTTTGAGAGGGCAGAATGAACAACTAAAATGTTGATTATCAGTAGTTTGGTGACTTTGGAGCTACTCGCAGCGATTCATATAATAGTGAAGTGTCTATGAGATATCTTTATCGAAAAAATGCATAACTAGCTTATCAGTAGGCTAAACCAATAGCATAAATAGAGGCCGCCCAAGATGCTTTCGTTATAGAGCTACCCTATGTTGCAATTGGGCAAGATTTCTTTCAAATTAGACAGTATTGTAGCTGAGCAGAAGTAAGGTGATTGCAATAGCTAAAAGAACAAATCAGGGGGTATAAAGGCATTCGTCTGTTGTGCAGGAGCTGGTGTGGAAGCTTTTGGCTCTGGATGCAATGGTCGCGGCGGTTCCCAAGCAAACGATGGTTGAAACTGGCTATTATCCTCTTGGTAGACGACGTCTGTATATCTCGGTGCTGGCTTTTGTGGTTTAGGATGCTTCTTTTTGGGTTTCTTCTTCTGCATAGAATTGTTGTTGCTGCTGCTGCTGCTGCTGCTTTTGTCCTGCTTGTGATTCAGAATCAAAGGTTTAGACTAAATTGGTAAAATTAGCATCTTTGCGAGGTAGTTCCCATAGGAGTAGAATGCACAACGTTTGTTTACCTCGATTTTCTGGGATTCATGTTGGCTCAACTGTGCTTGATCGGATTCTGTTAATTGCTTGACATACTCATTATGAGACACTTTATCTGATGATTAGAAAAAGCGTGAATGAGTAAGATGTGCCATCATGCTATGATATTAGTCAGCGCTACCTGGCAGTTTATCAATGTGTATGCCCTCATCTCTCAGTTTCTGCAAGAACTCTTCATCTTCTGCACCCCCAATCAGGTTGATAGCAATGCCCGATGTACCTGAAAGGCAAAAAGCCTTTTAGTTTACAAACTAATACAAATTAAATCAACTTACCGTATCTACCGGTGCGTCCTACCCGATGCAAATACGTCTCTACGTCCCATGGCAAATCTAAATTGATCACCAAGTTGACTCGATCCACATCAATACCACGTGCAATCTGAATGCACAAATCAAGTTACTATCCATTCAATAAGTCTCATATGTGATAAACTTACTAGATCACTGCATACCAAAAGTCGAAGCTTGAAATCTCTCAGGTCTTCCATCACAGATAATCGCTTGTCTTGCGTAATGCCAGCATGGATATGCCCTGACTTCCACCCCATTTCGTTTAGCCAGCGACTCAGTTCCATCGACCGAGGTAAGCTGTTTACAAATATCATCCCTTGGTAGAAGGGCACTTGACCGAGGATCTTTTCGACAGCTTGAAATTTGTGTTTATATCTCTGCAAACTGGATTCGTCGTTTGAAATGGATGTGTTGATGTAATATTGCTGTACACCTATGTTGAAATGAAGCCATTAGTTTTCCACTATATACAGCTTGTGCCATATTTTTTTACCATCCAGTGTTGGTACGCCATCAGTCAGACAAACAGTTTGAGGATCTTTCAAGAATTTCGACACTAATTTCAGCAATTCTTCAGTGAATGTGGCAGAAAATGCGACCACCTGGAATACGGTGCTCTTCATTTTCGAGAATATGTAGTCGATCTGAGGATAAAAGGTCTCTGACATGAGTTTGTCTGCTTCATCCAACACTACTAATTTTATGTGTGTGGTGGACAGTTTCTTGCATTCCAAGAGTGCCATCAAACGACCAGGAGTGCCAACAATGATGTGGCTATGATTGGCATGTTGCACATCTGTTTGCATAGAGATACCTCCAATAAAAGCATGGCATTGCAACGAAGGCATGAATTGGCCAAGATTTCGAACCACATCACGAATCTGAATAGCGATCTCTCTTGTGGGTGCAATGACCATGGCTTGAGGTTGAGTAACGGCAAGATTGATAGCTTCCAATGTGATGACACCAAAGACTACTGTTTTGCCTGTACCTGATTTCGCTTGCGCTATCATGTCAACACCAAGACGGCCCATTGGAATCGCTTTCAACTGTACTGGCGAAGGTTGCTCGTATCCCGATTGCTTTAGTCCTTGTAACAGTTGTTTGTTTTGCAGTAAGCTGTCAAATTCAACCTTTTCTTCAATCTCCACATCCCGAGATCTCTTCATCTTGAATTGTTAATGCAAAACAAATCTAGTGAAAGCACAATGCTGTCTCAGCCACCCATTTATGCCAAAATGGCTGTACTTTTCTCGGTGACTAGTTTTAATCAAATGTTGGAACAAGACTCAAATCCAATTTTTTTTCCTAATTAAAGATTTTTCTTCCTCTCACTCAATTTATATCGAATCAGAAGAAATGGGAAGGTAAGGATGTTGTCGATGAATGAAGCGGCATTGGATATTGATACAGTGGAGACAGACTTCGTCGCAAGAGAACTCATCATGGTATCCGTGATAACTATCGTAAGCAACGTACCAGAGCTTACACTCGTGATCTCGATCAAATTGCTGATGACTTGAAGCCCGAGAACATTGACAAGAAGAAGCATCAAGAGATTGACACTGACTTACCTGGTCTTGGTCAACACTACTGTGTTGAGTGTGCGTAAGTGATTTTTCTTGGACATTTCTACTTGAAAGATCATGTCAGTTTAACAACATGTCAACATTTAGCCGTCATTTCATTTCCGAAGCTCATTTGACAGAACATTTGAAGAGTAAATTACACAAGAGAAGACTCAAAAAATTAGAGGATGAACCTTACACACAGGAAGAGGTATTTTGCACGGCGAGAGATAGGGGCATGGCTGTGGATTTTGAATAACATGTTATATATCAGGCTGATCGCGCTGCAGGCATTGGTAAGCCTGACAATGGAAAGAAGGGTGGTCGAGTTTTGACAAGTCAGGATGTTACCATGGAGGAGTAAATTCCTCTCAAATCTCTCTTTATAATCTTCTTGCTTTTGTAATTTAGTTTTCTATCATGTTATATACTTATATCTTATCCTTTGCTGCAGACACACTTTATTTTAGACTCTAAAAAAATGCAACATCACACGTTTTATCACACTCCACGCATTGAATTTCTTTTATATTATCTCCCACACTCTTTTCCTCAATTTCTCTCTTTTTCTCTCCCTCGAACCCCCCTTTATTTTGAAATTAAAATATTCTTGTTTTTCTTTTTGAGGATTCCCTAATCATTTGTCCTTTTTTTTTTTTATTATTTGTATATCATGTCAGATCAAAATAGCAAAACATTGCAAAAGATCAAAAAGTTTTCTCGATTCATTACGACCAAAGTAAAAGAAAAGACGCTACACAAATCACAAAATGACGCCGAGGGAGATGAGGAAGATGAAGATGCATTATTCCAAGATGCAATGATTGTCCGAAGACATAGTAGTTATATCTACCAGCCCACGAAAAAAGAGGATATAGCAGCTATTACTCTTAAAGAAGGTATATGAACCAATCAAATGTCATTTATTTGCATACTCATTCGAGTGATGTTTAGACTTATACCAGCATTACCACACACTGCCGCCTGCCATGCCACCTACGACATCTGCATTATCCCCTCCACCAAGACAAATGAGATCGAAAACTGTCCGTGCTGATAATGACAACTGTAATGACAAGGCCACGAATGTGATATCTAAGCCATGCCTAAGTCGAAGCAATACATTGGGTCATCACACTCCTATCAGAAACACTCCTATTCATCATTCTTCCTTTAGCACTACTGCAATGTCTTCCTCTTCCTCTTCCTTTATTATGACCTCTCCTCCCTCGTCTACTTCCTTATCTTCATTAAGTGGACGTTGCAATGTTAACCACACGTTGATTAATTAATAGACAATAAAATACATCTCCTAATGAAAACCTTCCTCCTTGAATACAGTAAGTTCTTTCTTTGTTGATCCCCTTCTTTATAAGCTGAGCACAAGAAAGCAGTGTATACATGGCCTCAAACACGTAGTTTTTAAGAGCTATCGTCGTTGTCATCGCAGTAGGAAATGGTAAATCATGCATTTATTTCATTGACTTCAATTTTCCGCCATCTTGGAGATAATCCTTCATATAATTCTTGAAGCTGTGCAACACTTCATCGGATGTTGTATCCCTTGCATAACAATCAATGAATTTGCCTTGAGGGTCCATCAAGTAGATGAAAATCGAATGGTCTACCAAATAATCATCATCCACGGAGACATTGGGTGGTGTATACGAGTAAACACGATAAGATCTAGCCACTTGCTTTAGCTCTTCAGGCGAGCCAGTGAATCCGACCAAATCAGGATGGAAATCCTGCACATAATCTTTCACTACTTCTGCTGTGTCTCTCAATGGATCGCAAGTGATAAACACAGGTGTCAGCACATGATCACCATATTCCTCCTTGACAGCATCTACAACTTCAGCCATTTTGTCCAATTCCTCGGGACAAATGTCAGGGCAATGTGTAAATCCAAAGTAGATCATGGTGAATCGTCCATTCATCAATTCTTCAGAGGTGGTGCGCTTGTTTTCATTGACGTTGAATAGTTCAAATGGCTGGCCAATGTGTGGGCGACCCATGGCTTTGATGGTATCGCGCTCACGTTTGGCTTTTTGAGCTCGTAGTTTCTCCTTTTCTCCTCTGAAATAGACAACAAGGCCTACCGCTGTAATGGCCAAAACAACAGCAGATTTCCATGTAAATGTCTGTCATTTGTCTAAGTATATTGTCGCCATGTGTACACTAGTTTATATTACCTGTGGTGGTGATGGTGGTGGAGTGGCCTTTTGTTGTGTAGTCGAGTAGAAACGATGGCCCTTGTGTCTATATAGGGGTTGTTCTGTCAAACATCTTTTTGTCGTTGCTGTTGCAGTGATTGAACGAGTGAATGAAGGCTATGTGTAAAATGCACAATGTTAAGCTACTTGTTCATGAATTTGAATGATATACCTATTTTCTTACCTTGATAGAAGGTCGAGCAATGATTTGTCTAGGAAGCTTGCTTAAGAACATGAATGCAAATTGTACAAAAAAGAAAATATTTGTTTTGCTAGGCTTACAAAATATGTGATGGTGTAGCAAAAAGCACGCTTTTTCATCGGCCGGTAGTGGTGTAAATAGCAAATCCAAATGAAGCATTTGGTTGTATCATGCGATTGTAAGCCATCGTAACATGTACAGACCTTGAAAAATTGTATGATTACAGAAGTGTACTATAGTTATGTATCTGCTAGCAGTTTCGAATTGTATAATATCGGCTGTAATAGTTTCCCATACAAAATCACTGGGAACGTCTTAGATTTGCAAATTGAGCTGCATAAAACAACATTAAGTTTGACAACAACACCCCCCCCCCCCAGAGAAACGTGTAGACATCTTAATAATCAACCAGGAACAAGAAGAACATTCTTGATGCACTAGTGTCAAATATCTGGTTACAGTTAGAATGACTAGACACCTCCTTTCTATTGAATCCTGAATTTTCACCTTTTCAATCTGCCACTACCACGCGAGAAGCCTCCATAAATGTGGTTCTACTTTTTTTTTTTTTTTTTTTTTTTTTTTTTACAATGCTTCACGACTGCATTAATGGAAAGGGTGTACTCATGAGCAGACAATGCACTTGCTTTATCTCTCAGCAGACAAAAGTATGCAAAGCACAGTTAAATTCAAATGCATCTGGGTCGTAATTTCTCGTGTTCGAAGCCGTTTTAGATCGTCAGGATAGCACCAAACAATTGTTCTCAACCAGCACTTACTTGCTGATACCTCTGCTCAACTTTTTGAGGACCAAAAAAAAATGGACAAAATTTGACCAAAAAGCATGAGGTACCCCCTCATGGTTTTTATTGAAAACCAAACGATCGCGTTTTTGACCTTGAAAACGAAGGCTTTTACTATGGTATATATTAATTCAAAATGTTTCTATCAATCTAAAGTAACCCTTGAAACCATCTTTGTGGAACCTTGATATGTAAAATCTCGACTTTTTAGCCAGAAACCTCTTTTTATATTTTTATAAGTTGCTCAATAAGTTTATTCAAAACATCTATCTTACTTGGTACCATTGGATGCGCCTTAAAAAGTACTCTAAAGAACCATTAGAGAGTATGGGATGATCATCGCAATTTATATAATCAAATTTGCAAAAATGGATTAATTAGGTCGACTTAAGACAAAACCTGGCCAATTTTGGACAGAAAAAAGTAACGGCATTTTAATTTGTTGTCTGTTGTTGGTGGTGGCTAGTGTTAGTGCATCCCTATATAAAGATGATGGATGTTGTTAAAGCACATGAGAAAAGAACTGCAGGTTAAAACGCTCTATTGCAAAGCCTGACCAAGCTATTCTGTCTTTGTTGTAAAATAGTTTTATTTAATGTAAACGCTAGCTTGATATTATTCAATCTTGATGTCCCATTTCAGTCCATGTTCGCCTTTGATTCTCATCTCGCTTAATTGCTTGCATTTGATAAATATGGCAAAAGTGAATGCATTGCCTACAGCATAATCTGGTTTGATATAGCTTTTCTTGGCGTCACCAGCACCTTGCTTGTGAAAAACATGCGTCTTGTCTTGTGTTTCGATTTTGACTATAAAATGTCCATCATCAGACACAGCTCGCAGCAAATTCAGGTTCTCCAAGCTACAACATTCACTGTACACCTGCTTCTTGTGAGGCGACCAACTTGTTGCATTGACAAATAAGTTGATATTTAACTCTAATGCAGTCATCTCTGTGAATGGAAGACAAACACTGAGCTGGAACGGATCGTCCACGAGAAGACAACATGTATCCAACATGAGCTTGTCTATCTTGACAAACATTTTAGATATGCATTCCAAGGCTTGGTGTTGTAATATAGATTTTGTGAATTTTAGTTCAGATACTTGCAAGTTGTTTAGCGTGTTGTTGGCCAGCGGGTAGTTGTAACAAAGCACAAGGCTATCAAAGTGTAAGACCTCGACATGTTTTCTTGCAATAAAAGAGAGCGCCGTAAAGAATATGTGCAGATTGGTTTTGCTACATGTTCTTTCGAGCAATGATCTTGCCGCGACTGTTGATACTTTCTGTGTTTGCGTAGCATCAATGCCTTTGATCATCTGATATTGGCTATCCATGCTTTCGCCTTGAATGTGGATATGATGAGGTGAATACATTTGCATCCATTGCGAGATAAACGTCAAGTAGTCCACTTTGTCGAATCCAAGATCAATGGCGTACTTGCACCATGATTTGGATAATGAGATCACATTGCCACCATCTTGGTTCACGTTGAACAATAAAGTTACAGTTTTACTCTTGATGTTTTTCCATTGGGTTGTAGTGATTGCTGAGAATTTTATGCAACGGCGCAATTTATAAATATCCAAGTAGCTTGAGCGCGAAAACTTGATATTATATGATGTGAGGTTCATGCATAATTGCATCAAATGAGCCCACCACGCAATAGCATCTTGAAGACAGCCATCAGGAAATGAGACGAAAAGCAGATCAAAATTCTCCAATACAGCCATTTTACCCTTGAAATATTGGATAGCAGCTGCAGGGAAGTTGGAGGCACCAATTTTCAAGTGCTTTACATTAGTGTTGGGACAGATTTTATATGTTTGAGGGAATATATGGTTGGGCAGATACAAATGAATAAAAACCAACTCGCGCAAAGTGGCTGAACACCTATCCAACAACGTATCAAAATCTTGCCATGACTTGACTCGCCAGTGATCGATACGTAAGTGTTGCAGAAATGCAAAGTGGCCCAATCGTTTTGACAGCAAAGAATAATAGACTTGTTCAATGTTGTTTACCCGTGCTGTATTGAAACATAGTTGCAATCGAGTCAACGTGTCTTCAAAGCGTATAGCCATAGGTGAGTATAAAGGCGAATTGGCAGCATCAGAAGTAGTTGTAGTGAATGTCTTTAGATGCTGAGGCACTTTTCTTACAGAGTTCACGTAAGTCCAAATATCGTTTTTGACAGCTTGTTCAAAAGAATACAGTTCTTCAATGTTTGGGCAATGAGTAAAGATGTCTTCCAAGAGATCAAAAATGTCACCAAGATCAAGCATACTTTCTTCAATAACCAAGATTTTGACAAAACCTCCGAGCTCTTTTGCATTAATGAGAGTGTTGAGGAAGCGCAGCGTATTGGACCCTAAATGAACTTGTTTGTAGAGAGCATTTTGAGCTGCTTGACTCCAGCCTTTACATACCAGCTGGCATGCACTGATCACGGACGCGTTGCTTTCTAGCATCAGATTGCTTGAGTGCTGTGCATAATGCAATATATTGCACAATATTGGAGATGGCAAGTTGTTCCAGGCATGATTGCTGCTGTTTCTTTTGGTGACCATTATATGTATATGAATTGGAGAGAAAAAAAGAAGGGATATACATCCAGTCGTCGCTTATACGAAAAACACAGCATGATTAATTTATACTCTATGATCGATTGACATCATTGGTATATGAGTGTGAGGATATGCCTCAGTGAGTAAACGTTTCAGCTCAAGAAATAAATCATCTCTTATAAATGCATCAAAATAGCAATGCTGATTCATGTATTGACCGGTGCAGCACGCTCTTCGCCTTTGTGCAATTACATTCAAGATAATAGTCATAGACCAATAGAATAATAGAAGCTAAACAGAGATGAAAACTTGTAATGTCGATCCTGCTCTAGTAGAAACCTCTCATTTGCACGCTGCCTTGTTTGATCAGCATTCATTTCCGAAAGATGGGCCCTTGGATCAGGTAAATCTCCGGTTAAATAAAAAGCATATCCAGGAACATGAACCTTAATTTGAGCCGATCGATACCCATTCGCAATACGCGTGTCTCATTTCAGATGTACTACTACTGTATAAGTGTGTGTATACATGTTGACATGACACGGAAGAAAAAAAAAAGTATGCACGCGTAATACACAAGCGCTAATTTAGCGGCATCGCATCTATTTTAGATGTTTTGGTTTCTACTGAAAGTGCAGGTGGCAATACACTGATAATGTGGGTTGATGACAATCACATCTTTCTCCGAACATACACACAATTGTATGTGTACCTGATTCTTTTTTTTTTTTTGGCTCAGTAATAGGAAGGTATGTATGTTGATGGCCGATGGAAACAAAATGGATGATGACAGACATTTTAATTTTCGCCAACATTTTTTTTTATTATGATTATTTCTTGAACGGGATAGTAATAAGCAGGTAATAGAGAGAGAGATATATATATATTTACTAAAATAAATACGAAAGAGAGAGAGAGAGAGAGAGAGAGAGAGAGGCTGCAGGAATAGGAGGGTATAAGCAAATCAGTAGACGCTGTTACTACTACCAGTAGTAGCAATAGTAGGATGAGGTCTGTAGAAAGCAGATGGCTTTGATGAGGAGGGAGGGCAGTCCAATTTGATTTCATTCTCATTATTCAATAATGCCTGAATGGTATTCATCTTGGGAGATGAGTTGGAGCAAATAGAGGAAGTAGTGGAAGTAGACGATGACTCAGATAAAGAAGGCTGGTAGTTGTGTGGAGGAGCAAGACGCACATTGGATTGCTGTGGTTGTTGCTGAAGTTGATCAAACTTTCTCTTGTGCGATTGACCGTAGTGATAGCCGCTGCTACCAGTATCGTCATGTTGGTATTCGCCGTAATACGGACCGGAATGATGGGTTTGCATATTCCGTTGTTCAACTGATACAAAAGCGGATTTCTGATGATATGGCTGATGATGATATGGATGGTATTGTTGTTGTTGCTGCTGCTGCTGCTGTTGTTGTTGTTGTTGTTGTTGTTGCTTTAATAAGATTTGCAAGATATCCTCAATGACACCAAGACGAGACTCAATGGCTTGAATGGTGGCATTTGGACCATTATTGGATGGCTCTTGTGGTTGAGTTTGTTGTTGTGTGGTAGGATGGTAATAGCGAGGAAGAGGAGCTTGCTGCTGTTGCTGATGTGATTGCGATGTGGCAAGACAAGTAGGAGGAGAAGACGTACTGGCAGCAGATGAAGAGGAGGCAGCCAGTGGACGATTATTGGATGGTCTTGATTTTGGCGAGTTCAAGTATTTGCAATCCATGTTTGTTTTGATACATCCAGCACAAGGTTTCTCCCCATTGCACTTTGTTTTCTTCCGACGGCATTCACTGCACGCACTTACCACCTTGAGTCTCTTGCGTCTGGTTTTATCGACTGGCAACTGCACGGATTTAGGATCGACCATTTCAGATGAATTGTACATTTATATGCTTTGAAGGAATGGAATAAAGGAGAGTATAGTATAGAGTATGTATGAAAAATAAAAGAGATGAAGAAAAGGAAGAAAAAGAAGAAAACGCAATGGTAAGGGCACAGCCATAAGTTTATATCTTAATTTTTTTTTTAAGGGGAGCGACAACGTGGATGATGGGAATACGAAAACACCAAAGGAGGATATAAAGAACGTTCATCTGCAGTATCATGCTTTCTCGAATGAGCTCATCCTACAACAACAAAGCCGTTTCGTTCCACCATCCTATATAAATCATGTGCTTATTGGCAAAATAGCTTATTACACAGTTCACAATTGCACCTTTTTTTTTGATAGAAATGTGCTTCGGATGAGCAAAGAGACACAAGTGGCACTTTATAAAGCGTCAAAGTATGGCTCCGTACATGCTTTTTATTCATCAACGTTATCCGGAACAATAGTTCATAGCTAACGGATGGCAAGGGTAAAATGTCGCCGAAGTTTGCGGCTTCATTTTAAGGTTGAAATGGAGAGATGCTTACGGTGGATGATGAGATGAAGAGTCACCTCTATTCTACCCAGCATTGGAATCCCTTTTAAAATGAAATTTCCAAAATGCATTAATAATATAAATCGCATACCTGCTTCTTTCTCTCTTCTTTCTATTTTCTTTTTTATATATATTTTTTTTTTCAATTCAATATCAAAACTACCAGCAACATGGGAGAAGAGCTCAAGCAAGACATTGGTAAGTCAATAAGCATATACCATGTTGAGAGTTTATGCCAACAAGACACACAGACTGGGAAAGCAAATGGCAAACCGGCAACACGCAATGGGATGCAGGAAAACCAAGCCCTGCTTTGATTGATCTAGTCGAAAATGAAGAGACTAAAAAGTTAATTCCTGAGCACGGACAAGGATTAGTTCCGGGTTGCGGATCAGGTAACCCTCATTAGACAAGCACGAGTTGACATGCTTCATTTATACATGTTGGTTTTTTAGGTTATGATGTTGTATTTTTAGCTAGTAAAGATAGACATATGACTGGCATGGACTTTAGTCAAACCTGTGTCGACAAGCTGGTCAAGGTAAGAGTGGCAATCGTACGATGGAGAGAAAGAGAGAGAGAGAGAGAGAGAATCATGCCATTGACCATGCTTGGTTGTATAGGATCATCCAGACGCATCTGCCCATAATTACGATTTTATATGCGCTGATTTTTATAAATTCAAGGCACCTGAGGAAGGATACGTTCTTGCTTATGATTACACGCAAGTATCTCGCAATCTTATATAGGCATTGCATGGACTAACCCACCCACTAGGTTCCTCTGTGCCATGGAGCCCTACATGCGTCCTGCCTGGGCTCAAAAGTATGCGGAAATCATTCAAAAAGACGGTATTTTGATTACATTGATGTACCCTCTGGATAACCACGAGGGTGGACCACCTTTTGCCCTAAACGAGCAAGTGTAAGTATCTCAGTGTGCAACTTGAAGACATACGGAAGCGGAATAATGCCATGGGAAAAAGAGACTAATAATATATTTTAATTGAATACAGGTACAGTGAATTGTTGTCTGCTCATTTCGATCTCGTATTCATCAAGGATGCCGTTGGACATCCATCGAGAATTGGCAAGGAAAAGATTGCAATCTGGAAGAGGAAATAGCTTTATTCTAAGCGAGGTGTCTTTTGATGCTCGGATGCTGATGCTGATGCTGATGAGTCTTCTAATTTGCGCTTTTCACTATGTGCAATGTATTAATAAACAGCATGTTCCTATATACATCCACATGAGCAGAATCTATCACCTGTTGTTAATGTTGTGGGACACGGGTGTGGCAGCAAATGCAATGTCAGAACTCAACGGAAACGAGATACAGTACATGTCTTTTTTAGGTGCAACATTGCGAACCCAATGAACTGAGCTTTTGCTGACATCGGGTTTGCCGCCCATGATTTGGCCCACACGCTTCAACTTGGTGGTTAATTTCTTGATATGTACACACTCAGCAGTAACTCACCTCTGAGATATCTTGCATAGCATCACTGCTTTTTGTGAAACAGTGGCAGTGGATCATGGGTAATTTAGCACGAGCACTTGCGTTGAACAAGTCTTTTTGATCATGATAGAGGCCACGGAACGCATCTAAAAAGTCAATGGCAGTAGCAGGCAAATTCATGACAAAGTGATCAAATGTCTTCCATTCATCCGCTGAAGTAGCTTGCAAATCTTTCACGGCTTGTTTGATAAAGGCACGGCCATCCATGTTGTAAGGGAAGATGCCGCTGGTGATCTTGTTGTGCTTGATGTTCTCCTTCATGTATTCGTAGGAGGAAGGGTTCAAATCATTGGCATAGACAATGGACCCCTTTTTCGCTGCTGGTAATGCAAATGGTCCCACGCCAGCAAAGACATCACACACGTACTCATTTGGCTTGAACAATTGAACAAGGCGATCGTGCTCTGTGTGTAACCGAGAATTCCAGTACACCTTGGAGAAATCAAACTTGAATTTGCAGCCGCTTTCCTTCTAGCAGCAGCAAATGTTGTTACTTCTCTGTAAGTCCATCTTTTCAGCCAGCACCTACCACTTCTGCAATCATGTCGTCTTTGCCAGCCAAAATCTCCATCTTGAAGAATCTAAAAGTGGTGTCTATGCTGTTTGTCTTGTTGACCACTGTAGTGATATTCTTGTTTTTCTAGTCTTGCAGAATCAGCATATTGACAACATAAACCTCCCTCGGCCATACCACGCCTTACGTCTAAAATAACCTCGCCGATCAAATGCTTCCATGGATAGTAGTTTTCACGTAGATTCATATGAGCAATATGTCCAACTTGAGTGAATGAAGAGGGAATGTCGGTTGAATCTTCTGGCATGACAGCGTGCAAGATTTGTTCAGCTGTCCAAAAGTTGTAATCCAATTCTAATTCATGTTGAACTAGCTCCCAGTTGTGTTGCTGAAGGAGCTCTCGCTTCTCTTTGGAGAGACTCTCTACACTGGTGAATCAATATGGGAAGCCCCTTGACTCGATGACAGATGCATGCTTACCGGCATTTTGTAATCCCAAACTCAACAACACAAGCTTTGTTTCTTTGGATGATGGGTCAGGTTCCACGTTGCGAAGTCGAGGCTGATTGAATAGATCACTGTAAGATATTTAGTATTTCTGAATTTTGACGTTTTTAAGCTGATGATTACTTTTGGAATGATTTCTTTGCAAGACCTACTTGCTTGGTGGGTACTTTAATAGCTAATGTCTTGACTACTTTTTTAAATGCAGAGCGCTCGAGCTCTTTCATGCCTCGATGAAGAGGAGGTGCAATGGCATTCATCTTGAGGAGAATGAGAAAGAGGTCCAAAAGAAGGCGAGAAAAAAATTATTTGATTAAAGCAAGCGATCTACCTCCGCTTCACTTGATGGCAGGAAGAAGGCTTGTTTGGCGTGCCTTGATCTTGCACAATTTCAACTCCTCATACGAAAGTTTTACCAATGCGCTCAATGCTTTTGGGCACAGGACCTAATCGGTTCTAAAGATAATCACCACCTATACTATGGCATTTAGTTGAAAGCTGCAGCCATGAAATGTGCAATTCAAAACGGGGACACACATTGACATGAGCAAAAACTAGAGAGCATTTATTAGACATTATGTACTATTCGATCAGTTCGAAATCCTCGCATGGTTCATTCGCTGTCACCAGGCATTGAATCAACTCTTTGCACTTGATCCAGATGAGAAAGTTGTCTTCTGTTCCTGCAGCTACATCATCACAGTTATTCTCGGTTATCTTCCCGCACTGTCTTTTACTGATATACGTCTTGCTATCTGTCTCAATCTTGAGCGTATAGTGACCCTTTGGTGATATTGCCTCGAGTAAGTCATTGTTCTCCAATTTGCAAGTGCGATAATCATAATCATAAACAAAATACTCGACTGCAATAACCAAGGGGCGAATCACTACCTTCAAGGTGTGTATGCTGGTGAAAGGAAGATGCAACTTGAGATTGTACGGCTCATCCATCAATATGCAACTTGTATCAAAGACCAGACGATCGATCTTTGGCAAATGGCGAGACACGGTGTGCAGGACACTGTGCTCAAGAAAGCAGCTCTTAAAGGTTATATTGGATACTCTGGCGACAGTGAGATCCACCGCGGATTTCTGTTTGAATGCAATCAGGTTCTCGAAACAGAAATTTTGGTTCTTGAGGGGGGGGTCCAGGAGCGCAAGAAAAGACTTGAAGACTGTCCATGATGTGTGGCCGTCTTCGAAAAGAATACGCTCAAGACCTTTTTTTGATTTTCTGGGCTGGCACAAAGTCGTATGACAATCCACTTAAATAGGCGCAGTCATCATCACTGGGATTGCTATCCGCATCTCCAGTGTAAGCAAGAGCCTCGTACACATTATCCAAATTTTTGAATAGCAATTGAATTGAGTCTGGCGAGTATAGCTGTTGCAATGATCTCACCAAGTCAGACAGGCGAAAATCAGTGGAATATCGTTGATCAGTTGCCACATCATACGAGCTGGGTGTCCACGACATCAAAATGCTATTCATATCAGATTCGTAGCACGCTTCGTAACAATACTTTAATTTGAAATGCCTTGAGCATGTCGTAGGCGCTGTCTTTTGAACAATATCCAAGCATCGTATCAACTGATCCACCCCTGGCTCTTGTCGAAAGTATGACAACTGTATTCCATAGGTGTATCTTGTCAGGGCCAGACTGATGCTGGTCAAGTGTCGCCACCATGCCGCTATGGCTTCAATGGATTCACTGCCAGTATTGAATCTTGCATCCAACTCCTTCAGTGCTTTAAACTTGATGGCAAAATGATGCATTGTCTCTGGGGTTGTACGTGCTGATTTGATTCTAAGCTTGGTGATGGTTGTATTCGGCGTAATCGTGTCCTGGGGTGGCACGACAATGCCCGTTGTTGACCACCACTCCTCCACAAACAGCTCAGACAAGGATGGGGAACAACTATTAAGCATGTGATCCATCTTGTTTACATCCTCAAATAGATACTTGGCAATGTCTAGTTGCTGTAACGCTAGAAAGAGATAGAGTTTGTACTCAAGCTCCCGGTATTCAATGAACCTTGTTGTCTCTTTGTCTAAACACTCATGTGTCAGATGGAGTTGCTTCATCGTATTTCTGTATCTCAAGGCAACCGCCTCGTAGTCTACTGGATCCACTCTTCTCCAATGATTTTCAGTTTTCAGCTTTTCGAGACCTTTGATGCTGTTGCCTTCTGATAAAAGAAATTCTACCATATCGCTGGTTTGATGCAAAAAGCATGAATGTATTTGCTTGACGTTGACACAGTATTGAACAATGGCTTGCAAAATCTCATCGAGATGTCTTTTGTTCGTGTCAAAATTTTCCAAGAAAACTACCTTTTGGACAAATAATCCAACATGAGGTGCTTTTGTGATTGTCGTGGCAAAGGACCTTGCGTGTGCGGCCAACTTGACATGCTGATAAAGTACCTCTTGCGCTGGTTTGCTCCAGCTCTTGCATACGAGCTGAAAAGCCTTCAAATCCTTTGTATTTGGCGCCTCTGAGTTACTATTCACATGTCGGACAATACACTGCAAAAGCTCGTGCAATAGTTTGGAACATGAGGACATGACTGTAGTTGGATGAGCAAAAAAAAAAAAGAAGCAAATGTTGGCAGCTGCACTTGAATACATGGTAACCATGGCAACAAAGCCCTCTATCTGTACAACAACAATTTAATTAGATCATTTCAAAATTGATTCTACCTGATACAGGTTCTAAGCTAGATATACGAACTTTAACAACCTCTCCCACTTCTAAATTTCTCTCTAATCTATCTATACGGCCACGAATTCCCAGTTCCAGTAATGTACCAGTCGCCACATCCATGGTGCCTCCCAACTCAGTAGAGGCATTGCGATTAGGCATATTCACAATGCAGTTCCACTCCATACGATCGGTAAATCCATCCACGCGCATACGATCCAACAAACTAAGCACCCAGAATTGAATGCCTCTCTGCTGCAGCAAACTAAGCTGCTTTTCTCTGTTCATAATGCGTGATGACAAGGCTTGCAAATGGCTGCTGGAGAACGGTAATGGCTCGCCCAACAAGTGAGATTTCAACTGCCAATGCACAACCATATCCATGTATCGACGCAAAGGTGATGTCGCTCGTGTGTAGCCATCCTGGATGCCCATGATAACGTGTGGTTGATTGGATTGTGTAGTGACCGTACTAGGAGGCAAAATGGACATGTACTTGGCCATATCCTGTGTTCCAATCATACCAGAAATAGGATCTCGACTGGCTAGTAGTTCTTCTCTTAAACGGCATTGTGCATTGGATGCATCAGGGTTCCACACCTGCACACGAAATGGAAGTGGGATATTGTGAGCATGTGCAAATTGACTAGCAATACGACCACCTATAATCATGGTCTCTGCCACCATCTTTCGAGCTGGCGAAAAGGCTGATTTATCCAAAGTGACCCGCACAGCAGGCAAATGAGAGGCATAAATGGGTGATTTGAATTGAATGCGAGGTAAATCAAGCGGTTGTGGCAGTATTTCAATCACGGGAGAAGGCTTTGTAAAGTTGATGGCGCCGTTAGCCACTCGGTTGACGCTGTGTTTTTGTGCCATTTGAAATATATCAAATAAATCCTTTTTGGCGTTTTCAGGTACAGTTGGTTTTCTTGTTTGCTCTTGGTTGTCCTTGAACGCAAAGGCATCGCTGGAAGGATGCGAGAAACTCTTGGTCAAATCGACCAGGGGATCATAGGTGATGGTGGCTGCAGGCTTCAACATGTCGTCCAAGTCGTCGTAATAGACCTTGATTACGTTCTTCACTAGACTGGGTCGCACCTTGTAATCCAGCAAGTTACCCTTCATGTCGATGCGTGTACTGAACGTCAATGCATACTGAGACCCGTTCTTGTTTGTGTGTGCTGTCGAACCTAAACTGAACTTTTTGGATGATAATTCTTCAGGCAGCATAGGGAAATGACGTTCTGGTAGGTACAGTGTTTGCGCCTTTTGTTGTGTCAGATGTGCCAGTTCATCTGTGGGCTGGATATAGGTTGTGGGATCTGCAATATGCATATGGAGCCAAGCTGAGTTGTCCCCTGGAACATGTTCAATGGAAATACCGTCGTCAATTTCTTTAGCAGATGGATCGTCAATGGTGTACACTGCCAAGTTTCCAAAATCATGGCGAATGGATGCGTATCTGTCTTGCGTACCCATGTTGTGATCAGTCAAAAACGCTGTTGTATAAGCCTCCATCTTTTCATTGCTCTCTTGCGACTGCTTGGACCAGAAAAACTCTTCTGCTTTCTTTGCATCTTCCAGTAACCCCACATTGTCCCATGGTGTAAACATGCCAACTTCCTTGAGAAACTGAATGGCCAGAGGTCTGTCATAAAACAGCTGATCATAGCATTTCAGTGCTTTCAGAATGTTGGGCACAAAGACTTCGTACGGCGAATCCACAATGACTTTGGGTGATTTGACCCAATCCAATATGAAATTAACAAACTCCTTGTCTGACTCGGTCAATGTGCTGGTTACTGCGGGTGCTAATTCAAGCGCTGTCCTCGAAAACGTACCCAGCACAGGGTCTGCATGCGTCTGGTAGAATGTCACGAGTGTCTTGATACGAGACAAGAAACCTGTATACGACGCATCTCGACTTCGGATGGAATCAATGATGCGCGTCAATCTATCGCACTCGGTCTCTGATCGAAGCGTCCAATTGTTTGATCCAAGCACATCTCTTGAAGGAATGAAATGTATATTGTCAGACACCAAATGCAAGAAAGTGACATGGCGTTGCAGTTCTGTCGGTTTGTTTGGTGATTTGAAGGCAGCAGTTGCTAATTGATCCAAAGAAGCTTCTGTTTGTGTGTCGACTTTTGAAAAGAGCTTGTGCAGCTGCGTCAATCCTTGATGGCTAGCACCCTTTGACATGGTTAATGTTCGCTGATAATGCTGAATGGCTCGACTGTAAGCTGAAGGAATGTTCTGTAATAGTCCATTCGCATCCACATCTTTCCAATTCGTAGGTTCTGTAACGGTTTGCGATACTTGTTGACTGGCAGCGAATCCCTTGAAACAGAATGCTACACTATCACTTCGAACAATGGTCGTTTTGCCATTGCGGAGTAAGAGTGTCAATTGCTGTAAACCACCACTGGTCCCCTTTTGACCAACCACCATGCCACTATACTGCCCGTTTCTTAACCAAAAGATAGCCATGTGAGTAGACGGATCAAACTGAAAATTATATAGCACAGTGCTCACCTGAATGCTTCTACATAATCACCCAGGCTTATCTTGGGGAGTTCCATCAGTCGCTGCTCGGTGTTCAATACAATAGTAGAATCAAAGCCATTTGATTTACCCTGGCTGCTACTTTGGATTGCAGGCGTCTTTGGTATGGATGGTATATGCTTACGTCGAATAGCAACTGAAGGTAGCGCCTTGCACCTTTTGATTTGCCGAGTGCTCTGTCGAGCTAATAATCTCAACATGGGCTTCAATAATGTAGCAGGAAGAATAAAAAGGATGTCGAAATGGCCATCAAATTTTTTTCACTAAATCTTCACTGTCAACTACGGATGACAGGCTTAAAACTCCGTGATTTACTATGGTGATTCTGTTCATACCATTCCTAGACTTGATTCTCTTCATTTCCAAGTGTATCAAATATCGCGAAAGATTGTATCAAATAAATCAAAGCATTCTGTACGTTTAACAAGATGTGAGGGCTTTTTTTGTTTTGTATTTATTGTCTACCCCTATTTCCTGACTTGCAGCGATGCTTGAATGCATGGGGAAGCATGCCATACTCTAATGCGCCTTTTGGAAACAAGAACTCATGCACAGAGAGTTTCACTTGTTTGCAATTTACCACACATGCTTTCGATGCTTATGGCAATGTATTGGGTGAGTAATGTCATTGTGTGCTCTAGGGCCTTTATTACATATACATTTAAAATGCATATTCTGATCCAATCCAAAAAAAACAACTACTATTTTAAAGTTACCAAAGCTCTTTTTTGTTCTCTCTCTGAACTTGCAAACAAATACCATACAACGAGTCTTGTGCTAATTGCAAAGAAAATAGGGGTTTAGAGGGATAACTTTTCCTTTTTCGTATTTTGTTTACAGAGCTATCGGCATAGTGCATAACATAAAGTTTAGTTGTATTTGAGATGAAGATGTCTTAGTGTTGGATCCCGCCATTAATTCGATTTGCGAAAGAGCATATTATTAATGACATGAATAATCGTGAAGCAGCAATTTATTCGATTTATGCACTTGACAGTTGTTTTGCAGATGATGAAAATATAAACACTTTGGGTGCATATTGTAGACGACGTGGTGCAAAGTGCAATTCCTACTTGGCTGCTTTTTGCAACATTTGCTATAATCACAATCCATCTCAAAACATAAATACAATGTCTGATTGCATGTTCATTACTTTTTTCTTTACAAAGACATCAATCTACTCATAAACTACATAATGCAAATCAAGCTTTTTCTCAACGTCATTCCTATCGTCTGCTTTTTCGCTGTCGCCCTCGCTGCCCCAGTGAATGAAATCCAAGCTCGTGATGGTGGTCTTCTTGACGATGGTCTTCTTGATGATGGTCTTCTTGATGATGGTCTTCTTGATGGTGGTCTTTTTGATGGTGGTTTTCTTGATAATGGTCTTCTTGACCAGTAGCAATTACCTATGCCCTCTGCATACTTTGTATGTGAGCAAATAATTTCCTGTACTAAATATTTAGCTTATATATATATATATATCCACAATAAATATTGCTACGTCTCTTTTGCACGCAGCAGATGCTCCAATGAATATCCTTTGAGTATTACGTAACTAGCCGATCGATTTCGCTACGCTCGATGAGGGGGTCACCCTGCGAGCTAACGCCAAAGACTTTTCAAATCAGAGATAATAAAAATTTGGTACATCAAGTAGATTTCAAACAATCAATTGATAGTAAACAAGGTTATATCCGAGTCAGGAGTAGCAGAGGTATCCCCGCTGCGCCCTCCTTTGCTAATACACTGATACCAAACGAAAACTATTATTGAGTCGATGTGAGAGAGTTCAGTCTTGTGCAGCAGTTGTACATCATATCCATTTTTGCCACATCTTTTGGTAGTAAAATCCTCATGCCATTTGCTGATATTGTTTATGAGATGGGGACATAAAGCTGGCCATGTATAAATACAGGACTTCTATGAGATCTACAGTGAGATTATTATTGCAAAAAAGACCTTTATAGGGAATAACTCCTAACAAAAGCAAAAAAGAAGAAAAAAAATGTTTTCAAGCTAAGTGATTGTTCTTTCAAATTCATAGTTTCCATTTAGCCAGCATCGCAATCCTCATTGTTTTCTTCAGAAAAGCATTTGGGTTAGCCTGTGGCAGCGCCAAAACTCATTCAAGTTCAGTGTATTTTTTCTGCTCAAGATTGGCCAAATCTCGTTTTTTGTCGACTTCGTTAATCTACTTTATCAGATTCGACTATACAAATTGTAATGATCATCCGTTGCTTCCTAATACATTCTAAGAGTACTTTTCAAGGCGCTTCCAATGGTTCTAATTGGAGGAGATGTTTTGGATGAAATTATTGAGCAATTTGGTACAATATGAAATGGTGCTTTTAGCGAAAACAGTCATATTTTGCATATATAAACCTCACAAAAGTGGTTTCAGAGGTTGCTTTGGATCGAGGGAAACATTTTGAATTGATATATACCATAGTAAAAGTCTTCATTCTCAAGGTGAAAAATGCGATTGTTTGATTTTCGATAAAAACCATGAGGTACCTCTCATGGTTTTTGGTCAATTTTGGTCGATGTTTTTCAAGTCCCAAAAGAGTTGCGTAAAGGTGTTAGAAGGTAAGTGTTAGATGAGAGCAATTGTTGGATGCTATTCTGGCAGTCTAAAACAGCACCTAACACGAGAAGCCACAGCTCAAATGCACCTAAATTTTACCGTATTAGGCATACACTCGACTTGAAGGGGTAATACTAGTATGTTACTTACCCATATATAAGGTATTTACATGTCTACAGATGTGAAACATCGCATAAAAGTTAAATATACAGAAAAAATAAAGGATTCTCATATAAAAGTAGAGGGTTAAAACAAAAGTAGCAGTATATTTAATAAGATGGGGGGTTTTTGCCTGTTTTCTAAAGATCAGTCAGTATTTATCATCAAAACATTATGTTAAGCATTACTAAATATTGTAGATCAAAGAATTTTCTGTCGAATGAGCTATTGCTTGAAGCTCTGGCATAACTTTATCAGGAAATATTGAAAATCTTGTTCTGGACAAAAATTTGGTGACAATTTTTTCCTTGTTATCACAGGCAGATTTTAAACAAAAATCCATGATTTTGCATGATACCTGTGGAATATATCCACTATGATCTGCATTCCGACAGTTCATCCAGTTACCAGATTTAGATATAAACTGTATGTACACTGGATTAGATGTACGATATCGATTTATACTATAAGAAGATATGAACTTCAGATACGCTAGTACTATAAGATTCATACTATATAAGATATAGGCTATAGATGGCACCACGGACATGGATGGCACTATAGACTTATACTTGTATTCCGACATTGACTACTACGGATGTTTACCATATCTGGATAGGCACCAAGATTAATGCAATATGAGCTTGTTGCTTCAGATGTGCACTTCATGATCCACGCTATAAGACACATGCTTATATCCGTGATACTAGCTACAGATACTTTATGTACTACAGACTTGTACTATATATGAGACATGCTATAGACATGCATACGATATGCTATAGACATGCCATATATCCAGATAGATGCTAAAGATGTATGCTCAGCGATATACACTCAGATATGTACTATTGATATAGACTAAGAAGACTGCACCTATCGGATACATGCTACTAGATCGATATTAATTATCCTTATAGAAAGGATAGATCAGGGTACTTTGGATGAGAGTCTAATTATTCATCCAGACAGAGCTAAATCATGATTAGCTTGCTAGAGTTGTCTTTTAGCATGATTAGACATTAGTTGATCTGAGTTGACTTATTTGTTAATCTAATTAATAGAACTTTTATCCATTGTTATAGTATATAAGAAGGATCATCTACCTGGCCAGTAGAGAGACTTCAGTTTACTTTACACCTGTCAGTTTGATAATAAAACATACCTTTATCAAGTTGACTTTATTGTTTTTTTTATTCTTTTTTTCCCGTGAATTTTAGTCTATAAAGCCTCAAATTCCACACTTGGTGTCAAATCTTGTATTATGGAACTTACAGGCATCATGGATGTCTATTCGCCCGACTTTGATACAAAATATCGTTGTTTGCTCGCCCCCATTATGCTGACATCGAGTCTGGCTGTCTGGTTTCAGCCATTTCTCTTTAAATATGAGTGTTTTACATCGTGGATAGGCTTTAAGTCTAGTTTCAAGGCTAGGTATGATATTTCTGTTGTGGGTAACCATCAAAAAGGCCCTGCTAACCTGACACGCATCTCTTTCAATCTGAGAAAGTTATTAAATTCAAATTTGCAAAATACCATTGACGCTCAAGGAATGAAATTACCGTATTCGCGTATTTCAAAAAGAGGGAGGTTCTGAGCCTTAGAACCAGAATAAAAGCGTCGATCGCTTAGGTGTTTAGTTCTACAAATGCAGGACATCAGAAACATCAGACAGAGCTGTAATCTGTTTACTTCCAAGGCAACACAACCTACTACGTCTTATTTTTAGGACAAATTCTGCCCAAATTTAGTCATTTTGAAGCACGAATAACTCATGCTACAAAGCGTCGTGGAAGCTCGGAATAGGTCCAGGCGTCTTTCCTTATCCACCCTTTACTTTCTGATGCTTTATCTCAACTTTTTTTGGGTTATTACAAATTCATGAAAATCCTCATTTTTTGATGTGTACTAGTAAGGGAAAATTCTTGAAAATCAAACGATCGCGTTTTTCGCCCCAAAAATGAAGACTTTTCTTATGATACATATAAGATTAAATTGATCGTAAAGATGGAATGCAACACTGGAGGCTCTTTTTTTGAGACTTGCATATGCTAGATTTCGATATATTCACAAAAAACCTGTTTTCATATTTTTGAAAATTGCTCATTACTTTTAGTCTGTAAGCAGAATGTAACTAACACTACTGGATGCGCCTTGTTTAGCTCTCTATAAATGCATTAGAAAGTTGGGTACAACAATGATAGTTTCTATAGTCAAATTCTGCAAAAACGTTTAAAAGATGTCAGATCAAGTCAAGTTTAGTGATAAAACTGACCACTGCATAAATCCAAATTTGAGTACCGCAACGGCCGCTGCCGCGGCGGAGAATTATGGTCAACTCTACTAGCTGTGACGTCGGATAGGACGCCCTCTCATTATTCCATTCCCCCGTTTTTTTTCCCTTTTTGCAAAACGCGTTCAGCATCAAATCATGGTGGTTTTGGAAACCGTTTAATTGATAGTAACACTCTAACTTTTGATAACACAATTTTGTATTGTTAAAAGTACTCGATACTGCCTCTTTGAAGTGGAATACAGTAGGTACCATTCGATAACGAGCAATATAAGACATAAAACCGGTACTAATCGAATTTCTTTATTATGTTTCGATAATTTTTTTGCCTGTTTGGCGTGGGTGCTGCTGCTATTCCTTTTCTGTTGTCTCTGCTATCTCTGTTGTCTGCCTCTTGGTTTTTGTCTGGTCTTTGGTGTCGTTTGTTCTCTGGTATTTCGATGGTGCTGGTGTTGCTGCTGGTGTTGCTGCTGCTGTTGCGAATTTGGTCTTTCCTGGTCTACTGTCTTTGGTGCATGCTCGTTCTCTGGTCTGTCTCCGGTGATTGCCTATACTCTTCTGGTCTATCTGTGGCTGTGGTAAGTGGTAAGTATCTTTTTTCTTTTGGTTGCGATGATATAAAACTTCTTTGAACGTTTATATTATTGCTTCCTTTCTCATGATAATGCATTCATGGTATTTACTTTGTTGCGCTTTCTTCTTCTTTTGCTGGTTGAATTGTCTCTGTGGCTTCACATGAGACAACATTAGTCATTATGTTGTAGTGCAAACTTATACCACCATTGCTTTTGCAGTTGTGCGTGTTTGCGTTACTTTACATTCAACTATTACCATGCACTTTGCTCATGTATGCAATTCTGTTGCAACAACAACGAGCTGTTTTGAACATCTTTGATGTTATATTTGTGATATGCTTTTCTTTGGCCCACTTTGTGTGAGTGTCCCTTTTTTTGCCTACATGTTACAATATTCCTATAGTAGTATGTTCTTTTCTTCTTTCTTTATTATTTTTATGTTTCTTTGAAGCATACTTTTTTACGTTGTGGTGGATGTGCCTATCACTGAAGCTCAACAAGAACTTATCCGAGGTTAGGAGGTAGATAGGCTGCCTCCACTTGGTTATCGCTACTTACTTTAGTGATGATTGAGGGTCTCAATGCCTGAATTTAAAGCTAGGTGGTGCAAGTAAGGCATGCTCTAGCACCTGAGGGAAATTTGATGATAGTTACAGCTATATTGCTATATATAGCGGAGCTTAAAATTTTGCCTCACATCAAAACAAGGGGAAACCCTCGCAAAATTTTTTTTAGATAAGCGGAATTTTCCAGCAATCTGATTGGCTAGAGGGTTCAAACAGCGAGGGTCTACAACTAGTTGATGTACTATTGATCTGTCATTTATTATAATTATGTGTTTATAATAAAAAGGTAACGATATAAATACAATTTAAGTCCTTTTTTTTTATTAAAAAGTAAGATACGTTATAATTACTTGATCTGGTATTTATTATACAGCTTTATGTGGGGTGCTGTTTAATAAGTTTATTATACGAGGAAAGCTCTATAGGTACAGTGATACATTTTATACCAGGTTCTTTTCGTACCAAATGCCTCGCCGAACATGCGACGTTTATCAATGATAAGCGACGCATGTTTTCATCTGATGGGCGGCTATCTTTTACCTCATATCAATGATAATGGACTTGCAAAAGTATTTCTAGTTTGGAGGACTAGGCCATCATTCAAAATCAAGTTATAAAATATTGATGCTAGAGCTCTGAAAGAAGCATGTTTCTATAGTAAAAGTCTACCAGATGAGGTCTCACTTTGTAGAGTGATTAATGAATAGCCAGGTTGAGCTGTCAGTTGATCAAAAATCAACATCCAAACACTTCTTTTTTATATTAATTTCGTTGCAGTTTTCTCACTTCCATTATTTGACAACCAGTGTAGCGACTGAACATCCCTTTATATGTTTCGCAATCCTGCAAAGTGGACATATAATGGCTTTGCTATAAAGGCTGTAGTATCAGCATAGGGCTAGGGATAGTAGCTGTTTCCTCTTTTTCACAAAATGCGCGGCACAGCATTAAACATTTGCCGCACGACAACAAAGAAGCAAGATACCCCCTAGCGGCTTTGAATACAACGTTTTGCCACACATTATCTATTAATCTATTATGCGTAATTGCTGGTAGCTAACAGATTGTATTCAAGGAAGGCAGCAGACATTCTGTTTAGAGCTAATAAAATTCATGTTTCCATCCATCATTTCGGGCTCCAGGTAAGTTTATCAGAGTTAACATTTGCATCAAATGGCATTACATCTCTCAGTGATTTCGAGTAATTGGTGAATCTGCACAAGACAAGAGATTTTCTAGCAAGATTAAGTTCTGTCAGTCACTGAGTAGTAGTAACAAATCTCTGGAATTCTAGAATGACAAGCAAAGAAAATTCACTCAAATACCCTTTAGCGCATTATCTGGATAAATGCACATCGCATTTGTGCAAAGGAATAACAAGTGTCAAGTAGCCTTACAGTAATTTTAATGTGATGTAAGGTTTATAGGTACCGAATGTTTATACATGCCCATTCCAACGCTAATGTCCAGCTTTCGGATATTGGCTTTTAAATATGTGGTTTAGTCCTTACAATAAAAGAAAGGATACCCATCGATCCGTTCTACACGTGCAGATAGACATCAGACCACTTTACATGGCTTCGGGCTTTTCAGGCTTATTTCTTGTGTTATTGAAAGATGCTCAATGCTAAGATATTGAAAGCAGTTACTTTTAATGCAGCCATCATCAAGCACTCAACTTAACCTTGGTTATTCGACAGTTTTCAACATTCATGCTGCTAGTCTTCAATGTTGAAAGACTGTAATAACCCCAGAATTACTATTCAGAGGTAACTTCAATCTCGATTCAAGCGCATACTCAATGTGATCCACATGCCATTCTGCACGATGCTCCTTTCTATCTGGCATCGCGCACAAATCAATTGATTTGCACGACATTCAAGATATTGAATGGGTGTACACAGCAGAGCCCCTTTTTCCTATTTAAAACCCAAAAGCGATATTTTTTTTTTTTTCTGATAACCTTCTTTTTCTCTTTCAAATTGACAACCCCAATGGAATCAATATCATTTACAAAATTTAAATCATGGTAAAAACTACAAACCAGAGTTAGCAGACAAAGCAGCGTCTGATGTTTTCTCATCTAGTCTGGATACATGGGCAAAGCAAAATGAAAAGGGAGAACAGTGCTTATCGCGCCAAGTCCTTGGCTCGCCATCAAGTGAATTACAGGATGTCTCTGATGAGTGTAAGCGTTCTATCATAGGCTTGTGCAGAAGGGAAAGATGATTGATAGAAATGGAATAGTAAAGCAGGTGCTGGACACCATGTTTGAGGAATATGCCGCCATTGTGGATCAACTTGGTTTGGCTGAAAACTTGCAAAATGACGACGACGAGAGCAATATACCCAAAGAGATTGTCCTTTTAAGAAACTGCGTCGACATGTATGACCAAGAATACCTGGTCAAGGTATTGTATAAGACAAGGGCAAGAAGGCAATAAAAACTCATGTTCCAAATAGGAATGTATACGAGGCATCGTTAGTGGTGATGGCTTTGCTACACAGCAACATTTAGCAGGATCTATAGCCTTGTGGAAATCAGAGTCATATTTAGATGAGCAAGTGCAAGAAGAAATAAAGAAGCTATAGTGGCTGCATTTGATATAGTACACTGGTATTTTCTTTTATTTCAATTAGTAGTTTGATGCAGATATAGTTGAATTTAATGCGGATGATCTCTTTATCTCTTCCTGTTCTGATGTGGAAGCAGGCGTGTTGGTTCCAGTTGTCGTTGTTGGGGTATTTGCTCCACTGTTGATCAATCTTCTCTTGGCCAGAAAGTTACCAACGACCAATTCAACACCAAATAGACTGGCAAAATCAGTAATGAAATTATGGCTTTGATTCTCCCACATCTCCAGATGATCAATTACTGTGGATCTCACTTTTTCAATGTTGAGTTTGGTCTTGATTTGTTGCTCTTTCAAAAAGGAGATGTTCAGCTCTTTAGCAGATACACCTCTCTCCAGGTTTCTTCTCAGAAATTTGTCATAATCACGTACAATGCGAGTGATTAAATCGGATGTTGAGATACCATCTGTGCGCTTGGTAGGTAAGAATTTTCCTTGCGACTTGACGAAAGCATAGACATCTCCGGATTCAGAAGATTGGTAAGGTTCAGCATCGTGTGCTACATAATCTATCTGATGTTCGTCCAGGAACTCCTGTGTAACAAACCATGGGGCTGCTTCTACAACTTCATCGACCCATTTGCAATGACGAACTGATTCATAGCGTTCAACATCTTTCATGACTGTTCTGCCCTTTCTCTTGTGAGTTTCCTCGTCATTGCACACTGGATATCAAATTAGGCATTTGGGCAACAGTATTTGGTAACAGAGACAACATACCTCCAACGAGCAGATAGACATTGGGGAATGCCTTTTTGGCTTGTTCAAGAGCTTTAGCATGGCCGAAATGGAACATGTCGTAGATGCCATCACAGTAAATTCTGACAGGTCTATCTGTAGGTGGCTAGATTCCAATGTTGGTTAGTCTACATGTATGATCTTTTATTGTGGTCATGGTAATGTGTACCTGATTTATCTTAAAGTCAAATCCCTGGGGTAATTGACAGGTAGTGAGATCATCGTCTTCTACTTGATTTATAACCGAGATCTCTGAGTGAGATCGCTTCAAATTAGGTGGCGATGCCATAGGTGTTGGGAAGCCCTCTATGACAACAGATGGGTGCGTTAAATATACATGCTTGTGGTTGATTTGGAGCCCATAGAGATTACCTTTTATGGTATTTTTCGACATGACTGCAATCGTTTATGCAATTGCTTTGAACTGAAGTGAATTATTCAGGTATAAGATGTAAGAAGAAGAGAAAAAGAACCAGAACATCTACACAGATGTTTAAGCCAACTAGATATTAACACTTGTTTCTTACAAGAAACAAGGTTTCTCCCCCTCCCATCTAACCAGTCACTTGTAAGCTGATTTCCCAACACGAATTGGGGTGAAAGTGAACATGATTTTTGTGGTTCCATCTTTCCTATCCCTCTCTTCATAATAGACAATTCAAGAGAAACGCTATTTTAACATGTTGTATAACATATGGTAAAGCTAAACTTGCTAAATATCGCATCCAAGAATAAATTTGTAATCAATAAAAGTGAACATTTAGTATGGCATCTGACTTTTTTTACCCCAATATGGGTGGTGTGGAAAGCCATCTCTATGAGTTGTCTCAAAGATTAATACAAAGAGGCCATAAAGTGATCATAGTAACGCACGCTTATGGAAACCGGACTGGCGTGCGCTATCTCACCAATGGATTGAAAGTCTACTATGTCCCAACAAAAGAGATTTACTCGGCTGCAACACTGCCTACGATTTATGGATTCTTCCCGCTTTTCAGAAACATCTTGATTCGAGAATCGATACAAATTGTGCATGGCCATGGCGCCTTTTCCTCGCTGTGTCATGAAGCTATCATACATAGCAAAACGATGGGACTGAAGGCTGTATTTACAGACCACTCGCTCTTTGGATTCGCAGATGCATCTTCCATTTTGACCAACAAACTGCTGAAATTCTCGTTGAGTGATGTGGACCATGTGATTTGCGTGTCGCATACCAGGTAAGCAGCAAACGTCTGTCATGGACATATCTGGCTAAAAGCAAGTAAATAGCAAGGAGAATACGGTATTGAGAGCAGCGTTATCACCGAGACATGTGTCTGTTATACCCAACGCTGTAGTAGCATCACAGTTCTTACCCGACCCAACGGCTCCAGATCCCAATTACATTACCATTGTAGTCATCAGTCGACTTGTATATAGAAAGGGCGTTGATTTGTTGATTGCTATTATACCACGCATTTGTGAAATGTACAAAAATGTTCGATTTATCATTGGAGGCGATGGACCCAAGCGCATTGATTTGGAGCAAATGAGAGAAAAGCATTTACTGCATGATCGAGTGGAATTGCTGGGGCCAATCAAGCATCATGAAGTGCGAAATGTATTGATTCAGGGTAACATCTTCTTGAATACCAGTTTAACCGAAGCGTTCTGTATTGCTATAGTGGAAGCAGCGTGTGCAGGGTAAGTGTGTGTGTGTGTGTGTGTGTGTGTAGGGGGGGGGCTCGCTGATGCCACTGATGTAATGTGGTTTAGTAATGGTATGCCTGTATTAGATTGTTTGTTGTCAGTACCAAGGTAGGCGGTGTACCTGAAGTATTGCCCAGCCATATGATCAACTATGCAAGCCCAGAGGAAGATGACCTCGTCATCGCTGTGTCCAAATCTATCCATCAATACAAGTACGGCAAAGTGGATACGACGCAATTCAATGATCAGCTCAAGGAAATGTACAACTGGTCCAATGTAGCTGAGCGAACTGAAAAGGTGTATGGATTTGTGTACCAAACCAGCAACTCACCTTTGATTGAAAGGCTCAGACGGTACTACGGCTGCGGTGTTTACGCTGGAAAGATCTTTTGTATGGTGATTGCATTAGATTATCTCATTTGGCGATTTCTCGAGTGGCTATTTCCAACTGAATCAATAGAGAAGGCCCAGCTCTTTCCATATCAGAAGTATCGACAGTATTTTCAACAAACAAACAATCGTGTTGCGGTCAATAGCAGCAATGCTAACAACAACAATAGTATTATTCAGCAAATACTGGTAGAAGAGGAAGAGGAGGAAGAAGAGCAGGATGATTTTCCTTATTGAGATCCACCGATTTTATATGCACAAGAAAGGAAATTATCTTTTATTTTCATTACCAACAATAAATAATTGTTCAGCGGCAATAAAGGCGCATAACGTTAAATCTAACCATCGTATAGCATTTTGATGTGTGTGAAGTGGTGGTTTTGTGACCCATTCACACATGAGCTTCCATACTTGAACAAGGTGCTCTGTCATTTGTATCTTGCCAAACAGTATGTTGGATAAACTGTCTCTAAATTCATCTATATCGATTGTCTTTCCAAGGCTCATGTTGATGCGTAATTGCTGAAACTCGTATAGCAGTAATTTGGGTGCATTGTCTTGGATTGTGATTCTATCGCAGTAGCGCATTAACTCAATAAATACTCGGCAAAGCCAAGAGGGTGGTGATGGTGTGGCAGCAGACTTCACCAACGGGGTCAATTGGGTATGTTGTTGATGTGTCTGGTCTGTAGCGTCTTTGTCATCTTCATCCGCATCTTCTCCATCTTCTTCCTCATCCTCGTCGTGGTCGTGGTCCATGCTGTCGACGCCTGCCTGTTGCTCATCGTAGTCTTCTTCATCGCTATCGCTGCCGCTATGTACAAATTCCTCTGGCAGACAAGGAGGTGGCGGCGGTAGATGCTGGTGGTAATGATGCTGAAATCTGCCTGGATCTTCATGTAGCATCTCTGCTAATTCACTGTAATTTTGACAATGTCTCGGTTTAATGTTGTGTTGCAGACGATAGATTTCATTCTTGATCCACTCGTCCATAGTCACCACAGTGCCAGAAATCAGATCGTTCAATCGTATAACAGGTGGAGCGAAATTCATTATGTTTGATAACCAAGGAAAACTAAAAAAAAAAAAAGAAATTAAATTGTGTATCCCTTCCTTTATATACTTGCGCTGAAACTTAGCCCTCTTGCTGAAATTTGCTTCGCCTCGTTTCCTTGTCTTGTACTCCCATCTCGCACACTTATCCCCGTGATCTACCACATAAAGGTTTTTGCCTTACATGCAGACAGCTCAAGGTCGCAGTCAATGCCCCCCCTCCTCCCCACCTCTCTCCCTGTTTCGCAGCTCTGTTGTGATGCCGCAACTGATTTTTCCATAGTGCCACGGTATTATCGTAAACTTTATATACACAAATTATAATAAATGTTTAAGATGACACGCCAGAAACTGGATACATAGGAGACATTGTGATGAGCATTGCAATTAAAAGTTATTTTTCAAATGGACTAAATACCAATAAATTTCGAAATGTGATAACCTTCTTCTTTCATTCTTTGCTTATTTTCATTCAGTTTCACTATTCACATGGCATCTCAAGGTACCATCGCTGGATGATCTCCATCAAAGACTGTAGCATTGAATTCTCTTGTTTGATGATAGGCGTTCTTGACCAGATTCGCGATTTGCAATCATTTATAGATGATTTTGCTGCTGAAGGTATATCCAATGTATGGTTTATCAAATGTCGGAGAATTTGAACCCGGTTGTACGATATAGCAGGTACAAATAGTGTACCAGGAACACCAACATCCATGGACAAAGAGGATGAAAAGACGCAAATCGAGCCACCCATCATCCACCAAAAGCCCAATGAAAAGACAGAGGATGAGCAGCTTCAACCGCAGCAAGAAAAGACGCTGGTGGAGCAGGAAAGAGAACCCACCACATCATCATCATCAACAAAAACCGAGACAGAGCCGCTCTCCATCTTGTCCTATGACCTGAATTTATCCGATGATTTCTCATCACTGGTAGATCAGTTTAAGGACCTCAAAGTATCTCCTATAGAAATCAAGAAATTGCAGCAGCAGAATGTGTTGCAAGACCAGGTTGAGAAGATGGAGGAGGAAAAGGTACAATTGGATCCAGTCATTATATCTGTTTCGGACAAGAAACTGCCCTCTTTCACCACAGCAACGAGATCAAGAAGAACATCCGTCTCGAGCAAAAGATCTCAAAAGTCATCCAAGAGCTCCAAGAGCGCCAGACGACTACAAAATGAAAAGAAGCAATTCAAGCAGCATCAATCAGCAGCAGGGACAGAATCACCTACACCTCAGCCACAAAAATACATTCAGCGATCTTTTGATGAGATGATGCGTATACCTGACATTTACGAACGATTAGCATTTTACGAAAAGACCTTGGATCTTTGTCTTAAAGCGGAATCACCCATCGCTTCTTGGTGTAAATCAAATCAACAAAAGGGTAAACCCGAGCCATTATTAGAAGGTTATGTACCACCTGCGAGACTCTTATCCCCCGAAATGCCCCATCACAATGATTTTGGAAGCATGAGCTCTACATTCAGTGGATCCATATCCATGTTTTTGAAGAAGGCGACCATCAGCACACCCTCCATGCCGAAGCGGCATTTACCGGTGGACCATAATGGCTATGGAACACCGTATATTCAGAGCAGCAACAGCAGCAGCATTTTTGGAAGATCCATTAGCCGTTTGAATTTATCTCGATCTACGCAAATTCCTCGGTACGACCAACCAATCGCCTCACCACTGTCTCACAGATTCCATCCTAAAAACAAGGTCTACAACAAGAAATCAGGCCTGCAAAAGCAGCAGCAAGTGGCAGGCTTGTCTCCTCTGTCGATCGACTATTCCTCATCTTCATCTACCTATACAGCTACACCCCGATCCACGTCTAGCACACCGACCTCATTCGGCAGCATGTCCACCATCAATAGTCGCAGTGAATCCACAACCATCAATGCAGAACTCGCTTACATGATGAACGTGTTGCCACAGATTGATATGCGTATACTACAAAATGCGCTGAATGAAGCTAAGGGAGATCCGATGGTAGCTATATCCATTGCTGTGAGTGCGAATAAACAACGATCCAATGAGTCTCCAACCGCTCCCGGTGTAAAATCCATCAAGACTCGTGCAAGCAGCGGCAAGAAACGCTATGGCAGCAGAGTGTAAATGTGGTGGTGGTGCCCCTCACACGGAGGCTCAAATGAGGCTTACCAGAGTTTCTTTCACACGAATACCCTCTTCCTTTCTCTCTCTCTCTCTCTCTCACACACACACACATTTTATACTAAAACAAGGCTGCAATCAAACGGTTCTTTTTTTTTTGTTTTTTTTTGCTCTTCTTCATTGTCAATAAACACAGCTTGATTTACCATCCAACATTACATGTCCTCTGAAGGGCTTACAACCTACCTCATTTTTGTCGTCATTTCCATCTTATTGGTAAGCTTTCAAGTGCAGTCGATTCTCTTCACAATGGTCATGCTCACAAGTAAAAGGAATAAAGGGCGCTTTTCAATATGGATACCATAACGGAGAGCTCAATACACCGCAGCAAGTGATATCCAAATGCACCGACACAAGCGCAATAGCAGCAGGCTTACCGCAGTGTATTCCTATGCCTGATTCACAATATGCGCTTGTCGTGTCGATACTCACAGCAGGTGGACTGATTGGCGCCTTAGGAGCTCCTTATTTTAACGACAGATACGGCCGTCGATTGACATTGTTTGGCACCAACGGATTGTTAGGCGTTGGGTCACTAATCACCACAGTGGCAGCTACACCACACGCTATGATGTTGGGACGGTTCCTGTCTGGCTTGGGCAGTGGTGTTGTAACAGTGGTTGTACCTGCTTATTTAGCTGAATGTGTGCCCAAATCGCGTCGTGGATTCTTTGGTGCATTGAACCAGCTGGCCATCGTCATTGGCATCATGGCAGCACAGATCATCAGTCTTTCGTGGTCTACACTGACAAAGTGGAGATATATTTTGGCTATGGGCGTGCTATTAGCTGTTGTGCAATCGTGTCTGTTGCCTTTCTGTGTGGAATCACCTCGTTATTTGGCTTCCTTGCCTGGAGGATTCAACAGAGCAAAACTTTCTTTGCTCAGACTGAGAGGCGCCTCGATCGATCAAGTGGAGGACGAAATCAATGAATGGCGTAGAAATTGGGCTAATAATGCACAGGATCAACAGGCTACTGCTGCAGAGCAATATGAGGAGGATCTAGAGAGCATGGAGACACCTTTAGCCACGAATGGAGCCACTGGAGCACCCACCAACCATGTCAACATTTACAAATTCTTATCATCGCCTTATTACCGTAGGCCGCTCTTCATTGTTGTGTTACTACAACTAGCACAACAACTGTCTGGTATCAATGCTGTCATCTTTTACTCAACCTCCATCATGTCTACCGTGTTCCCTGACTCGAGTGGCCTCATCACTGTCTATATCTCGATTGTCAACCTCATTGTCACAACGATCTCTGCTGCTCTCATGGATAAACTGGGTCGTCGTAGCCTGTTCCTTGCTTCTGCTTGTTGCATGGCATCAATGAGCGTATTACTGGGTTGGAGCATTACGCATGGCTTTGACAGAACCTCGGTGGTCGCCATCCTCGGCTTTGTCGCTTCATTTGCGCTAGGCATTGGCCCTATTCCCTTCTTGATGATACCCGAGCTTGTTGAAACACCTGCAGTCAGCAGCGCTTGCTCTGTTGGGTTGGCATCCAACATGATTTCCAATTTTGCTGTGAGCGCCGGATTTCTGCAGCTGCGACTCATCATGGGACAAGGCCAAGTGTTTTATCTGTTTGGGCTGTGTTTAGCAGTATTAGTGGCTATTGCTGTTATGGTCTTGCCCGAGACAAAGGGAAGAAGTGCAGAGGATGTGATTCGATCAGGATATTCCATTCATCCTTGTAATTATGAGCACATTGCAATTGCCAATTAGGATTGTATATTTGTGAATAAAATTGCAATTAAAAGATAGGCTAGGCAGGATACTTCAGTGTCGATGAGGGCTGTAATCTGCGTATACGCGATGCCAACCAATGTATGCACTACCCTTCAGAGCGACATTCAAAAGGGCCATTCGCTCTCTCTGTGAGTCTTTTACCTCTTCGGTCAGAACACCAGCATTGGAAAGTTTTGCTGTTGCATTGGAGGGGAGCATAGATGTACCGTCAGAATCGCATATAGACAGGTATTCACCCACCTTTTGATCAACATAGGTATCTTGCCCTACTTGGCATGGTGATGGGTGGTATTGGGATTGAGCGTACAATATAAAGTTGGCAGAAAAGATAATAAAAATGGCAGAGTATTTCATATTTCTAATAACAAACGACATCATGAGATGAAGTCAGGAAGAAGCGTTTTGAAGATGGAGTTATTTAAATAGACATCCTTTCATAAAGGAAACCCGGTTCTTAATTATCCAACGGCATTCATTGTATAAAAAGATACAGGGTCCATATTCAGAAGACTGTACAGTTCTTTTAATTCATTATACTCCAAGGGGCATCACTCTTCTCAGATTTCAAGCATATAGAGCGCCGTGAGTACAAGGTGAATGCAGACAACAGCAATCACTACACAATGTAATTGCCAACATGCCCAATCTTGGTAGTACCATCTCCCATCCAACCCATTGGTTTGATAATAACACAGTAGAAACCAATTGATAATGCATTTACCACTGTCCAAGCTTTATTGACTATTTTTCGTTTTCATTCATATAAAAATATACTTTTGTTGGTTATTACAGCAGATCATCCGCCATGATGTAACAGGATCAACCAGCGGGAAGGTCAAAGTACAACTGATCCCAAGAATGAGGGGTTTACACGGTACCATGCAAACACAACATCCCACTCTTTCATAAACCAACACGACCATCCGGCGTGAACTTGGTAGGCTCCAGTGATGACTGGAAGCCCCATGGGATGCTGTGCGATATGTCTCTAGTGCCGTTGGGGGGAAACAGCTATCAAAAGACAAACAACACCTGACAAACTAGTTCACCAGATTCACCAGACTGCAAAAAAAAAAAAAAAAAAAAAGCCTGTCAACACACAGCCCAAATTGGCAGCTTCAAGCAGTATTCAATCGAGTAGGCGGCCACCATGTTACCCAAATAGAATACACAATCAGAAAGCTCTAGCAGTTGCCAGCCGGCAACCTATTACATGACGCACAAGTCCTGATTATTTACAAAGCAAGCAAAAGCAGAACTACGCATGTAATGGCCAGTCTGTGTTGAAACCCTTACTAAGGCTTATGAATCTACCTTCATTTAAACCATTAGAGAATTGCTCCTCTTCAAAGTATAGTGGCATTGATTTATTGATCCTAGGAAACCTGAAAGAGATTTCTACTACGCAACATCTCGCGACTACGTTGGTAAAGTGAAAGAAAAAAAGGAAAAAATCCCCCCTCCCCGCCCCTCAAAACACGCGTTTAGAATGCGTAGTCAATGTAGTCACATCCACCATGCCTTACTATTGCATGCTTACAACAAGCATTGTTAATACAAGTGCCTTTGAAATAGTGTAATTATATATGCCTTGAATGGTATTGGTGTCTGATACGTTCCTGAATCAACAGTTTGGGATCAAGCCCCCCCCCCTACTTTAAAGGGCGAATGACCCAACATTTTAAAATTCGAACATCTGAGTCTGCTGTTGCATTTAATGGGCATATTCTCGTGCAAACGTTACATTTAGCCATCGTGAAGTAAGATGGTGAGATAAGTGTCATTATGTTAAGCTTAAATACAACGATACCAGACCAGTGTCTTCTTCTCACGTCTTGTTGAAAGAACAAATCCATCTCATCCAAGCAGAAATGCCTGTATGGTTATGATGTTACAGTGGAAAATGAATGTAAAGAATGCTCAAAACGTGAGCCGACGAAAATAATACACACCTATGCATACTTGGTCTTGTATTTGACCTTTGAGTATAAAGCTATACATCAAAGTGTGGCAGTTGGTTTCACCTATACTTATCATGTATATTCGATTTCAATAAAGCTTTAAAACATCTGTAACAAAATTCTATTTATCATCGGCACTTTGAGACGTTGAGCATACAGATATGTCAGGTAATGCTTACATGACTTACCTTGACTCTGTTCTACTATGGATGCTAGTGGCTGTCAAAGATCCGGTGCATAGATTACCTTTTACTATTCACATGAATGCAAATATCAGCGTATCTTTGATGCATTTGAGTCGCATTTTCTCGCTTTAGACACCGTTTTAGACCACCAGAATGGCACCAAACAATTGCTCTTACTAGCTCTAACTTTTTGACACCTTTGCTCAACTTTTTTTGGGATTGCCAAAAATCGACCCAAAATCCATGAATGATACCTCATGATGTTCATCGAAAATCAAACGATCGCGTTTTTGACCTCAAAAATGGACACTTTTACTATGGCATATATTGATTCAAAATGTTTGTATTGATCCAAGGCAACCCTCCTGAAACCATATTTGTGGCACCATCTTATGTGGAATTTTGACGTTTTTGCCAAAAACCTTATTTCATATTTTTCGATATTTCTCATTAAGTTCAGTCAACATGTCGCTTATAACTGACACCATTAGATGCGTCTCAAAAAGCACTCTTGAAGAGTGTTAGGGGTCATGTTGTAATTTTGACAGCTTCCATAGCTAAATCTGGCAATAAAGGTAGAATCAAGTCGAAATTGATTAACTCTGTCCAATCTAAACGAAATAAATTGAGCGGGATTTTAAACGTGTTTTGGCTGGCAAGATCAGCATTGGAGCCTTCAAGGACGCTTATTGCGATATACTGACGTGCTGTTTCCTGTCATAACTTGATAAGCATGTGAAACAATGCCCACAGCCGAGACGAGAAATAGAAGTTATCAATTGGCTGTTCTGCTGGATAACGTAGAGTTTTCTGGCACATGGTAAAACGGAAACTGGTGTATTTATGGAATCTTGCTGAAGAAAATCGGGATCAGCTCAATTGAGCAAACCCAAATCTATATTTACATTAATAGAACACAGAAATCAAGAGCCAAGAGAAATTTGAGTTTTACAAATGTAAAAAATCATCTCTGCGTGCCCTGGTAAGCGTGCGCATTATCCTTCAGAATGACATTTAGCGTGCATGCCCCTTTAAATGGAAAGAAATGAGAATTAAACACTCCTAGCTCTTTGCACACCCAAGGCCAGATCATGAATAGTGAAAACCTTCCATATTGTGTGCTAATGGGCTTTTATGTTTAATCAACGGCGATAATAACTGAAAAATACATATTCATAATGCCGTGGAATACGTTTGGGAAATCAAAAACCACTTGGCATGTTTGCCTCTTCTCCAGCATACCAGACAATGCCTACATAATAAACGAGCCGTGGATTTATTGATATTCACTGACATTCAATACAAAACGGTAAATTTCGCACTCTAGAAATACGAGATCTCTTGGTATAATATATGCAATAAGAGTTCTCAAGATTGTCATTGATTACCTAGAGAACGGCACGTATTACAATAAACTATTTTTGTACATATCCAGCAATCCAAAACTAGATGTTGTGTGTCAACCTCCACAGCAGCTGAAAAGAGAGAAGACGGAACCCGATGAGTATAAAAATGCCAGTTCTTATTTTAGTCTCTTCTTCCTCACTCTTCCTTCTTCATTCAATCACAAAAAAAAACATGAGCTTTATCATTAGAGAAAACAATCAATACAAGAGGTTTATCTCACCTCCAGTGACTCCCAAGCATGACACTGAAGCTTGCTTTATGAAATCAAATGTCGTGGAGCAGTACAATGCATCGACATTGCCGCTATCTCCTCCTTCATACCCAATGACATCTCCATTGCATCGTCGCCGAGAATCATCCTTTGATTCCTCTTCCAGTAGTCATTCTGCCACCAGTCATCAAAACAAAAGAAAGCAACGCAGCCCTTCTCGATCTCCTTCATCCACAACAGATGGTGTCTTCCGAATGCCTCTAGATATACTCACAAAGGCATTGAACATTGTGCCAAATCAACAAGCCTATTCTGCTACTTACTGTGGGCCAGTAATAACACCACAATCATCACCGTCTTTGCCCAAGGAAAGAAAAAGAAAGAGAGGAAATGACTGTATCACCCCCATCCTACAAGCATTGGAACAAGGAGAAGATCAAAAAGAACAGCAAGAACAGATAGAACCACACCACCATTGCAGCAGCAGGAAGAGAAACAGCGCATTTGCATTATCATCGTTACTGTTGCCTACGCCATTACCATCTCAACCAGAGCCGTCTCAACCTGTTGCTCCACCAGCAGAATTCATCAAGAAATCTGGTACCAGTGCAGCACACACCTACGACAATTTAAGTGCAGATTGTGATCAAGCAAGTCTATTCCGTAATTCGGAAGAATGGATCCCAAGCCTTGAAGTGTTCAATCGAAGACCAACCATCCGAGTGTCATGGAAAGGTAATGGTAGCATTGTAAGGATCATGTCTGCGCTTCTAAATCATATGTTACTGTTAGGATCTCCACTTAAAATCAAAACCATGCCATATTATGACAAATTGCATCCAGGAGAAGCAACTATCGCAGCTACACTTCGTCTCACACCAGAACAATATCTAAAGTGCAAATGGGCCCTTGTTCTAGCAGCCAAAGAAGCAGATGAAACAGGCGCTCTATTCAGAAAATCAGAGGCCCAGAAAGTCTGTTGTATTGATGTAAACAAGACTAGCGTACTTTGGAATGCTTTCGGTCGCCTGGGCTGGCTAGGATCCAAGTGGCCACAGTAACACCTTTGCAAACAATACCCTTCTATATACCACAATTCCTGTAAATAGTCTTTATGTATTCCATCTATGCTTCCCATTATATGTGTGTGCTATTGAATAAAATGTATCTTCGATCTTGTAACTGTTGTTTATCTGATTTTGATGATGCGCAATAGTAGCTTGCCATGGTTTGTCTAGTGCCAATTATCATTTAGGTTTTGTGTCAGCACTGTGATACAGAAGCAATGTGAGTTACAAATGTGTTTGATTTGGCATCAACCGAATAATCTTGATGTTCTCAAAATAACCGAAATCTCAAGTTACAGCTGAATTCTGCCATCTACTGTTCACAATGGCATGGCAGTAGCTTTCATTTCGCGTGGAATGTAAGCCTGTAATTGCTGAAGAAGAGAGAAAAAAAAACCCAACATACGTTTCAAGCATTGTATTCGACTCCTTCAACCTTTCGCCAAGAAGTTATCAAGTGTCACACTAAATCATTCCATGTAAGCTTTATTTTTCTGCCGATCCACTGTACGACTATTGAGTTTAATGAGCCAAGAGAATTTCCCTTTTTCTAGTTTCTATTGAGATTGGGTGTGTTGAAACATACTGAATTTCAGAACAGCCCTAGCCATAAACACCGTTTGTTTGACATTGAATGTTTAACAGTTGCATTCGAATTAATGTAGGGTAACAATTGCAAATGTAAACGATAGAAACGAGAGAGTTTATCGCAACCGAATCCCAAAAACCCTGTGCTCAGTGTAAAATATAAATTCGTATTACATTGATAATGCATCCAGAGTTACTTTTTCTACCACTTTTCGTTGGCAAAGCGTTTCACAAGACTACGGCCGACATTCCCCGCCTTTTCGTTAAGATGGCCACGTTCATTGTGGCCAATCAATCCATGTTTTGTACTTGGGATTGACACATAAACATATGCCCTGTGTCCTTTTGTGAAATTGGTGATGTATGAAGCTGTAATTAGGGCTTGTTGACGCCAAGCACTTTTTTTTTTCTTTGCAATGCGCATACGATGTGTACTCGAATGCACTGATCAATTTAGTTTATGCACTTTGAACAAGAAAATTAGGCTAAACAATATATCATCTCAACTTGAATACTAGCTAAATGATTGAAATGACTTGTTATCAGATTCATCGATTGCTAATGCGGTAATATAGATGATTCAATCCAAACTACAACAGCGCGTTCCATCATCATCGCAAGTCTGCTTGTACTTTAAAGAGGTGAATGCTCCTCTTTCATATGTCAAATGTTGTAATATTTTGGAATTGTGTAGAAAGTCATTTGTAGCGATGTGTACCGCAGTGTTTCTGATGGTTTCCTATGGTTCCTAAATTTCTAATGTTATCAACCATCCTTGATTTTTCAGTGCTTTGATGTACGAGTTCCTGTACATGGTATGATCCAATGAAAAAGGTCCCTCAAACTCGGTAAAAGATGTTCCTGAAAGAATTGTCAATGGAAGTAAATAGACGACGAAACCCTAGGGAAATCAATGAAAAATTATTTCAGTTGCGTCTAATTATTAAAGGGCACACAGAAATCAAAGCGTATGTATTGATCATGATGAGTAATTCAGATTTTGTATATCATGAAATAAGGACATGTGGACATCAGCATGCTACTATTGTGTGTTGCATTAATTTCACAACACAAGCCAAATACGAGTCGTAAGGCATACATGCTCAAGGGGTTCCAACAGACAAGTTCTCGATCTAGACACATTACGCTCGGCGTGTTGAATCAAAATATACAACAAACACGAGTAGTGATGTTTTATTAATGACGGTCGATGATTTTTTTGTTCAGTGTGTCTTACGAAAGATCGAGCTTGTAGAAACGCTTTCTTCGGGCATTCGAAATGGCACAAATGTGTATCAAAGAAAGATAGCCATTGCGATGATAGAAAAAGGTCAACAGAAGAACAGGATGAAATGCATGCTCATACATTGTATGCAAGAGATGAACCTGGTCCATTTTCGCGGAAATCAAGTTTAATGAAATGAATGCATCATGAAGGTTGTTTGTGAGCTCAATGTACTTTGTTCTCTATGAGTCTACCAAGTATCATGTATGAAAACTGACTGACAACAGCTGCATTTCCATAAAAAAAAAAGAGAGAGGCACCATAACAACAGTGATGTTGTTATTTCATAATGCGATACATGTACATTTAGGGAAAAGAATATACAGTCGACATCTGATGCTGATAGAGAGAGAGAGAGAGAGATCAGATGATAGTTCTGGCCAAGGTATAATATGGCAATTAATAACAAACAAATCGCTTGATGTTTTGATTTTTCTATTCATGATTTCCAAAACAACAGGTGGAAGTTGGAATTCAGACATGTTTGGTTAGGTTCATTGCACTCAAACAAGGTTGGCAACACTGATGAAATAGCACGGCAGTGAGATTAGATTGGTGGCATAATTATTATTGCAACCCCTAGTTTACATTTACATAAGGGTGCAGGATGATCTGCCCTGTGTCTTTTTTTTTTCTGTGTTTTTGTTTATTGATTCATTTATGTTTTCCAAATTCATGTTGAATTGCGAACCGATCGCATATCCGACCATGTTTCCGTTTCCGACCACACATCTGTGCTTTGAGCCATGTATATAAAAGAAGACACGATGACAAACAATCTGTATCTTTCTTTCTTTTTCATTCTACTCTACTCATATGCTCTGTCCAGACATTCAACAACCCATGTATCCATTCTATAGCCAAAACGCATCCATGTCGCCGCCAAATACCGCACTACTGCAATCCAATGACTTTAAATTTGCTCCACAACCAACACATCTCTATGATCCGTCGTCCTATTACATCAGCCAGCAACAGCAGCAACAACAGCAAGCACAGACATTCATCACAACCACAGCCGGGTCTATAAGCAGTAGTGGTACAGAAGATGAAGAACTCGCAGCCATAAGCACGCCTCGTCGCAATAGCTGTACACGGTCTAGAAAAAGAAAGCTGAATTCAACAGACGATGCAGATGGTGAAAAGCGCAAGCATTTCCTGGAGCGAAATCGACAAGGTAGGATACAGGTGTGCTGATACAAGGGGCCGCAGCTAACATGTTGCATTATAGCTGCTTTAAAGTGCAGGCAGAGAAAGAAGCAATGGTTGACAAATCTACAGGAGCGAGTCGAGTTCTTAGCAAATGACAATGAGCAATTGCAGCTACAGGCAAATGTCATGCGGGACGAAGTGATGCATTTACGGAATTTGCTGCTAGCACACAAAAATTGCCCCATGGCAAGCAACCTTCCACCGCAATACCATGATGTGTATAATACTGCCAATAAAGTGTTTGCTGAATAAATCCAGTCAATATTTCCTTTTTACCAGCAGAGAAACCAAAAATAAATGGCCTGGTTACACTGCCTGCTGCTGGTAAATCATTAAAAATAGAGCATCTAATTCAGGACGATCATTTTGTGTCCATTCATGGGCCTGGACACTGAAAGAAAGATGAATAAATACATACTCTCAAGGTAGAAATGACACACAGACTCCCTCCCTCTCTCGCTCACGTTTGGTTGTATCTTGCGCACAACCATTGACATTGGATTCGCTCTTAGCGTCTATTTTGTTGAGTGAAATGGTCTAGAAATCAACATTTGTCATGTAAGAACGATGATCAGGTTTGTCCAATCAAGACCTGATATAAAATTTTCAAGAGAAACACAAGGCCCACATTTTTCTCTTCTTTACTTGTTTCCTTGTTTCTATTTTCTTCCATTTATCCCAAATGTCGTCAATAGCATCTGGCAGAGTCAAACAGCGCATTCTATTCATGTGCCTGCTGTTCACAGGCGTCATGGTGTATCTGTACAAGGTATCAGGAGATCGACTCTTTTCATTTGAAGGGCCCCAATACCAATACAGTTGTCACATCACAAGATCCACCGTGCAAGAAGACAGCGAAAACGACGTGAAGGAGCCATTGCCTATGCGACATCACAACTACTTGAACTTGAATAACCTCAACTCGACTCGTTTCGGCAAGGAGGCCAATGAGCATGTGCTTGTGCTCACTCCTTTGCAGAACGACGAACAATACCTCGACCACTATTTCCAGCTCCTGGATAACACCAATTACCCAAATCACCTTATCTCCATTGGACTACTGGTATCTGATTCCACAGATGATACCCTTGAAAATCTATACAACACAGTGCACCGATTACAGAATAGATGGCGAAACAGATTCTACGAGATTGATGTCTATCAAAAGGATTTCCGTCTGGACGAAAAGCCAGATGATACATCGCTCAACTCGAAAAGAGCGACGTTAGCGAGAGCCAAGAATTTCCTACTGACTGCCGCCTTGCGAGAGCATCATAGCTGGGTTGCGTGGGTGGATGTCAAGTTGCATTCCTATCCTGCCACCATCTTCTCAGACTTGATGCTTGTGGATGGTGATGTGGTTGTACCAAATTGCTTGTTGAAGCGACAAGACGATGATGAATTCTGGGGTTTTGATAGAAACAACTGGCAAGAAAGCGATCTCTCGCTCGAGAGACAGCAAAACGCAGCAGAGCATGAAGTGCTGATGGAAGGTAAGGCTTTTCCGTTTTTTTTTTTTTTTTTTTTTTTTTTTTTTTTTCTTTATCATCTGCATTGTTGTATCATCATTAAGGGCTTGGCTAATTTCAATTTCATACAAAGATTATAATCAATACTCCATTGGCCGTCATTTGGTAAGATCAAATAATTCAAGGAGATCTTCTTTGCTTGTAACACAATGGTTTATTAATACGCTTTCTGCTATTATCCAGCTTGTTGACATGCCAACGCACCAAGGCACTAGAATACCTTTAGATGGTGTAGGCACCACATTTACGTTGGTCAAGGCCACTGTACATAGAGAAGGCGCCATTTTTCCTCCATTTGTCTACCAGCATGAACTTGATTCTGAAGGTTTTGCGAAAATGGTGAAATCAATGGGCTTTTCTGTTTATGGAATCCCAAGTTATACCATTTATCATTTTTAATCTATTTTAGACCTTATTTACAATATACAAAGCAATCATTTATACACATCTATTTGTTCATTCATTTGGCATGGATATTCAGTAGACAGTGGTGTCCCAGTTTCTAGCCGTTTGTCTCGACATGTAACTTATTAGTTGGAAGAGCTGGAGAATTCAATGAAGGGTAAACCGGGAGTAGATGCTGTATTGCGTACATGTTGAGCAAATTTCTGCAATTTCTAGCGTTTGCTCAAGTTGATGTAGGGCAAAACTCTTGGCTTGATCAGTTTGATCTGCACGTGTAATTGCAGCCATGGCAGCATCATGACAATCCCACAGATTGCACTCAAGGCCATGGCGCAAACCAAGTTCCATCAGCTCTTTTTTTTTACATCCATGTCGCTTAGGCCTTAGTAACAGTGGAATATACCGAATTGGCCTACTCACTCATATCAGCAATGATAGACTCATGCATTGTCAATGAGAGGAGATCAACTTGCCATTTGCCTGAATCAAGGCTGCCCAAACACATGTATGAGCATCTATTGGAGATCTAATGCTGGCATTTGCCATGTAGACACTGCTGGAGCGACACAGCCTCTGTTTTATTCTGGTACCACTCGTTCCTTTTGACAATTTAAAGATTTCGCAATGACAAATCGTCAATACAGCCCGTGACTGGAGCTCAACATTTGAGTTGCAAATTAAGCTCACCCCCCCCCCCACACACCTTGGATTTTCTCACATGAAAGGCCATCTTTCCTCTTTTTACATTACATATTTCTTTCTACAACGAAATGACTTTTATCACTTCTGTCAAGGACTATGTAAAGAGACATAGACAAGGCTTGTTGGTCACTGCAACCATTGTGGGCGGAGGCTATTTTGCAGGCAAATATGCGACCAACAAAATCAGAGACATGCAAGAAAAGTCAACAGCCGAGAGACTTGCCAAAGAAAAGTGAGTATCATCATGCAGAGCGAGGAGGGGGGGCTCATGAACTCAATTGCGCTGCTGTCATTTAGCTTGAAACGTCGATTCCAACAAAACCAAAATGACTGCGTCTTTACAGTGCTCTCTCTTTTGCCTACATTGGGAGATCAAATCTTACATGAAATGAACATTGAAAAGGATTGGGCCAAATTACAGGAATCCAGAAAGTTGGAAAAGATTGAATTGAGATTGAGAAAAGAGAGGGAGGAGGCTGCACGTTTGAAGGAAGAACAAGAAGCCATGTCTCAATTGAGCGATGAAAAGGATATCAACGAATCGGGCATTCTTGTCGACGCTGATGTATCATCATCTACTACCACCACCACTTCACCTACAGACGAACAGCACAAAGAACAAGAGGAGGACCAACAACAACAACAAGCCAAATCGCCTAAACCACAACCGTTGGCATTGGACTCCAGTGTGAGCAGCCTCTCTACTTCTGTTACTGTGGAACAAGAGGATGGTAGACCTGTGCCTGAGGGTATTTTGGACAAGAAAGAAAAGCATCTTCTTTGGGAGGAGATCAAGACAAAGAGTAAGAGACAGACGATGGCATGATAGTCCATTTATGCATTTTCAGCTAAACAATGTCGAGCTTAGGTTTTACAAGAACATTCACATCCATCTATTCGGTTACCTTGTTGACACTATTAACACATATCCAACTGAATTTACTGGGTCGCTTTACCTACATCTGGTCCGTCTCTGTGCTCAATAAGAGCGAGCCCACGATTCGATTGCAACAAGAAGGAGAAGAACCCGATGTCGGCTTTCTGGACCCTCAAGTGGAGCGCATGTTTTTAAGTGCAAGCTGGTGGTTACTTCATCGCGGTTGGAAGCAGTGTGCCGAAAGAGTGCAGACAGCTGTTGAGCAAGTAGTGTCTGGGTAAGGCGCATCAACATTGACATTGGATTGACTCTCGTTGTACTCACACTGCTATTCAGCATTCCCTTGAAGAGCACCTTGGACTACAGTGAAGCTGAAGAATTACTACAAAACCTGCGTAGAGCTATTGAATTTGACGATGAGGGAAAGCCCATTAGCTATCGCACATGGATGTTGCCTGACAACGACAAGGAGGAATTGGAGTTCATTCGTGGCGCTGGATTTGACGAGGATCAAGACATTTACAGTAACAATAGCAACAGCAGCACTATCACACTTAAAAAGCTTCTAGACGAGACCAAAGACTTTATTGATAGCCCTGATTTCAATCAGGTGTTGGGATCTTGCTTGGATGAAGTGTTTGCCATATTTGACCATCATGCTTTTGTCACTGCCTTGTTGCCTGCAAATGAGCCCATGGCATCGAGTATCAGAGAAGTGACAGCAGCAGAAGCAGTTACATTGGAGCAAGGCAAGCGAGTTTCTTTGGCTAATTTGTTGCCTACCATTGGTAGACAATCTCATCTTGTAATTGCTGGCAATGAATACCTGAATGTAAGTGTTTGAAATGATACAATATACCGGCCCACGGATTGACTCAAACATGATGTAGGCATTTGCGTATATTAAAGAATTACAAGCTTTCTCTGCATTAATCTATACACAATACGGCGATGAAAGTAACGCATAAACAATTAATCTCCCCTTTTTCAATAAAATGTAAACACGCACATCTCTCTGTTTACTCGTGTCGAGGAATGTTATATTTGTGAACGACCGAAACCCAACTTGATGTTGTTTTCTTTTTTTATATTCATACGTTTATCTTTTTACTAAACAGAATGCTCAAATTTGCAGGCCTGATCTTTGGTGTCTTTTTTCAGTGCAGTTGTCTCTGCTGTGGCCAACGAGCATGTTCACATCTTGGCTGATGAGTCAATTACCATTATGCCTGGACCTGATGGACACAATGTGATTCCTGTCGTTCAGACAATAGATGGTGTTGTCACCATTTATTATTATACCATTACTGGCGAACAGACGATCGTCAATGGGGGGGGGGGATCAACAGCTATTAATGGCGGTAAGTGCCGCATTGTGTGAGCAGTGATGTAGGTTATACAACATCCTTATCTAGTGGACAATGATTTGGCGGAATATTCCAATATCGCCAACGCCATGAGAAACATGGAAGCATTTGAGCACCAAGTCTCGTCATCAGCATCAGCATCAGCATCGGCATCAGCATCATTATAATTGCATGATTTTTGTTGAAAGCGGCCATTTGATTCAATCCAAACTATATTCAAGTGAAATAAAAAATTTGACACATTTCATTCAAACATGTCTTGTTCTTAAACTTGAGCTAGCATGAACACGCCATTTGCACTTTCAAAATTAGTAAAGCACACTGTTACTTTCAAGAAGCAGCTGCCGCCCGTATTGTCGTTACATCAACAGCATCGCATGCATTCAGGTAATTCGGATGTGTTACACACAGACAAGCAAAGCTAAATTAATATAACCTCGCGTTTACATTACATTTCATCCTATACGTCTTGGTTATTAAAACAGCTCAACAACCAACCCGTCAGCAAACGTCTACTCCAGATAGAAAGCTTGGGTCAGTTCACTGGAAATTGGAAAGAGTAACAGCCATTTCCATGGTGCCACTTATCAGTGCTACATTCATCATGGGCCCAAATACGCTGGCTGATGTTTTGCTTGGTGTCCTGTTGCCATTCCATGTTCATATGGGTACGATATGAAGAAGAAAGCAAAGCAACTTCACTAGATCTAATCAAACGCAATATTATTTAGGTTTTGATGCTTGTATTACAGGTAAATTCGGACAGCCATCACGCTTCTAAACCCTGTTAATCATGTTTATAGACTACTTTAATCCTTCAAGAGCAAATCCTTTACTCTGTAAAGCCATGACATACACACTACACACTTCATCTACTGCAGTTATGCTCGGCTGTGCTTTGTTTAATTACAGAGATATTGGTATCACAGAATTCATACAAAGATTCTGGGCTGCTTGAATTGATTTACATGAAATAAAAGGCCTACCTCTTGGTACAGAGGTGTTTGCATGCTAAGGAAATGGTGCTACATTAGGATATTGTTCTTTTATTACAGTGCTACCCATAATCACACAAGTTGATTGAAAGAAAGTGGTAAAATGGACCAGCCATTGATTATTGATTTATTATGAATAAATGTATAGATAAAATGTATAGATTCGTGCTGAAATTAGTAAAGCAAATGACAAGGGAAATTACACAACACAAGAGATGGATGATGGGGTAAGTGTTGGGATGATGTACAGAGTAATTAGAGAGAGATAATAGTTATTCTTTCAGCGACGGTGCTGTTGTTGGTTCTTGTACTGCCGCTGCTGTTGCTGTTGCGTCTTCCTCGTCTTTCTCAGCTTCATCAGATTCAACATCAAACAAATAGTGGTAGTTTAATATCAGATATTTGACAATGTTTTGATGATGCCCCAAATTCGACATGGTCGTGGCAAAGGAAGCAGGCCCAGGCGTGGGTTGCAGTAACGTAGGTCCAAAGACAATGGCCAAGTTGGTAGCATACATGTGGTTTGTAGCTTCAAAATCAGTGACACTGCATTTTACAACAAGTAGGTAATGTGTCCATTTATGATGATAATGCTTCACTTACATGACAAAATGTTCGATGATTCTCTTGAGGAGCACATAGTTGCAATAAGGCAGTTTCTTAATGACTTTTTTGATCAGATACACGCGTTCATCATGGTCCTCAGAAGCTATGTCAACGTCAGTTAGTACGTCAAGGTATTGTTAGACGCTGCCAAAACAACACTTTACCTGAAGCTGTAATGAACTCATCATAGAGGCTATATGTTAACAGAGGTTCAGGCAACTCACGCAGAAACTGCTTCAGAGCATCCGCAACGACATTGATATCAGCCCAATTGGGGTCACTCAAATCCACTTTTGCAACATCCTTGTTGAACTCTGCCTTCAGTGCACTGACAACAGACCCTGTACCAGCCACACGATAAATACCAACTTCCTCCAGACCTCTTTCTTCAATCTCTCGAATACATTTATCCACAACCAAAGGCACTTTACCATCACGCATCAAGCCATCCAACGTGACACCGTACACGGATGTTCTTGAAGACACAGCAGGTTGAGTTCGACTACCACCAAGCATGGCTTGACGATGCTGTTGACTCGCCTCCATATCCAAGGACTCTGCAGCCAACACACTTTGTCGTTTGGCAGCACCTTCTCTCGCCGAGTTGTTGATATGCTGCATCCAATCATGCATGTCTTCACGGTTCATGCCTTGAAACAAGTATTGACCGCCTTCTTCTGTCACGATACGAAATACAAATTCACGCTTTGTGTATGTGCTGGCAACAGATGTGGTGGCATGGATCAAGTTGATGACAGTAGACGCTTTGGTGGTTGACAGATATTGGCTTGACGAGATATCCACGGTGGTGCTGTTGGGTGAGTGAGGAAAGATGTGTTGGATGGGTGTAGCAGCTACAATAGATTGAGGACGCAGACCACGCAAAAAAGAGTTGATACGAGGCATGACGCTATGGCCATTTCCACCGTTGCTGCTGTTGTTGTTACTTTGCTGCTGCTGTTGAGATGAGGAGGATTTATTAGCATTGGCTTTTCGGTCTTGTTTCTCGATCAATCTTGCTTGCTCCAATTGCCTCTTTTGCAGCTTGTGCTGCAGTGAAAGCCATTCCTTGTCGACACGGTCTCTTTCCTTAAAGTCCTTCTTCAGTTTGTCCATTTGCTCAGCGACTAGCTTGCTAAACACCATACCGCGTTGCAGAGATTTGCTAGTAGTGCCTCGAAGCACCATGGAAGACGTGCCTCCAGTAGACATGGCCTTTTTGTTCTCCTTGATGGCCAGTTCACGCAAGTCTTTCCATGTGTCCTTGGACTGGTAAGGCGAGATCAAGAAGGACATGCTGATGCCTTTGGATTCTGTTTGATGTTGTTCTTGTAGGTCCGTTTGCACATTGATAATCAGTTGCAAAAACTGATATACATAGCGACGCTTATCAAAATGGATCAGACAGTCCTTCTTGTTAAAAGTATCTGGCACTTGAAAGCACAGCTCCATGATGCGCTCAAAGATCCATTCTAGACTAGGCACCACCAATGACTGATTATGCCGGTGCTGCGAAGAAGATGAACTAGCCATGGACGACAGCGAATAAGAGGAAGAGGGCGAGACAGTACGAGCAGGCTTTGAAGAGGACAGCATAGTTTGCATCTTTTGTATCTGAGAGAGCAAATTCTCTAGGTTGTCCAGGTTGGCATGTCCATGTTGCATCGCCACGTCTTGCCAAGCCTTGGAAAACAGACGCACTTCAGGGCTGACCAACGCACTCGCAATAGCATATTCCACAAATCCAGGCACACGTCCCTTGCTGGAATTGGAGGAAGATTCAGGGAACAGCATCAGTTTCTCGCTAGATAGTCTGCTGAGCACCACGATTTGAATGAACTTTTCGATACGTAACACGCGCGTTTTGGAGTCAATGTTCATGGCAGCAATTTCATTGATGACCCAACTGCGAATGATGAAATGCATACAGTACAAGTATTGAATAGAACCAGGGAACGCCAGCAAGAGATCGTCATCCGCAAACGCAGAGGGAGATACCACAGAGCGTCTTGCACCTTCAATTGCAGTAAAGATATCCGAGACGATAATTTCATCCGGCATGACATGATAGCTAGCCAGATGTGAAGAAGGGGCGTCCAGGACAGGCGCTAGTGCAGCAGGCATACGAGCTGTGCGAGATGATTTGCGAGCAGGTAACCAAGCATAAATGTCGCCTGACTGTGCTTCAAACACATCAAAGGTTTGGATCCAATCTTGCATGGTAACAGCACTAAATAACTGACCTACGGCACGGTCTACTTGCTCCAATAGGGCTTCAGGGGGGAATCGATCGACCAGGCTCTTGGCTTCCATGTTACGAGGACGTGTCGAGATGGATAAGGGAACCAGTTTGTTGGTGGCCAATTGCAGTGTTGCATGATACCGTGTACATCCGTCTGTCAATTGCTTGTACAGATCCTCAGCACCACGCGCACTTTCCGGGTCAAATTCAATGGCTTTTAAATCGTAACAAGGCGAGATACTCTTGCGTATAAACTGACTACGAAGCTGACTGATACGTGTTGTAATGACGCTAGCCATCTTGAGCGCCTCTAAATGGTTCAGCTTGATATCCTCAGAAATGTCTTGTGGTGCTTGATACGCTTGCAAGGGCACACGCCATTCTTCCAATGCAATCTTGGCATTCTTTAAAAAGTTGGCAATGTAGCGTGTTGCTTCCACTTCATCCACAAAGTCGTAAGGATGCTCTTCCACCCAGTACAACATCAGATTAAGCACGCGTAGCTGGATTTCCGCTACATTTTTCCAATCAAAAGACAGCAGACTCTCGTTGGCAGTCGTGGCAGTCGATTTCCTGTTGCTGGGCAAAGCAGAAGTAGCATCTTTAGCAGCAGAGAAATAGGTTTCCAAGAGGATAAGCGAGTTTTTGCGCTTGAGAGGTGATTTGCATTTGGATTTTGCGTTCATGAACTGATGTCGAAGCATATCCAATAAATGATTTGCTGAACAATACACACGAAATGTCATGAAAAAAATGCTTATGTACTCTTCTTCGTCCATGGCAATGCGAGCAGGTTGGTTTTGTTGTGATAGGCCTTCAGCTAACGAAATCATCTGCCACTGATCTTTGAGCGACTCTTCGTGAGGTGTCACACCACGCACCAGTGTTTCCACTAGTTGCTCTAGATAGCCCGCCTTGACAGTGACCAACAAAGCGTCTTGCTCGCTGTTGTTGCTATTCTCCTCTTCATCTAGAGTGATGTCTGATGTTGAGTGCCGTGACCCATATGATGCAATGCTACGCTTACCTTTCTTTAAAAAGTCAATCGAGTAATTGGATTCCGTTCTTTTCAATCCAGTCAGCTCATCCGCGACAGATTTCTCACCCTTGAGAATAGCAGACGCTTTAAACACCAATTCACCTTGTTGCACAGCCAGTAACAGCTCGCCGTTCTGTCCATATTGAGCAGCACGACTCTTGCGATGTGCTTCAATCAAGGCCTTGGTGGAATAGGTCTTGTGGTATCTGCTCGAGATCAAAGATCCTAGCCAAGTGCGGCTATTCTCAGATTCCAACAAGTCGTATTTGCTGGACGTCGATAGGAGCTTGCTGCCTGTGGATGAACTTCCAGGAGGAAAGCTGTAAGTGCGCTGACGAAAAGCCTTTCGGTTGAATTCCTTGACGGGCGATTCCTGCTGTGTCACGGGTTGTTGCTGCTGCTGCTCTGCGTCGTCATCTGCTGCAGGCTTCTTGGTGTTGCGGTCTTCTTCCATAAAAGATCGAAGCGAGCGAACACTGTTGTTGGTTCCCATCTTGCGAGGATGTGTTCTCTTTGTAGGCGCTGCTGATGAAGAGGAGAATTGTTGTTGCGACGAGGAGAGAGAAGACGCCAACGAGATCATGGAGGCATGGGCATGACTACCAGATACACCCACCTCATTTGCACTGCCTGATGCTTGTTTCTTGGATTCCAACAACGTACAACTATCCAGAATAGTCGGAAACACCAATGCAGCAGTAGAAGGTGGCGCCACATCACTACTTGTTAGTGAATGCAGTGGATGTGTCGTCGTCGACGGTGATCGACCACTAAACTTGCGTCTATCAAAACCCTGTCCAAACACACGAGGCTCACACGCCAGCGAGCACTCTTGAAGATACTTGTAATCATGCGGCACAGACATCAAATCAGTTACTGAATGCTCAAAGAAAGACTGCAAAGGGCCCACAGCTGGGAAAGAAGGGCTGATCTGGTCCAACGGTGTGTGTTGCTGCTGTTGTTGCTGCTGTTTCCATGCATCCAAGTTAGTAGTAATCGCTTCGTATATACATTCGCACTCTTCAAAATTCACCATGGAGGGACTCAATAGCTTTTTGTTGTGTTTTCTGTATCGATCCACCGACTGTCGAATCGTGCCAAAGAACGGTAATCCCGTATCTGAAGTGGCGCTGCTCAATACTTTGGAGAATTGAGATAAAGAGGCCTTGTCTCCCCAGCCCTCAGCCCACATGATTTGAGAAAACAAGCCATAGTCTGTCAAAATATCCACCCATTCCACCTGCACATGGTGCACCAACGCACGGTCTACTGCTTTCCACGTCTCTCGCAAACGAACAATGCCCACGGAGCAAATCCCCATGGCAACCGCACACCAGCCCGTCATGTCTCCCAGCTCTTTCAAATGCAAACCTACACGAATCCAATGTTCCAGCAATTGAGATCGCACCAGCATGCAATTATCCGCTTCTTCATGTTGTGTGTCGATCAAGATTTGATTTCGAATCAGTTTTGTCAGGAAATGAGGTGCCATGGTCGTGAATAAGAGGGAATTCAGCATTTGTACGGATAATTGAGGCCGTGGCAAGTAAGAAATAGGATTCATCAAGTCTTTTTGATACTGCTTGTGTTTGTTGAGATGGAAAAGATAGATTTGTTGCGCAAAACTGGTAGGATCAATGGACAGAAACACGGCCGGCGTGAGCCCTGTCAACAGCAGATTGGATAGGTTGATCGAGTTTCTTCGTTTACCATCTGTTTCATAAGCAGTAATATTCTCCACTTGGTCGTCCTGGCCTTGTGCTTCCTCTTCCACTAGGTCGTCTTGTGGACAATGCGCAGTAGCGGTAACTAGATAGATGTGCCATGTCAATATTTACTGTTACACTACACACGGGTTTGTTTAGGTCTATCATTCTCCTTACCAATGGTCTGTTCACATGTTTTTTGTGCATTTTCGGAAACAGTTTTGAGTACCAGCTCTTTGACATGAACAGCCTGTGTATCTACGACATGGTGGTCCAGAATATCCATCATCCTAGTCGCTACTTCTCCCATAATATCCAAAGCAAAGTGCTGGCACCAGAATGTAAAAATGTCCAATACACGTTGTTCAAATGTCCTGTTGGCAATGAGGCAAGTCTTGATCTCAGACAAAACACAAGCGCCCGTGGTGAATGTTGAGTAGGTCAGCAAAAAAATCTGCATGTAGTGTTCATGATGTTCTGCGTTGTATAACAGTTCATGAACTAACGCATTGACTGTACCGCCTTGAACATGACTCTCATCCACTTGTGGTGGTGGTGGTGGTGGTGGTGGTGGTGGTGGCGGTTGAGGTTGAGAATGAGGCTCCTCATCGGACCGATGATTCCGGAAAACAATGTCTGGATGAATTCTTTGTGTAGCGTCGTACATCCTGCTACTACTACTGTTCTGCTGCTCCTCCCAGCCATAATCATCCTCTGCTCCCTCTCTTGAAATACTACCTCCAGACCTGCTGCTCAATAGATCTTCTTCCCTATCGTCATCTGCGGCAACAGCAGCAGCTGCTGCTGCTGTTGTTTTGCTCTGCAATTGACTGATCCACGCATGGCCTGCTTCACGATGTTGCGTGGAATAGACTCCCAGAATCGACGGTCGATTTACGTACTGTAGATTGAACAGGAGTAGTCCGTTGGAATACGAACAGGGATCAGATTGCATCGAACTGAAAGACGCAGGCGACGTGGGATGCGGACTCGTATTGCTGGACACCATATACTCTACTTTGAGTCGATGAAGGGGTATCTTGTTATCGATCTTCCACAAGGAAGACTGAAGATCAGGTCGAATACAGATATACAAGGTGTCATTGTAAATGATCAAGTGGACCGGATGCTTGGCTTGCAATGTCACTTGATTCAATTCCATAAAGACAGCACCTTGTGCAGTGGATACTTGCTGCGTTGGAAAAAAGACGTGTTGTGCTTCTCGATCAAAATCGCCTCTTACTAGCGCAGTGGTGGTCATTGTATTCGTTGTCGTTCCCGTGGTGGCGATACTAGAAATGCTGCTATTCGACAATGAAAATGACGATTGCTGACTTGCTAAACTGTGGTTGCTGTGTAGTTGCTTTAATGGATGATGATGAGGCATGGGGAACAGCGATCGCAAAGGTGATTCAGAGGTCAATTTATACAGGTACAGCTTGTGTCCTCGTAGGACCACTCGATACAGCTTCCATCCACGGTCCAATTTTGTTTGTTTGTGAAATGGTTTGAAATCTGTCTTTTTGAACAAATAACCTTCTTTGAGAATGATTAAACTCGTTCTCTTTTCAGCTGCATTGCTGTTGATTCTTGTTGTCGATGTATTAGTGGAGTTTCTACGGCGTGCAATGACAGGTGCAGAAAACGCGTCTAGTGCTGATTCATGAGGAGTGGTGGAATTAGAGGTAATAGTAGTCGTATTGTGTGTGGTATTGGCAGCGTGAGGTTTAGCAACAGATATCGTAGCTGGTAAATCAGTGGATTGAGCCAGCAGTGAGTCCATGCCCATCATAGACATGGGTCTTGTTGACCTATTCAACATGCGTTTCGTAGTGTTGGTTGCTGTAGACGAGTTGGAGGAGGATGTATTGAATTCGGAACTAGCTGAATGTTCATCAAATGAACGAGATATTGGCTTTTCTGATGAATGCGTTGGATGTGTATCAATGGACCATGGCTTTGCAATTGTAGCAGCAGCAGCAGCAGCAGCAGCAGAGCGAGTAGAAGAGGTGGAGGGACGAGTACTGGTAGAGTACTGGTGTTGCTGAGGTAATGATGAAGGTGAATTGTGTGTAAAAAATCTATTCTTTAAAAAGGAAAATGCGCTACGATGATTGTCATCTTCAGTTGAATTGCGTGGTGATGTTGGATTTCCCTTGCTTTTTTTCGACTTCATCATCGCCAAATGACGATGGTTATAATGTTGTGTGTATATATATAAGTTGAGTAATGAAAGAAAAGAAAGAGAAAGAGAAAAAAAGGTAGAATCTTTAAATTGTGCAAGGACTGGTACACACACAAAAAAAAAAAAAAAAAAAAAAAGTTTCAGTTGAAACTATACACAGGCCAGCAGGCAGTGAATGGGTGTGTTTTTTTCTCCTATAAAAAGTGCTATTGTTCTCTCCCTACTTGGAGATACTAAAATACATTTTGCACTTGGTGGAAACTACGTATGCATGAAAGAGAGGCTCTTTTCTTTTCCTTCTCTTTTTTTTTTTTTTTTTTTTTTTTTTATATAGAAAATCATTAAAAAAAAAACTTGGATTATAAACATGGGGTTCTTGCTTCTACTCTGCATGATTGAAGAGATAACTGACACTTTCACCATTGTGCTATAAATGAAGGTTAGTTTAGATTGAATGCAGGGAGCTTTTTGTTTAAGAGGGGGAGGGGGGGGGGGTATGACAACGTAAACTTACAGTTCTTCTTATTGCCTCTGCAAGTGTATTGGAAATATCAATGACAATCAACTTGGATGATTGCTCCATCTTTTCCTTGGGAATAGGGAAGGTGTTGGTGACAACCAGCTATATTACAAGTTAGCTACACCATATATCATGTCTCTCTCTCTCTCTCCCGGATATATGAATACATCAACTCGCTGTATACATCTATACATCAAGGAGAGCCGCATTTTAATATTACCTTGTATACACTATCACAAGCTTCAATCTTTTGAATGGCATCTCCACTCAAAACACCATGGGTGGCAATAATGTAAACTTTATCAGCTTCACACTTTTTGACCAAATGTTCTGCTGCATCCAAAAAGGTGCCGACACTATCAATGATATCATCCTAGATCAATGTCTGTAAGTACTCCTATCACCATCTATCACATTTAATACTTACGGTCAAGAAGGCAACCTTGCCTCTAACATCACCCACTAGGGTAATTGTACTTTCACCATCTTTATCAGCAACAACTGTAACTGCAGCATTGACAACATCACCATTGACACCAGCCTCATTCAATGAAGAAATAGAAGCAGTTAAATCCTCAACATCGTCATTGACAATCTCCTCTTCTTCTTCATACACACGAACACTGGATTCTCCTTCACCAGACTTGGGCATGCCACTGTAAGGACGGTTTTGTCCTTGAGGTCCCATACGAGAACGATCCTTGTGGATCAAGGCAAAATCAAGGCGAAGAGCATCTGCCAAAGAGGTAACCCTGTCGCACGGATAAATTGTGTGTCAGTAACGTTGATCCTAATGTTTGACAGCTGCTGATCACAAACCACATACCGTTTAGCGCCACCAGCATTTTTTGAGACAATGACACCGTTTTGCCAATTGGGAACAGTTTGAGTGATCCAACGAGCAATAACAGGTTCAGCATACAAGTTATCAACAGGACGTTGAAAGAAACCTTGCATTTGTGAAGCGTGAAGATCCATGGTCTGTTATGAAAAGGCATTAAAACATCATGTCTTATTTTTTTCTACCATGACCCAGCTTACAATAATGTGATCAACGCCAGCAACAGCCAACATGTTTGCAACGACTATGTACAAAATAGGTCAATATCTGACCGCACATTGCATTGTAGGGATGGCAACTCACGTTTAGCAGTAATACTGGTTCTACCCTTACGCTTACTTTGCTTACAGTAGGGAAAATAAGGAAGGACGGCAGTGATACGCTTACCGGAACCAATACGAGCAGCTTGGATCATGATACAAAGCTCGATAATGTTGTCATTCATGTTGTTGGAGCCAGATTGAATGATAAAGACATCTTCGTTACGAACAGAAACACCTGTGGATGATGATGTACATGAGCGTTTGAATGTCTAGACAAGATGTATTTGGGATACTCACGAATTTCGACATTGGTTTCCTTGTTACTAAACTTTTGAAGAGTACATTCGGACAAAGGAGTACCGAGACGTTTGGTAACAAGAGCTGCAAGCTCAGGATGAGAAGAACCAGCTAAAATCTTGGTATTGCGCATAATGATAAAGAGGTGGACTCCAACAAACAAAAAATGATAGTGCTACTAGATTTCATTTCCTAGCTTTTTTTTTTCTTCCTTGTAGTAGAAACTGATGGACAGTCACCAGAAAGTGTCATAATCATAAGAAAAAATTTTCAAAATGGTGGTTGATTTCATGTGTGAGAAAAGTATAGCATTTAAGGTTCTGCAAAAGGTATATCCATCGAAGCCCTTTTCATCATTTTCCTTTTTGCGGAAACAGACTGGATCTTGCCCAATGCCTTTCCATAGCAACGACATTATAATTCTGATCTGACAATTTTCTTTGTCAGGAACATCCAGCTGTCAAATGTTGGAAAACTTTAAATTTTGAGCATGGGACATCTTTCATTGAATTCTTTGATTTTTAAGGTATTCGAGAATACTCTAGAGCACAGTATTTTTGAACGGAAATGCTACGATTGTATTCTCGCAAACCATTGGTCTCATCATAGCAACAATGCCTGACAAACTTGATGCGGGCATAAATTTCATTTGTAATGCTGCTGCCTGTAAAATAGCAATCAGCCATTTCGAGGTATTGCATCTTGATCCAAGCGTACGAATAATCAATTGTACTCATTATCAGCAAATAATGTTGAATTATTCCTTGTTATATGAAAGGTTGACGAAACAACCCTACCCTGCGATGACTTGAATTCAGATAGATTCAATTTCGAATGCTTAGCTTGTTGTAATGCTACTACCTAAAATCAAGATGGCAAGCCAGCCTACGATGATTGTAATCATGAATCGCTTTCGTTAGTTATAACCAATGGTCACTGATGATGGACAAGAGTGCACTTCTGGCAGTTAATCGACGTTGCTTCCAACATAATAGACCCTTGACTTAAATTTCAAATTTGCTATTGTTTTTACGCATAATAACATGTTAACTACAAGCTTTAGATCTATCAACGAGGTGTTGGAGAGCATTGTAGTCCAAACCGCTTGATCTTTTCTTGTTTCGTTGTCGTTTGGTAAAGGGTCAAAGTTGTCTGTTTATTTTACTAGTAAAGGGGCACATCTTTTCCACGAGAGATATTGACGTTAGAGCCTTTATTTTACTGCCATTACATGCTCTCGTTTAGGGACCCATAAGCATGTGAACAGGTTCATAGATGCTATATCGATTGTCAAATAATTGAGTGGGTAAAACATGACGAAAAAGCTGCAAAAAGATCAATGGTTTAACCCTATTATCTCTGAACCTAGCAACTCAACCCACTTTCCTTATTAATTAAATCTTGCTTTCCTTTGTTTGCTGTACAAAATCAGATCGCGTTTGGGGAAATACGACACCTTCCTTTAAAAAGTTGGTTTTTCAACCGCTAAATTGGAGTTTACAGTGGCAAAACCATGTTTTTCTTGAATAACACCACAGAAACATTCATGAGGTGCTCAAGTCTATAAAATAAACTTAGGGCATGGATTGACTCATAGCATTGCACAAAAAGAATTTATCTGTGTTATTAAGATGAAGGCAAGAGGGACCCATCATCTCTGATTATATGAAACTTGGCCGTGAACTAAAATTGATGCTTGGTTTAATTAAAAACCTCAAGTTTTCGAACTGTTTTAATTTGAGAATCATTACTTTATCACATTATTCATCTTTCGCTGCTTCGAGTCTCTCAGATGCAACGTGCAAGCAGACAGCATCTGTTACTACTGGAAAATATGCAAATCATAGCCAAAATCGGATGTATTTGATCCATAATTTCTCGTGTCAAAAGCTGTTCTAGACTGCCAGAATAGCACCAAACGATTGCGTTCGTCTAGCATTTGCTCACTGACAATTTTACTCAATTTCTTTAGGATATGAAAACATCGCCAAAAACCATGAGCTATCCCTTACGAAAAACATCAAAAATCAGACAATCGCATTTTTCACCTCCAAATGAGGATTTCGACTATGGTATATATTAACTCAAAATGTTTCTCTCAACCCAAAGCAACACCTGAAACTTTGTTTGTGCGATCTTTTTATATAAAATCTCGACATTTTTGCCAAAAACCTCATTTCATATTTTCAAGATTTGCTCGATAGATTCAGTCAAAGTATACTTTATAAGCAGTATCATTACATGCGTCTTGAAAAATACTCCAGAAATGCATTAGAAAGCATAGCATTGTTATCACAATTTACATAGTCGAATTCGACAAGATATATCGATCGAGTCGATTTTGTTCAGAATCTGATCAATCTATGGCAGAAGTTGAGCGAAGAATAAACTAGATTTGGCAGCTGCTGGCAATCTTTATTGCCTCGCATCGCAATCAATGCTAAACTGGACATGATGCAAGGCCCTAGAGGCACCGGAAATATTACATGCAATTAATTGTATGCATTCAAATTACATTTATTACTATTATTGATTTATATGTACAAGCCTATACAAAAAAATTTACACAGTGTCCTTTTTGATGAGGGGATCACTACTCAATCTTGAATTTTGTGTATCGGGTCTAGAGATATTCTGACCAGCCTCTTCAGTATCTTCAATGTCATCTGTTTGTGTAGGAGGGAAGATAGCAGGCGAACTGAGTCCACTGTGTCTCATCTCAACACGGTGATGAGGTACCAAAAAGTTGGTATTGTAAGCATGCGAGTGTCTACGCTCTGGATGGTGGTAGTATACTTGGTGAACAGATCTGGCGGTGGATTTTACGCTATCTGTATCGTGCGCACTGGCTCCGCTACCTCCACTGTCTTGACGTTGTGGGTCTGGTATGGCTGCTCCTCGCTCTGCTTGATCCAATGTAGTATCGTCTGCTTTGTTTTGTTGATCTCTCAAGTGTTGCAGACGGAAGTTCTCAGCTGGCGTGTGCTCAATCTTAACATTGGATTTCTTGATATGGCCACGCTTGAACATGGATCGCAATATATTGATTTTAGGAAGAGCGGTTTTACCAGTGACAATTGAGGCAGCATCATCGTGAGCGGTCTTGCGAGCTTCAGCAATGAGGGCATCCTCTTGTTCTAGTCGGCTCTTGGAAGCAGTAGCAATGGCAGCAGCAACAGCCTCTTCTTTTGCCTTGTTATCACGTTCTACCTTTCGAAGAATTTCAGCCAAATGTTGTGCAAGATTACCGCCACTACCGTCATGACGGTTCTGCAGGAGATCAGACTTGCGACGTCCAACTGGAGGTTTCTTGGCTTCTTCGCCCTTGGCAGGCATTTTGACAGGTAACCAAAGCTGTGGCAAGTAACCTACTAGTAGAGGATTACCGTACTTTTTGAGACCAGCATCCAGGAGACCTGGATTCAGTTGCATAGGCGGCTGACGGTAGTCGGTCAAACTGTCAGGTGTAGCTTCATAATCGTCTTCATCTAATACCACTTTACGATGACGAGGGCGAATAATAGTAGACTTGCTATCTGTTTTGGTAGCAGCAGCAGCATCTTGTTGAGGCTTGAGATTGACGGCCGAAAGAGCCGCCTTCTTCCAACGACTGCGAACTTCATTCTTCTTTTCTTCTTCTGCCTTCCTTTCCTCAATCATTCTGGCTTGGTTTTTAGCTTCATCGATACGCTCATCACAAGAGGAGTCATCTTCATCAGAATCTTCATCGTCGGAGGTGGGTAACTTTTGTAGGTTATCTTTAAGCAATTGCATGGGTAAGTGATGTGCATTCTTTGAATAAGCCAGACTCAAAAGATAGCGATACAAGATGGTGATCAAGACGAGAGGAACCACTAGACCACTTAGAATATAGTTGCCCTTGAGTAAAAAGAGACCAATCATGGTCAGTTGGAACAAAATGAGGGTAAAGATGACACGTGGAATAACCATTGTCCACAGTTTACCAGCAACTTCGTAAGGACGAAAGTATACTAAAAGCCGTGTTAGATGTCATGATCTGTCGAATACTGTACGATTCACTTACCATACAAGAATTGATACTTGTAAACGACGTAGGTAAAGCAAAAATAGACGGTACCAAACAGCAAAATTATAGGACAAATGAGAGAGTACTCGAATACGATAGCAAATACGAGTAAAGGAACAGGATAACCAATGCCGTAATTGAAAGACCATGGTGCACGATTTTCAGCATGCTCTCGTGGTGTTCTACAAAGGAACATATGAGTGAATCCACGAACGATTATGGCACCAAGTAGCAACAAATTCAAAGGCATACTGTTTGGAGAAGATGGATGAGTTGATGTGCTACTGAGAGATTAGTAGTTTGAATACTTGCATTAAAAAGGTTTGCAAAATGGTGTAGTTGATAAAGAATGGAGCGAGCTGTCAAAAAAATTCAAGGTGAGCGATCATGATCTACTCGAAGCAATCACGAGTTTAACCTACTCTTGGTAACATCTCTGCTAGCATTTTGGTGATACCTTGAGGGTTGGTGGCAAACATGTTAAGAATAGCCATGACTGATGTACCAATAACAGAATAAAAGATCAAGGTAAAGAAGATCAAGAAAAAGTACTGTTTGCTCAATGTTGATTCAGCTACTGCACTTCGAGATCTCAAACCTTGGTAGTAACCCATAGCTGTAATACTTTGTTAGTAAGGTATCCATAGAACACAACGCAAACAACTTACTATCAAACAGCAATGGCAAGACGGAAGTGAAGATATTGAGAACAAGAGGAGGAATGAATGTGCCAAAAATCGTTTGTACAGCAGGGATATTCTCCATGCGTGTACCAAGTTCAGGATTAATTTTCTTGATGGTTGGAATACTCATTAAAGTTGAGATTGCACCAACAGGAATGAACCAAAACAGACAAACCACAACAGTGATGGTCCAAATAATGGCTTCTCGGACGATTCTTTCACGACCACGAATAGAAATGGCACTCCAAAGCACATCTCTAGGTTCACAAGCCATACTTGTACGGCATGCAAAAGGTTCGGGATTGATTGCGATTTGGGATGCAATTATCTAAGAAAAGCAAGATCAGATTATTTAATAGCTTGTATGACATCAATTACTCACAGCACTGCTCATGGATTCAAACGTGACAAAGGCAACATTGGTCATTTCAAAGTTGGGCGAGCTTCTACGCTGCATGACAGTCTTGTCCAAATCATCAAACAGCTTTGTGTAGTATTCAATGGCATCAACCTTCTTGCCTCCCATGCCCAAGAAGCCACCAACACGGACGAGAGGACGTTTTGATTTGGTCGTCTTTTTAAGACTCATTGGTTCCACGAGTCCCTTAAAGAAGGTGGTATTTCCCAACTTTTTCTTCTTCTTGAGCTTCTTTATTTTGAGCGTGGATGATCCCTCCTCGGATTTTTCCGCATCGTTTTCCTCATCTTCTTCCTCCTCCTCGTCACTGCTGCTATCAGGTCGGTTTTCAGCAAGATCCAATACTCGCTTGTACATGTCTACATCATCCAAAATGCGATCAGGATCATATCCAGGGATTCGACACGGATTGCCCCAATATTTTGCATAAGCTTCTTCCAATTTGATCAACGCTTGTGCTCTTTTCTTGATCATGGTGTTTAATCTGTGAACTGTTCGTACAACGTAGCAACTTTCAACGGAACCAACACCTAGATTCTCATAGTAATCAGCCAACGCCTGATCAGATCTTAAGCGCTCGGGAATTCCAGTAACAATGACAGATCGAGAGACCATGGATTTAGACTGTTTCAATAAGTATTTGGCGCGAAGGTAGATGTAGTCGTTGTAGTTTCGATTCAAGAAGAAAAAGGTGACAAAAGTAAAAAAATAGGCAAAGACGAGGTAGGCGATGAACTTTTTGGAGTCTTGTTCAATGACTGATATCGATAATCTATCCAGGGGCGAGGTGGCATTACCCAAGTGTGTATAATCAGAGGTCATGGTGATTGGTACAAACACAATGATACCGAAAACTGTACACACAGCAAAGATTTTGATACCCATGGTTACAAACTTTAGCATCTATATATCATGGAATCATGAGTTACACATGGGCACAAGTTTGATTTGTCATTGATTTCGTGGGTTTACCAGCAAAGCATCTAAACCGACATTCGTCAGCATGTCTTCATCACTGATTTTGATGAGTGGCCAGATCCAGCCGAACAATGATGTTGGCAATTCAGGTGGTTTGTGTCTAGTGGCAATTCTTTTAGTATAAACAGGGCTGAATATGTCATCTGTCTTTTTTTTTTTTTTACCTTTTCATGTTTGATCGTGGAGAGAATAGTACTGGGATTCTGTTGAAAGTTGGCTTAGAGATCAATATCAGCAATTTGAATCAGTCATCCTCACCTTGTTCTAAATATACAAAAAATCATAAAAAGGAGGATGCCAACCACGATACAGATGGTGAATTGAGAGCCAATGTTGGCGGTGTTGAGTGCAGTGTCCAGATACTGTGATCCATCAAAGCAGACATCTAAGACTGATCCTGGTGTGCACGATTGTGTCTCTTCTGCTGTTGATGAGGATGTGGTAGCTGCTGTTGATGAGGATGCGGTAGCTGTTGTTATTTCTGGACTATTGATACTGCTTGTAGCGGATTCAATGGCACTAGGTATAGTACTGGATATAATTGAAGATGCTGTGGGGGATATAATGGAGGATATACTCCCAGTTATCATTGAACTCGTAGGTCCAAGAGTAACCGACATTTTTTGAAAGTGTTGTTTTAAATGCGAAGAAGAAGAAGAAGAAGAAGAAGGAAAAGAATCAAAATCGAAATGTAATCATTATGTATGAACATTGCTCCATCAAATCGTCGCTTGTGTAAAACCTTAAAATCTCAGCCGTCATAAACATATAAAACAGACACCCAAAGCACACAAATCGTCATACAAAATGTTGGTCTACGACTATTTTGGAATATTTAACCGAGAAGATAAACCCCATAATTTTTGCTCGTTGTTGTATATACTCAAAAAGCTCATTGCCATGATGCACTACTTTATTCAAAATGCATAGCACAGCAAAACGTTATACATTAGCTTTGTTATTGAGGATAGTTGTCGAGACGTAAGATTTTGTGATTCGTGGATTCGCCGGTTTCTGAAATCGGATACCCTGTGCATGCTGTAGCGTCTATATGTATCTCGATCGAGATGATAAATGTAGAAGAGAAATCCAAGCTATATTTCATGCTGTCAGATGGCTGTAGGCCCTATCATTGCCTTTCTTCACTTGCTTGCAACAGGATGTATTTTAGGAGTTTTGATACAGATGGTTTAGAGTAAAATGAAACATGTACACTCATAACCTAGGTTAGTAGAAAAAGAGATAAATGCAGCCAACTAATCAACCTTCCAGAGACCATCTGCCTCCTTGTGAAACCAAATCATGAAATTGGATTGCTGTTTGTATTGCCTCGGGAGGGCGGTATGAAATTTTTTCGTTTCCATGAAGTCACTGGTCATCATGTTAATGTGGTGTTACCGCTCATTCGGTTATTCTTCAAAGCAGCAGCCTATGGATTGGGCAAATTACCTGGCCATTTGTATCTAAATATGACGACAATGACACCATAATTCAGCTCTCCAAAATAAAACACATTGTTTAAGTATTGGCCATTGCTTGGATATACATCTTTTGTCATTGTCTCGGTACCCAACGAACACAAGTTTCAGATGGAGGTTGCAAGTCTATCAATCTTACAATGATTAAAACTCAATGCTCACTATTGGCCTCAGCATTTTTGCAATGGGTTTGTACATGCATTTGAGCTGTACAGTATAAGGAGAATAAATGTTTATGATTTGAAAGAGGTTTCATACCTAAATCATGAGAAACCAGATCATCGGATTCAGGTCAAATATGAAGAAACCTATTATGCCATCGTCAATCAATAGGCAACCAACAGGCCCATCACATTGATGTTTTTAACTATTCGATCACGCTAGGGCCATTCATTTTATATGGAAATGGAATTGGAAGGAAATCTCTAACTGTAAAGAACAATTGAAGAAGCGTGCCCTACGTCATTTAATAATGGATATAGTTTGTATTAATGATCTGAGCGCCGTCAATACTCAAGTCTTGGAGGTACCACTAATGTCATCCATCAGTACAATAACACTGTACCCTACATCAACGTATCAGCATAACATAATAAATGTTCAGTCCCTAAACACTTTTACAGCCCTAATATAAAAACTGAATTGCCAGATATTTGTCAGACATTGCTCATATATGATTAGAGATTTTATATTAAATCACTATCAATCAATATACAAGTTTCTTCTAACATTTCAGCTATTATTATTAATTTTGCGATATTAGCCAAACATCCGCGGCAGCGCGAGTCATCTGAACGTAGGTTAGCTTCCACCAAAGCGAAGCGTAGGTCAGAAAACCAATCGAAGAGTCGAAATGCTCATCGTAACGTAATAATTTATGGTCCCTAGACACTTTCAATGTCTCAAAAAGGAAAGAAGTTGATCTAACAAGTATTTCGATAGACAAGCATTATTAAATACAGAATTCAAGGAATATAGCATGTTTTAACAATAGCGTTATGTAATTTGCCACCTACTTTCCATATGCTTCAAAGCATCTCTTATTGATTGTCTTCATGATGAAAAGGGCATTGAGTTTGCCAGCCAGCCAGCCCCACCAGCCAAAATTTATTCAAACCCAGAATCATAATCTGTTCCGGATTGGCCAAATTCTGTTTTTTCTCGACTAGATCGAACTATTTTACTAGATTCGACTATATAAATTGTGGAGATTATCCGATGCTTCCTAACACATTCTTGGAGTGCTTTTCAAGGCGCATCCGATGGTACCAAGTAAGTTAGATGTTTTGAATAAACTTATTGAGCAATTTCAGAAAACGTGAAAAGAGGTTTTTGGTCAAAATGTCGAGATTTTGCATATGAAGACCTGGCAAACAATGTTTCAAGTGTTGCTTTGGATCGAGAGAAACACTTTGATTCAATATATACCATAGCAAAAGTCTTCATTTTCAAGGTGAAAAACGTGATGGTTTGATTTTTGATGAAAACCATGAGGTACCCCTCATGCTTTTTGGTCGATATTTGGCCATGTTTTTTTGGTCCCCAGAAAGTTGAGCAAAGGTGTCAGGAAGTTGTTGCTACTTGAGAGCAATTGTTTCGCATCATTCCGGTGGCTCAGAATGGCCTACATGTTATGATATGAAGGCTTAAAAGCTATGAAATTTGGTTGTGTTGTATACATTTGCTTGTCAATAAACGCGTTTTTGTAACAATACGAAGGTGTAAAGACATTGTATTATTAATCTAGATTCAGAGCATGCTGTAGCATCCAAATACTCAACTAGAAATATTAGACTGATTAACAATGCTGTATAGCTGTATCATAGCGCAATAATATAGCTAATTAGTGAGAAGATAGCAGTTGTAAGACACGCTGGACATTTTAGAAGCAATAGATAGTCTGCATTGAGTACAACAATATTATGTTCGGGGCAATAGCATACAGCCTTGCTCAGGCATACTTCTTGGTGTAGTTACTACTTGTAAACGTTAATGCTAAACTGGTTTTTTTGATGATATTTTGCTTAGCGACAGTTTAAGCAATACCAAAAGCCTTTCTAAAAGAAGTGTAGGCGCTGACGCACTAATAGTAACTGCTTTTTCAGCAGAAGTAAGCACAACCAAGCGAAGATCTAAATCAGCAAAACCGCTGCTAACACTGGCGAGAAAGGATTAGATAAGAGGAAAAACAAGAGAATAGTAGAAAGCTCAAGCTTCTTGGTTACAAGAGCAGAATACATGAGTTATGTATTGGGATTAACAGAATCTACTACACTGAGCATTGCAGTGGCCTTTTTTTTTTTAGAAATGGGATAAGAACACCACAACTGGCGGTAGCCAAGTTCAAGTTTTATGTGAGTCTTTCCCCTCCTTTTATAGTATACCAGTGTTTATGCTTCGGATGGCTCTCTACCTTCGCTTCGCTTCGGTGAGAACGAACCTGTGTAGCGGCAGCTCGCGCTACCGATTGCTCTTGCGTATCTTATCAAAATACTGCTACTTTCATTTTGACCCTCCACATACACATGAAAACCCTTCATATTATCTGTGGATCTGATTCTTATGTGTTGAGTCTGTAGCGGTTGCGGACATTCAGTAACTCAGCAAGAGTCGGATCATGATTTACATTGTTTCTCACTGTCTACATTAGGACGTTAGGTTCGACACAGAAGTGAATCATATAATCGATTATGATGGTCTCTGATAGTGAAGGATAATGATGGCTACAGATCGTATCATCATGGCTGATTGAACGAATCGGATCCTTCAATTGACTGATATTAGATAAACATGATACGATGTATTGGCTCAGTTGAAACAACAAGATAGATTGATGATTCATCAGTAATGATCTCTTATAAATAGGATGTGTTTGAATCAATTAATAAATCTTGAAGTTTTCGTATCTGGTTACTTTTTATAGTCTTCCTTTTTTGAAATCTATCTTAATTTGTTAATACTGTATCTTTGAATACAACATTATGTGATGCCCTACATCCGTATGCACGTGGCTACATCATATACAGGCAAGCAGCATACTGGTATTCCCTCTTTTTAGTCCTTAGTGTCCCTGATACAGCAAAATCTAAGTGCATTTGAGCTGCGTTTTCTTGAGTTCAAGGCCGTTTTAGATTGTTAGAATAGTACCAAACAATTGCTCTCAAGTAGCAGCAACTTCCTGACACCTTTGCTCAACTTTCTGGGGACCAAAAAAACATGGCCAAATATCGACCAAAAAGCATGAGGGGTACCTCATGGTTTTCATCAAAAATCAAACCATCACGTTTTTCACCTTGAAAATGAAGACTTTTGCTATGGTATATATTGAATCAAAGTGTTTCTCTCGATCCAAAGCAACACCTGAAACATTGTTTGCCAGGTCTTCATATGCAAAATCTCAACATTTTGACCAAAAACCTCTTTTCATGTTTTCTAAAATTGCTCAATAAGTTTATTCAAAACATCTAACTTACTTGGTACCATTGGATGCGCCTTGAAAAGCACTCCAAGAATGTGTTAGGAAGCATCGGATAATCTCCACAATTTATATAGTCGAATCTAGTAAAATAGTTCGATCTAGTCGAGAAAAAACAGAATTTGGCCAATCTTGAGCCGAAAAATTTATCTGGGGTTGAAGTTATTTTTGCGCTGTTGTCTGACCAAACTGCCTTGCTGACGATGGCAATGTTGATTCGAATGCTTGTTAAATGGAAATCATAAATTCGAAGGTACGATCAGTTAGCCTGAATACTTTCTTTCACTTTCGTAGGGTATTTCCATATCTAACAAGGCCAGTCATTATGCTTCACCACCAAAGTATATGGAATTGCAACTTCTAATCATGACTTGCAACGTTTCAACATGGCATGTAGGCTGTATGCGTTTCATTGATTCGTTCAAAAGAGACTATTTCCACTGGCTGAAAAGCTATTTGATATATGGTGAGGATATCTTTAAAACTTGTATCAGAATTTTCATTGGGAATGATGGCTGCAATCTCGTTGACAGTTGGCGGATTCTGAGTGCGTCTACCTTCACCAACAATTAGCTTCAATCTTCTTTGAGGGTTGAGTCGAATGTGAGCATCTTCGTCGATATGATTTCAGGCTTGTCGTTCTTCTTTACTCAAGATCTCATGAGCACGCTTGTAAATACGAAAAAAGGTTCTTTGAGCCTTGTCCAGTGCTCAATTAAATTAATAGAGGACTATATATGCGAGCTTACTACTTGAAGTTGTAACTGAAGGCGTTCGTTCAATCTATAGTCTTTATAACCTGACATCAAATCGCTTACGAACTCTTTCACAAAAAAAAAATTAGCAGTGGTTTTTTTTTTTTTTTCAAACTTTATAGACGTTTATTTATATAAAAAAAGACATAATAATAAAAAAAGAGAAATGAAAGCGATAAAATGACAATTTGGAGGTTTTTTTGCTTGTAGGGATACTTACAAATTATGGGTGTGTTAGGTGAGGGGGTGATTGGTGGTTGTGAGTGTGTAATGGTAGAGGAATTGATTGTATCAAAAAATGTCAATAGAAAAAGAAACACTAACGGATTGTTTAACTGTAATATATATAATGTATAGGTTTCTTCTTTATGATGTGATTTCAATGAATGTTTGTATCTAATTACTCGGTGTCTTTCTTCTCCTTCTTTGACTTTTTCTTTTCCTTCTTTTCCTTCTTCTTTCCGTCCTTTTTACTTTCTTTCTTTGCCTTCTTGGCAGCCTTTGTTTCCTCCTCCTCAGATGGTTGTTCAGTTTCAACCTCTTCGATCTTTCTCTTGGCAGGTGCGGATTCAGTCATTACAAAATCGGCAGCTTCACTGTATTGTTGGGTCTTGTTCAATTTGAACTTGGATTGGTTTTGAATGGTGGCGTCCTTGTTAGCCTTTGCAACAACACGTCCTTCCAGCATGTGGATACGTGCCTCAACCTTCAAGCGGCCATCAACACCAACTTCATTTGATTCGGAATCACCAAGAGCATCCATTCTAAGGGAGAGAGCAGCCTTGGCAGCGACCATACGGGCAACCTTGGCCTTGTTCTTGGGGCCAGCTTGACCAACCAAAGAAGCGTGGTAGATCAAACCATACTTGGGTGTGTTGTGCTTGGTCTTCAAGGCACGGAAAAGGGCCTTTTCAGCACCAAGAATTTGGATAGTGGAAGCAGGTTGCTTGGAGAGGTTCATGAGAGAACCGGCATGAGAAATCAAACGAGCACCGACGAGTTCACCGACAAGAGAAGTCAAGTTGGGAGCAATGGCGTTCATACGGTTCTTCAAGTATTCGTACAATTGAGTTCTGTATTCAGTGATGTTGATAACTTGATCACAGAGAGCGAAAATGTTGTCGATATCTTCATCAGAGATTTCAGTACCCATGGAGATCTCAGCAGCTTCCTTGACTTCAGTTTCGAGTTCTTCGGGGAGGATATCAGCCATATCAATGGCATGAGCATTGGTACGGAAACCCATAGCCTTGACAACCTTGGCATAGGCGAGGTTATCGACAATGATCTTGGTCATTTCAGGGAAATGCCAGCCATACCATTCCTTGACACGCATAGCGTAAGTGTTGAGTTCCTTATCGAGATCATCCAAAAGAGCAATAGCTTGAACAATCATGGTATCGACCTTATCAGGAGAGAACTTGAGCTTATAACGAGAGAGAGAGTGAGAAAGACCAAGGGACATGGCAGAGAGATCGGATTGAGAGAGACCGGAAACAAGAGATTCAAATTGTTGACGAATGCCTCTGTAAAGATCTTGAACGGTGGAATCGGACAAGACGTTGATGCCCAACTTCTTGTTGATGGAAGAACCTGTACACTCGACTCATTAACATCGCTGCCCCTTTAATTCCCTAATGTCAACACACATACCAAGCTTGGGATCACTAATGACCAACTTTTCCTTCTTCATCTCCTTTTCGGAAATCTCGGTTTCCAAAAATTTTTTCAAGTTCTTGGGCATCTTGCCTTCAACAATACCAGTGACGGCAGACAAGGCATCAGTAGTGTTTTCAAACTTCTTGAAAGCCTTCAACTTGACACTGAAAAACGAAAAAACATCAACTGTCAAATGTCAAAAAAAATTTCCAAATCACAAAAATACATACGCTTGGTTGGCCTTTTCAACAGACTCGAAATCCTTGTAGATCTCTTCAGGCTTTTCCATCTTGCCATCATCAACAAGCTTGAATAAAGCATAACCAGCAGCAGTCTCGTAAAGAACAAGCATTTTTCTTTAATATATTACAAATGAAGAGAAGGTTGTAAAAAAAAAAAAAGAGGTTGAAACGAAAGTTTTTTTTTTTTTGACAAAATACAAGGCGTCAAAAAGCTTTTTTTCCCTTTGGTATAAGGTGGTCACGATCAAAAGAGATGTTTGCATTTGACAAAGCTTCAAAGAATAAGCCTTTTTAGATGAAAAGCAGTCGATGGTTAGTTTGACAGGAGAGCCAGCGCATCGACATTTAGATACACTTCTAAGCCTCTCGAAAATTCACTCATGTAATCAATGTATACACTCCGAAAAAGAAAACATCTCTTTCGTATCCACTGTTCATCATGGTTCTCGCAGCAAAGAGAAAGTACAAAAAATCCTTAAATTCTGAGCCTGCTAGCAAGGTAAGTCGATAGGCGTTTTGGCCGAAAAACATGAGCTGGAACTGACACATTGGCACTACATATGTAGCAAGCCAAGAAGGACCGTCAATCGAAAAAGCATCAAGCATCTTCTGATGAGGAAGACGAGCATGAGAGTGCCTTTGCTGGAAATACCGGTTTCTCAGAAGAAGAGGAGAATGGTGATTGGGAATCCAACTCGGATGATAGCGACCATGAGGATAAACTCGAAAGCACCAAAATTAAAACTACCAAGGCAACTGAGGATGATTTGATTTCAGGCGAATTGGAAGGACTCAAGGAGACTGCCGAGCTCTACAAATCCAATATTTTCAAGTTAGAGGTATAACGAGATGTGGATCCAGTGGTTGTTGGGAGAAATTTCTGACTTAGGTTGATCTGTTTATAGATTGACGAATTGTTGACAGAAATCAACGTCAATTACGATAAACACAAGGCATTGCAAAAGGCACTTCACCATTTGAAGGCCATTTTCGACAGCATTCCCGAAGGAAAGCAGCTCAAGGTAACGTACAAGCGGTGGATCTCTTGAGAGATGATGTACTTATCGACTTGTTGATAACACTCTAGTTGCATGAATTTGCCCAAGACATGTTGAAAAAGAACAAAATTGTGACACCTTTCCCTGATCCTCAACCCTCCAAGGAAGCATTGCACTCATTTGCATTCCAAAAGCCCACCGCCATGCACATTGTAGGTGGTTACGGCCTCAAATCCATCGCCAAGTCAAAATCAGCCTTCAACGTCGATGTCGCTGTTGAGATGCCCAGCTCCATTTTCCAAGAGAAAGATTACGCCAACTACCGTTATCATCACAAACGTGCCTGTTACTTGGCTGTGTTGGCCAAGGCTATCCAATCCGCCAACAAAAAGTTTAACGTCGAGTACAGCACCATGAACGGTGATGCACGTAGACCCATCTTGTTGATCAAAGCAGCAGGCGATAAATCCGATGTCGATTTCAGTAAAACCAAGTGTGTGATCCGCATCTTGCCCAGTGTCAATGCCGATGTGTTCCCCATCCATCGTTTAGCGCCTGGCAAGAGCTGTGTCAAACCTGCAGAAGCTACACCTCACTACAATGCTTCTCTGTTGATGGATACATCGTATACTGGCAATCTAGCCTTTCTTTATCAACACAGCAAAACCAGCCCTGAATTTAAGAACGCCATCTTGCTGGCTCGTACCTGGCTTCATCAACGTTTTCACAATACCAACATTGGATTCACACCGTTTGTCTTTGCCATGTTGATGGCTTATTTGATGCAAGGTAACAAGGATGGTACCGGTAAAAAGCTGTCTGCCAGCCATAGTTCATACCAATTGCTGCGTGGTACCTTGGATTTTATTGCCACACATGATTTTGCTACTACACCAGTGTTTTTGGGAGAAAATGAAAAGTCTGAATTCTCGGCTGTCGAGTTCCAAACGCACTACGATGTTGCTATTGTAGACCCCTCAGGCACACTCAACTTGACCGCCAACATGACAACATCTGGATTGGCACAATTACAACACGAAGCTAAGTTGGCCATGACCTATTTCAATGATCCCACAGATCGATTTGAGCCTCTCTTTTTGAAGCATGTCAATGATGCCAAACTCAAGTTTGATAATGTGGTGCGTATCCCCTTTGTCGCTGAAGCACCTGTGGAGGCATTTGACGAAGCTGCCAAGGCTGACTACCATAGCTATTTGTCTTGGTTCGTTATTCGCATGAGTGATGTGTTGAAGCGTGGTTTGACCAACCGTGTGGATTTGGTCGCTGTGCAACATACTGATGCCAATGCTTCTTGGGCCTTGACCGACAAGATCCAACAACACGATCAAGTTACTGTCACTGTTGGTCTTTTGTTGAACTCTGACAATGCTCCTCGTCTTGTGGACCAAGGGCCCGATTCCTCCAACGATGAAGCCGTTGCTGAATTCCGCCAGTTCTGGGGCAACAAGTCTGAATTGCGTCGTTTCAAGGATGGTGCTATTGTGGAATCTGTCGTCTGGCAAACACAAGGCTATGAGAACCGCAGTTTGATTGTGCAAAAGATTGTCTTGTACTTGCTTCAATTACACTTGAATGTCGAGGCCTCTCAATTGATCTACTGGGCTGGCCAGCTTTACAGCTACTTGAACCTCGCCAAGTGTGTGCCTGAAAACCTGTTTAGCCCTGAACTCAAGACCAGCGGGTTCCATCCTGTCATGCAAGCCTACCAGCAATTTTCCAAGCAACTGCGTCAAGTGGACGATGCTCTGCCTCTGTTGATCAACAATGTGTATCCTGCTCACGCCAATTTACGTTATGCCTCTGTCACCTTGCCTCACCCTGTTGATTTCAACAACATGGTGCAGTATCCGACTACCACGCGTTATTTCGACGCGATTGATGTTGTCGTCCAGATTGAACGTTCTGCCAAGTTCCCTGATGATCTAGCCGTGCTGCAAAAGGTCAAGCACGCCTTTTATCTCAAGATGTCTGAAGAGCTCAAGACTCGCTTTGATGTGGACTCGGTTGTAGTGGACGATGTGCGCGAAAAGAACCCTTTGGCAATTCGTGGCTACCTGGATGTCTACTACTTTGGTTATCTCTTCCGTTGTCATATCTGTTTAGAGCAAGAAGCCACTCTATTAGAAAAGATTGTTGATGCTAAAACCACCACCAAACTCAACAAAGCCTTGGCTACGGAGGCACTCGACAAATACAAGTATCAATTGCGCTATAAGCAAACGCACACCTTTTACGTACAGGCCATGTGTGCCAAATATACCGCTTATTCTTCCACCGTGCGTTTAGCCAAGCGTTGGTTTGGTGCTCACTTGTTGTCTCCTCATGTGTCTGATGAAATGGTGGAGCTCTTGGTGGCTCACGTCTTCTTGGAGTCCCAGCCTTGGGTCGCTCCTGTCAGCACTTTTGCTGCCTTTGCTCGTGTCTTGGGCTTGTTGGCTACTTGGGATTGGCAAACCATACCCTTGATTGTGGATATCGAAGGTGAATTGACTACCAAGGACCGCGAAGAGATTGTCTCTCAATTTAACCAACATCGTCGCACCAATCCTCAAATGAGTGTGGGTGCCATGACCATCGCCACTGCTAAAGACCATTCAGGCCATCGTTGGACCACCAAGAAGCCTGCCAGAGTTATTGCTGCTCGTATTCAAGCCTTGGCGCGTGCCTCTGTGCAAGTCATGGAAGAAGCGACATCGAACCAAGATATCAAGCGTGTATTTGTCACTCCCATGCAAGATTACCCTGTTGTTCTTGATCTGGATATCGAACACTGTACACGTTACTACCAAAACATGCATCCTGAGGCCAAATATCTGAAGCCAAGTTACGGTGTTGCTGAATTGGGCGATAAGCCTTATGCTCAGTTGGATCCAGTACAAGATTTCATTGCTGATATTGAACAGGTGTATGGCAATACCGTTATGGTGTTCCACAACAAGTATGGCGGTGATAAATTAGCCTTGGTTTGGAACCCTACAGTGGCTACGCCTATGCAGTGGAAGGTGAATGCGGGTTATAACAGTGTGCCTGTGGACATGAACAAGAATGGATTCTTGGTAAGTTTTATAGTAAGCCTTTTTTTTTTTAAGTGATTTTGATTTTGACATTTTTCTTTTAAAGAAACCTGCCAAGGGTCAAACTGGCATTTCCAAATTTATTGCACCTAATTTTGCTGCCATTCTAGCAGAGATTGAACGATTAGGTAGAGATGGTATCTTGAAGCAACAGCAACAACAACAAGAGTAAATAATTCAAATCCCAGCACACATACGCATGTCATTATCTTAGAAGAAGGGCTTGAAAAACGTCTTTCAACACTTATGTATCTATATTCACACAAACAATAAAGTTATCGTTTGTATACTTGTTCTCTTTGAATAACAGGATAACCATGGCCTTTAAACAAGTGCGGCTGTAGGAGCAACCTAGCTCAGGACGTGTTAATGGCTGATGTGAAATGCGAAGAATACATGAATGTGTACTTGATCCTTTCTTGAACCTTCCAGGGAGGTCGATAATGCAGATCAGAACCATACTCACACATTGTTTAATTAAAAGCCTCGTCTTCAAAGACCTCAACGTGGAGCTGTATGCGACTTGCCTAGATAAAGCATCAAGATGAAGCAAATTGCTTACGCATACATGCCGAATATACAAGTATGTATAAAGACTCTTTACATTGTAGCGTGTTTATTTATTTACATTATTAGTATTTCAATAATTTCCAAGAGTTATTGTGATAGTAACAGCCAATTTATAAACTTTGATCATATAAGCGTCTTCGTTTGGGGTCGTAAATGTCAAGCCAGATTGGATTTGGTCTTGATACACCGTCTGGACCACTTTTGTTATAGAACAATTAGTATCACACCCATTGCTATACAACCCAAGCTTAAACAACTTACATGATGGTATCTGCTTTTCTCAGATTGAAATGTGGTATCATCTTGATCACTTCCTTCATTTTAGACTTGTGCTGGTCATTTGGTTTGAGTTGAGTAATTCCGTTGGATGGTTGTAAGTAGGGAGATGGGGTATGTTTAGGTGGATAATAGGAGGATGCTCTGGATGGTGATGTTGATGCTGATTGAGGCGGTTGAGGAGGCGCTGGTGGTACTGATGCTGAGGCAAAAGGTCGAGGCACGATGGATCTTACAGAACTGATTTTTTCGCCAAAGGATGAAGCACTGCTTTTTCTATTTACGGCTTCTTGAATGGCAGCCTTAGCAGCAGCATAACTGACAGAGGACGGTGAAGAGCTTGGCTCTTTGGTTGGTTCCTGAGGTGATGAGACGATGATGCTGGATCTGTATGGCGACGGGCTCACTCGCGTATCTTTTACCGGACTCTTGTTGGCTGCCTTGTATGGATTTGCAGAAGGTATAGCAGGATCTGCGTTGGAAATATAACTGAATGGCGATCTGCCGTCTGGGTTGATGGTCGTTGGTCGCAGTGGACTTGTTGATTTATCGCCACTTTGAGACTCCAGCAGCACCATGTCCTTTTTATTAGCAACAGCATTGGCAGCAGTGCATTTGGGCGTCTCTGGACGAACTTGACAAGGGTAGGCTCCATCTGATACTGGTGCAATTGGTATGGAATGATGTCTGCTAGGAATGAGAATGGTGTGCGATGGTGTAGGTGATGTGATGTGGCTACTATTACTACTGCCACCACCACCGTTCTCTGCGCTGAATTCTGACACTCTTGTTCTCGCAATACTGACTTTCTTTTCTAACTTGTTGACACGCTCATCCAACTCCCTTTGTTTCAAAAGATTGGCATAGTAATCCTCTTCGTCTTTGTTCGTTGTGGGATGCTGCTCGTCTGCTCCATGTACCTTTGGCGATGTTGGCTGCAATGGTTTTGTGGGTGAAGTGTGTGCGGTCATGGTTGCTGAGACTGCCTGAGCTTGTGCTGCTATAGTGGCTGCTAATTCAGATCGATAATGGGATGATGGCGATGAGGATGATTCGCCTGGTCTGTCATACTGAGGCGATGATGAAAGAGAGGTATCTTGGATGGATTCTAGTCGCTGCCTTTTGGGCAAATAGGGAGATGGAAACTTTGGTGAGAATTGACCTTCCAATTCCATGGTGAGTCGACGTACCGACTTTGATCCGGTTCTGATATCTCTATTAGGCGATGTCGTGAATCGTCCAGCTGATACTGCCCTGGAAGTGCAGGATGATAAGGGACGATTGGGTGACAGAGACATTGCTTTGCGAATGGGGTTTCTCTTTGGAGATAACGATGGCAATGCGGGTGGAGGTGGTGGTGGCGGTGGCGATTGTTCCTTGTGTATGTTGTCGCTTACAGATGTAGCCTGTGGTATAGAGGCTTTCCCCTCTTCCTTTTCTTGCTGTGATGGCTCCTGTTGTAGTTGATTTGAGAAATCATCGTTGCTGGTATCTATGCGACGCGATAAAAAGGAGGGTCTTTCGAACGATGAATCCCGTTTTTCGAGAGAAAACAGTGTCTTTTTACTGGTGTTCTTGACTGGAAACGGAATATGGTACTCCTCAAATGTCGGCGAAGCTGATCTTTTGTGTGGAATAGAGAGTGACGATGGCTGAAAGAGATCCTCGTCTGTTTGAATCTCGACATCTTTAACAATCCCACGCACATTATCGTCTGGCAAAAACCTTCCGTTGATGCTGATGTTTCTACTGAACTGTCTGCCTCTTAATGAGGTAGGTGTCCTGATCTTTCTCGCTTGAATATTAGCAGCAGCAGAGGGAGAAGAGTAATAGGGTCCTCGAACATGTCCTAAACTCTCCCAAAACCGAGTGAATTCCTGGCTGGCAGACTCTCTAGCACCCGCAATGACATTGTAGATGTTGGTAAATATATTCTCGGGTGCTGCAGCTGGATGTTGGTACTGGTCTGGACGCTGCCTTTCTCGCCCTTCGCCTTCTTGCTGGCTATTGTTCATGATAAATAGAAATAGGAGAAGTGATAAACTACAAACAACAACAGCAACAACACGAAAATCTGTGATTTTGCGATTTCTTTAAGGGGAGATGCAGGTTCGACTTGCAATATTATGTGACTCGATGGAAAAAGCTCTATAAAAGGTGAGTAATCTATAGCTAAATTGTGATACAAACATCTCTTTTGTTCCTTAATTTCATTATAAACTTTTTGTTGCGGTTTACATGACTAAATCATACGCATTTTATGATGTTGTTGACAAACATGGCACTTGGCATGTGCAGTGCGAATGGTTTAATGAAACAGTGGATCTGGAGCAAGAGACAGGTGTCCAGTATGGCATCATTACCATTACCAACTTACAGGATTACTGGCAGCATACCAGTAAGTCATTCCATAGCCTAACCGCTCGAACATGTAATAACGGCCATTTCTTGTGCGCACTAGTTGACCGTGATGTGCTGTTACAAAGCTTTCCAGTGTCGAATGCATTGATCAAAGAGCAGAGAAACAATGTGCTTACAGCAGCATTTTTAAGTGTAGAATCATTGAACGGAAGTAAATTGGAATGGAAGATTAGCTTGCAGGAACATGGTGAATTACAAGTAGGAAGCCAGTTAATGTATTCAATACACAAGATAGCTAACAATCAGGCGGCGTAGATGCGATTACGAACATTTGATGGCGACATTCCACTTACTGCTGGATCATTTTTATTAAAGAAAGCGCCCCAAGACACCTATCAACATTTGCATAAATTATGGTTTACAAACACGGCTACTGCATCGTGCGCTTCCACCGTAAGTTGTCAACACGACACACGATTTATTCATGGGTCTCATTTATATACAGGAAGTCAACAAGGCATTGCAGCAGCGTATTACAGACATCACAAAGACCAACAAGGAGCTCAAAGAAACCATTGAGTCACTGATCATCAAGGAAAACAAAAACAAGTTTGTCATGATTGACAAATTTGTGCGATTGCTGAATCGCAAGAAACAAAAGAATTTCAGCCTGGAACATCACATCAAGAAGCAAGACGAAACCAACAAGAAATTAGAAAAGACAATCAAAAAGCTGACTGAAGAGAACAAGGAGTTGAAGAAACGTAAACGAGATGAGAGAGAAGACGACATGGAGGTGCACATGGTCAGTCAGAGGATCACAAAGCAGCAAAGAATTGTCAAGGAAGAGACACGATCATTACCTTTGCCAGCTGTAGTGCATGATGAAGAGGACGGCAGCTCAGACTATTATGGTTCAGATGATGACATTGATTGCCCTCAGACTGTTCGATAACCCACATTTTACATTTGCACATTATATATCGCTTATAAAATTAATAGATACCCACCCACCCATACACGCATTAGTTCTTGGATCACACAATAAATTGTATATATATATATATATTAATGCTTAACAAGATAGCCCAATATATCTGATATACTTAATAGTCCTATTAGTTTGAATGTTGTCGGTTCAATCACTACAAGACGGTATACTCGTTTTTTCCGTATAGCTTTGAATATTGACAGAAGGGTATCACTCATTGTGCATGTGCAAACGCCTGGAAAGTCCTACATTCTATATTAGTTGCCAATCTATTTATATTGACAATCAGATCATTCACTTACATCCGGCCTCGATTTCAGTGCTTCGCCTACGGGCAAATCCAAATCACTGTATTTCTCTGACCTCACCAGGCTCTGCGTTTTGATTTCATGTCAATGCATGCCCATTATGTCCCAACACACGCACTTACCATGACATCAATTGTATCGTACATGTTGAATACCGTACCGTGTTCATCTATGATTGGGACCGCGCTAATATTCAATTCAGCAAACGTGGTAATGATATCAATGACAGGCGTCTCCATTGTAGCTGTGGCTACTGATTCGCCGTACACACCAATGTTGAGTTTTGATAAGGGTATATTGAGCAACGCTGTATTTTGAAACTGATAAGCATTAGTATCCAGTGTCATTTTCATAGGCCATAATCAAATGTTACATTGTTTGCTATGAATTTCATCAATCGATACTGGGTCATGACACTGACAACTTCCTTTTTCGAGTCCATGAGTGGAATCCGATGTGCTCTTGTGCTGGACATGAGGATGGCAGCATCGTATAACGTCGTCATTGGATGTATGGGGTAGTTCTGCTTGATGTGTTTTGTAAAATGTGATAATCGCATGGTTTCAATGTCGTTTTGGTCTGTTTGATGGGTATAGTAGTATTGTATCAGGCTGATGAAATCGCTCACAGTGAGCATGCCAACGAAAGAGTGTGTTTGACTCGACCAAAGTGGGGCTGATACAATGCCTACGTTGCAAAAGTTAAAATGTTGGCCGATCTTTTTGTCATCTACACCACATGTACCGTTTGTCACTAGGATTTCCAATGCCTTTTTGACTGGTAACTCGGTATCAAGCACAACAAGCCTAAAGCTTATTGGTAAAACATCATAGCACGTATGTTGTTTCAAGAATTCAATCATGAAGAAGATGAAAGAGATAAAAGAAATTAAGAAAAGTTAAAAGTTTATTTATACAGAAAAAGACCCAATCTCTAGTTTTCTCCCCCAACAAAAAAAAAAAAAAAAAAAAAAAAAGAGGGGAAGAAGTAAGAGAGATGAGCGGAACAAGTGTAAATATCTATCTATTTCATGCAAGAGATAAGGCGGCCCTTAGTTGATCTCATCTTTCAAGGTGGATTCCAACTTATCCATGCCATCCCAGTTCTGTGCCTTGCCTTGCCATCTTCCTTTGCCTCCGCCCTTGACACCAGAAAGCACCTTCATCACCACCTTGCCTGTCTTTTGCACAATATCGTTATCTGATCCAGTAACAATGATAGGACCACCGGTCTTTTGTTCACCAGCAGCTAAAATCACCACCTTGTGATTGTTTTCCAGCAACTGACGATCACGAATGACATTAGCCACCATGCCCAAGAACTCCATATCACCATCTTCCTTGTACATGACAGCAAACTTTTGTGTTTCCAATGACTTGGCAATGCCATTGGCGGTGAGTTGAGCGAGTTGCTCTAGATATCTCTTGGCTCGCTTCATGTTGTCCTTGTTTTGCTGTTGAAGCTTTTGAATGTTGTCAACAAATGTCTCTTGTCCACCTGACAACAAAGTGGTGATTTGGCGAGTGATTTGGAAGCTGGCATCAAAGGCATCAAGCACACGTTGACCAAACAAAAAGAAGACTCGTGTATTGCCGCCTCTGACATTCTCTGTGTGGAGCAACTTGAGGCATTGCAACTGTCCAAGTGCTAAAATGTGAGTGCCGCAGCAGGGATTTCTGTCTAAATCTTGAATTTCCACGGTGCGAATATGACCACCACCAACGTAATCCTTGGGTAAACTGTCAGGACGAGCCTCTTGGTCGTTGGCTTCCTCTGAATGTGTAGTGACAGATACGTTCTTGACAATCAACTGATTAACAATGATCTCGACCTCTTTAAGCAGCTCGGGTGTGATGGCCATCTTCTTGGTGCTGGTGGGCAATTCAATAAAAGATCGTTTCTCACCCAAGCTCCAAGAAATGGTTTCAATGTTGTAAGGTGCTTGAGCCAAAACAGCACTGAGTAAATGCTGTCCACTGTGTTGTTGCATGTGATCCCAACGACGATCCCAGTCAAGACGTAATGACACTGGACCTACACTGACAGGTTCCTTGGTGTAGTGCACATGTGCCAATTTTTGACGTTGAACATTGTAGACTTTGACATTGTCGATATAGCCTGTGTCACAAGGCTGTCCACCGCCTTCAGGAAAGAGAACTAGGTCAAATGTGTTAGATCAAAAGAAAAGGGGTTGCTGAGTGATGTGTGCAATACTTGCTGGTATCAACAAGTTCAACTTGATAGAACCCTTTCTTATCAGGCTTCTCAGAGCATGAAATACACTCGGTTGTGAATTGACGGCAAAAGGTGTCATTTTGACAATGAAGGTTACCGACAGGCACTTGCTGAGCGGTCATAATGGCTTCGTGTAAGAGGTGTAAGAAAGGTACTGAGAGACTGGAGATGGATGATTCGAGATCTTTTATCGCGGAGATTTGCCGAATCCGTTGTTGTGACCCTTTTTGAAAGCTTCTGTCCCTGAATAGCGTCTTTATTACTACATAAACTCTTTAGCGTCTTCAAAATGCTGGCCATGTCTTTTGATTGTAAAACTATAGACCCAATCCTATTAATATGCACTGAATTTTCACTTTCCAGATTTCCACTATAGAGTAAAACCCCTCTTTAGACAGCATGTAGCTATGAATCTAACTTTCGACGATGCTCCACGTCTGTATCATTGGGATCAACTCATATACGAGCATGCAGCATACCTCCAATATTCTTTATTACTCAAAATTCTACAAAAAAACAGCAAAACCTGGATACCTCTGAGCCATGTTTTCTCGTGTTAAAAGCCATTTCAGACCGCCAGAATACCACGAAACAATTGCTTTTGTCTAGTTCTTATTTTTTGACACCCTTGCTCAACTTTTTGAGGACCAAAAAAAAAAATGACCAAAAATCGACCAAAAAGCATGATAGGGCGGCCAAAGTTGTTTTTGGGCGTTTTCTGGTTAAAAAGCAGCACTAACCGAATGCCCTACAACATTGGCCACCCTTGATGATCTGCTATCAATGTTGTCTCACATCCTTTCCTTTTTTTTCAATCTACAACTTATTTTGATTACATTTACTATGCCACTTACATCTGCTTATGACTTGAAGGGATGTGAGGAGAAATTGAAGGAGCAGAAAGTGGCAGAAGAAACTAAAAAGGCGAAAAAAAACATAAATCCAAATTCAACTGGAGCGGCATGACTGAAGGCCTAAACAACAACGTTACATTCAATGCTTATCTTCAGGACATACTCGTCGCTGACAATGACATGCTGCTGAAAATGTACAAGCGAATTAGGGTAAATGGAAAACGCCTCGATCCCACAGGATTGGGTGCAATGCAAAAGATCACCAAGTCAATCCTCACCCACAGTCAGCAACACCTCAGAAGCGGTTGACATTTTACCAGTGTCCTCAAGCTCTGTTCGCCATGTCGTTTCTGATTCATCAGAAAGTCTCAGAAAAGGAAAGTTGGTTAGTGAAGTTGTTCTTGGTGATATACCTCAAAAAAGTCCAGTACAAACTGTCGCTGAGAACTATCTTGGTTCCTCTTTGTCGATCCAAAAGAAAGAGGCCAAAGCAAGATTGATGATTGAACACATTGAGAAACATGCCAAAGATATCGGAGAGGACCCCGCAGAGACAGACAGAAAAGTAAAACAAGTTATTGATAATACTTTTAATTAACTTAGATAATAATGCAGTAGTAATAAAGAATGATCAAATCATATATGCTAATTTAATTATGCTTATCTTGAACTCGCGTCATACATCGCATCCAAAAGCTCTATGTTGTAATGATTTATATCCAAAACATATTGTTTCAAGGTCAACTACTTTTCTATGCCTGCTGATGTACTGATATTTGGCACAACAAAAGGGTGCTTGATGGTATTGTAATTGCCGTATTTGCTATTTCGACTGGCTCTGTTGAATTCATTCCTACTAGTCTCGAAATAATCATTTTTATCATGAGTACGATAAAAGTAATCAATGATCTCTGCCACGTATGATGGATCGTCATGTTTGAGACAGAAATTGTGCAGAATGAAGCAAGTTACAACCCATCGATTATATCCGTCGATGTCTGCTTCCTCCTTCAATTGATCGCGCAGCTCATCCAGAGACTCAAATCTTCCCTTTAATGCACCAAAGCAGTTTTCAATGCTGACCCTTGACCTGGAAAGAAGATTATTGAACTTGATATCGCTTCCAGTCAAAGGCTCGTGCTCCGAGTTTTTCCCAATTGGAACACACCATTGGGTCTTCCCATACGCAGAATCTGCTACTACGTATTGCTCACCCTCAAAGAAGGTAGCAAGCTGTTCAAGCAAGCCACTCTCGCTTAAAACGCCCGTATCATTTTGGCTACCATAATGACCCGTTGATGCAAAGAGAATGCGTGTATCGAAATCGCAGATGACCATGCTTTGTACCGCAGGCTTGTTTTTTCGACACCAGAAGAGTTCTGGATTCCAGGAGGGAGTCTGGTGAATTTGGAATAGACTGTCATCCATGAAGCCAATGCATTCTGGCAAGCCAAAAAAATTCATGGTGTCGTCGGATGACACGCTCTCTTTCTTCGTCCATTGGCCATTGAATATACTTATCTTGCAACTTTAATACAGCTTCAATAAAGTGCTCGATATAGTTTCGTACGGAACCATTTAACACAATGAGTGAGTACATCAGGATAACTACTTTAAAGTACCGAGACTTACGGCTAATGCTGAAGAAGTCCCCAAGTATCTTGTCTGTAGCCGCGTTTCCATAGATTCCCAGACGAATGAAGGCCACAATCATTTGGAATTTCACGCTTCTTGGTTGAGGACCGGACGTAGACTTGCTGAAGGCCTTATCGTCCTTTATCTCTTCGTATAAAGCAAGAAATCCCATCTTGCTCGTCCGAATGCATCTCCTAAAGTCGACTTCGGTCTTCTTTTGCATGTATTCTTCTTCGATGGCGATATCGTGAGCCTTGTCGCGTCTTTTATAATGATCTCTAGGCACAAGATAGCGCAGCTGCTCCAATTCTTTTAACTCCTTGTAGCTAGGGTCTTCAATGATCGCTTCGTTCAAAAGCTTTTCAAGCTCTTCAGTGTCCACATGAATGCTTTTGTTTCTTTCATCAATCTCACTGATTGTATTCATTTCAGTCAACAAATTGACCAAATCTTCGGCGTCTTTAAAGTCATTGTCTATTCTTTCTCGCAATTGTTGGATTACACTTTGTCTTAAGATAGTATTAGGCATTTTTATAAAAGATGGTTATTTGAGAAGGTTGAAAAAACAGAAAAAACAGCTAGATGTAATGATTCGCGTTACATATGTTTCAATCCGCATAATTGAAACATTGGTATAACGTATATATATATATATATATATAGTCTTCTTTTTTGACAGGCATTGAACGGTAGTGAAAATATCTGTCATTACTACTCATTATATACAGTACTTTTATCACAATAAATCCATCACTTGATCCTAATACTACTCGCCCAAAAATATTTTTCATGTTTTTTAATAAATATTGCCCAAGATTAAAGACATACAAATAGTAACACCAACCCGCCCCTCCCTAGTACATATGTGCCTTTTTTTTACAGTACTATTGCATTCTTATTACACTAGACTTGTAATTGTTTTTTCAAAAAAAAAATGAAGAAAATTATGCAGAACGCCCAACTCTTGGAGTTGGGCATTATTTAAGGTTTTAGTCGTTTTTTTATTGCAACCAATTGGTCGAAAAAACGCCCAAAAACAACTTTGGCCGCCCTATTATGCTTTTTGGTCGAATTTCATCCATGTTTTTTTGATCCCCAAATAGTTGAGCAAAGGTGTCATAAAGTTACTACTACACAAGGACACTTGTTTGGCGTCATTCCGGTGGCTCAAAAGGATTTGCAAGGTAAGATACGAAGGCTGGAAAGCCGTCAAATTTGGCTATGTTTTGCTTTATAGCTTTTATTTACACGGCATGAATCACATCTTTGGTAGCTGTAACTTACTGGAAGGGTAGTTCTGCAGCCTGTGCAATTTCTAATTCGAATAGAAGACATATTGATTTTGGTAAAGCTCAAAATCATTCTCTAGACTGCACAAATATATAATTATCCTTCAGTAATGTGAATCAATAAATTACACTAAAACTCAAACTGAAAACCTATATTGACGAATTTACACAACTAGGAACCAGAAACTTGCATTGTCATCATTCATTGTCTTGTATATATATTACGTGCAATACGAGAGGTTTCCAGGTCTATCAATATCTAGAGACAATTTGTTGGTACGTTAGCTGTTGGTGCGTTACCCACCCACAGAGATACTTCGTGGCTTTCACCTAAAATTAAACGGACGCGTTTTTGACCTCTAAAATGAAGACTTTTACTATGGTATATCTTGAATCAAAATGTTTCTATCGATCTAACGTAACCTCTGAAACCATCTGTATGGGACTTTGATATGTAAAATCTCGACTTTTTGGCCAGAATCCTCTGTTCATATTTTCTTAAATTACTCAATAAGTTTATTCAAAACATCTATCTTACTTAGTACCATTGGATGCGCCTTGAAAAGCACTCCAGGAAAGCTTAAGGGTATATGGGTCGAGTATCTCAATTTACAGAATCGAATTTGGTAAAATAAATCAATTGAGTCGATTTTGGACAAAATTCAACCACTCTTGAGAATATGTCAAGCGGGAGTTAAAATAGGTTGGCTGTTGCTGGCAAGGTCAATCATAAAGGCAATTGATGGTTTTGAAGCTAATATGAAGGGAATTGCGAATTAAAAAGTATTATAGCTTAGCCCAACTACTTGGCTTTGTTTCTGTCTAAAATCCGTATAGCTGGTAGATTTGATCGGTGCAAACTACGCATCAGATGAGAATTTAATGTCAAGTACAAACGCGCGATCCTGCTCAAAGCGACTACTTGGAAAACCTCTGGCCATTGATGAACCGAATGGACGAGTTTATTCTTTATATTGACTTTCACTCTCATGATAAAAGCTATCAGGCAGTAACCAATAAAGTACGACATGCAGTAGCATCATCTAACGACCGCCACATCCTAGAGAGCATCCATTAACAAGTCTTGCAATGATACCAGTCGACTTGCGATAGCGGTCGTAATACAAAATCATAAGGCCTTTAACTCTTGGTGGATACAGCTGTTTTGCGTCTGGACAGCATGGCCAAGTAGGACAAATTATAAATCATGCAGTGTAAGAATTTGAATGAAACGATCGCCACAGGGTGGATAAGACTTCAATTGATGGCCGACGCGCGCGGGGTGGAAGGCAACAAGACCAGGAAATCAAAGCAGACTTTTTTTTTATTTGTTCAACCCCCTTCCTTTTTTGCATTTCTTTCTTTTCTCTATTCGTTTACAGACTATAAAATGCCTATTCGCCATTTCGATAGTAAATATAGACAGCACACCGTAACTTGAGTGTAAAACTAATGCGAATGAATCATCTAGTTTTCACGGCGGAACGTCGATTGATACAGACATCAGCAGTGACCCAGCTCAAAGACACACGATTAGGCATCGATGGTAACTATTGGCTTCGCAAAATTGTGCTCAAGGAAAACACAGTTGCTGCCATGGGCGGTTTGCCATTGAGGCTAACAGCATCCATCGAAAAAGAGTTGGAAGGATTCAAGTGAGTAGTGTGTTGAAGAGGCAACTGCTAGTGTTGAACTCATCGCGCGTCTTTTTTTCAACGAAAAACAGGGCAAGTGGCATTCAACCGATTTTCGTCTTTTCAGGTCTCTCGATTTTACGCAAGGATAAGCCCTTTTCAACAGAGGATTCTCGTCCTAGTCATCGTGCCGCAGGTTGGGATTTTTATGATCGAGGAAAATTGGATTTGGCCCTGAGTAATTGGGCTAGCAGTAGTGGAATACATTCAGCCGAGTTACTGAATACCGTTCTTTCGATTTTAAACAAGCACCACATTGAATTCATTCGTGCACCTTATTCTTCATGGGCTCAGGTAAGAAGACAAGAATGAACTGTTCGAATGAGGCAAATGCTGATGATAGTAATATATACAACAGCTAGCGTATATGTACACCCATCCAAAACAACTCGTGAATGCGGTCTGTGGTGGCTCAGAGTTACTGATGTGGGATATCGACAAGATGATAACAAGCATTGAATTCGAAAAAGGAAATTACCATTGGGTCAGCAAAAGAACAGTGCTCCAAGATCTACATGTATCTGACGAGCAGTTCTTGGATATCTGTATCTTGGCTGGATTCGAGTATTGTCCTACTTTTCCTCCTCTTAGTACATCGCACGTCAGCTTTACTTTTAATGGTAAGTACCAATACAGAAACAGCAGCTGGCACAGACCATCTAAACTACTAATTGTAGGTGTTCACGATCTGATCAAACAACACAAGACTGGATTCAACGCAGTGCAAGCATTTTCAGACAACCCAACCGTTTCAAAGACCAACTACATTGACACTTTCTGTCGTACACGCTGTGCCGTCAAATACCACCTAGTGATTCACGATGATGGAGAAGTCAAACCACTCAACATTGACAATGCACCCAACGACATTCACGAATTTATTGGCTACCGCCTGCCTGATGAATTGTATTACTACCTGATGCGAGGTTTAATTGGACCTCAATCCATCAATAGTCTTGTCTCTGGTGTGTTGATTGAAAGTGCTCCTTTAGATAACGGCGAATCCATCGAATATCAAAACTTCCTGACTCAATTGCTCAACATGCGCACACAGACACTCAGCTTATTGACGCAACCACTTCATCCTTTCTACAAAACTCGTAAAATTGCGAGCTATTTCTGGTTTGAACCTACTGTGGAACAAATCATGCATCACCAGCCTACAGAGGGAAACGCTACCACTCGAGTCGATGCTACAGCTCTGAATACGATATACGAAAAGACCAGTTCCTGGAATGTGACCAATGAATTTGTTGAAGCAGAATTAAAGCACCAAAAGGTAAGGGCCTTGAATGGGGCTGGTCCATACCATCAATGGCTACTAAGCAATCTTGATAGACATCTGTCATTGATATTCAATTCTGTATTCATGCCGTTGAGAATGAAACAAAAGCTCAGAAAACCATCACTCAACCTCATCCCGAACAACCACTGGTCGATAAGAACGAGATTGTGGCCAATGTGTTATGGAAGACACTAGAGATCAGAGAGTAAGAAAATCTTGAGCCAACAATTGGGCAGAATCACTAACGGCATCATGCTAGTTTCTTGACATCATCCAAGCACATTTATACACCATGGGGCCAAGCACTCTCTATGGCCTTAAAGTCCAACAGCAGCCTGCCAACACAGGAAGCCCTTTTGACAGTACTAGAATTGGTGCGATTCCAAGTATTGACAAACAAGGAATATAGCAAGACGTACTCTCACCCGCTTGGCGATGAATCACAAAAGAAGCACATCACCCTACTTTCCCGTGCATTCTCATTATTACCCATGGACCTCAAGGTAGGCATAGTTAACAGTTTTGGCAGAGCAATCAGACTCATTGACGTAACAGAGCGCTCCTTGGTCTGGTCCTTTGAATCGTGATTTGTTAGTATTCAATAGTTTTGTCAAGGCACTTAATCGTAGCTACCGAAATCTATTGGAAATGTTGACCTTGTCCTTCTTTTTGAATGGGCTGGTGCAAAAGGACAGAGACGACTATTATCAAATTGCAGACAGGTAACATTTGATGAGCGTGATAAAGGGGAGAACACTTATATTCACAAACAATTGTAGCCTCCCTTACTTGGCAGATGTAAATGTTGCTTTAGGTCTTGTTTGCAAGCATTACTTGGAAAGAACAGTAGAAGGACAATCTGCGGCGGAAGCATTAGCATCAACCGAAAAAGCATTTCCTACATGCCATTCAGTTAAATCCGATTTGGAAAAGGGCTTTGCGTTCTGGAAGCAGCTCTACACAGCTATTGAATCACTTGACAAGGCAAAATCCGTTGAAAAGTCCACGTTTGAGATGTTTCAAGGTGCCAATGATTGGCTTCAAAAGGTTAAATTCTAACAGTGATGATTATGATGCTTTCAAGAATAAAGCCTCAGTGTCGCGACCCTCGATTTCTCTTTGTTTGTTGGGTGTAATTAAAATATTCATATGTATGATTACATACAACTCCCTATCTCTATGCACAATGTTGCTGTTTTATGAAGCAGATGAAAGCATATAAAAATGCAAGGCTGAATCCAACCCTTCTTCTTTTTTCAATTTTCCTGTTTTCACATACATCTACACACCATGAAGGCTCAATTTAGTCGATTAACAAACACAATTAAAGGTGCAATTTATAGCCACAAGAAGGAGGAAATGGCACAGCAAACCGATGCGCTTGATGATGACCTCCACAGTCTATCTAGCACCTTATTTTTACCTGATGATAAGGACGATGATGGCCTATCCGATTCCTCCTGTTCCACCATCTCCAACAGCTCGCAAGAGCATTTACCGCATTACAGCAGCTACTCTAATTTATACTACAAACTGCCTAACGGCAACTGGCTTGTGCAATACAGAACCAGAGAAAAGGTCGTGATTGATACATTTGAAATAAAGGGCAATTTGATCTAGGGTTCCACACGTCACTGTCAAATGTTGGTTTGTATTGTTATAGGAGATGCAAATTCAAGATGTGGGAGGTGTGCTTATAGTAGACCACCATCCCCCCCACCCTCGCTCTCTCCCTTCAAAATAAAGACGGGAAAAAAGACAGGACAAGGATCCTAAAGTTTTTTTTTTCCTACATCTTTCACTTCTTACACTATACAACATCTCCATGGTATGCGGCATGTTCGCATTCTCAGCCTTTTTATATCCAGTATTTTACCGCCTCAACCGGTTCGAAAAAGTATAACAAGTTGTGTAGCATGTGGTCGTTTTCAAATGTCATCACCTACAATGACACCATCCTCCTCGGCCTTCTCCCGTCGATATTTAACCTCTTCATCCAAATACGCCAACTTACACGTCAATGCTCGTCCTGCTGAGCCTTCTATTGCCATTACAAAACTAGCTACCCAAGGTCGACCGAACGAAGCATTAGCAGTCTATTTGCAGCTAATTCAAGACGGTGGGTTTCCTAGCCGAGAATCACTTTACCAATTGACAAGAGCGTTATACAAATCATCCAACTTGCAAGGAATGTATGCGATTCATGATACCCTTATTTCTTATTACAGCATCCACCCGGCGTCCAACAAGAGTGCTCGATCCATGATTTACATGTATACCATGCTGATCAATCTCATTGCGAAACACAAACCTGTCAATTTCGATACAATACGAGCTTTGTGCAAAGAAATGTCTCAATTCACTACCACCAGTAACATTGTGCTGTACAATACGCTGATCAAGACACTGCTGGACAACAATCAAGTGACGCAGGCACATGCCCTATTCAAAGATCTGCTCTGCAACACGACACTGAATCCCACGATTAGCACTTATACCATTTTGATGAAGGACGCATCGAAACGAAGAGAATACAGCCGAATATTGGACTATTTGGAGGAGATACAGTCGAGAAGGATCATTATGAACTATGCGGTTGTGAGTATTGTAACGGATGCCTTGTGTGATATCAAGGAATTTGACAAGGCAATTCATGTGGTGAATGCGATACATCATCCGAGAAAGAAGGACGAACTGAGCAGCCCGAAATATAGACTGCAACTGCTGAAATCAATAGAGGCAAGGCAGAGCATGGCAAATTTGAAAAAGAAAAAGAGGAGAAAGAAAGACAATCATGAGGAAGATCCATAGAAAATTGTAATATAGCAAACAAAAAATCATAGACACTGTTTTAAAATTGTGAATAAAATCATATAATGACTATTATGAAGAGGATCATCGTTTGAGAGTGTGGCTAAATGCATTTTGGAAAATCTCGGTACCTGGTGACGGATTTTTGGATGCATTCATGCGCAGCCACCAGGCGACCCTGGGCTAGATACTTGGCACTAGCGATGTGTACATTTGCGTGCTGAAGATGCTTGAAAACTCCAATAGTGCCCTTGATCTTATTTTCTATGATGCAGCTGCATATTTATTACGCTCAATAGAGATCTATTTCTGTGGTCCTGAATACAGTAACAAGCCCACAAAGACAGCTGCACCATATCGGGTTGGCTGTATCTTTTTTTTTAGAGGTTATTATGCGCCAGGAGGGGTTATAATCATGCATGCTGCACGTTAAAATTCCATTCTTGATTACACCTTTGAATCGTATAAAAGGACGGATGGATTTCTTACTAAAGATGAAACACATTTCTGAAAACCTCAACATGTAAGTCAACATATTCGTCTGGCTTGTACTTGTGGAACTTCTTTGGCAGGCGTTCATTAGTACATTAGAGGGGAACATGCTGAAGGCGACTGTAATTGAAAACAAAAGGACAAAGGAGCTGTAGCTGGTGTAGTTGTTATACTGGATAACGCACTCTGTTCACCAAAAATTTCGAAAAACATCTATAACACAAAGGCCAAGATCATCCATCATAGCGCGAATACTTGCAAGTAATAAAGCAGCGTTTGCAACCAAAATCTACATCCATCTTAATTTTCTCAACGCAATCAGATTATATTTGAGGCACTCTTGTAAAGCTGATGTCAAAAAGGCTCTTGAAACAAAACAGATACTACTTTATTGATAAGAAGCTTACGCAATACCAAAAGCGTTTTAAAAGAGGCGTAAGCACTGCCAATTTTAGCAACGAGCGTTGATAGCAGCTGCGTTTCAGCAGGAGAAAAAGCAATCAAGCCAAAACCCAAGCAGCAGAGCCATTGCTAACCTTAGCATAGCGGTCCTTGATAACATAAGGAACAATATTGCTGCTTATTAGAGTAACGAAATATAGACGACAATTAGATCTGAACATATTTATTGTTATGTTATTCCAAGATTGAATGAGGATTAAAACTAGTGTAAATTTCTAAGATATTTATAGTTATTTGACAGTGTGCCACAGCAATAGAACCTTGGTCTTGAATGCGGGATAATTGTACAAGCTTTGAATCAGCTAACTAGGATGTGCTGCTTGGGAGCTCATATAACACTAGTAAGGAATAAACAACAATGAGGATCCAGAATAGGATACTCTTCATAGAAGATTTGACGAAAGAATATTTGCCAGAACTGAAACTCGCTTTCAGGGATGAAAGTTCATAGGCTACCACACTTTAGGAACCAGGATATAGATTAACCGTTTGATGGCACCACTCATGTTTTTCCTTTGTACTGTTTGAATAAAGAGCTCTCAATCTATTACGCATCTCTGCTCTTTCTCAAATCTTCTCCTGTATTATACGTTGTATAATACATTTGCTTCTCAGAGATAATCTATATCCTCAACATATGCTATTATTGTCAGAGCTCTAGCATTGATAATATTGCAAAACCTGATTTTGGATGGCTCAAACATCAAAACTGGAAATACTTTTGTACATCCAGATTCGTCGATATGAAGTAAAAGATAGCAAACCATGATGAAAAACTTGAAACATATATGTTAGAAACCAATGCTATACATGGCATGCTTGGTGGAGCATTTGGTACTGCTGTAGTATATTTATATAGTTTTTTCTATATAATAGATTTAAGAAATATTCGTCACATAAAATTGTTTAATGGATGATAAATCCAATGATTGCACCTTCTTATATTACTTTTAAACAAAAGAGGACTTAGATTGTATCCATTTGGTAACTTTTTTTATCAAAAAAGAATATAGTGTTAAATAACAGATCAATAGGAAATCAACTAGTTGTAGACCTTCGCTGTTTGAACCCTCTAGCCAATCAGATTGCTTGAAAACTCCGCTGACCTAAAAAAAATTTGCGAGGGTTTCCCCTTGTTTTGATGTGAGGCAAAATTTTAAGCTCCGCTATATATAGCAATATAGCTGTTACTATCATCAAATTTCCCTCAGGCGCTAGAGCATGCCTTACTTGCACCACCTAGCTTTAAATTCAGGCATTGAGACCCTCAATCATCACTAAAGTAAGTAGCGATAACCAAGTGGAGGCAGCCTATCTACCTCCTAGCCTCGGATAAGTTCTTGTTGAGCTTCAGTGATAGGCACATCCACCACAACGTAAAAAAGTATGCTTCAAAGAAACATAAAAATAATAAAAGAAAGAAGAAAAGAACATACTACTATAGGAATATTGTAACATGTAGGCAAAAAAAAAGGGACACTCACACAAAGTGGGCCAAAGAAAAGCATATCACAAATATAACATCAAAGATGTTCAAAACAGCTCGTTGTTGTTGCAACAGAATTGCATACATGAGCAAAGTGCATGGTAATAGTTGAATGTAAAGTAACGCAAACACGCACAACTGCAAAAGCAATGGTGGTATAAGTTTGCACTACAACATAATGACTAATGTTGTCTCATGTGAAGCCACAGAGACAATGCAACCAGCAAAAGAAGAAGAAAGCGCAACAAAGTAAATATCATGAATGCATTATCATGAGAAAGGAAGCAATAATATAAACGTTCAAAGAAGTTTTATATCATCGCAACCAAAAGAAAAAAGATACTTACCACTTACCACAGCCACAGATAGACCAGAAGAGTATAGGCAATCACCGGAGACAGACTAGAGAACGAGCATGCACCAAAGACAGTAGACCAGGAAAGACCAAATTCGCAACAGCAGCAGCAACACCAGCACCATCGAAATACCAGAGAACAAACGACACCAAAGACCAGACAAAAACCAAGAGGCAGACAACAGAGACAGCAGAGACAACAGAAAAGGAATAGCAGCAGCACCCACGCCAAACAGGCAAAAAAATTATCGAAACATAATAAAGAGATTCGATTAGTACCGGTTTTATGTCTTATATTGCTCGTTATCGAATGGTACCTACTATATTCCACTTCAAAGAGGCAGTATCGAGTACTTTTAACAATACAAAATTGTGTTATCAAAAGTTAGAGTGTTACTATCAATCAAACGGTTTCCAAAACCACCATGGTTTGATGCTGAACGCGTTTTGCAAAAAGGGAAAAAAAAACGGGGGAATGGAAAAATGAGAGGGCGTCCTATCCGACGTCACAGCTAGTAGAGTTGACCACAACTCTCCGCCGCGGCAGCGGCGGTTGCGGTACTCAAATTTGGATTTATGCAGTGGTCAGTTTTATCACTAAACTTGACTTGATCTGACATCTTTTAAACGTTTTTGCAGAATTTGACTATAGAAACTATCATTGTTGTACCCAACTTTCTAATGCATTTATAGAGAGCTAAACAAGGCGCATTCAGTAGTGTTAGTTACATTCTGCTTACAGACTAAAAGTAATGAGCAATTTTCAAAAATATGAAAACAGGTTTTTTGTGAATATATCGAAATCTAGCATATGCAAGTCTCAAAAAAAGAGCCTCCAGTGTTGCATTCCATCTTTACGATCAATTTAATCTTATATGTATCATAAGAAAAGTCTTCATTTTTGGGGCGAAAAACGCGATCGTTTGATTTTCAAGAATTTTCCCTTACTAGTACACATCAAAAAATGAGGATTTTCATGAATTTGTAATAACCCAAAAAAAAGTTGAGATAAAGCATCAGAAAGTAAAGGGTGGATAAGGAAAGACGCCTGGACCTATTCCGAGCTTCCACGACGCTTTGTAGCATGAGTTATTCGTGCTTCAAAATGACTAAATTTGGGCAGAATTTGTCCTAAAAATAAGACGTAGTAGGTTGTGTTGCCTTGGAAGTAAACAGATTACAGCTCTGTCTAATGTCTTTGATGTTATGCATTTGAAGAACTCAACACCTAAGCGATCGACGCTTGTATTGATGAATTCGTAATAATAAGTCGATGATAATAATCAGTTGTCAACTCTATCTAAAACGAAAAGCAAAGAACTTCTTTATTACAGGGCATCCAACTAGCTTAAATATGATAGATCCCTGGTCAATAACTACTACGTTGAGATGGTATATAAATAGCTGGCCACTGGGGCCTTATTATGGATTGTTGGTATAGCTTGTTGAGAGGCCACCTAAATCGATATTATGTTTCATGTAGTGTAGGTGGATCTCGATATCTTGACATTGGGGAGATTGAATGTATTGTAGATCCTGAGGCACCTGTGCACACACAATTGACTGGACTTGTAAACATACATGTGATGTGATACGATAAACATCATCTATGCTGCTACACTGTAAAAGGTGGCTTGAGGAGAAAGCGAATGTAGCCTAAGATGCATGTTATATCAAATGTTATAGCAAGGTCTCACACTAAAGGTTTTAGGCTATTCTTAGGCCCTTTGGTTAAATCATGCTAATCATGATTTACAAATCAATTGTTGGGTAGATAGTAAACCTACTTGTATTATAGTTCATCATCATGCTGTAAACCCTAGCATAATGAAAAAGTATATAAATGCATCCCTGGGATGCATTCTCAATAAAAGTGTAATTCTTTGGCAGATTCAATTTTACATTATATTTTGGCATAACAATGCATGCTTGTATGCAACATTTGTATCGTCTCCAGCAGCATATGGCCAATTATGCCGCCGTATCCAATGCCAACTTCAATGACGATAAATCGGAAGCCTTTTCTCTGTCTGGTCGTCGGTCGCCGGCATGGGTGCGTGCCTTTGAAGAAATCAATGTTCACACCTACCACCGCCAGGTTTCCATTACGGCTTTTCGGTATTTGGGCCTGTACTTTGCCTACAACCATGTGCAACGGGCTCAAATGGAGAAAATGCTCCTCAACACTGTCAAAACTCAATGTGCCATCTACAACCAACGCCAATTATCCATCAGGGGTCGCGTTACTGTTGTCAACAGCCTTATTCTGTCCAAGGTGTGGTACGGCCTGAGCATGCTCTGGCCGACCAAAATGTTCTTGGTGAATATCAAATCGTGTGTCTATCAGCTTGTCTAAAAGAGGAAGTGGCCGTTAATGCGCAAGGATCTCATCTTCCTGCCCAAATATAGGGATGGTCTTGCCGTTTTCGACTCTTCTCTACTACAACAGCTCATCATACAAAAACGCTGGCTCAATTACCTTGTTGAACCGCAGAAGTATCCGTCCTTCCTGCTGCCCTTCCTGCTCTCACATTTGTCCTTGCTCCCCGCGTCTTCAGACTTCCCCTACATGGCCTTTTTGGATGCTGATTGCCGCAAATCCCCTCTGCTACATAAGGATCTCTTCATCTGGCATTCCATCTTTGCCTTGTATGATTACTTTGAGCTTAATGACCTTCAAAAAGTTGGTGTCTTCCCACTCCAGACCATCATGCTGCTGCCGCTGCACAAACTCCTCACTGGGCTTAGCGATGATCACTGGCTCAGGCGTCACCCCAAGTTTCCCGCCAACAAGTTTTTGTTTTTCGATACTTATCAACAAAGGCTGCGTCTTCGTGTCGCGTCTGAATATCTCGCCTACCAGCATCTCTGTGCCTCCCTGTACCAAGAAATCTTAGTGTTCAAAACAGTTCATCTGGTTCCTGGTGTATGGCCTCACATCCTGCAGCCCCCCTCCCAATCCAGCTTGGACTGGGCTAGCCTTGATTTCTTTGGTACTTTGGGCATCACAGATAAGTGGAAGCTGTATCATCCCGTCACATATCGCCAACAGCAACAACAGTTGGTCCCATCAGAGCATCGGTTCAGTAATATCATGGTCAAAACATTGTGGTCCTCTCCTGCCCACCCTACTGCCAGAACGGTTCTCTATCAGGCACTGTCGCGATGCATCCCGCATAAAACCAACCTGTGCACTATTGGCTCGGTGGAAAACTCAATCTGTCCCTTTTGTGCCCAAGGCATTGATACATTGAGGCATTTTGTCGTTGACTGTCCCGTCAAATGGCAATTATGGCAATCCATCCTGTCTCAGTACTTCTCCAACTTTCCTCTGACCTCTGAAATCATTTATGGCACAGTGCGTTATCTGCATCTTCCTCGCTTCATCAAGGATCGCTCCAAGCATATCACCGTCATTTCTACCATTTTCTGGCAAATGTGGAATCTGTACTGGCTTCACGGTAGCCAAAATCCATCACTCCTCTCATCTGCCTCAATTGAGCGCTTTCCCTCCAGGACAGTTTGTCGTATTGACAAACTGCTCCCGACCAACACATAATCATATATTAGATAGTCATTTCGTTGTTCGAGGTCCACCACTCCGCGATGTGTCCCTCAAAAAATAATGTTTGAATAAAATAAAATATTATCTACAAAAAAAAAAAAAAAAAAAAAAAAAAAAAAAGCTTCCTAATACATTCTTCAAGTACTTTTAAGGCCCTTCCAATGGTGTTAACTGTAATAAGTGTTTTGACTGAAATTATTGAGCAATTTAATAAAAATTGAAATAAGGTTTTTAGCGAAAATAGTCAGATTTTGCATATGAAAGCCTCATAAAAGTGGTTTCAGAAGTTGCTTCGGATCGAGAGAAACATTTTGGTTTGATATCATAACATAATAAATGTTCAGTACTTTTGCACTTTACAATCCTAATATGGAACCTGAGTTTCAAGGCATCTATCTGTCCTGGCTCATATGAGAATAATGATTTTACAATCAATCAACAAAAACCACTGTTATTTCTACCCTATTTCCTCTGCTCAATGCTGTCAATGTTTTATTTGAGCGACGTCTCAGAGCCTCAGAGATTTCATTACTTACTGCAGACATTTTATGCAACCCATGCATTGTCAATGTCCAGACTAACGTTATTAAATATAGAATGCAATAAAATATCATTATGAACGATATAGAAGGCAATAAAATATCATTATAAACGATAGTGCTATGACCTTCCACCTACTTTCTATACGCTTCGAGGGCATTTACTACTGTATTGCCTTATGAAAAGGGCATGAGTTTTCCAGCTGGCCCTACCAGCCAAAATTAATTCAAACCCAGAATCATAGTCTGTTCCAGATTGGACATATTTTGATAATTTTGGACTCGATCGAGCTATTTTTGCAGATTCGACTAAGTGAAGTATGATAATCACCCCATGCTTCCTTAAGCTTTCCTGGAGTACTTTTCAAGGCGCTTCCAATGGTACTAAGTAAAATAGATGTTTTGAAATCACTTATTGAATGATTTGTAAAAATATGAAAAGAGATTTATGGCCAAAATGTCGAAATTTTACATATCAAAGTCCCACAAAGATAATTTCAGAGGTTGCTTTGGATTGATAGAAACATTTTGATTCAAGATATACTATAGTAAAAGTCTTCATTATCAAGATGAAAAATGCGATCGTTTGATTTTCGATGAAAACCATGAGGGAGTACCTCATGCTTTTTGGCCAATTTTTGGTCTATTTTTTTGGCCCTTAAAAAGTTGAGCAAAGGAGTCAGAAAGTTACTACTACACAAGTACAATTGTTTGGCGTCATTCCGGTGGCTCAAAAGGATCTGCAAGGTAAGATACGAAGGCTAGAAAGCCGTAAAGTTTGGTTATCTTTTGCTTTGTAGCTTTTATTTGCACGGCATGAATCACATCTGTGGTAGCTGTAACTTACTGGAAGGGTAGTTCTGCAGCCTGTGCAATTTCTAACTTGAATAGAAGGCATATTGATTTTGCTAAAGGTAATTCATGCAAATTTTGATGCGTCATATTGTTAGTAATAAGCCTATTAATAATGGAAATGAAAAACCGAATTTGCTTCTTGAATACTATGGTTTTGCACCTTCGCTTCGCTACGGCAAAACCCTCATTAAGATGAATATTATCAAATGTTGGGTTATATACTTAGTTGCCATAGCTTTTCACCTTTAATTCGCTACGGTAAAACCGCCTCATAGGCCAATGTTACCAAATGTTGAATTAAAAGTGTTATGCTCTTGATGGATAGGCTTAGCACCTCCTCCAAACCCCTCCCCAATACCGACTTGGCCGGTGGTTTATTCACCTTATAGGGTACTCAATTCTTTAAACTTTGAAAGGATATATCTGTCTACTTTTTTTTCATAGTTTTCCAGCATATATATTTTAGATGATGTACAATGCTTAAATATGCTACATGGAAGTAACTTGGTCTGTGCGGTGTCTGCAACTCGATCAATGGGATGACGTATAATTCCCTTTGTGATTGTGCGAGTCTGCATTAGCCACACCACAAATCTGCATTATTTTTATGCTCTTTTTTTCTTTCTTGCTTTTTTGATTTCTCGTCTTCTTTCTTGTTTTGTCAGCTAACATGTCTTCATTTGAGATGCTCGGAGTATTCACTCCAAGTCAGAAAGCCCTAGTTAGAGGATGGTGGAAGAAGGTAACAGCAGCGCATCCTTCAGCACGGAATTTTAAGGAAATGAAAGTTCCCATCGTTGGTGAGTATGTAGAACAAACCAACCTCAAAGCAGTTCGCTCATTCATTGATGCTTGATTGGGACAACAGAGAAAGGTGTTTTTGGTATTTTGCTAGTGGAATCCATTAAATATGCTCATTCGAGCATATCATACATTGATGATGTTACAGAAACACAGTGTTTTGGGGTGATACCAACTATAATCGCAAAGTGTGGATCGTTTTTAAAAGAGGAAGCCATGACAACAGAAGGCATATTTCGAATATCTGGTAGCTCAAGAAGGACTGGAATGCTGCAATCAATATTCGATACGCCAGATTTGTATGGATCACAGCTGGACTGGCGTGGATACACAGTGCATGATGCAGCAAATGTCATGAAGCGATTTCTCAATTTCTTGCCAGAGCCAGTCGTTACATTGGAATACTATCGAAAATTCAAAGACACGACTCGTAAATATCGTCATGATCGTGGACATACGTTTGGTTATAACTTATATATGTGCGTTGATTACTGTAGTTGCAGAATACCCAAATTTAGATCAAAAAATTCAAGCGATTCAAGGAGTCATTGAATGTCTTCCTATAGCTCACCAATATCTCTTACTGTATCTACTCGACTTGCTTGGCATGTTTGTCACTGCGCAAGAATACACTCGAATGGATACTGCATGTTTGGCTTCTGTATTTGCGCCTGTAAGTACAAAGACAAAGGACTATATTTAGCATTTAACATCCTGTAGGGCATTTTATCTCACCCTGACGATCAATTAAACCCTGCTGGTTATTTTGAGTCTCAACGAGTGCTGTCATTTTTAATAGAAAATCAAGAAAGGTTCTCTATGCCGAGATCAAATACTATCACGACAACACTAGATCAGAGCAACGTTAATAATGTCATACCACGATCCAGTAATCAGGTAGCAGCTGTACCACAAAAAAGTAATAATTAATTTTGTGCTATACACTTGCAGCTCATCGACTCATTGGATTTCTAGCTTTCAATACAGCAAAGAAAGAGGAACGTCCAAAGCTCACAGAGCAACGTGAATCTACTATTTATTCCCTAGTCGCAGGTTCTTATTCAGGGTCAGGTATTGAATCTATTCTAGACGCAGATCTGGAATTACCAGAACCCACAGTGACCTTACGGAGAAGCAAAACCGCACCCAGCCGACGAGACAAGTATGGCTCACATGAACCACAGCAGATTGTGCATGTAAATCGTACGTCAAGCCAAGGTAATGCAAATGATCGTTGGATGATGGGTCTGGAATGATATAACAGGATGACGTGTTTTTATAGGTAGTAGAAGAGGAGGCTTTCTGAGAGCAACACCAATTGGGTCACCCATTTAAGAGAAGATCTGAATATTTTTGTACATACGAATAGTAGCCAAATGCTAGCTCCATTGGACGGACACAGCCAAGTAAATAATGGCTTAATTTGGTAAATTCAAGCTTTTACCAGCTATTCCCAAATTTTACTTGATTTTCACACACGCACAACAACATTACAGGAAAATCATGAATGATTCATATTAATAAAGAAGCCGTTTTCTGTAAAGTATATTTTTCCATTAAAGGACATTTCTCAGAAATGCGAGATACATGTCAAACTGAAAATGTAACAATGTATCAAGATGCATAGTTGACCAGATTGAGAGGGCTCTTGATTGATGCCTTTCACTTGTAAAGCACTCCGCTTTGCACGCCTTGTGATTGGAAACAATCATCTAATTACATAGTGGGGTAACGAAATGCCGAAGAATCGCAGTAGGTTCCCCACACGAGACCCTCTTCCCCGCTCTGTCGTTCTCCAACTAATTTTATTAAGGTTTCCTCCCTGTTTAAATTATGGTAACGCAATGATAGTGGTAAGAAGCTGTATGGAATATCTTGTAAATGCATCATATATGAAGCAAATGTAGTTGCAGCTTACTGGTTATTTCCAAGATCGAGTATGTTGCAAGCAAATTTGTCTCTAGAAAAGAGTTTGATTTATAAATTGATTTTTGATTAGTCAGATATTGCGATTATAAGGACATCTGGGAGAAATAAGGAAAATCACTTGGAGTTACACTAATGGCTTATTTACAGCACAATATTCCCACTTTTAGATGCGCACAAATTCATATAAATAGGTCAACCTTCAGATGTCATTCAATCAACTTTACTACCTTATTAAATAATCATTATCAAATGGGTTCTGGAGGATCTCTTTACTTGTATTTCATCTGTGGTTTTGCAGCAATTGGTGGTTTCTGTTTTGGCTATGATAGTGGAATTATCAGCGGTAAGCTTTCTTTTCGATTCAAACCAACGAATATTCAACAGATAGTTGGTGGATGTTCAAAGAAGCTGCATTGGCATCTTTGAAAATGACGAATATCATTGAAAATTCAATGAAAATCCTCGAAATTTAGATTGCTAATTTGATTTAAACAGGTGTCTTGACCATGCCCACATTTATTGCCAAGATGACTGGCGGCAACACTTATCTTACTGCTCTTCAACAATCTGTCATTACAGGTTTGTTGTTGGCTGGTTGTTTCGTTGGTTCTCTCTTTGCTGGTAAGTATCTGCAGATCACATATTGCGAGCATAAAGTTTAAACAAGCATATTAGGTCAACTCTGTGAAAGAGCTTCTCGTAAATTTACCATCATTATCGCTTCTGGCGTCTTCTGTATCGGCGCCGCTGTTCAAACAGGTTCCACTGGCTATAGCATGATTCTTGGTGGTCGTTTCGTAGCTGGTCTGGGAATTGGCTCACTTTCCATGGCTGTCCCTTTGTACTTATCCGAACTCGCCCCTAAGGAGATCCGTGGTCGCCTTATTTCTCTTCAACAGCTCACCATTACCATTGGTCTCATGATTGCCTTCTGGGTCAATGTTGGTACTGAGAGTTTGACTACTGATGCTGCCTGGAGAATTCCTCTTGGTATTCAAATGGCTCCTGCTGTTGTCCTCTTCATTGGAACCATGTTTCTTCCTTTCTCTCCTCGTTGGTTGATCAAGAGAGGTCGCAATGCTGAAGCTTTGGCTGTGCTTGCCAAACTTCACTCTGCTGGTGATGAAACCGCTCCTCATGTTGTTACTGAATATGAAGAAATCATTGCTCAAGTTGAACACGAACGTGCCGTCTCTGTCGATAGCTATCTCGAGCTCTTCAAGGGCACTATGCTTAGAAGACTCGTTTTGGGTATCCTCATTCAAGTTTTCCAACAATTCACCGGTATCAACTCTATCATGTACTATGCTCCTACTATTTTCCAACAAGCTGGTGTTCCCGGTCGTTCTGCTTCCTTGATTGCTTCTGGTGTCAATGGTGTGCTTAATGTCTTTGCCACTGTTCCTGCCATTCTCTTCCTTGATCGCCTTGGTCGTCGTTTCGTTTTAATCTCTGGCGCTGCCGCTATGGGTACTGCCATGTTGCTCTGTGGTATTGTTATGGCCGCTTGTGGTCGTGTTTACAACGATCCTTCTACTGGTCAAAATAACGTTGACTTGTCTGGCAACACCTCTGCCTCTTATTTCTGTATTGTCATGGTTTACCTCTTTGTTGCTGGTTTCGCCTATTCTTGGGGTCCTTGTGGTTGGGTCTACCCCGCTGAAATCTACCCTCTCTCTATCCGTGCCAAGGGTACTTCTATCACCACTGCTGCTAACTGGCTCATGAACTTCATTATCTCCCTCTTTGTCCCTGTCATGCTTACTACCATCACCTGGGGTACTTACATCTTCTTTGGTTGTTGTTGTTTCGTCATGGCTACCTGCGTCTTCCTCTTCTATCCCGAAACCAAGGGTCGCTCTCTCGAAGAAATGGATATTGTCTTTTCTGGTAGTATCCTTGCTTTTAGAAATGTCAAGCAGGCCGACCTCGAGTACAAGGCTAGACAATCCGATAAGACAGAATCCTACGACGGTTTCACTGAAGAAAAGGCCTAAATCAGACATCTGTAATACTGAATGGGCTCTAATGTAAATGTTGACGGTTTCGCTGGCTGGTTTCTTCGAAGCACATTTACTTTCTTTTTACATAATCATCACTCATTCGATCAACTTATTAATACAATATACACTTCTTTTTTTTTCTGTAAATTCCCTTTTCTCTAATTTATTAAGCACAAACTAACTATAATTAAATAATCATAACCACATTTTGTGGACCAAAAAGTGCTGAGAACCGCAATGATTACTGTACTAGCTCAGTGAAGGGATCATTCGATGCCACCTTCAATTCTTCTCTGCCTGGTAGCGGAAGGATGATCTGATGAGCATGCAGCATCATTCGAAATGTGTCAGTGTATCTATCTTCATAGTTGAAATCGCCTACTATAGGGTGTCCAATGTATTTTAAATGTAGCCTCAATTGGTGTCTTCTTCCAGAAATTGGTGATAAACTCACTTTGGTGATAGGTAGCGTCTTTTCCATGCCGGTTTTCTCTTCCTTGTACGTGTAGTAACCTCGCTGTATAACTCGTATCTTTGTTTGAGCAGGCTTTCCTGTTGGTGTAATAGCCATCCTAAATTCGTGATTGGGGTCATCATCGATAGGTTGGTCTACAAAATATCTGGAATGGGTTATCAACTTGATCTCTCTTTCTGCGGCGACTTTAGTGGCATGCTTACTCGTTCTCCTTGACATGGCCATTGACAAGGGCTAAATATGTTTTCTTAACCATACGATCTCTAAACAGCTTACTTGCTGCTGCTGCTGCTTTTTTATTCAGTGCCAATACAAACACACCTGAAGTAGCATAGTCAAGCTGATGAACATTGCGAAATTTGCTGATGTCAGGAAATTGCTCCTTCAATAAGCTTTCAACTTTTTTTTTCATTTTCGCCATTGTTGTTAATAACATTATCCGTAGTTGAACACAATGTAATTACCTGATGGAACACTTGAGTTAGCATAGTTTTGAATCCTGCAATCATACGGTTTATCAATGATAAACCAGTCGTCATCACGATAAATGACTTTTATTGTTAAATCTTTCATAGTAAATGACCAGTTCAAACAAGTTTCTTCCTAAGCGATGAAAGATTTAGCATCGGAGTCAACATCTGGCCTAGCTCCTGGCAGCTACAATACTCTGACAACAACAGCTTCAAATCTAGTACAATTATGAGCTTTCAGAAAATGTACTTTATGGATGTCTGATTGAAAATTAAATGATCAAATTTATTAAGAGAATAGAAGTTTTTTTTACATGATGATTGTTGTGCGTATATTATAAATATTATATGAAGTGGGATTTGTTGGTTTTGTATGTGTACATAAGATAGAAGTATAGATATCAGTGGGAGAGATGACATTTATACAAATCATAGATCACAAAGAATTTAGAAACGGGAGTTGAGCTTGCGCAAGATCTCAGCACGTTGCTCTTCGCTCAAGTTTTCAATCAATTGACTGAAACCTTCAACGACAGCTTCTTGATCGGCATTACCGAGAGATACGATCTGTTCCTTGGTAGCATTGCTCTTCAACTTGCTGATACGTTGATCAATGACACTAGCACGCTTTTCAAACCATTCAGAGACAAGCTCATCAGCATCTTCAAAGTTGGCAGTTTCGTTATCGTTATTAAACCATTGCTTAACGAGTTCAAGCATTTGTTCGCGAGACATGGGAGCAGAGCTAGTGGCAGCAACAATCTTGCGGAAAGTGTACTCTTCACAGAGACGACGACGAACACGCCAGTAGAAGTAGTGGCGAGCACGACGCCAGTCAAGAGCCTTGCGAATGACACCCTTAGCCTTCATACGACCGGCACGATCATGGAGATCAGCAAATTGAATAGAGATTTGTTGGTATACAGGCAACAGTTCTTGTTCGCGAGCTTCGATTTGCACCTTGAGGGCAGCCTTCTCTTCATCAGATTTACCTTCTTCGGCCAATTGTTTCTTCAAGGAAGCATAAGTAGCATCAAGACGTTCCATAGTAGCCAACAAGGCAGGCTTACGGTACTTGATTTCGACGATACCCTCAGGCTCAAGGACGCCACCACGAGCATTGTTATCAGCGTACATTTCCATCATATCCTTGTTGATGGTAGGGTCAACAACGACCCAAGCACCACCACGAAGTTCACCATTGGGAATAATGTAGACAAAGACAGGTTGTTTGTAGTTGCTGAGAGCATCCACGATTTGAGCACCATACTTGAGGACTTCGTTGTACATGTCACGTTGACCACCAGAGAAACCACGCCAGTTGGCAAAGATCATCAAGGGCAATTGCTCACCCTTGTTAAAGTCATTGATAGCTTGGGCAGTCTTGTAAGCAGAGTTGGGGAACCAAACACCACCAGCCTCCATGAAGACTTGCTCAGTGGAATCGGAATTGGCAGGATCAGCAGGGACAATGTTCTCAACAGTACGGGTCTCAACAGAGACAACACCCATAGGAATACCACCTAAACGAGCACGACCCACAACAACAGTACGAGCCCAACCACTCAAAGTCTCAATGAAGGAGTCTTGATCAAAGAAACCGCTCAACCACTTGCCGTTTTCACTCTTACCAGCCAAGAAGAAGCGAGGATCTGAGGGACCCTTGGGAGGAGTGTACTCAATATCACGGTCAATGGGATCAGCACCCAAGCGCATAGAGACAGGAGCATTGCGGACATCAGGTACGAATGAGAGCCATTGGACAATCTTGGCAATACCTTCCAAATCATTCTCGGCAGTCAAGTGAGAGACACCATTCTTGTACATGATTTGAGTACCACCCAATTGCAAGTTGGAGGTATAGACTTCACGACCAAGGACCTTGTTCAAGGCAGGAGCACCAGTCAAGATGATGGGTTGGCCTTCGTTTTGGACAGTTCTTTGACCGAGACGAACAAGGTAAGCACCAATACCAACAGAACGGCAGGTGACGAGAGTGATGGTAAAGATATCATCGTAGGCACGAGAAGTGGCACCAGCAATGAGACCAGAGCCCTTCAAGTTCTCCACACCAAGACCATCAGTGTGGCCGATCACATCGGTGATACGGAGACGAGTTTCACCTTCATCTTGAATCTCTTCGACGAGGACACTCTTGGCATCACCTTGTTGAACGAGGGCATCATACTCGGCAGGAGTCAAGTAGAGATAGTTGAAGCCAGCAGTGGGGTTGGAAGAGTCCTTCCAGGCAGCTCTGAATTGACTGATGAGCTCTTCAGCAAGACCAATACGAGCACCAGAGTTGGCAGACAAGTAGATACGAGGGATACCGAGAGCACGAGCAAGCTCAGATGCCTTGTAGAAGACTTGATCTTCAGCAACACCGAAAGAACCAATCTTGAAGGTAATGTCGTTGGCAATAGCAATGATACGACGACCACTGGGATACTCGGGTGTGCGGATTGTCATGATCCAGGCAACCATACCAACAGTGTTGGTGCCAGGAGCACGGTCAATCTCTTGCAGGACATCATCTTCATCAAGGACCAGCTCCTTGGCCTCCACCAAATGGCTAGGCTGCTTCAGGAGAGGGTTACGCTTGATGGCTTGAGTCCATTGGTTTTGGACAGATTGACGGAAGAGTTCAGGGAAATCATAGACATAAGTAGTACCCATCAAGTGGGCCTTGTAACGACGAGGTTGGAGCCATTCCTTGGTAGGGTAAGGAGTAGACAAGGGTTGCATGTGCATGGCACCAGGAATCTTGTTGACAGACTTGAGAATCCATCCGCTCTTTTCAGTCTTGACTTCTTGGTAGACCTCGACCTTCAGGATGAAGCCAGAGACGTTGTCAACAGTGAAACGCATGGGGATGATGGGGGCATCAGGCTTCTTGGATTGCACGTTAAAGCGGATCTCGGCACCAGTGACACGGAGCTTCCAAAGACGCTTACCATGACGATCAACAAAGTCCTTCAAGGCGTGTTCAACATCGTCAGCCTCAATAGCAAAGGTGGGGATGAAGTTGATGAACAAGTGGTTACAGTCAGAGTTCTTGTACTCGTGGCTGACAATCTCGAGGGTGTCAAGAATATCAGTCAAAAGACGATCACTCTCAGAAATCAAGTAGTCAGCAGTGCGCATAGAGCTCTTGACACGGCCAGGACGAACCAAGGCACGAATGAAGAAACGGCAGTCAGAGGGGTTCTCCTTGGCAACAGCATAGTAGACGTGCATTTGTCTGTTCTCAATGAAGCAGGGCTTGATGTCAAAGTTGGAGAGACGAGCCAACTCAAGTTGATAAGCCATAGCAGGTTCAATGTGACGGATGGTCTCGTCTTCTTGGTAGTTTTCACGCTCACGGAAAGTGTAGTAATCGGGCCATTGGTTATCACGACAGACAACAACGGAAAGACGACGGAGATGAGCTTGACGGAAGGCATCGGCATTGGCAGTGATCATCTCACAGATCTTGGTTCTGAAAGCAGTATCGTCCATATCCTCATCAGCGCGAACAGCAATGTTGAGAATGTTCTCCATGCGTTCTTCCTTGGGAGCAGTGTTGCGTTGCAACATGGGAGGGAGAGGCTCTTCTTCGAATGCAGTCAAGATGCGAGGAAGTTCAGCTTGGAGATCAGCCAAAGAATTGCATGCAGTCATGGCACCAGTACGAATAGGCTCTTCTTCAGTCTTGTTGAGCAAGAAGGTGAGATCAGAGTAAGAGGCAATACGCTTGTTGGAGTCAATACCATTAGCAGCAGTCTGGAGCAAGAACTTCCAGGCAACAACATAAGGCTTGTGCTCGAGGTTGTAGGCGACATCCAAGATCTTGTAAGCATGGTATGAACGACGACAGTAGACTTCAATGGCAGCCAAAGCAATATAAGGATCAGCGTGGTAAAAGAAGTGGGGCAAAACATCAAAGACGTTGAACTTGGTGTCAATGAGATCCTTGAAGGCATCGTAGCTGGGAGTGCGGTATTCCGAGCCACCACCATAAACAGACTCAGTGACAGAGTTCTTGAGAATTTGGTACATTTGAGCTTGACGTTCTTCGTAAGAAGGTAATTGACAGAGAATCAAAAGCTCACGAGCCTTAAGAGTGACCTTTTGAGTAGCACGGCTTTCGATTTCAGACAAACGCTTCAAGATGGGAGTGAAGTACTTGTCAAGAGCACTGCCAGTCGAGACAGGGTTGATGAGGTCGAGCAACATGAGAATCACATTGTTCTTGATGTTAACCTTGGCGTGAGACAAAGTAACAGCCAACACCTTATCCAAATCGTCTTTGTGTTGATCTCTGAGTGACAGGATGACTTCCTCTTCACGTTGTTGGTTGAACAAAATCTCGACATCGTAGTAGGCTTCCATCAATTCGACATAGTTGCTGTAGGCGTGTTCGGTGAGACCGTTTCTGTAGCGGGCAAAGATACTGCTCAAGGGAGCAACAGAGTTCTTGTAAGCAGTAGCTTCAGATTGAAGGGTAATGTGTTCACGAGCAAAGTCTTCGACCAGCTTTTCGAACTGGGCAGCAGGGAACTCTTGGTTAGCAGCCTTGGATTCGTCAGCCAACTTGTGAATAGAGGCTTCCAAGCGTTGAGGAATTCTACCAGCCAAAGCAGACAGAACAGAGTTCAATTCAGAGTAAGGCAAGTCAGGGTTGTTCAAGATATCAGCAAAGTCCTTGACGACAGTTTGGACAAGAGCTTGGTTATCGTAACCTTGGAGAATGTGTTGCAAGGTGAGCTTGGTAGCGTTAAAACGTTGCACAGGCTTGTCACCAGTGATGTGAGGAGCACCAAAAGCTGGGACAGTGCCGTTGAAAGGAAGAGCGTGCTTAACACGGCTAGGATCATCAAGAGACAAGATACCAATGATATCACCGGCTTCAAGAGTAGCGCCAGCTTGCTTGATGAATTGAACATGACCATCTTCAGTGGCGATCAAGGGCATGTACATTTTCATGACCTAAGATATATATTTAATAACTTTATCCTCTTTTCTATCTTATTATACTATACATACCTCAATTTCAGCATAAGCATCACCAGCATTCAAATGATCGCCATTCTCGACAAGCAAGTTGACAAGCTTACCAGGAGAAGGACTTCTCAATTGGGTGGGATCACTCTCCTTTTCCAAAAGGCAGGTCTTACCATCTACCATCATACGAGTAGCTTGAACTTCATCGCGAGAGTAAGTAGTATGGGATTTACCGTCAATAGAGATCAAGAGACCACCATCAGACAAATCACGGATACCGACTTGAGTCTTGGTACCGTTCAGATACAAGGTGTAGATACCAGGAGCAGATTGAGTGACAGTAAAGTTGTAACGCACTTCTTCATAGATAAAGTCAACAGTGAAGACAGTCTTGAGAGAACCCTTGCTAGGAACTTGACCCTTTTCAAGCGATTGTTTGTATTGTTGGAAACAATCCAAAGAAGCCATATGAGCCTTGGTGACAGCACCACAGAAGACAGCCAACATGGTATCAGGGCGTTCAGCGGTCAACTTCTTGGAAATCAACATATCCAACCAACCAGTGTTGATGGTGTTCTCTTCGAAATCTGGCGTTTCGAGTAAACGAATAATGTACTCAACGGTGCTACGGAAATCAGCACGGATAGAGAGCTCCTTGAGAGCAATGACCATGTTCTTGCGAGCTTGTTGACGGTTCTCACCATAAGCAAAGATGTGACCAAATTGAGAATCAGCATACTCGTGCAAACCACCAGCAGAGACAACAGAGAAATAACCCCAAACATTCGTGCTAGATCTAAAGTTGAGTTCTTGCATGATACCAGAGGAGGGCTTGAAACCGGCGTCAGGATTCTCAGCAGTGATACGACAAGCAATAACGTGGCCCTTGGGGGTGGGGCGACGATGACTGGTAAGAGAGGTGGGGTGTTCAAAACCGAAATCAATTTCAGATGCACTGTTAGGTTGGACACCATAAAGGACACGAATATCACGAATACGATGAAGAGGGATACCCATAGCAATTTGAAGTTGAGCAGCGGGCAAATTGACACCAGAAACCATTTCAGTGGTAGGATGCTCGACTTGCAATCTAGGATTCAATTCCAAAAAGTAGAATTGATCATCATGATGACTGTAGAGGTATTCGACGGTACCAGCAGACACGTAACCCACCAATTTACCGAGTCTGACGGCAGCCTTCTCCATTTGTTCAAAGACATCAGGCTTAGCAATGGTGACGGGAGCCTCTTCAATGATCTTTTGATGACGACGTTGAACTGAACAATCACGACCAAACAAACTGATAGCATTACCATACTGATCAGCCAATAATTGAACTTCCAAGTGACGAGCGTTACCAGCCAGCTTCATGATAAAGATGGGAGAACCAGGGATTTCACCTTGGACTTGGGCAAACAATTGGGCAAAGTTGGATCCGTCCTTGACCATACGAATACCTTTACCTCCACCACCTTCAGAAGCCTTGATCATGACAGGAAAACCAATCTTCTCAGCAGCCTTAAGACCTTGCTCGGCAGTCTTGACACAAGCTTCATTGTAGGCATTGTCAGGGACAATAACGTGGCCTGCAGCGTCAAACTCTGTCTCGGTAATGCCATCACCACTCCAACCCATTGTTGGGACTTGAGCACTCTGTGCAACGATCGTAGATGAAATTTTGTCACCTAATGATCTCATAGCAGAAGCAGGAGGGCCAATAAACAAGCATTTGTGCTTGGACTTGGCAAGCATTTCAGGCAAACGAGGATTCTCAGAAGCATGACCCCTTGATAATATGAAAAGTGTCAGAATCACTATGCACCAAAATCCGACCCCATCTCTTTGAACAAGAGAAAAAAACTTACCAACCAGCCCAAACAGCATGTACAGCAGTTCTTTCAGCAACATCAACAATCAACTCAACATTGGCATAGTTGTTGTTGTTGGATCCACCGGGAACCTCGACAAAGTTATCGGCCATACGGATGTATTCAGCATTGGCCTTCAAATCTTCGGGTGTTGCCATGACAGTGAATTCGATAGCTCTCTCATTACCGAATGTTTCGTAAGCCCACTTTCTTACGGAGCGGATCTCCTTCATTGCAGCCATACCATTGTTGGCAATCAAAACTTTGGAAATAACTGTGTGACCCTCATGTGCTTGGACAAAGTCTTTGACGGGACCCTGAGGAGCAGATTCAAGCGAATTACCACCTACATGTTGTACATTTTAATTTCCAGGAAATCATAAACCCAACAAAGCCGTTTATCAACTTACCCAAAAAGTGGCCAGGTAAGCTTTTATGTTCAACCATTGTATGTCTGTTGTATACGTATTCTTCTTTCTTTTTGTCGTAAAACGTAGATGTTGTTTAAAACGCGGCACAAATCAAATGTCTGATTCTTTCTTCTCTTTTTGTATACAAATTAATTCACAAACACACAACTGAAATTGATGTTATAATATAATAATATTTTTTACTGTCTCCCACAGATGAAAAATAATAATTATAATACAAGTTGTAAAAAGAAGAAAAGAGATGTTGTTAATGGGAAGGGGGGATGAAGGATTTGAATGAAATTTTAACATACTCCGAGTACAGCCTTTTTTCTTCCCCACCTTTCCCGGATTTGCTTGAAGGGCAAATCTCTACAGATTACTGGGTTTGAAGCAAGTGCCAATCAATGCATTCAGATGGCCCTGAACACCCCAACAGCTGAAGCCGTTTGTAATTTTAGGCTTTTTTTTTCAATGTTGTTGATTTCGAGCCACTCTCTCCATCCTGGTAGGGTTATCGATTTTGGGGACGAAAAAAAAAAAAACTGTTGGATTTGGGGTTTATTATATCATTCATGTTGAGCTCTGTACCCCGCAATAAACAACTCTTGTACAAGATAGAGAATAAAATACGAGCTTTCGACATTTGAATGCAGATTTGACGTGGTCAAATGTTGATGGCTTGGGTGTAAGTTTTTTTTTTTTGCTAGTTATTGCGAAAATGGGCTTATTGTTTCATATCAAAAAATTAATGAGCGGTATTTCGTTTTCTCGGCTAATCCATATCCTTTCTATTATATTTGTCAATGGATGGGGGAGCGTTGAAGCATTTTGCTTGGATAAGAGCACCATCGTGACCTTGATTTCTCCCCCAACCCGTTTGGATGTGGCTCTTCTATCGCCCCTGAGTTTTCTCTCTCGATCACAATTGTCGATCCGAAACATTTTATATCTATCAAGGTACAGATGTTTTAATGCAACAGATGTATGAAAGTTGCTAATCTTAATCACGTTGCAGATTATGAAGATGACAAACAAACTGTGAGAAATTTGAGAGATTCTGAATTGTATAATACTACAAACTTAATTGCGCGCGATCATTGAGTTGATAGAATATATTTTTAGCTGCAATCTGTACGTCATTTGGTTGAAAAGTTTAGGAAGAATTTGCCATTTACATCAAGACATGCCATTGTTCAGTAAGGCTACAGCTTGATGCTATTTCGATTTGGCTTGGTTACCATGACGATTCTGTTTCTGATCTGTTCCTGGTTGCTAGGCAATCCGTTGCTAAGCAATCTGTTGCTAGGCAATCTGTTGCTAGGCAATCTGTTGCTAGGCAATTAATGCTATTGATGATTTACTGTTTTCTGTCCAACCTATATAAGGGGAACTTAATTTACTTTCTCCGTATTTTTAGAACGAGATTAAACTATGTATCTTGAATGAGATGTCAGCCAAGACTTTGTGTTGTACTTTATAATTTTATCAATGCAAATCTTCCTTAATGCACCGGTATGGTATCATGCAAGTAAATGAGAAGAAGCAACCCGTTTCAGTGTGAAAATCATTCTCCTCGCCACTAGATGTGATGCATCCATCAATGCCCCTTCATTTTGCTTACCAGAATACAGGTTTTAAGGTTTGCTTTCCGATTAATTAATTGTATCTTGCTTGTGTAAATTAGATTTTTATTGAAATTTGATTGCAACAACGGTGATGATCCAGCGCACAACGCACCCACATCATCTCTCTCTCTCTGTTTCATTTGGTATATATGTGTTTTAATATATGGCCTTTAAATTTCATGGACGAATATTCTCTACGCTTCTTTTTGAATTCCTAATTCACATTAGCTGGTAATTTAATCTAATAAAACCTGCATTGCTTGATTTATATGAACCAACACTCTTTTTACATGTCTATCAAGGTATATGTTGTGTTTGCCTAGTAAGAAATAAATGAATTCGACATGTTATTTCATGTTTCACCACGTGCAATTTGCATTTTGCTGAAGATGATTTTTCATCGAGTGCGACATTAAACCAACAACTTTTTTACTTGTTTGTTTGTTGTGTTGATGGATCAAGTAACTAATAAACATTTTTTTGTAATAAATGAAATTATCAATAGTTTTATTGACAAATTTCTGGTTAAAATAATATAAAAGGGCGATCGAAAAAGATGCTCAAAAGAAAGAGGAATATTTAATATGTACAGAGTATCATAGAATATATAATAGGATAGATAGTAGTGATAGATAATAGGGAGATAGAACAAAGAGCGTATAAATAGTAATTAGTTGAAAAGTAGAATAGCAAAAAGGGAACATTTATGTCTAATATCCAGGTGGCATGAATTCAGCCGCATGATGGTATGGATGAGAACGGTTCATCCAATGTGCTGATGGAGGTGGAGGTGGTGGATGTGGTGGATGTGACATTAATGAAGGATGAGGAGGTGGAGCATGTTGCATATAAGGTGGCATAGAAGGATTATATTCGTGGTGCATCATTTGATGATGTCTTGTTGATGACGAAGGTGCTGATGAGGAAAGCATAGGCATGGAATGGCTCAAGATGCTGTTATCTACGTGTTGCATTGAAGCGTTGATATTGTCTTGGTGATGTTGTTGCGGTTGCTCTTCATCTTCAAAGCCTTGTTGTTCATTGTCTTCTAACGATTGGGTTGTAGATCTTGAGTTTGTACGCTGCTTGTTGTCTCTCTTTTGCTTTCTCCACATTTTGCGAAGTTCTTTGAATTCTGATGGCTGTCTTTTTGGGCCCTAATATCGAGTAAGAATATTAACCTACTTGTTGTGATGATAAAAAGTATTTAACTTACATGTCTTTGCATAGAGACGTGAGCGTTTAAATGATTTAAAGTACCATAAGACTTTGTGCAATCTTGGAAATTACATTGATACAATCTTTCAACTTCATGAAACTTCCTTCTGGGTCTTTTCTTTTGGTTGAGACCAGGAAGAGGTACAAAGGAGAATACTTTTTGGCTATTATTTGTAATACCACCATTGATAACATGTTGATGGTGGTTTGGGTCAGCAATAAGGACACCGTCGATCACTGACGTAGGAGGAGATGGTAAATGATATAGTTGACCATGATATCTACCAGCAGAGGGATACATACCGTGATGATGAGATGGAGGCGGATGAGGTGGATATGCGGATAAGTCAGTTGAGGGCACTATAGCATTAGGTGCTGCTGGATGGTGTCCGTAATGAGAACTGATATTGTGCGTTGGCATCATGTAATATCCATTTGAAGGTTGGTTTGATGGCGGTTGGTTGAAATTTCTTCGAGACATGTCAGCAGAACTGGTAGCAGAAGAGGGATACATGCTTGCTCTTTGATAATCAATAGATTTTCGGTAAGAAACATGATGGGGATGTGATATTACTGGTGCCGATGTAGAATAGTGATGTGGTTGAACAAAATTGGCACCGTTTTGTTGCTTATTAGATGGACTAAAGTATCCCATCTCTTCGTTGTTTGCAGTGCTGTTCATCAGTTCACTGTTCTTGGCATGATCAGCAACAGTAGGAGCAACAGTGGCATTGCTACTGCTATTGTTACCAGTGTTGGTAGGCAATAAATGCGATAAAGGAGGTAATGAATTACTTGGCCCCAATCCAGCAGCGGCAGCGGCAGCGGCAGCAGCAGCAGCAGCATTTACGGAAGAGACCGAATGCATGTCATTGGGATGATTGTTTTGCAAACTAGTGGGATTCATATAAAGCGATTGCTGCACAGGGGTTGCATTTGAAGCCGGATTATAGTAGTTGGATGAATGTCTTGGATCATAATAATTTAAATTTGTTGATGATGGCACTTGAGGGGCAGTTGCTATTGTAGGGGTGACATTATTATTTGCAGTAGTGGTTGTAGTATTAGATGAGGTAGTAGGTGTGGGCGCATTCATTGTATATATATATAAGTGTGGGGAGTGAGTGAAAGAAAGAGAAAGAGAGAATTTTGAAATGTAGATATAATTTAATTTAAAGAAAGACAGAATTCACAAAAAAGCAGGAAAAAAAAAGAGTCATTTATGTGCCAATGTAGTGTTTGTAGGATGTAACTCTAGGTGATTGTGTGTGTAAAATAAGAAAACATTGCTTGTTGTATTACAAGTATCGCAATCACCGAGTTAAAGAAAAAAGTGGAGTTGAAATTACCTTGATTTAGCCCTTAAAAGGTTTGGAATTGATCTTGTCACATTACACCTAATAAAGTCGTTGATCCAATAAGGTGACATGGCGATTCATTATCTTTGGCGCTTTTTATTTTGATTTTCTTTTTCGTAGATCTCTTTTCTTTCACTAGATGTAAACTTTAATTTTAGTGCGACATGTATATGGTCGTTTTTTAATAAATGCTGCCAATCCCCAATCTTTGTATCTCATTTGCCAGAATTTTAGTAGCTTTTTTTGCGGTAGATCTTGAAGCTATTCCTGTTTGTCCTATGCTTTGAGTTAGACTGGTTAAATGTGATTTGTTCATGAACAGTATTTCTTGTTTCCATTTTTAGTATTTGAAATAGAGGTTAAAATTTATCATTTTAGTACCAATCTGAAAAAATTTTGGTAGTCTAAATTTTTTTTTGTAAAAAAAAAAAAATCACCGTCATCAAATGATATCAAATGAGGTATATTTAGTTGATCTACATGTATAAGATAACCCGAGCATGTCATATGCGTATACATTTGTAAGTCGAGTAACACCGGAGCAAATGAGGAGGAAGAATTAGACTTCAAGATGACGTCTATGAGTTGTACGAAATGATTAACTTTGTCAAACAGCATTTTGCAAATGCCTTTCCATGAACGTTTACCCATACCAATTGTAGCAAATTGCTATTTTATATAGAAAGGATGTGACAGTACAATTAATTATCTACATGCGGAAAAATAGGTAACATTGGACGTATCGACACCATTGCAGATTAGTTTTTCACTATCACCTTTTTGGTTCAACATTGGCACGCTCTAAAATTGCAATAAGGTTGCGTAGATACATGTACTCAGAAGTTGATATTTTCCGAGGGCGTTATGTTTGGTTAAACTTTTCCTTTTGCACATGAATCCAATGCCTCTTGTATTACATAACTTCCAGCTGGATATGGCTGGCTGGTTCTGTCAATATTTTGAAATTCAACCTCGATCGCCTTATATTATTCAAATCCATATTTTACTTTGCAACATGTTTCTTTCCATTAATGTTATACAAAATTTTGCTTTTGCAATTGTTTATTGCTTGAATGAAAAGCATGAATCTTGAAAGGTTTGAAGAAGATATCTGTGATCTACCCCTGAATCTGAGATTTAAGACTGATCCCCTGAAAATTGGTTTGTTGCAAGAAACTCCGAAATCAATGGATGTACCTATGGCAGTGTCATCGTATGCCATGTTGGCCATTAGAGATGCTACTTGATACAGTTAAGCTATTGGTTGTAGAGTATTTGTAAATGTAACATGGCTGTATGCCTTATTCAAATCAATTGGGTTATACCCTTAATGAGATTAGTCTACTGAAAGATTTGGGAGTATAAAGAAATGTCGTTACATCCTTGAGCCGCTAAGAGCTTTTACGGCTTGATCAACAAACTCAAATATCATATGTTTTCTATTTACTAGTCCATGAATCTCTTGCATAGACCAGACCTGGGTGTTTGTCGAAAAATAGGGTCTGCAGAAAGAGGTACACTTGTGCCGTTTACCCATCTCAGCTTGCAAATAAAACAGCATGTATAATTGTCCTTTTCATTTGATTCATTAAGTATGCCAACATTTGTTTTGATACCATTGAATAAGTGATTTATAGATAATTTTACTACCTTTGCATTCAATTTGGCAAAATAAAATGGTAATATATGAATCAGTTTATTAAAATCAGACTTCTCACCTGTTCGCCATCACCAAAAAAAAAACATTTCAAGATTGACGTGTAACTATGAAGCTGACTTTTCTACAATGCTACACACCTGCACAAATGGGAACAATTTATATACGGGCAGATAGTGTACTTGCACTACCTCTAACTATGCTTAAGTATGCAAGAACAGCAAAATTTGGACGCATTTGAGTCGTGTTTTCTCATGTTAGACGCCGTTTTAGACCGCCAGAATAGCACCAAACAATTACTCTCAACTTGCACTTACTTTCTGACACCTTTGCTCAACTTTTTTGGGATTGCCAAAAATCGACCAAAAAGCATGAATGATACCTCATGATTTTCATCAAAAATCAAACGATCGAATTCTTCGCCCTGAAAACGAAAACTTCTACTATAGCATATATTATATCAAAATGTTACTACAAATCCAGGGCAGCCCCTAAAACTTTCTCTGTGAAATCTTAAGATGTAAAGTCTTGACATTTTGGTCAAAGACTTCAATTCATATTTTTAGGGATTGCTCAATAAGTTTTTGATAACTTCTAAGTTAATTAGCATCATTGGATGCGCCTCAAAAAGTACTCTTAAAAAGCATTAGGGGACATGTAGTGATTTTGTCAACTTTCCTAGTCGAATCTTACAAAATAGATGAAACAGATCGATTTTAAACAAAAACTGTCCAATTTGAAGCAGATATAGAAACCGGAGATTTAACCAGCTTTGGCCTGTGGTTGGTAATAACCGTAAAGCGTTCGTTACTATGAGATGCTTGTTGTGAAGTTGACAAGATATTTGAGAATTGAAAAGCACCGTACATTGCTCTTTTCAATGCATTTTGTTTTGGTGCACATTTTTATATCTGTTATATAGAGTAATCGTTGCAAATTGGGAATGCAATTGTGAAGCCTTATGTGATATGTAGAATTGCCACTCTATTCAAAATTGCGTTCAATTCATCAAATGTTTAATTAGTTAGAAACAGCAATTAACTACTTCTTCTGTAACTATACATCAATGAGGTTGATCTTTAACATTCTGTATTCAAGGTAACACGTTCAATCTTATCCTGTTGATGTAGCATGCCAATATAGCCACCGCTAAGAACTTTGTCTAACATGCTCATTGAACGTATTCAATAGCTTGATAGTTATCTCAAGAGCACTGTGCAAGGAGAAACGGGCATTCTATACAGGATTTTTTGATGAGAGCAAATGTTAGTTTTTTTTTTTTCTTTTGTGGTGTCTCCGACGATAATGATGATAATGAAGTAGCTTTTCAACCTCGCAATAAAGATAGCCATTAAGTCCAGCTATGGTTTAACACATATCGCAATGCTCAACAGAGGACGCCACATGCTTGTGTATTGTACATGGATCAGACATAGCTATACCCTCCGTTTCCCTTCATTAGTACATCAAACAAAAGCCTACTAAATGCAATTTTTATGCTCTCACAGGCCAGTTCTTGCTATTACCTTACATAAATGTCCATATTTGGGTGCTTCCGTCAAGTGTGGCAAGGTTGTCTTATTTGACCACACTCCCCGCTTGCTTTTGTTGAAAACAAAACTGTATATGAATATTGATGCATGATTGCGCACACCGGATAGCATATTGTGGAACTAATTCTATGAATTATCATTACATGGTTTAATTCAATTTGCACTTTGATGTGAGGGAAAATGCAGGGCCCTGTACTAATCTAGTAAAGATTAAGAAGCCATTAATCAGCTTTAATCGCACCTTGGTAATGGACTTGCAATATACTACAGCCTCGACACATTATTTGTAACTCATAGGCCAATGAGCCGAGTGTTGATCACTAATTGGTATCACTGAATAGCGGGGGATCTTTTTACCTTCCATCAAACTTATATACATTGCTGAAGTTTCTGCAAGGCGCAAAGAGTATTACAAACAACAACAAAAACCGAATTCATCCTCTTTTACTAATGAAACAAGAGAAATCAATTCACAATAAAATTTATTCATAATTATTATCATGTAGTAATCAAGTAGAACCCGTAAATAAATAGTAAATAAATAAATAGTATTTACAACACGTTCTTATCATTGACAGGTGTAAAAGAACTGTTCCAGACAAGTGATGGCACTTTGTTTTTATTCCTCAGGAGGGGTGATGGGAGGAGTAACCAACTGAGGTTGCTGAGCGGATGAAGGAAGGGCTGATTTCAATGCATCTTGTGGTGGTTGCTGCGAGTTCAATAACGACTGCATGCTTTCAACGACTTGATGGTCCTGTTCCGTCAGGGGAGGCGAGATGAGTTGTTGTTGCTGCTGTTGCTGGGCAGCAAACGCGCTGATGTCGTTGATATTAGAGGATGAAGAAAGAGGGTTGATGGTGATAGTGTATTCACGGGTATTGCTATGAGTGTTGGAGGCATCGGGAGCAACGTCTCCTTCCATGCTGGCAGATGACGCTAAGCTCTGAGCTAGTAATTCATCATTCACATTCAAGAGTGTTTGCAAATAATCGTGCGATGGTCCAGCATTTGTTTGCATCATGTGAAATAATGGCAGACTTTGTTTCTTGAGTATCGAGGATGAAGAAGGGTGTGTTGCAGAATAGGAAGAAGCAGATGATGACGGTTCGTGAGCTAGGTCGTCTTGTTGATCGCTGGAGGATGCATTTGACATGATGTCTCCCAGCCAACCAATTCCAGCGCCACTGTATCAAACACAAACATTTGAGTAACTATGTGTAGGTATATAGTTAGATTGAAGCGTACCTTTCCTCCCATTCTGCACCCATTCTTTTCATGACAAGCTCAAGACTTTCTCTTTGTTTTTCCAGTGCTTGTAAGCTCTCGTCATACTTTGATAAAGCATCATCCATTGCTGCTGTAAGCTTTGATTTTAGTGTTGATGTGAAAGTCCTTAATTTTGATTAGATACTTGAATAAGAGACAATGACGAAACAAAATGAGGAAGTTTGATTTTAATAGTGTTGCGAAAACAAAAGAAATTCTATTTTTCTTGTAGCGCTATTCGTTTGGCTTATTTGCTATATAGAAACTGACGATAATGAATAGATCTTCCAAATGTGAGATGTAAAAAGAAGAGTGAAAAGGATTGATGGAAAGAAAAACTTTTCATTTTATTTATATCAAACGGCAATTTGAGCAAGATTTCGATTTGGTTTCTAAATCAAGCATTTCTCTGCTACACCAGCTTGATGAATCAAACCAATAGAGGGTCGAAACAGTTCAAATTCTTCTAAAAAGCATTCTATCATCTTCGACAAACCTTCCAATTACAAGAGTTCCCAAGTTCTAGACCTCTGCACACCCTTAGACACTGCTTGTTTTAGGATTCGTCTACCCAATTCTTGGTCTGATTAAACTTTTCCTCTGCTTTTTACCATAAATATATCGCGATACATGGCTTTTCAACATTTGATTCGTTCAAATATTCTTGTATGTTTATATATAAAAGGCTTTATTTGATATAAATGAGAGTAACAAGATGCTTTAAAGAGTAATAGAATAGTAAAGAATAATAATGCCTTAATCAGTAGGTGCACTAAGAATGGTCTTGAGGAAATCACATCGACGTTCAAGCATGCCCAAGAAGCCATGCATTTGATCACGATCCATCTGAAGCAACAGGGATACAAAACGAGTGTCTTCAGCTTCGAGGCCAGCCAATGGAGTAGCAGAAGGTGACAAAGCAGGTGTGCAAGGCGTTGTTTCTGTAGTAGTAGCAGCAGCGGTAGAAGCAGTGGCTTCCACAGCAGGTGACACAGGGCTTATCATGATAATATCTTGATCCACTTGCTCTTGCTGTTGTTGCTGTTCTTCCTCTTCAGATTCTTCTTCCTCGGCATTCCAATCACGACGACGTCTTTGAATGGTAGTCTTGCGCATTTCAGCGGGACGATCACGATGATGAAGCTTGGCATATAGACCACACGCGTTGCAGACAGGCTCGCCACGTTCATTCTTGCGCCAGAGAGGTGTTTGTGTTTGATGACAATTAGCACATTCTTGTCCAGATTCCAACACAGTAGGCTCAGAGGCTTGTTCAGTAGGTGGTGAGGGAGGCAAGATGGTGGCATTGGAGACAGCAGGACTTGAGGTAGCAGTGCTACTTACAGACTCGGCCTTGGTGTTGTTGATTGTCATGGGCAGCACACGTTCACAAGCATAAGGATGAGCACGGATGGTATGCGTCTTGTTTCTGACGTGAAGAGGACGATGACAGTTATATTGCTTGTAATATAAACCACATGCATTGCAGAGAGAATGCTGTCTATCAGGGGTTCTACGCCAAAGAGGAGTCTTAGTGACCTTGCAGTTGAAGCATTCCAACTTGCGTGCAGGACGTGTTGACTTTTGAGTGGTAATCTTGATGGACATGGTAGATTGACCTTGGAGATGATTCTTCTTGGATGGACGGGACTTCAAGCATTGTTGTTGTTCCTGTTGTTCCTGTTGTTCCTTGGGACTAGCATCATCAGAAGCAGCAATGTGTTGTTGTTGGTCCAACTGAACAAAGTTATCAAATTGGCACATGTCCATGGCAGGCATTGTGGTAGGAGAATTTAAGAGATCATCCAGGAAACCATCTTGAAGCAAAGCAGTTGGAGGGCTGTCCAATGTCTCAGAAGCAGATGAGCCAGGAGATGAAATAGGAGAGTTGTACACTGAAGTAAGCAATTGGTCCAAAGAAGGGTCCTTGAATAAATCAGTGAAAAGAGCAGTGTCTTCAGAAAAAGGCTGAATCTGCTGTTGTTGTTGATGAGAATGCAACTGCTGGAAAAGCAGAGGATCCTGAAGCGCTTGTTGGGATTGTTGATAATTGTTGTAATTCATAGTTGATAATGTATTGTTGCTTGAAGCACTAGACATTGGTGAGTTGTTTGTTGTTGTACTGGGTTGTGTAATAGTTGATAATTGATTCTGATATTCTTGTTTCTGTTTCAATCTACGTCGTTTCCTACGTGCTTTCCATTGAACATGTAATAATAGGCCATTTTGACTTTGATTTAACTTTTTTTTTTACTTTTTTTTTTATAAAGTATTTAAAGGGTCGAGAAGTGGGAGATTAAAAGGTGGTAGCGTACATTTCTTACTGTCAAATGTACACTTGTGGGGATAAAAAATAGGTAGTTTTTTAAAAGGGTTTCAGGAGTTTATATAAAAAAGAATAAGAGAAGAGAACTGATGGTAAAAACACAAAGAAGATGTTTGTGTTTTGCTTGCAAAAGAAGTGTAGTGTGGGGGGGGGGGGGGGTTTCCTTGATAAAAAAAAAGGTTATAAAGGAGAAAAAAAAGAAGAGAAATACATGTAAACGGGGAACCACCCTTTTATGTCTTTTTCTGCAATGACTCATGATGGGACTGACTGGTGGTGGCGGAGAAACGACGACATGGCCATTTGAACTTTATGACAAATGATCCATGTTTGTCTATATATGCCAGCATATCAAAAGTCAGGGTATCTTAATGAGATTACATTGCTTGCCAGCTTGACCTTGATCTGGCTATTGAAACTTTCAGTTTACTCAAATTTTCTCAATATTCATGGTGTGTTTCAAACGCACTAGGGTAAGATGTGCCAGGATGGTATGTTTGATTTGTTTCACATGTGGACTAATACAGCCAACCTTTCCATTTGAAGATAGCCAAAAATCATCTCATTGGGTATACGTTAATTATCGCTCCAATCAAACAAGCCATTCCTTTGCAACCATATAATAGATCTCCATTTCTTCGGACTAGATTTTGATAATCTATTTTTTTTTGTTATCAATGTGTAACGGGTATATTATTTTGACTAAGTGAAAATAGAAATGGAGCTATAATTTGTAGTAAAGAAGAAGAAGAGGGGAAAGAAAATGAGAATCCCAAAAAAATTGGGCCGTTTTTATATATGCTCAATTAGAGTTATACAAGGGAAGATGATGATAATCTACAATCAAGATGGATTGTTCAAAAAAAGTAAAATTAATACTGATGTAAACCATGTCTTTTTAAGAAAATCATCCTGATTCTGCCTGTACTTGGGCATTTACTGATGCTACCAAATCGACGCCATGACAAACGCAAGAGAGCAAAAACCCAGTTTCAGGTTGACTGACGCTGCAAAAGTATCAAAACTTGGAGAGTTAGAGGTCAGTTACAAAACTGATGTCGTTTATACACTACGAGTTAAATGCCGCTGGACAATCTTGCTTGCATCGCATCAGGAATTTAGAGCAAAAGCCTTGCTGGAATGCTGGGGTTTTCATGATCTCGTGTCGAGGATAAATGAATTCCATTTGCTGGCAGTTTTCTAATGCTTCTTCCATTAAGCTATCTTGTTCATCATCAGGACTAGCAGCTACCTTGAATTGCACTGGAGACAGCATGCTATCATTCGTCTCCACCTACAGCTTCTTCTTTTTCCCAACTAGTACTGGTTGCTGCTCAACTTTTGAGAGCAGCTTCTCGTAGATCATCGCGCTCACATCTTTTTTATTGCAACGACACATTGCCTCTCTTGCTGAGCAGTTGGCGGAAAATGCTTCTATTGTTTCATCCTGACTATGTTTGAAAATATGTAGATAATTATCGATAATTGTATAGTGACGCTCGTAAAACTAGGTACCATAGCTGAACACAGCTCTCAATGAATTCTGAACAATGTTCAGAGAGCTTCTCTTTAGCCTACAGTCAATGATGATCAATCTTTCTGGCGGCTATGCCAATACCACAAACCTACATCTTCTTCAATGTTCTTTTTCGAACCTTCTCTGGTCTCTGATGTATGCACAAGACTCACAACTGAAAGCAAGATGATACACCAGTGTAAACGCATTTGAACAAAACAAATGGAATAAAGAATCAGTATTTACCTGTACAATGTAGCAGCATTTCTTATATTACAGAATGTGTTTATATTAATATTAGATGATATTGAAATCTACAAGAACATAATAATGCATCTAATCCAACACTTGGTAACATTGATCTATATGAGGGCTTGATCGCAGCGAAGCGAAGGTGCAAAACCATAGTATTCAAGCAGCAAATTCGGGTTATCATTTCCATTGTAAATAAGCTTACCAGCAACATATCGCATCAAAATTTGCATGAATCAGCTCTACCGAAATCAGTATGCCTTCTGTTCGAATTAGAAGTTGCATAGGCTGCAGGACTGTCCTTCCAGAAGATTATAGCTACTAAAGACGTGATTCATGCCGTGTAAATAAACTCTATAAAGCAATACATAACCAAATCTGACAGTTTTCAAGCCTTCGTATCTTGATATGTAGACCTTTCTGAGCCACCGGAATGACGCCAAACAATTGTACATGAATAGTAGTAACTTCCTGATACCTTTGCTCAACGTTTTGGGTTAAAAAAAAATATGGCCAAAAATCGACTAAAAAGCATGAGGGGTACCTCATGGTTTTCATCGAAAATCAAACGATCGCATTTTTCACCTTGAAAATGAAGACTTTTACTATGGTATATATCATATCAAAATGTTTCTCTCGATCCAAGGCAGCCTCTGAAACCACTTTTATGAGGCTTTCATATGCAAAATCTGACTATTTTCGCTAAAAACCTTATTTCAATTTTTATTAAATTGCTCAATAATTTCAGTCAAAACACCTATTACAATCAGCACCATTGGAAGCGCCTTGAAAAGTACTTCAAGAATGTATTAGGAAGCGTAGGATGATCATTATAGTTTATATAGTCGAATATCATGAAAAGAATTTTTTTTTTTTTTTTTAAATTGTGTTTATTGATTGAGCCGCGTACACTAAGAGTAATAGGTCAGAGTGAAGAGGCGGGTGCAATTGAGAAATGAAAAAAATATAAATATAAATGGAAACTAAACTAAACTAACAAAAGGAACTATCTAACTATCTAAATTACAAGAGGGAATGGATTTGATCTTCATCCACTGTCTGTCGGACAGTGGAGTGGATATGTACCAGAATCGCCTCAGGGACAAAGATAGTGCCGTCAAAAACAAAGCGCATATGGGCTAGCCATATTTGAGACAGGGTGATGAGTAGGATTCTGTATGGATGGATGCCTTTGACTTGGGAGTACCAGATATCTGAAAAGTCCAGGGACAGAAGAGCCTCTTTGATGTCAGTGATGGACGTGGTGGGCCATAGGAACTCAAAAATGACGCCTTGCCATACCTTTTCTTTGGATGGACAGTCAAAGAGCAGGTGGCTGGCAGTTTCATTGGGAGACAAGCAGACAGGACAATTGTGGGACTCGAAAAATGCAGGCATCATGTAGTGTAATCTGCTTCTAGAAGGGATACAGCCTGCGATGAATCGGTATATCACATTACGTTGAATGTAGGTAAGAGACAGGGACCAAAAGAATTTCCAATTAGCAGCAGAGACATTTTGCAAGACCAAGGGCTGTTCCACCGACGACAGTACAGACAGACGAAATGTTTTGGCGGAAGCCTGAGCGTTTCTAAGAGATTGGCCATCGTGCAGACAAAATTGATCCACCAGCGGCGCAAAAGAGACTCCAGGATCTACTACAGGGGCTGGATTACACACTGGGAGGAAGTAGGGCTGGAATTTAAGAGTGCCAGATGCGAGGCCTCTGAACACTGTTGAAGGAGCTCTCTTCCACCTGAGGAGGGAAGGGTCACGAGTGTCTCTCCAATGTACAAAGTTAAGCCGGGCATCGTACTGAAATACATCAGAAACCATCATCTCTTTGACTTTAAGAGGAACAACCAGTGAGGAGGATGGAGGAACATAGAAAGCCGCCTGTAATGGAAGAGCCATGGCAGTTGCAGAATTGATCGGTGCCGCATCAAACAACTTAGGAAGATAGTCAACTGTACGATATAACATATCGACAGTTCCCGTGCGTTGCTTTTTCAACCCCTTAGTACGACGAGCAGAGGGAAATAGCAGCGGGATTTGATGGTGGGGGTAACCATTAACATTGCGAATGTGGTAGCTTAAGAGGTACGACACAGGATGGGAATCTATGACATCTTGATCTTGAACCAGTATTGGGTGGAGCCAACGAAAATACAAAGCTGAAGCTTGTATTTGGATGTCTACAACACCGAGACCACCTTTGTCCTTTGGTAGAGTCCACACCTTCCAAGGGATGACGGGGAAGATGTTTCTTCTCAAGAACTGAATAGCCAGAGAACGCAGCTGCTTGAAGTCAGCTTGAGTCAAAGGCGTAACACGCAGGATGTACCATAGCTTGGAGAGCAAAAGAGAGTTCAGCACTGTAGCCTTTCCAACGACCGACAGGGAGCGACCAGAATGAATCTGGATGGCAGTTTTGATCTTTGTTACCAAAGCACCCATAAAGTGAACTCGCTGAATCCTACTTTGGACGAGAGGAAATCCCAGATAGGTCAACGGTTCATCGTCCTCAACAGAATGGAGATGTGTGATACCCATTTGTGATAATGGACCATCCCACATATCCCATGTATCCCGACCAGACACTGAAAAGGCTTCCACCTTGGCATTATTGAATTTGGCGTTGGAGGCAGCACAGTAACGAGCCATATGGAGCTGTAACCGAGTCAAATCATTGGAGTCATGGATAAACACCAAAGCGTCATCAGCATAGCACAGGAGTTTTGTTCGTGCAGTACCCATCAAGTAGCCTTGAAATTGGCGATCATGCAGGATTGCAAGCAGAAAAGGTTCAAATGCCAAGTTGTACAGTACAGGAGAGAGAGGATCCCCCTGCTTCAAGCCTCGAAGTTTCGCCACTTCAGTTGACAGATGGCCATTGATGTTGATACGTATGAGGTTGTCACCCATCAACTTGGAGATACACTTGATAATAGGGCGAGGAAACCCAAATTTCCCCAATACCTTCCTCAAATATTCCAAGTTCACCCGATCGTATGCCTTTTCTTGATCCAGAAGAAGACCGATGTCATAATCCAAAGTGTTAAAGGAAGGATCATTTTCCTGTTGTTCAGCGATGGACCATTTCCGTTGAGCATCTTCCATTAGGAGCTGGCAGATCATTCCATTTTCAGCAATGAATCGACCAGGAATAAACCCAAGCTGATGTCGGCTGATCAAGTTGGAAGAGACTTCCATGATTCGACGGTTGATATTGCGAGTGAAGAGCTTGTAGTCTGAATTAGCCAGAGACAGAGGACGGTAGTTCTTCATTTCAGCTGGATCGCCTTTCTTGTAAAGCAGACACATGACGGATTCGTTCCAAGATGGCGGGAACTTACCCTTCTTTAAAGCTTCATTGTAGACTAATTGGATGAGATCATGGAACGGTGGAAATTTCATTACCAAGTACAGGATTTCATAAGGTAATCCATCAGGTCCAGGACTACTCAAACGACGAGTCTGCTTGCTATCGGTCAAGAGTTCCTCCACATCAATCGGCATCATCAATGATTCCTGCTGCTCGCTGTTGAGCTTCAAATGACCTGGGATGTTGCGAATTATAACACTGAGGGAGGTTGAATCCAGAGCCTCCGGTGTGAACAGTGAGGTGTAAAAGTTGGTAGCAATGTTGGAGATGCTAGGTTGATCTTGACATAGATCGCCAGTTGTAGGGTTCCTGAGTTCCACAATTGAACGACGATTTTCTCGAGACACCACAGAGCGCTTCAGGAAGCCTGGAGATTTCTCACCATGTTCCCGCCAAAATTTTCCTGCCTTCAAGATCTCTATTTCTGCAAGAGAGTGCTGGAGAGATTGAATCTGTTGATTAACCGTGTCCAAGCCTTGAAACACCAAGCCTCTTGTCTTCTTATGCCGCATCATCTTGTTTCTCTTTGATAGCAGTCGGTGTAGCTGTTGTTTCCGCCAGTTCAAATCCTCCATTTGATACTGTTTGATAAACATCTTTACTTCGGCTTTGATCCAATCCCATTGTTGTTGGGGAGTGGAGAAACGCTTGATTTCTGCCAGACGCGCCTCACTATCAATGAGGAATTCTGCCAATGCCTTCCTAAATGTTTTGTTGCAAGCCAAGAACGGATTTGCCTTCCAGTTACCAGGGCCACGGCCATTCGCATCTTGATATCGAAAAGAGAATCCCAAGAGTTCATGGTCGGTCCAGGCAGGAGACAGATACTGCTGGTTGGTGCTAGTGACTAGATGATGGGCGTTTGAACTACAAAAGATGTAATCCAGAATCCCTGAATTGCTTCCACTATGCCATGTGTTGTGTTTGTCTTCCCCAAAAACGTCAATAAAGTAATCATCGAGTAGATCGGTCCATTCTACTGGTGCACTGGTGAGGGTGCCATCGACTCGACGATCCTTGTACTGGTAGTTGAAGTCTCCCATGATAAAGACGGTGTTTGTTGTAGTAGTAATAGTTTCTTTGACAATTTGTGTGCCAATGAGTTCTGAATAGAACGCTGATCGGTCGGTGTGAGCGGACGCACGACCGTAAATATTAAGTATTGTTGCTATTGGTGGTGAATTGGGTGAATTTTCCAGGTCTCGAGTAAGATGAAGGGAAGCCAAGATAAATCGACCCCCATCAATGCCTTCTGAGATGTGTTTGAGTGAGTAATGAGTGTTGAGGGAAATGATGCCGCAATGTTGAGTCCAAAGACTCGACTTGCAAGTAAATTGAGTGTTGAGTATGTCTATAAATGTGTTGTCTGTTGCATGTGTTTCTTGAAGCACTAAGATGTCATATCCTAATGTTCGAAGATATCTAATAAATTGTTGTCTTTTTTTGGTGTTATCTGTTTTTTTTAGGCCACGGCAATTGAGGGTGGCTATTTTCACTGTATTTTGCTGATTAATCATATTAATGTTGGGGAGGTGAAGGAGGGCCTGTCAAGCCGAGTTGATGTCCAGTCTCTACTTCATTAGATGCAGCTTGTTGTTTGGCAGAACTAACATCATCCGCGCCATTAAATTTACCGATCTTCTTCGCAGGGCGTTCAGGGCGCTCCTCTCGTTCATTAGCAGAATGGGTAGAAGAGTCGTACATGATAATATCATTGGAAGCCCCTTTCCCATCGACTTCTTTAACTTGGAGTTTTGGAAGATCATCCATTTGAACATCTCTATCAACTACCTGCTTTCTAGCACCTGTTTGACTATCAGCGTCACCTTGAGTGCTACCTTGCTGGGTAGCAGTAGTTCGATTATCGGAATCACCTTGGGAACCACCAGATGCAACATCCTGGCCTTTTCCTTGGGCATTACCTTTGTTTCCAACTGGAGCACCACCAGGAGTTACTTTGGAGCCACCCTGAGTACCCTTTTTACCCTCTTTGGCCACCTGAGAGCCCTTTCGGGGTTTGGCAGGAGTGTTTTCCACCGCACGGACCTTGTTTGGGCTGTCATTGCGACTGCAGTTCTTCACCACATGTCCAGTTTCATTGCAATGATGGCAGCGGACCCACTTCTTGTAGTCAGGACAATCAGCCCGACAGTGTTCAGAGCTCTGACAATTACGACAGAAAGCCGGCATTTGATCCCATTGGAGTAAAACTTTTCTTTGATCCGAAGCTGTCAAATCCCAGACAATGACACGACTGAGTTTCTCCAAATGGCGATGACCAGGGCAAGATTTCCCAACGGGATGTAACTCTTGACATTCATAACCAGGGCTGGAAGGAACCGTTAGATTAAGTGTAGCATAACCTTCTCCTTGATAGATCCCATCAGTTCTCGAGATGCCGTGATCCAAGACATCCCCGAACGCAGAAAGTCGGGCAGCCATTTCCTCCTTCAACTGAAGGGCCGGCAAGAAAGGAAGATTCTCCAGGGTCAGTTTCACAATCGTAGCATCAGCATGGTACGAGGCAAACCCTTTCACAAAGGTGCCATCCTCTAGAGTGATACCTTCTTCAATGAGAGTCTTACGACCTTCGCTGTTGGGCAGCCACATGGTTTCCAAGAAGGCATGGTTGAGGTAGTGTCGAGGTTGTTTCCGGTATCCAAGAAATTCTTCATACATGTCTTCAGCATTAGAGGCTTCGTTGAATTGAAGAAGAGCCTTGTTCAAGAGATTGCGATCCTTGATAGGTGTCAGATCGATGAAGACGGAATCCTGTTCCACGCCTTTGAGGAATGGACGGATAACCGCCTGAGGAGGTGGCGAAGTATCCCCATTGATGGCCTGTTGCGAGGCCTCTGCTTCCGTTACAGGTCGTTTGACGATAGTGGGATTGAAAGAGACGATGGATTGTTGTTGTCTGTTGTTCCCTTTGCGGCGTGAGTTAACCACATGAGTCCACAACAGTGGAGCCGCAGTGTCAGCTTGCGAGGAACGTTGATGTACTTGACTAGTGTCTGACATGCGAAAAGGGATGACAAAGTAAAATGATGAAAAGAATTAAAGAAGTCGAAAAATAACAAAATCTGTCCAATCTTGAAAAGAAAAAATAAACTGAGTTTCAATTAATTTTAGCGGAGGGCGCTGCTGCTGGCTGGCCCATACGCCTTTTTGATGATGACAATGATGATGGCAATGATGATTGCAATGCTGATCAAATGGGGGTTATGGAATTCAAAGGATAATTACTTACCTCAAATACTTTTTTTGGGAGCTTTTCCTCTTGAAGGTATCTTTTGCAATGACAATATCTCAAAAAAAAGTCGCTGTAGGTCTTACACAAGTCCCGTATTCACTTATGACCAGCTTTATGTCGCCATCTTATTAAGAGCACCAGCAGCAGTGAATGGTACGACAATTCTACTATCAGAAAATTGAAATAGTGGTTTACAAATGCTGCATAAAACTTGAAGTTTCTTTCACAGCGTCTCAAATAATAAGCTTCGTTTGATATCAGTGTATAACCAAAAAGGGTGCTGAGGGATATATCACCTCTTCTCCTCCTCCAGGCTCTGATATAGCCTTTCTTTTACTAACTAATAATAATAAATTATTTAAAATCTACTTGATATACCAAATATTTATTGTATCTGATTTAAATATCTTTGGCGAGAGCCCGCAAGGCGACGCCGACATCGAGCGTAGCAAGATAGATCGGCTAGTTACATGATATTGAAATCTACCCATTCGTTATTCTGATTTATCGTCATCATCATCATCTGCATCTCTTGTCTCTAGCCCTTCGATGAATCCGTCATCTTCCACATCGCTCGATTTCTCTGCGTCTAAACGCTTCTTTTTCTCGGCAAGTTTAGCCAGCATCTTTTTGGCTGTGTTAAACACGCCTTGTGTAGGTGCACCACAGGCGAAACATTTGGGTGATTTTTGATAGTTCTTGATGGCGCATGTCTCACAGAAATAGTGGCCGCATCGGGTCACCACAGGATTTTTAAATTCTTGACGACAGATCAAGCAGGCAAAAGGGAGCTCCTCATCATCTGAATCGTCAGAAATGGCATATTTGTTTGCATCTGCCGATTCTCCAAATCGTGTGTTGTTTTTCGATGCTTCTTCCCATTCCTTCTCTAACTGCCAACCCGTCTTGTAGTCTCCACGATCATGCAAAAAGATACAAGTATCACCATAGCCACAAAAGCCAGTTTCTAACAAAGCCAAATGAGTCTATCATCCACTTGCCCATCATGCCAATGCAAACACTCACCTTTATAGTCTTTGCAAATATCAGGCTGATAATCGAATCGTTGAGTCACTCTCAAATTAGCAGGTGCACGTTGAGGTCCAACCGACATTTTGGCATTTAACACATCCTTCTTTTTGGCAGGTCCTCCCTTCTTACTATCCAACTCCTTCTTTTCCAACTCCCATTCTGTATCGTATCGGGTAGCAGCATCATCTTTTTTGGTGGTGGCTGAACGGTCTGCTGCGTATTGAACCCCAATACCACCTGCCTCATCATTATCGTCGTCATCGTCATCCAGATCACTTCCCTTCTTCACTCGTCTCTTACGAGTGCTTTGTACGAATGGATTTGCTCCAGTCTTGCGGCTTTTGGTTACTACTTCAGATACAACGGCTCCACCCTGATCATCATCATCGTCTGAATCATTGCCATCATCGTCAGAATCTGCCTTCACAGGAGCCTTGCGTTTGCGAATGTTCTTTTTGGATGATCTCTTTTTGAAAAATGTAACATTCTCATCTTTGCTTGTTACTGGTATAATATCTTCTGATGTTGACATGTTTGCGTTTGTTTCTAGTATTATTATTATTGAGAAAGAAGAGAAAATGAAAAAGTTTTTGTACTGCGAGTTTGCTTTAATAGCATTGCTAACAACCGAAGGACCTAGTAAAATAATGCCTGTCACGAAGGCACTGCATTATTCATAAAGTTGACACAGATTCATGGAATTCTAGAGAATACAATGACAGCTTAGCAATGCGTATTCACTCTAGTAAATGCAAAATCTAGTGCTCTATACGATGATATAGATTTTACTTCAAAAATATAGTGCAAAATATAGTAATTTGGCATCCAGTGTCCAAGCAAAAGTCAAATTCTCTGGTACCAAATTTCCTCCATCTTATCTAACTTGTAAATGCCCATCTTTAGCATGAATTTGAGATCCATTCAGTTTTTCTTACGGTCACTCATGCTTTTTCGATGATTTTATTAAGTAGTTGTGGCAGGAGAGCTTTGTATGCATATGGCAGCGTAAAACTATCTAGTATCAGTAAAAATGTGCATCTCAAAGCATGAATTTTGTGCTTTTTCCGTTACAAAATGGCTAAACACCCGAGACAACGTGGGTCTAATGGCCACATCTCTTGATGATTACATGTGGGGTTCATCTCCCAGAGGTGGAAGAAGAACGAGGTTTTGAGGGAAATAGCTTCAAAAGATGGTAAATGGGCTCGCAAATGTAATATCTGCAGGTGTACTATAATCCGTAGCGCCTGTTGATGAGAGAGCCAATAAGCTTCGCAGTACTGTGATGATCTACATACTTTAATGAGGTTTTTCTGGGAAAAGACGGTAATCTTGCTTGCTTGAAAGCCTCAATTAGCTACTAGGCTGTGCCATGTATTGTAATGACATGATGAAAGATAATCCAACAAATCTACATCATAACAGCATTATTAATCAGTATAGGCTATTGCATCAAATGAATAATCCAATGGCGTTCGTTTTCAAATGGCGTCATTTTGCTCGCTTTTGTGTAGTTGATGCGATCATGAAGTTTTTTAAACTTGAATTTACCTTGTTCTTTCTCTTTTTCCTTTCTTTTCTGTGCGTTTCATTCTTTTACAGATATATCCTATACTTGACATGCGTTCTACATTAGCACTGGTTCGAGCATCATACTCGCATTCTATCAAGACAGCGTCAATTCGCCCCATGTTGAGCTTGAGTCAACGAGGTAAGCATAACCGAGTAAAATGGTGGGTACAAATGGAAGGACGCATACTGAACAGATTGCCGCTCATCCTACAGGCATTCACAACCAAACCAAAGTCGAAAGTGCATCATGCTCTATCAGCAATTCAGCCACTTCCTCCAATCCACCTTTATCCTTCCCCTGTATCGACAAATTAAACTCACGTACAATGGAACTTGACAGCGGACCTGAACCCAGTTATGACAATATCGTTACTGGATACGAGAAGTTTGAGTATCCTCATCCATTTCTGCTTGATCACGGAGGTATTTTACCCAAGTTTGATATTGCGTACGAGACGTGGGGCACATTGAACGAGAAGAAGGACAATGCCATTTTGATCCACACTGGCCTCTCTGCTTCATCTCACGCCAAATCACATGCAAAAAATACAAAGCCTGGATGGTGGGAAGACTTTATCGGTCCTGGTGCCAATATCGATACCAACAAATTCTTTGTTATTTGTACAAACGCTATCGGTGGTTGTTATGGTTCCACTGGGCCTAGCTCCATTGATCCCGCTGATGGAGACCGCTATGCAACCAGATTTCCCATTGTCACTATTTTCGACATGATCAGAGCTCAATTCAAGCTGTTGGATCATCTTGGCATTGAGAAATTGCATGCAAGTGTGGGCAGTAGTATGGGTGGTATGCAGGTAGAGTAATTGTTCAAGTGGAGCAACAATACGGTATATGACTAACGTTTTGGCTGGTACATTTAGTCTATTGCTGCTGCAAAATTGTTTCCAGAGCGTGTGAAAAGACTCATTTCGATTTCAGCTTGTGCAAGATCACATCCTTACTCCATTGCTCTTCGCCACACACAGCGTCAAGTCTTGATGGCTGATCCTAATTGGAACAAGGGCTTTTACTACAAGAGTATTCCTCCTCACGTAGGCATGAAACTTGCTCGAGAGATCGCCACCATCAGTTATCGTTCTGGACCTGAATGGGAGCTTCGATTTGGTCGTAAGAGAGCTAATGAGAACCAGTCTCCCGCTCTGTGCCCTGATTTCTTGATCGAGACTTACTTGGATCACCAAGGCGAGCGATTCTGTTTGCAATACGACCCCAATTCACTCTTGTACATTTCAAAGGCTATGGATATGTTTGATATGTCTCGTTCAGAAATGGAGAAGCTGCAAAACCAGAGGGAACACAATTTACCTAAAGTAGAAGAGATCTTGAAGCGTCGTCAGCAACTCGAGCGCCCTGAGGAGGAGGATGCCCGTATTATGGCAGAGGCTTGTAGATCTGTGATGGGAACGCAATCGGCATTGGAGGGCAAGCAGGAAAAGGAGGAACAAGTGCCAAAGAAGTCAGCTGGAAAGAAGAGATTGACCACACTCTCCTCTGATCCTGCAACGCAGGATTTAGTGGAAGGCATGAAGGGCATCACTATGCCTACCTTGGTGTTGGGCGTTCAATCTGACATCTTGTTCCCTGTGTGGCAGCAAAAGGAGATTGCTGAATGCCTTCGTGCTTCTGGAAACAACCGAGTTACCTATTACGAACTGGATGCCATGTTTGGCCATGATACATTTTTGATTGATCGAGTGAGCGTTGGTGGTGCTATCAAGGGCCATCTCGAGTTATTGGACGAAGACACTGCCTAAAATCACTTGTAGTTTTACTATTTATGTACTTATATTCCCCTTATTTATCATCACTTAGAATAAAAGCAAATTAACAAGCAACTCTGTGGCACGAAAAATCCTAATATACAGGTCATTGTTCTCTGTATGTAGCTACTACTAAATGTCTGATGTTACTTTTTTATATATGGGATTTCAACTTGCTCGTGTGCATTTCCTCCTGTACAATTGCTGAGCACATTTGCCCAAAACGATAGCAGCCGTATGCCCTTTTAATGTATCATTTATACATCACAGAATGCCATACTATATTCCATGAAAAATCACATTACCACGTCGAAAGAATTCAGAGAAGAACGAGTAATTCCATCGTTTGCACAATGCAGAAGACGTGGCTATATCAACATGCCTGAATACATGAAAATAAATACAAAGTACCCGCAATTCAACAGTATTGTAATTGAATACCGTCCATGTTACATCTTCAGCCTTATTTTTAGCTACAAAATGCCTCGTTTTTTGGAGAGCTGAATACAAACGGGACATTGCTGCATGAAGCAAGTGACTCTAACACGGTAATTGTGTTCCCTGCTGTGTTCTTGATGGTTACATGTTTATCAGTCGATAATCCCGCTCGATTTGTATAAATTGCTATCCAACGTATATTATCTCTCTTTCTCTCTCTCTCTTACAGTCCAGTAAATCTTCACACACGGCTTAATAATTAGCAGGAAGAGATTAGATTATCAAGAAAGCATGATTGAATCCATTTTAAGTGGCCGCAGAAGAAGTGGCCATCAATCAACAGCATCAATAGCCTCTGTATCTATTGAAATACTTCCCGAGTTTGGATGGTCGATGGGGAATGAAAGGCTATTTGGCCCGGGTACCTTGTTCCAAGGTACAGCATGTATATTGCCTGTGCTGCTTTAGCAAATGTTCATTTTGTGTGCGCATGATATAGGCCATGTTGTAGTGAGGTGTAAAGAGCATTCAGCTAGAGCAACCCGACTTCGGATGCACTTTCAAGGCGTGGAAGCCATGTTGACATATGATGTTGGGCCAGGCATCATTCGAACAAACAGTAATCAGTTATTTGGCGTTCGTCATACCTTGTGGAAAAAACTAGATGACGATGATGGCCTCCATGCCATGACAACCTACAAATTTCTATTTACAATTCAAATGCCATTTGTTCAATTCCCACCGTCCATGAACCACGAGTACTACAGATGCACCTACAAGCTATCAGCGTTCTTGGATCCGTCATTGGGATACGGCGAGGTGCCTGTCATGTCTCAGCAGTACATCAATTACATACCCTTAATAGAAACAAAACTGCTCAAAGCCCCATTGTATCTCGAAGACCAAAAGAGCAGACGAAAGCAAGTACCATCACTCAACATGCCATCGGTAACGGCTAAACTTCACTCTGTAGAATACTTGTCAGGTGATACAATACAAGCTACCATTTGCCCCAAATTCACAGAAAGGCATTCCTCTTGCAACATATACGATTACTATGTCACCATGAATTTGTACCAGGTTTCATCCTTCAATGCAGATTCTGTGCCAGTTCTCAGTCAATTAGTGGAAACCAAATCACACCATGTCCAAGTTCGACAGGAAAAGAACAATAGCAAAAGCAGCGAATTTCATGTAGACCTGAAACTCAAGGAAGATCTTCCACCTTCATTTGAATACAGCAAAATCATGACACTTGCCTACAGGCTAAAAGTCAAGGTCTACATAAAAAAACAAAAGACATCCTTTTCCTTAGGAGCAGCAAAGCAATGCAAGCCAGCGGAAGGCAGCAAAAAGTTAAAGGAAATGATAACTACGTTCCCATGGCCATCAACTGCCATGTCTACTTTTGAGTCTGATATTGTGGTGGGCACATTGGGTCGTGGTGTTCGTGTAGGAGAAGATCTACGAAATTATGCTAGTTTTCGTACAAGTGAAGTACCCATTCCCAAGTTTATGAAACATATTGAATATGAAGATGAGTTACCAAGATACGAATCTACAAGGTTACCTAGCTATACTTCAGAGATAGTCCATCAACAGCAGCATGGCACTATTACTACGACGGGCTCTATCATCTCGGGGACATCTCTGGATGGAATCAGAAGTAGCTTGTAGTTTTCGTACATGTCGTTGAAATAAAGCTATTTGCTGTTGCCATGGCAACCTCTTTGGAAAAAGCTAAATTTATGAATGCTAATAATCTTAGAGACGTATAAAGAAATAAGGCCCAAAATCAAGCAAAAACAGCAAGTTGCGATGCAAACTAGCCGTAAAATTGCAAAATTATGACCCTGCAATTGCACAGTAAGACTAGTAATAAATACTTTATTTCACAGATATGTAGTGATATGTATGTACAAATGATTACAATAATTTAACTGTTTATACGACGAGGCGTAACAAATTTAGCTTCTTTACTCTTTGCCTTGGTCATCTTGACTTCCACACGATTACCATCACCATCTACAGTGACTAAAAACTTGTTTCCGGTCTTGATGCCATGACCATAAGCGCCAGGACCAGGTGAAATACCTCGATGATAAGGCGTCGATCTAGACTCTCTTAGCGTAGGGCTATTGCCAGCCTGATTGCCATTGCTACCACCGCCACCACCGCGAATAGACACCGTACCATTAGCACCACGATTGACTTGAGGTGAATTTCTACCCACAGTTGTGTTCAAAAAGCCATCCAAAGTAACGCCAGAAGGTGTAGGGGGCAATGAAGCCCTAGATCCTTTATGAGACACGAAATGACCACCTTCTAACAAAGCATGATCGCTCAAGAATTGAGACAGCTCTACCCAACCGCCACCTACACGCACCATGACCATGCGACTTCTCAAGATACGACAATAAGCTAGTTTGGGATTCACATCACCAAACCAGTATTTACCTACTTCGCCAGGGACCATCTTGACAAGCACCTTGTACGGAGAATCATTGATGATATCACCCAGAGCCACATCAAGGTCGTTCTTGGGATCTGCTACATAGGTTTCTGGTGTCTTTGGTGCGGTTGTTACTTTTTGACGTTGCTGCAGTGCTGCATTTTGTCGTGCCGCTACTCGCCTGGCTGTAGGAGAGACATTGCCTCCAGCTGTGCGTCTGGCGTTGGCTCTAGCGGCTGTTGCAGATGGAGCGAATGGAACAGGTGTGGTTGTATTGTTTCGGCTTGCTGTGCGGTTGTAACCTGCCATGTAGCGAGGCGTGGATTGCATTGTCTTGGGGCTAGGTGGTTGCTTCAACACAGGTGTGGATGATTTTCTCACTAAACTTGCAGCTCTTCTGCCTCTCTCTTGCAGCATGCCCTCTCTTGCTTCCAGCATGTCAAATGTAGCAGCCAAAGGGCCAATGCGCTCCATGAGATCTGCCTTCTTGGCAGCTGCTTCCGCTTGAATTTGAGCCCACTTATCAGCTAATTGACCCAAACAGTCCACTACACGACGATCATCCATTAGGTTCTCTGCCACTTGATTTGCTTCATCCATGAGTTCATTGATCTTAGGTTCATAGTAGCGATAGCGCGTGTCCAAGTCAATCAGCAGTGCTTGCAAATCCGTGCGACTGTAGTTGCCATCTACGATACGCGCATTCTCTGGCGAGGCACGCGATACCACTTCTGTCAAGGCAAGCAGCAACACCTCTAGTTCCTCCATGACGGTCAAGAAACCTTCCATCTTTTCCGCCTCTGCAATGGCTCTACGCTTGGTTTTCATCAAATCCATCAATCCACGCACGGCAATGGTGATTTCAGTACGCTGTCCAGAAAAGATGTCTTCATGGTCACTTTGAATAGCGCTCAACATAGTGTCTAGCTCTTGAATCGACGGCTGCAAGTGGGCTTCCATATCCCGGTCCAGGATAGCGAGCTCAGCCTTGGCAGATGCTAAGCGATGTTCATTTGGGATAGATGTCAAGGGGCAGCTGAGCACTGTCTTGAGATCACGGTTTTCAATGCCTTCGTCCAGTTGCGTATTTCGACAGATACGAACAGCACTGACACGGTCTTTCATATCGCCCACTTGAGTAAGGATGGACTTGACCTTGCGAGCAACCTCTACGCCTCGCTTGGAGTTGTCAATCAAAGCACGCGCCTTCGCATGCTGCTTTTTGAGATCCTGCCACGCCTTCAAGATGGTTGCCTCTCTCTTGCTGACAGCTTCCTTGATGTCATTACGGTCCAAGCTGAGTTCACAGAGATCCACAGGCAAACCGTCCTTGTTGACAAAGATACGAGATTCCATGGCTTGAAATGCTTGAATTGTTGGCCGCATTTCAATCATCTTTTGCTCTAAATTGTCCAATTCCTCTCTCAGCTCTTGTTCATCATGCATACATACATCTGTAGGCAATTGATCAATCGCACCGGAGCAATGGCTGATCCAGGTAGTCAGATCATTGGCAGCTTTGGCGTGAATGTAGATCTTGCGCATAAACATGGTTTGCTTCTTCTCGAGTCCAATGGTATTTGATAGCTGGCTGAGATTGTCCTTGATACGCATCACTGGATCATTGACAGTCGCAGCATCATAGCCCTCTGCTTGCAAGGCTTTGGCTTGTGAGATCAGTGACTCCAGCCCTTGGACAAGTGCTTGACTCTTTCGCTCAGACTTCAATGTAGATGCTTGCGAATCTCTACACATGGTATCAATTGAGCCCATGGATGCACCAGCAAGCCCACTGTTGCCTACAGAAGACATGCGACGGCCGACCACCTCCTTTTGCTCTTGGACCTGGCTCAGCATCTTGTCTGATGCACTGAGAAAAGCACTGAATGCCATTGCCTTGTTGGCGTTTGATTTAAGCGCCTTCAAGTTATTAGCAGCAGTAGATACTTTGTTGGTGAGCACGCTGTGTCTATCACGAGCACAAGAGTAATTGGCAGTTTGAAGAGGATCCTCCTTGTTGTCGGCAGCACTGATACCTTGGTCCGTCTCCTGCAGTACAAAGAAAGCCTTGTCAATCTTGCTTTGGATCGCTGCTAAATCCGAATCCACCCAGCCCGTCTTGGCTAATTGAGTAATCTCTTCATTTAACCCCTTTAGGAGCTCGTTTTCCACCATACTGAGCCGTCTTTGACGATCGTACCATTGGCCTACAATGCCTGCAAATTGCTCCAGATCCTTGATTTCGTCTGCCAACTGCGCCCAGTCTTGTTCTAGGTTGCGTTGAAGGCTGCGAATGTCGTCCATGTTTTCCACCTTGGAGGGCTCCATGACCTTGAATCGAGCACACAGCTGAGAGAACTGGGCTTGCTGCTCTTGGTAGCTGACATTGATTTTGGATAGCGATTGATGCAGCATGTCAAATCGACGGTTGTCCTGTTCCTCTGACTGACCCGTCATGAATCCACACGTTTGCTTCAATCCAGGCATCGAATGGCGTATATCGCTGATGAAAGAGCGCAAAGAACGGGCGTGTTCAGAGTAGGTATTGCCATCTTCCAATTTTTTACGCAATGCTTCTAGATCCAGGCCGTGTTCTTCCAAAATTTGCTGCAAACGATCAAAACGCTCTTCCAGTTGCTGCGACACTTCGACCAAACCGTCTTTATCAATAGAAGACACACCGAGTTGCTTTGATGTCTCTAGCAGCAGCTGAATGCGCGTCAATAGATCCACCACTTCGTTCTCTTTGCCATTCTTGAGTTTGCTAAGAACACTGTCGCGATCCCGTTCCAAGCGCTGCAAATCTTCAGCAGTGAGCGCGACATCTTGTTGCACATTGATCTTGGCACGGCGCATCATCTTAACCCTCTCATCAGCCCAGTCGCATAAGCGAGCCGCATCGTCTAAGTGCTCTTTTGTCTTTCTGTGCAGCTGCAACACGTTACGAAACGCCAGCAAACGCTCATCCAGATGCTCACTGGTAGAGATGAGATCGTTGCGTTTTCTTGTAATGACCTGGCTGATTTCCTCATTGGCAGCAGCATTGGGACCTTTATCCATCTCAAGACCGGGTACTGGGTACGGTATCCGACCTGCTGTTGCTGTCACCAGCTGAACAATACGCTCATGCATGTTTTGAACACGTGCTGTCATTTCTCGGTCATTATCTCCCGGACGAGCCTTTGAGCCAGCATCAGACAGATCCAACTGAAGAGCAATAGCGTCTTCCATCACCATGTCAGTTTGGTACAAGAAATCCATGACATTGAGACGCTGCTCCACCACGTTTCTGGCAAACGCCATGCGCTTCATGAGGTCTTCAAAAAACTGCTCGCAAGCATTTTGTCTAGACTCCAGATGTGAGGGAAGCTCCACGCTAGACGTGTTGTCCAAGTCTTGGAAACTGTCGACCGTCTTGGTGAATTGGCCTTGATCAAATTCTGCCATCTTTCGCTCCAATGTCAACAGCTGCTGCACAATCTCTTCCTTTTGCTTTTCTTTGGCCATCAGTCGTTCGCGCTTCAAACTGGGTACAGCATGTGCCGGCACTTCTTGATCATCCTCATGCTCTTCTTCTTCAGCAGCTCTCCAGCGAGCACTGCTGTTCAGGAACTCGTCTGTTTCGCTGTCAGTCTCCTTGAGCCACGCCATGGCCTTGGTATACTCTTCCTCCCATAACACGCGTTCCGTCAAAACTTGCAAATCGTAGCTCTTTTTGCGAAGGGAATGGATCAGCTTATCCAGTGTCATGAGTGTCGTCAGTGTGATTTCAATGGTTGTGGTGTCTGCAGGGCTAAGGTCTTTATCAGCTCGACCAGATCCTGTTAATGTTTTGACATGTGATCTCAAACGGGCCATGTCTTCATTATCAAACGCCTCAATTTCCTTTTCCAATACAGAGTGCGACGCATTCAACAGCTCCACTTGCTCTGGAGACGCTGGTAGTTCCACGGTTGCCAGAGGATCAGGCAGTATTGTGCTGTTGAGCTGCTCTATGCGGATCTCGATCCATTGTCGGATGCGCTCAGCTTCTGCAAACCACACTCGCACCTCTTCCACCCAGGTACGCACCAACTCATTCTTACCAGTGATGGCTTCATATTTGGACATATAGGACGTATCCTTCTGATCTTCAGCGGTCGACTCATTTGCCAGCAAGAGCAAATCGTCAAAGTTGGTCTTGAGTGTGTCCACCATGCTGGTCGTCTTTTCCATGCGATCTTCAAGCTCCTGGATGTCGTGGTGTGTGGTGATGGACTTGACCATCTTGTTCTGCACAAGATCCAGCTCATGGCGGATAGATCCACACATGCGAGCAAAGGCAAATCCTCTTCTAAAGTTGGACAGCGTGCATTCGGAGCGCTCAAATTCAGAGTTCAATGCACCGTGTAATTGCAAAAGCTGGTTCTTGCGCCATATGACTTTGGGATGATCTCTCCAGATGGGCTTGAGTTCCTCCTGTAAATAAACCTGCAGCAGCAGATGCAAATCACCGTCGGTTAAAGCTTGAAATTCGGATTGCAGCGCCTTAAAATTACGATCGTAGGCAGCATAGTCCTCTTCGGCAGCTTGCAAAGGATGTAAGATGCGACGCTGTTGCTGCTGTTGAATCAATTGCAATGCGTCCTCGTTGCTGGCTAAGCTGTGATGGCTGCTGTTGTCGCCTGTGCGAGTGGAAGAGGTGTTGTCGTCGGTTAAAAAAAACTCCATCATGCTGTCGGAAGCAACCGACGAGGGCGAGTAGCTGGAGGAGCGTGTGGGTACAATCAGTATCAGACGGTGCTGCAAACCATTGATTTTTTCGGTTAGTACTGTAGCGCGTGATTCGAACTCCTCCAAATCACTCGGGATTTCAGTTCCATCACTGTACTTTGTGATAGTCGTCTTTGTGATCCTTAATTGCTGCAGGGTATAGGTGGAAGTCATTGTCGTACTAGTGCCAAATGTTTCGAATCCTTCTTCCTCTTCCTCCTCCTCTCCAGAGTTACAGAGCGACGGCGTAGAATGTGATGTAACATTTAGGGCTGCTTGTGCATCTGTTGTTGATTTAAATTCAATTTTGAAACGTTCCAAATCTCTATGACGCTGCATTGTTTTCTCTTTGTTTGGTATTTTGAGGCAGGACAGCAAGTCTATCATGAATGGTATCATCGTCTTGCAGCTTGTATTGAAGGATGGATTTAGAGTGTGAATGCATTGAATAGCCGTTTCAAATACATGAGCTTGTTGCAGATACAAATGTAAATCAGGCACCAGTGATGGGTGGTGATAATGCAGTATACACAGTAGATAATGTCCATTCTTCCATGCAGTGTAGGATAGCTCAATGATGGGCGCTATAAACGATGCATTCATGTAGTCGGATAGAATGAAGGATGACCATGAAAGCAAGTTGTTCTCCAAATTGAGATGATTGGTGGGTATAGATATGAATTGATTGACCTAAAATGATGGTAGCTTGGTTAAATTTCATGTTAAGCTATACTCTAGGCCATCAAATACTATACATATGCTGTGAATGATAGCTCTGGGTTGCTTAATATGATGTAGTTGATATGATATACTTGATATTCTGTTTGGATAAAAGCCAGGAGAGGTATAATTTGGTTCTGATCACCATGACCGTAGGCAGACATGTCGATTGTGCTGGGGATATCATTAAAGATTTCAGGTACAAGTGAGTTGATGTGAGCTAGCGCTGATGAGATGCTGTCATTGTGTGCCATCTGGTCGTCGTCCATCTTGAACAGCTTTGATATGAATCCAATTGTGAAGTGTGGGTTTAGAAAATCACTCAAATGTGTTTCATTCTGCAGTATCGATGTAGCCCAATGTAATAGTGTGGATGATGGCGATGATGATGATGAGGTTGGTGTTGGTGGTATATTACAATGTTCAGCAGTGGTATCCATTTTTATGAGGTGGTTTTTTTTTTATATATAAATGTACATAAAAGAGAAAGAAGAACAAGGAAAAAGAAAAGGGAGTTGTGTTTGTGAAAAAAGGATAAATAAATATAAATTTTTGAGGGGCAAAATAGAAATAAACTATCTGAAGTCAGCCATGAAGAAATGAGGGGATCCGCACAGTAGCTCAAAGTAAAACATGCAAAATGGGATGCCTAAATCATCAAATCGTATAACTTGAACACGTTTTTTTCACTAGATGGTGATTATTTCCGAGCCGAGCTATGTATATAAAGCATTTTCATATGTCTGTTTCTCTTTTTGATTTCTTTATTTTGATCATATTTACACTCGAGTACGACTTTCTCTTGGTACAAACTATCAAATTTGTCATCACACATTAGCATTCATCCCATGCTTTCAGGTGTAATCTAAAACTTACTCTTTGAAGTGCTGGATGGCTCAAAATAGGTCCAATGACTGGCAATCTCTTCAAAAATCCAAATACCACTGGGAAGAAATCCCTATCATAGCATTTGAGTTTTCTGATCTTGCTTCTCCCCCACTCCCATCTTCCATGACTTACCCAAATAGATTCAAAAATCCAAAAATCTCCACCATGAAACCAAAGAATGGGTATTTACTGAGCACGAGAAGGATGCCACCCAAGAAGCAAATGGTGCCTCTTAATTTCTCCTTTCTAGAGAAGAACACAAATGTACTTCTTGGACCAATAATCGCTGTAATACCACACAAAAACAATACCTTTTATACATGCATTTATTAAATTTAATTTGATTGATTGAAAGAGTATCTGATAAGCACACTTACATTGCCAATAGCCATTAATCCTCCGTCAAAGAGCATCATGACGCCCATCGCCATGAAAAATAAGCCAAATGCCGTAAGCCCAACACCAATTTCTACAAGTCAAGACAAAATCAACATTCATGCTCGATTCTCCACATGTGTGCCGTGTGCTGGTCTTACTTTGACTATCGCTCAACCACATTTTTAGTTTTACGTGTTTAAGATGAGGAACAAAAAAAAAGAAAGAATGAAAAGCGCAGAATCACCCAAACAGAATCCAAGTCATTGACGTACAAATTACATCTCATTTGGGGGTGGTGAGTCCATTTTGTCCCGCTCACCGCCTGCCTGGAGGGAACAAGCATGGACTCCGTTTGTGTATAAAAGAAACCTTCATTACTCTTTCTGTTTCTCGAGATTTTGTTTTTGCTATTATCAATTCATCATGGCAGACGCTAGTACAGCGACTCTGACAGCCTACTCCTATGTCACTATCGTCATTTTCTTGTTGGTAGTGATACTCATTATTCGCCCGGTTAAGATACGCATTGGTCCACATATCAAGATATACCTCAACATTTCGACAGTGCCACCGTTGGGTGTTTTGATACTGCTTGTATGTAGAGCCATCAATTTCGATGTCGTGGGCAAGGGTTTTCTTGGGACGTTAGGTGTCCAGCCATGGGCCATCATGATTCTATTCTACTCTTTGGTAATCCATGGCAATTTTTTTCATTTTGATCTGTCATTTAAAATCCACATCATCCTAGGCCTACATCTGTATATCTCTGGACATGACAGGTGTGTTTCAATTCTGTGCATTTTGGGTATCTAGAAAGGCAGGCAATAGAGGTATGCTGGCATTTACTCTATTCTTCATCTTGACAAGTCTGATGAGTGGCCTTACCAGCAACGATGTGGTCATCTTGACGGGTACAGTCTTTCTATCTTACTTTACAAAGGTCTCAGATATCCCCCCTACCGCTTTTCTAATGAGTGAGTTCACAACGGCCAACATCGGTAAGAGATATGCTAATCTTGGATGTCCATTCAAGGGTTGACACTGACATTTCTTGTAGCGTCGATGGCATTGTATATTGGCAATCCAACAAATGTCGTCGTGTCTGAAGCATACAACATCAGTTTTATCACTTACTCGGCCTGGATGTTATTGCCCACCGTTGCCTGCATTTTGTTGGCCTATGTTGTGCTTCGCATTTTGTTCAGAGGCAACTATTACTTGCCCCGTCATATTCAACCTCCCGATGCCGATCCCAAAAGTGTATTAATCGATCCGCAAGGGGCGATCTTTGGTCTGATCTTGCTTGCCTGCTGTCTATTGACACTTGTGGGCACTTCGTTTGCTCATGTTCCTGTATGGATGGTGACTCTACCGTTTGCTTGTGTCATGTTCCTGAGAGACATCCGCCATGATCTCGGTATTTCTTTTAGTCATCTCTTCAACATTAAACGAAGGTTCCCTAGACCCTTTTTGAACACAGCAGCGCATGATCAAGTGCTCGTGTATGGCCCAGAAAACCAAAGCCATCATGAAATCCAATTAGATGTCTTGAATACACCACCTCCTGCCATGTTACACAGTCAACCTACACCAGTACTAGGATCTCAAGAGCAACAAGGTCAAGTGGATATCGGTACTGATAGTCTAGGCAGCAGCAACAAAATTCGCGCAGAAGAGCAAGAACATGCCGTCCAGAAAAATCTTAGATTTCGATCTTCTGCACCATTGGAAGCACAAGGTGCCACAGATCAAGCTGCTGCTGTTGTTGAAGATGATGATATTTCCTTATTATCTACTTCAAAAGAGCCTAAACGTAAATACCTAAAGCCATTCTACCGTGCTTCAAGATGGTTTGGTAGTCGATTCCCTACTCTAAAGGCTGTGTTTATGCGTATGCCTTGGTCTATATTACCGTTCAGCTTGGGTATGTTTATCTTAATTGAAGCATTGGCTGAAGAAGGCTGGGTAGGCATCTTTGCCACAGCAATGGCTGTGTTTGCAAAGAACTATGTTACAGCCGTTTTCGGAATGGTCTTTGTATCCATCTTGGCGTGTCAATTACTGAATAATCTGGTGAGTTGCATATCATGAATCATAAGGTTGGACAAGCAATATTGACCTATATTTTCTATGCCATCATTATAGCCTATGACCATCTTATTTACTCAAATCATCCAGCATCCTAATTTTACTCAGCACGTTGATTCTGATGCAACTATGCAAGGGTTTTTACTGGGGCTCATTGTTGGAAGTAATTTGGGTGCTTGCTTGACGTTGGTAGGGAGCTTGGCGGGCATCATGTAAACTTCATACTGTTGAAACGTCCGATACCTGGTATTCTAATGCTCATAATATTTCTAGGTTTGATCATATTCTGAAAACAAAGGGTATATATACCTTGGGTTACTTTCAGTTTCTGAAATGGAACCTTGTCATTTTGCCTGTCATTGCACTTGGCGCCTCGGCTGTGCTCATAGGAGAGATTTGGTTCATTTACTTGCGTTAGATAATATATACTTCTTGTGGAACTATTAATCATTTCATAAAATTATTGAAAAGGGCGGCCGACATAGCTGCATCCTGCTAATATATACTAAATTTTGCATTTTACCTTCCTGCTATCATGCGAGGACCCTTTAAAAACGAGTGGAGGGTGTGGATCTGGCTCTTCTACACTGCTCCCCGCCTGCAAAAATGGAAGCAACTCTTGTACAGGTGTACAGCATCCTTGCATCGCCTCTGTCTATTCAAAAATATGCAAACCACAGCAAAATCTAGACCCATTTGAGTCGTGTTTTCTCGTGTTAGACACCGTTTTAGACCGCCAGAATGGCACCAAGCAATTACTCTCAACTTGCACTTACTTTCTGACACCTTTGCTCAACTTTTTTGGGTTTGCCAAAAATCGACCAAAAACCATGAATGATACCTCATGATTTTCATCAAAAATCAAATGATTGCGTTTTTCACCTTGAAAACGAAAACTTCTACTATAGCATTTATTAGATCAAAATGTTGCTACAGATTCAGGGCAGCCCCTAAAACTTTCTTTGTGAAATCTTAAGATGTAAAATCTTGACATTTTAGCCAAAAATCTCAATTCATATTTTCAATCATTGCTCAATAAGCTCTTTCAAAACATCTAAGTTAATTATTACCATTAGATGCGCCTTGAAAAGTACTCCAAGAAAGTATAAGGAGGTATGGGATGTTTATTATACTTCTTATAGTCGAATCTTGCAAAAATAGATCAATCAAGTCGAAACTAAACAATATTTGGCAAAAGTTCTGTCTGAGTTCTAAACAATAATGGCTGGCAAAATCAAAGCCATTCATATATTGAAGGCGGTTGATGCTTTTGAGAGTCCATAAGAAGAGAACTGCGGCTTGTTGGAAAGTATTCAAGTTTAGTAGTATAAAGTTTTTTATCGTGCAATTTTATGTTTGTTAAATCCAGTCGCCACAAATGCTTCTCTAAGTGCGAATCTTAATACAGTATGCTACATTGGCACCCTATTGAACATTGTATATCGTTTTCCAAGTGTGCAGATATATGTATTCACAGCGTCACAAAATTTTTATTGAAACATTATATTTACTGGAGGTGCATATGCAGCTACCAATTTTGGGCCTGTATGATGGGTGCTATAAAAATCCAGCAATGAGCATTTCGGCAAATTGCATTATTGCACAATAATGATTCAGCCATGAGTTGGATAGTACACAAGCAGATTTCAGTAGTAGGCCTTATAGGCTGTTTTCTGATATGATGAAACCATGCATAGCTGTGATATGCCATCAACAGTAATCGAATTTGTGATGTATTATACATAATCTTCGATATGATGAAGTGTAAAACTGATTGGAGTGAGTAGATGACTTTAATTATCATTATTGAAATAGCAGTAATATCTATTATTTGAATACCACTGCTGTGTGTCAATCAAGTGATGAAAAGATTGGATACAATCGTCAGTTCATCATGACAGATAGAAAACGCGAGCTATCCATTCATATATCATGCAACCAGATCAAACAGGATCTTTCAAGTAAATTTTTGTGGGAAATCCAACCCCTCTGAGAATACATAAAAGCCAATTGCATGAATTCTAAGCAACTAACCTGTTGCATCATATAGTCTTTTCGGATCGAATTGAATTTCTACGAATCAGATAATGTCAGCTTTGTCTTTCAAAAATGATGATCCTTGTAATTATGCTAATCAAAATGAAAAGGCTCGATAAGGCTCTTTTTAGGTGTTTTTGTTGAGGAAGCTTTTCTTACACATTGCGAGAGCAGGTGAAAAACAGAATGTTGCCCATGTATTATATGAATCAGACGACCAAACCCCAATTTAGCTTTGTATATAAGGAGCTAATTTCTTTGCTCTATTACCTAATACTGAAACAGAACTGACAATCATGCTTGACATGCCGTAAAGGGCCATTCCAGTTAGTGTTCATCTAACTATCAAACTAGAACTTCAATTCCCATCCCGCAGATAAAGAGGCTACACACCGCGAGATGCTTGTTACACACAACATCAAACGGAACGAGCAGAAAGCACGCAATGGAGCTCAATGATTCTAGATCTAAGCGATACATTGCAACCTGCTTATCTATAAACAATGAAATGAAAAGCAGAGCTTTGGCCAAACGGATGGCGGCGGAGAAGTGTTGTGGCCACATTTAGAGTTCATTAACGGGCGTGTGTTGTAAATAGAGTACATCTAATTTATATATGTTGCCTATCAAACTAAAAAAAAAAAAAAATTTTAACTGCATTGCTTCGGCTTTGGTGAACAAAATGTTACATACAATTCCCAAATTATCTTTTTTTGTGGGGTTTGACGTCTTTCTTACAACATATAGAGCTTGCCAAACAATTACCGGAAAGAATCATGTTGAGGCATATACATAGATATCTTGCTCAAGACAGCTTTTGAAAATTCGAGTCAAGATTTCTATCAAGAAAGCGATAAAAGACGCTCATGAGATGTTGCTTATCATACTACCAAGGGCAACTCCAACAAGGATCCCTTTTTTTCGGGATACAAATCAGATAGAAATCGATGCTTATGTAATGAACGCCAATGCGGATTCGATTTGGATCAGTAAATTTCAACTCATTGATCTTGAACGATAAGTAATTTTCTTGGCTCGATGTTCGAGCGCATATATCTGTGTCCGTGATCACAAGCATCCATCTAAATGAATATAAACAAGTACACTGATGCAATCTTTTTTAGACCTAAACACAGAACAGTTACCACCAAAGTGTTCTAGATGAATGATAAGGTTACGAGCATTTCATAATAATCAATGAATCAATCTTCAAGTAGCCTTATGAAATATCAAAGACATACTGTACTCCTTTTTCTCTAGCTCATCTCAACTATATTAAATTACAATGATTTTATTTTGATTGTAAACGCGAGACAATCAATCGGTAGATGGGGCAAGCATTTAGACCTAGTATGGCTGATAAGGTTCTGTGAAACCTAGCCACCATGTCGACCTCCTCCCCGTTTCTCTGAGTCTGATGCTAAATTACGCATTTTGGGGTCAAAGTGATACACTCTCAAATTTACTATTTAAAAAGGGGAGGGGGGTTGGAGAAAGGACGCAGAAGGAGAAGAAACAGATACTTTAGCCTTCTTTTCTTTTTTTTTATTCATCCGTAAAAATGTCTTTGGATACCACTCAAACTATTTCACGTTGCCAATGGATCAACAAAGAGCAGATTACAGCTTTATGGAATTGTAAGGGCAATTTACTTGATATTGCTTAATGAGATTTATTCACGTTTTGGTATGCTCTAGTTTCAAATTCCTCTGCTGCTCAAGCCAACAATGACACGAGCAATTTACAAGATATGTTCAACTCAAAGCAATCTAAATTTAATGAGCAACTCAAAGATATACCCTCAACAAACGCATGCTCCAAGTTCTATGTCCATACGGATGATACTGAACAAGAAGATGGCGACGATGAAAGAGAAGAGGTTGAAGAAGATTGCTACTCGACAACATGGTCATTTTCATCTCTCGAGGAGGACGATGACATGGAGGAAGAGACTGAGCAAGAATTACACTTTGTCAAGAAGATGGATGATCACAACAATCCAGTATACACAACTACCGCGTCTACTGTGAAAAAGCCAATTTCACTATTAACACAAATGTTAAACAGCAGCACAGCTCCTCCACCTCCAATGCCATCACAACACTCACAGCTTATCGATAAAAAGCCATTATTAAAGAGATGTCAATCCAAATACCAAAGTTTAAGCTCTTGGTTTGCTACTTCGACGACCACTACAAATTGAAAACATCGCACTATTTATTCTGTATATATACCCAACTTTCTTTAATAAAGCACTTCGCATGATTCATCCAAATATCAATCAAGACTTAGAGTGGCCCCATTCATTTTCTTATATTTTGATGCCGCCTCTCACAAACAAAGCCGCTAATACAATCAGCCGCTCAAGATGTTGTTCCTGAAATCCATTTGGGAAGGGATATTCGGCAAATTCTCATAAAAAACTGATTTCTTGTACGACTTGTAAGGAATAACAGTTTGCCATATTGCCAACACGTTCTTGGGTGATTGTTCTCATATCTGAAACCCTTTTGTGCCATGAGGGTGGTTTTACAATCCTCTTCTCCCTTCGTTCCCATTGATAAAAAGAAATGCCCTCCTATATGTTCAACATCCTATCCCTACTAAGGAAACAACAAATGCTTATTCGCAGATGCTAATGATATTGTCAAGTAGCACAAGTTATATTTTCTGGCTGGTTTTCTTCCGTATTCAACAATTACAAATGTGTGAACTCGATACCATCTTTTCTCATCATGATGAACGTTGACACGATTTGCCTCACATCCCAATGCTATCTACCATTCCAAACATATAAAAGGAGCAAGGGCAGCAAACGAGAGAAATGCAGTTTAAGGAGATACTGGTGTGATTTAGCCGATTCGTATGGTTTTTGTATTAAAAAGTATAATTATTATTGCTATTACTATGATGACTCTTGCTACTACTGCTTCTTCTACGATGGAAAAGCACTCTTTCTCTATGCTTATGTGCACATGTCGAACAAACAACAACAGAGCATACCTGCCATACTAAATATACAGTAATATTTAAGCTTTTTAACCCTGATTCACATAATTCCAAATATTTACCAAGCAGTACAACAATCGCTATCATCCTTTCTTTGAGGCTGTTGCTGGACAATAATGGTTTGTGGAGGAGGTCTATGTAGTGATTTCTTATTAGCAAATGCCAGATATTTGAGGTTAGATGGGAAAAACTTACTGTGGCTGATAATAGCCGCCTTGTTGAGGTGGGTAGTATTGTTGCTGTTGTCCACCGGGAGGAGCATAGTATTGCTGTTGTTGAGGAGGGCTAGCGTAGTATTGTTGATTTTGTTGATGAGGTGAGTAGGACATCTTGGATTGAGATTGTGGAAAGAAAAGCAAAAAAGAGAGGAAGAATTCCTTGATTGATTTCTATGTACTAATTCTTTGTTGAACAAATTTTTTCGCGGGGCGTGATGTGTCTATATATATATATATAATCTCTTGGTTCTACTTGGCAGTGCTGCTGCTTCTCATGAATCAGTATTAAATTGATTGCAACGGAGATCTGATTTATTTAAATCAACCCGTCCCAGCAATTAATTAAGGTAATACACTCTCGGTGTGGTGTATGTGTCTTGTTGGTGTGGTCATTAGCAAAAGTATCTTTTCTTCTTTTCTTCTTTCTCTTTTTTCTCTCATTCAACATGTCTGACCTGCCTACTGTTAGACCGAAGCATTCAAGGTCAACTTCGATCACGACCTCCAAGAAAACAACTTCACATCAAAGAAAACCTTCGCTAAATGTACAGCAGCAACAGCAACAGCAACAGCAACAGCAACAGATACTTCAAACACCAAAACCAGAGCTGAAGCGCCATAGTAGCAGTAGAGCTTCCTTGAACATAGCACCTCCAACTACCTCAAATTTGCCTCGATTTGTAAACTCCATCATTTTGCGAGTGCATAGCTTTTTAAACCCTTCAGGTCCTCTTTTACCACACTCAAAACATGGAAATGCTTTCGGCGGCACAGCCAAACCTTCGTTATTATCCAAACTGGCTCAATCTCGGTTTATTCGCTTCGCTGCTTTGTTCTATGTCATTTTCTCGGTCTTCTTATCGCTAAATCATACCTGGAAGTACCTTACATCATCACCCAACAGCAACAACAGCCCTATTCGACTCCAACAGACAGATGCTGCACTAGACGAGCAATTCAATGACGACTGGGTACCTCAACGCACTTATGACCAAGGTAAAAATTGCGGATGTCTGGAAGAGAATGGTGCGTAAACGAGATTTCTGTATAGATGATACTTATTCCCTTATGAACCAAATGACACATGGTCTGAAAATGAGCAAACTATTCAGCAAAAGTTACTACGATGCCGCCAAAAATATTCAGCCTTTCTGGAAAAAGGCCAGCAATGTACCTGAAAAGGACGAAGTTTCCATCATCACCACAGCAAATGCAGATACCTGGGAAGATTTGAAGAGATTGACCATCTACTGGGAGGGTAAATCATGGCTCGTATGAGTATGATAGATGGAAAATGTTGTTTAATAGATTGAATGTAGGACCAATTTCCGCTATCGTTCATATTGAAGAGGACGACGAATCGACTGTAGAAAAAATCAAGCAAGAGTACGAAAATACACCCGAGTTGTATAGAAATGTGGATTTGCATCTTGCTCAAATCCCTGGCGAGAAGTTGAGTGTTTTGTTTCCTCGTAACGCTGAGCGTAACTTGGCCAGACTTTTAGCACAAACAGATTATATTATGGACTTACCCCATGGTGTCATCCCAGCTACTGATTTACGCCGCACGCTCGAATCCAATAAGGAACGCATCGACAGCCTTTTGCTAGCAGGAGACTTACTGGCTTTGCCCACCTTCAACTTTAAGAACAGAAAGGCCACTCGCGACGATGTTCCATATGACAAATCTCAACTTATTCTAAAGCTCAGCGAAGATAAGATGGTACTGGATGATAAGCATTGGAAGGAGAATGAAGGTCCCACAGACTTGGAAAGATGGATGGACGCTGAATTTTTATATGCCGTGGAAAAGTACGAGTTTCACTATGAGCCCGTCATCATTGAATCAAAGACAATTCAACCCTGGTGCTCTGAAAGATTTTTAGATAGTAGAGCTGCTTGCATCTTCTCAAGTTATTTGCAAGGCAATGAAATTTGGGTCCTGCCAGACGATTTCATGGTTCAAATGCCTTTGGAGGTGGATTCCGAGGTTACGGATTTTGATGTAAGTGGAAATGGATGAATATTAGGGCATCAGCTAATCATAACACCTCTTTTCAGAACGTTGTCGAGAATCGAATTTATGCCAAGTTTTACTGGGAACAGTGTGTTCACCATGCTAGACAATTAGACGCTTTGGGTCTCTGGAAATCACCTAGATCTCAACATATTAGAAACCAATGTTCCCGTGTCATTCAGAATTGGGGCAAAGGTCTAATCGGTAAACCAGAGTAATTTAATGTAAAAGTAGTCGTATAAACCTTTTTAATACAAGTAAAACAAATAAACAAAAACAAATGATGAATTGATTGACTTTTCAGTCTAACATGGTTTCCATGATGTTGGCAACAAACAAAACCAACGCATCTCTGTGTCAGTGCAACATTTGATGAGATGTTTGCCACATTATAGGTGACTCAAATGGCATTTCATGACTAACAGGGTTCATTTGGATCAAGGAGACATGCAAAAGTTCCAATTCTGCTCGGGAAATGCCAGTTGGTTTTGCAGAACCAAACCAAATGTAACACATATGGAATGCGTGTCTATCTACTGCCGTTTGCTATACTGAAAAGGGGCTACATTTACAGAGTACGAAAAAAAATGCCACTCGACACCTGAAATTGCTGACGTATCATCATAACATAATAGATGTTCAGTCCCTAGACACTTTTACAACCCTAATATAAAAACTGAGTTGCCAGACATTTGTCAGGCATGGTTCATATATGATTAGAGATCTTATATTAAATCACTATCAATCAATATACAAGTTTTTTCTGACATTTTAGCTATTATTAATAATTTTAGGATATTAGCCAAAGGTCCGCGGCAGCGCGAGCCAACTGAACGTAGGTTGGCTTCCACCAAAGCGAAGCGTAGGTCAGGAAACCAGCTGAAGAGCCGAAATGCTCATCGTAGCGTAATAAATTTATGGTCCCTAGACACTTTCAAAGTCTCAAAAAGGAAAGAGATTGATCTAGCAAGTATTTTGGTAGACTGGCGTTGTTAAATATAGAACTAAACTAGAATAGAATGGCTAACAACAGTGCTATGTAATATGCCTCCTACTTTCCATACGCTTCAAAAGCATCTATTATAGCATTGCCTTCATGGTTTAAAGGGCATTGAGTTTGTCAGCCAGCCTCACCAGCCGTCAAAATTAATTTAAATGCAGACTCTTCGTCTACTCCAGATTGGCCAGATTTTGATTGTCTTTCGACTTGATTGAGCTTTTTTTTTTTTCCAGATTCGACTATAAAAATTGTGTTGATCAACCCATACTCCTTAATGCATCTTTGGAGTACTTTTCAAGACGCATCCAATGGTACCAATTAAGATAGGTATTTTGAATAAACCTATTGAGCAATTTACGAAAATACGAAAAGAGTTTTCTGTCCAAAAAGTCGAAATTTTACATATCAAAGTCCCACAAAGATGGTTTCAGGAGCTATGTTAGATCGATAGAAACATTTTGATTCAATACATACCATAGTAAAAGTCTTCATTATCAAGGTCAAAAACGCGATCGTTTGATTTTCGATGAAAACCATGAGGGGGTACCTCATGCTTTTTGGTCGAATTTTGACCATGCTTTTTTGGTCCCCAAAAAGTTGAGCAATAGTGGCCATAAGCAACTACCAGATGAGAGCAATTGTTTGGTGCTATTCTGACCATCTAAAACGGCCTTGAACGCAAGAAAATGCAGCCCAAACGCGCTCAGGTTTTGCTGTACCGGGGATAGTAAGGACTAAAAAGGGGAAATACCAGCATGCTACTTGCCCTTATATGAAGTAGCTACGTGTATATGGAAGTAGAGTATCACATAAGAATCAGATCCACAGATAAAATGAAGGGTTTTCATGTGTCAGTGGAAGATCAAAATGAAAGTAGCAGTTTTTTGATGAGATATGCAAGGGCAATCGATAGCGCGAGCTGCCGCTGTACAGGTTGCTTCTCACCGAAGCGAAGCAAAGGTAGAGAGCCATCCGAAACATAAATCCTCGTATTGACTAATACACTTTCATGCAATTGTACAACATTTCAAACTAGAAATAATTCACTAACAGATGATAATCAGAAGCAAGGCTCTATGTAATTGCTCTCCGCTGTTACAAATGTTACAGCATTCAACTATTAGCTAGGGCAATTGCTTGCGAAACGAATTACTATAAATACATACCAACACAGATACACCAAGGGAAAAAAAAACGGCCATCGAATGCATTGTATAACCTTCCAACATTGCATGCTTAATATGATGATAGAATGCTTACAGCCACAATACTTATGAACCTGACTTTTTTGATCTGCCATTATCAGATGTGCAGCATTGTAGTTGGAGCAGATAGCAGCATCAACGACAACTATGAATCGACCAATGCTCAGCATGATTAAATTAGCACCGAACGTTATCCCGATATATCTCCTGTATTAAAATCTTTTCCCTTTCCCCGCTAAATTATGTATTCTTCTTTTCTTTTTCTTCCTCTTCTTCAATATGACCATCTCTTCTTCTAATATGAAATATGAGCACGAAGAGTACGATTACAGCATGAACCAGCAGCAGACGCCCTACAGCAACAATCCTCATGCTGGTGGCAATGCTGGCCCCAGTACTACTGTTGCTGCTGCTGCTTCGTCATCGTCTTGTGGATCCATTGGATACGAGGAACGAGAGAGACGGTAAAGAGGTGTATTTTTGTATACTTTCTGCTTTATTAAGGCTCTACATATAGCACGTACGAACTAGTCGTTTGTCAGCAACCATTGCATGCTCGTATGTGTGGTTTTGGAGAGAAAGATCGTAGACCCATTGACCCACCGCCTATCGTGCAGCTCATTGTGAAGCAGGAAGGACAGGAAACCTGGGTGGATCTTCAGTAAGTTTGGGAAAGGCTCTCACGACGATTAGGTTGTTGATGGTCAAACGTAGATCTCTACAAACGCCATTCTTTGTTTTACATGTAACATTATGGTCTGCTGATAGAACACAAGAAAGAAACATTATATCTAACCCGCCCAAATGCACTCGTGTCTTGATGGGATCACTGGTGAGCTCACCCAGCCTATTGAAGAATCCCCAAGGCGAACAGGGCCTTTATTTCGCATTTCCTGATTTGAGCATTCGTACAGAGGGACAGTATACATTGAGATTCAGTCTAATCAAGTTGATTAGGTGGGTTGACATGCAGTTGCAATGGTCAATGTATAAGCTAACGCACTATTGTAGTTCTGATTTCCAACCTGACGCCAAGTCCAAGATCATTGCCCAAGTATTTTCGGATCCTTTCACTGTATATTCCGCTAAAAAGGTAGAGATGCTATCTTGCATGAAAAGATGTGGCCGTTTACTGACTGTGCAATTTCAAATCTTCTCAGTTTCCAGGAATGACAGGTGTGTAACAAGAGCAACAAAGAAGATGGTTCACATTGATATTCACACAATTCATTTTTTTTTCTTCATATCATATAGAGTCAACAGAGCTATCGAAAGTATTTGCTAAGCAGGGTCTCAAAATTCCCATTCGCAATGATGGTACAACTAACATTAAATCGCTGACATAGTTTGGGTTACTAATTTTTTTGCTCTTTTTTTGACAGTTCGGGCCAAGAAAGCAGATTGAATAGGGCAATCAACATGTACCTGTATCATTTCACTACATACATATTTCACTATACTAATAATAAAGCACGACGCATGGAACAAGCTGGATACATCATGACTCATTATTATGACAAAAGACGCAGCAAAGTCTACCGACTTTGTCATGCTGCGTTACATTTGGAACATTGATGAGCTACAATTGCTGCACAAACTGATGGCGGTGGCTTGTGAATGCCCAAAATATTTTTTTCGTATAAAATAACAAAACTCCTTCTTGAATTTCTTTCCCTCCATAATATCAACAAAATGTCAGCTCCTGCCGATACAAAGCCCCAGGTTGAGAAGAAGCCCAAGGCTCCCAAGGCTCCCAAAGCCAAGGATGCTAATACTAGCGCTTATCCTCTTGAGGTAAATCCACCTTTTTTTTTCACCGCGAGATTTCACTGAAATGTGCCCTGGTTTGAATAAGACGACTAAACATCAGTACAACAGATTACTCCTACTCCCGAATTTCTCCAACATCGTATCGACATGTTTGACAAGTTAAAGGCTGCTGCCGACGCCGAAATTGCTCGTAAATATAAATTTACCACGTAGATCCGTGCATTGTCCATTTATTCATGCAATTTTAGAAAAGCCTCGTGAACCTATCACCATTACTTTGCCTGATGGCACTCAAAAGGAAGGTACCTCTTGGGAGACCACTCCCTTATCAATTGCTCTTGGTATTGCCAAGTCTCTTGCCGAGCGCACTGTCATCTCCAAGGTGGACGGCGAGCTTTGGGATTTGACTCGTCCTCTTGAGGGTTCTTGTAAGTTGGAATTATTGGACTTTGAAAATGATGAGGGTAAGATGGTCTTTTGGCACTCTTCTGCCCACATGTTGGGTGAGGCCTGTGAACGTCATTACGGCTGTAACCTTTGTATTGGTCCTCCTTTGAAGGAAGGCGGTTTCTACTATGAAATGGGTGTTGAAAATCGGTAAGATTTAGCGGAGAGGAAATGCCTGATGTGTGGTTTGTACTGATGCAGGGATATCGCTATAGTGTTGTAAGTCAACAGGATTATGCCAACCTCGAAAAATTGGTCAGTCAAGTTGCCAAGGACAAGCAAAACTTTGAGCGTCTTGTCATCTCCAAGGAGGATATCTTGGAAATGTTCAAGCACAACCCTTACAAGGTCCATATCATCAACGACAAGATTCCCGACGGCACCTCCACCACTGTCTACAGATGTGGTCCCTTGATTGATTTGTGTAGAGGTCCTCACGTTCCTCACACTGGCCGTGTCAAGGCTTTCACTATCACCAAGAACTCTGCTTCCTACTTTTTGGGTGATGCCAAGAACGACTCTCTTCAACGTATCTATGGTATCTCTTTCCCTGACAAGAAGCTCATGACTGAATACAAAAAGTTCATTGAGGAGGCTGCTAGACGTGATCATCGTAAGATTGGTAAGGAGCAAGAGCTCTTCTTCTTCCATGAATTGTCTCCTGGCTCTGCCTTTATGCTTCCCCATGGTGCTCGTGTGTACAATGCTCTGATGAACTTGATTAAGGATGAATACCAACACAGAGGCTTCACTGAAGTCATCACTCCCAACATGTTCAACCTGAAGCTCTGGAATCAATCTGGTCATGCTCAAAAGTACAAGGAAAACATGTTCTGCTTTGAAGTTGACAAGGAGGAATTCGCCTTGAAGCCCATGAACTGTCCTGGTCACTGTTTGATGTTTGGACACAAGGAGAGAAGTTATCGTGATCTCCCTGTTCGTTTTGCTGATTTCGGCGTGCTTCATCGTAACGAATTCTCTGGTGCTCTTTCTGGTTTGACTCGTGTCCGTCGTTTCCAACAAGATGATGCTCATATCTTCTGTCGCACAGATCAAGTAAGTGATAAATGAAGCCACAAAAGAGGTTATTTTATATTAAATTATAATCCAGATTGAGGAAGAGATGGCTGGTTGTTTCGACTTTTTGAACGAGGTTTACGGCATCTTTGGCTTCGATTTCCATTTGAAGCTTTCTACTCGTCCCGAGAACTACATTGGCGAACTCAGCGTTTGGGACAATGCTGAAAAGGTAACAGAACAAAACCGAATAAATCAGAACGATTCAGAAGAACAATGATGTAACTAATGACATAATGTTGACCCTAACAGATGTTGGAAGATTCATTGAATCGCTTTACCAAGGAAAAGGGTACTTCCTGGGAGGTCGATCCTGGAGATGGCGCCTTCTACGGTCCCAAGGTGGATATTACCATCTCTGATGCCCTCGGTCGTAAGCATCAATGTGCCACTATTCAACTCGATTTCCAATTGCCTGAACGTTTCAAGTTGGAATACCGTACTGATGGTTCTGAAGATGCCATGGCTCGTCCTGTAATCATCCATCGTGCTATTCTCGGTTCCGTTGAGCGTATGATGGGTATTGTTATTGAACATTTCGCTGGTAAGTTTCCCTTCTGGTTGTCTCCTCGTCAAGTTCAAGTCATCCCTGTTGCTGCTGCCTTCAAGGATTATGCAAAGGAGATTGTTGACAAATTAGTTGCTCTTGGTATTTTCGCTGATGCTGATTTGTCCGACAATACCCTTAACAAGAAGATCAGAAATGCTGAAATTGCTCAATACAATTTCATTTTCGTTGTTGGTGAAGTGGAGATGACCACACGCTCAGTCAATGTCCGTAACAGAGATGATGTTGGCACCAAAGCCAAGGGCCAAACCATCCCATTGGAGGATGTTATCAAGAGTGTTCAAAAATTGAAGGAATCCAGAAGCCTAGAAAATAAGCTTTAAGCTGTTAATAAATCGAGTCCAAATTAGGGTGAAAATCTCACCTTTTTGAATTTTTCTACCTTTTTTCTTAAATAAAGTGTGTTACAATTCCCATATTCAAATTTCCACTAAAATGAAATGTGAAAAAAAAAAGTGACCATGTTTATTGCAGTATATAAAAGAACTTTAGTGCTAAAGCCGTATCAAAGTCTTCTTTCTTCTTTTATACTCCATTTACATTTTCTAGAATACACCTCTTGCTTCTTTTTATATATTATACATTTTCTGAGAAAGAATAAGCTTTTACGAAAGACAAAATATAATAAAATCCAAATCATAATGTCCTCCTCCTCCTTGATTCCACCCCCTCTAGGATTAGGACGTCCAAGTCAAAAGAGCAAAAAATACAGATTAAGTATGGCTGCAAATCGAGATGATCCAATATGTGATAACTTATTCTCCACTCTATATGTTCTCCTCTACTGCCTCGATATACCAAAAATAGTTATGGTCCAAAACCCAGTTCGAGCAAGATGCTGTGGATTTGGTGAGAAAGACAGACGACCCATTGATCCTCCACCTATTCTACAACTGTTTATTGAACGACCAGATGGCACATTGCAAAATGCACAGTAAATATGCAGTACATGTCACTCGAGAGCACAAGGCATTAATCCTGGATACATGTAGTGACGATGATAGCAACATTTCTCTGTTTGTTGTCCAATGCGATCTCTACTCAGAAGACGGCAAAGAACCTAGGGGCCAAGTCTATAATCCATCGTCTGCAGCACCGACATCTGGTAAATGGAGAGAACACGGCGAATTTGATAAATAGCCTTACAAATTAACAACCAAATTAGCCTCCCCTGCGACTGATTCAAAACCAACGATTGGCACATTGCTTTCATTTCAAGATCCTGCGCCAACCAGATCACTGATGGGTGCTGTTGTGTCAAATGCCTACCAACTGACAGATCACAATAATGAGCCTGGCATCTTTTTCATATTTCAAGATTTATCCGTTCGTATTGAAGGGACCTTCTGCCTGAACTTTATGTTTATAAATTTATCCGCAGGGTAACGATCTGAATATATGTTTCTGTGGGTCATTTTAATTTACGAAATGCTGCCTCTCTTTAGGGACCCTCTCACAATGAGCACAGAAGTGTCTGACGATGTCTTGTCAAAGCCTTTTACAGTATATTCCGCCAAAAACTTTCCTGGCATGACAGGTATTTAAAATGGAAAAAGGGACGTCGAAATAGAATATTGAAAGAACTAATTTCCTTGCTTCAAGACTCAACACCCATATCTCAATCTTTTGCTCAACAGGGTATCAAAATCTCCATAAGAAAAGGTAGGAGGATACGTCATGTTGTTGATCGAACTTATTCCAATAGTGCAATAGTTGATCATCATCGTGCTATAGACAGTAAAAACGACAATGAGGGACATGATAAAGATGCTGAGAAAAGGCAGCAATCTTCTTCAGCTTCTGCGTCAGCTTCTTTGCTTACAACTACTGATAGTGGGAGCAGTAGTAGTAGCAATAGCAAACCAAACTATAGACGTATCCATATATCCTCCTTCCTATCACCGCCTTGAGAAAAAGCACAAGAAATCCCACATATCCTCCCTCATGTTGTGCCCCAACTTTTACATCTCTATAACACCTCTCTCGCACTCAACCTTCCTCTTACTTTCCTTTATTGGTCTTGCCTTGTAAATATAATCTTAATAATGTCAAAATATAATATTAGCTTTTTTTCAAAATATATCGCCACAACGTTTCACGCTATCCTAAATAATGATTGATCGATTTGAATTTATAAAAAATTATTTCGCCCGAAATTGTTAGGTTTCACCAGCATTGAGAATGTTGCATCCATCGAGATGCTTGCGTGCTTGCTGTGATAAATGCGCTACATGCGTTTAGTTGAAAAGCACGGGGCGTACTTTTTAAGCGCTCTACTAAAGATCAATGAAATCAACTCTAAAACACTGTAGAGCGCCTATTTCATACCCCTTTTATCGAATCAACCTCTTTATTTACTTGAGGCGGACATTTAGCTCGTCTCAAAATACAAGAATGTGTAACATGTATACCTTGTACCGAATGCATCAAATAAAAGTTTTTTTTTTTTTTTTATTATAGCCAAAACAAAGTGGAGATAAGAAGTAGATGTGTCTTGCATGTTGCTGGCGGTACTAAAACATGTATACTTACACAAAATCTCGATATCTTTCATTACTCCATGCCGCTATATCTCGATCTACTTGTTTTAGTAAAGTAAAAGCTTAAAATTTTAATAGGTTTCTTAGTAAATCTTGATATTTTTTCCGACGATGTATCGTGAGTACCCCCCCCCCCATAAAAGATCAAACGCTATTTCCTAGCGTGTGATGTGTCATTCAACATGATGATTACATGAAACATAATCAAACAAATGGCCGAAATTTTAGAAACTTCACATCTGGAGAACAATCTCAATGACAAAGTCTATATTTTTCAAATAATTACAACCTGCAATTGAGGTACACATGAATCAGATTATTTCAAATGCGTGGAGTTGAGTTACCAAATGTTTGGGTGATTGGCATTGAATGCTGCAATTGTCTCGCAAATTTCATGCTGAATAAAATGCCTCAACATAGTTCTCATTATGGAACGAAAATGTGAGTTAGTTCGATATCGAGATGATTTTATGAGCTCAACTAAATAAGACTAAAGTGATGCATACTGAACCAGCCTAATTTGATATATTAAATGTCTCACTTCATATGCTGCATGAAACCAAGAATTTGTCACCAGGGTTATATGATACTGCCAACATTGCACATTGCCCGGTTAGCTGTTTGCTCTTGCTAATGTTCAATGAAAATCTTGCCCTACCCTGCAATTCACTGATTTGATACATTTACTGAAATGCCCTGCATTAGAACTCGCATTTGGAATCGAAACTCGCAATGATACAGTTTTTCGATTATGAAAATACGTAACAAGAGTGAATTAGGATAGTAAGGCAAAACTACTGTATCCTCGAATTCGCCATTTCTTTTTTATTGGCTTCAAAAACGTCAATTATCTGCATAGAGCGGCATTTTCATCCTAGCCATCCGCCAAAATATTTTAAGCATCGCTTGTTGTTTTTTTTGCCCCCCATTCGTCAGTTTTTATCTGATTTTCGACTTGATTGAACTATTTTTCCAGATTCGACTATACAAATTGCAATGGTCGCTCCATACTTCCTTATGCTGTCTTGAAGTACTTTTTAAGACGCACCCAATGGTGCCATTTAACACAAGTGTTTTGGAGAAGCTTATAGAGCAATGGTTGAAAAAGTGAAATGAGATTTTTGGCCAAAATGTCAAGATTTTACATCTTAAGGTTTCACAAAGGAAGTTTTAGGGGATACCCTGGATCTGTAGCAACATTTTGATCTAATATATGCTATAGTAGAAGTTTCGTTTTCAAGGTGAAAAACGCAATCATTTGATTTTTGATGAAAATCATGAGGTATCATTCATGGTTTTTGGTCGATTTTTGACAATCCCAAAAAAGTTGAGCAAAGGTGTCAGAAAGTAAGTACTAGAAGAGAGTAATTGTTTGGTGCCATTCTGGCGGTCTAAAACGGTGTCTAACACGAGAAAACACGACTCAAATGGGTCCAAATTTTGCTGCGATTTGCGTGATTTTGAGTAGAAGGTGGTAATAGTCATATGCTGTTTGTCTGTATATGAATTGTTCTCTTTAATACAGATGTGGTGCAACATAGTAGAAGGGTCATATCCACAGCTACAGTCTGTTCATGGAGGGCTTTGGCCATTTTTCTTGATTCTGCGTTGAGTGAAGGTCTTGGTAATAACCAGAGCAAAAGGCTGTTTATGCCATTAGACGTTTGGAGTCGAGTGAGCGCACTGATAGAGATACACAAACTGATGTGTTTAATCACTATAATCTAACACACGAATGCAATATACGAACAAATAGGGTGAGAAATCAGAGGAATGAGTTTGCTTCTTTATTTATTGTAAATATATACACTTCAAATGCCAGTGTGATAATCGAATCAATCAGGATTACTTGGCTTTAGTGATAACTATTTTGACATCTCCAACCAGGTTCTTCAAAGTAATGCAAGGGTTTTCGTTGGCGTCTGTCTCTTGCTTGATATCACCCTTTCCACCGGTCAATACAACAGAAACACCTTCAGGATACATCTTCGAGGAACAAGTGATCTGAGCAACTTCGTGATCACGAGCATCGCCGCTCAATTGGACAGTGTATGCTCTATTGTCGTGGTCAAAGTCCTCTCCCTTGAACTCGACCTTGTTTGAAACAAGTTTTAGGCTAGGAACAAACCCAAATTCGCGAATATAGTTTCGAACTTTGCCAGCACACAAGGGAATCTGGAGCAGCAACTTTCTCAAAAATGCTGCAGGAATATAGCCTGCCAAGTCAACTTGATTTACGTAGGTGATGCCAATATTGTTACCCTGTTGATCCACTTTCCAGCCAGATATAAGGATTTTGCCACGAACTGTTCTGGGTGTATCGGGAATTCGATCATCTTGTACTGAGATCATGGAAGTATAGCATACATTAGGATCAATATCGCGGATCGTTGTACCGACAAAATCACGAGGGCTTTAGAAATTTTTTGTGCGTTAGTATCATTATAAGAATACGATATTGACGTATGTTTACCTGATGGGCCACGGTGCCTTGTGTTTAACCCAGAACAGAGCCTCAAATCTGGTATAATACTCCTCCATTTTAGCTTGGTCAAATCGATCGTCCCCTAATAATTGGCCATGTTTTAGTGTCTAAAATAAATGCGGCTATTTGGGATCCATTTCAACGTTACAAATTTTTCTACAACCAGGTAAAGTTGCAACAGTTGCTACCTCAAATGGAGTGCAGCCAGGAGGAAGATCAGATAGAACCGTATCACCACGGACAAGAGGAGGAGCATTAGGATCGTCTAACTTTTTACTGTAAAGCTTCACGTTATCTTGCTCTTCGGTGAGAGTCCAATTTTCCAGGTTGGCCGTTAAATTCTTCAAGTAAGCTAATCCATCTCTAGTCTCCTTGGCAAATTTATTGTCAGAATCAATGATTGAATCAATAGCCATTTTAGAGTGTTCACAAAAATAGGGTAGATGTTTAAGAGAAAAGGGATGAAAACGCAAACACTGGAGCGTATATTTATAATGTTGTCGACGAACGTCAATTTTATGTTATTTCAAATTACGGCATTGCATGTCAATGCTGTCTGTACATGATACACACACACTTTTACGCACATGACTTGCTGGCTATTGCTTGATATTGTCTTGTTCTTTATGAAGAGAAAGATATTGGTATAACTAAAAGTTGCTGTTGTATATCTGTATTTGTAAACATTAGTTTCGAAGTTCTTCCGTCATTTCTGGAGATTCTTCCTCAGGTAATGGACCGGTGCCCAGGGCGTTCAAGAATCTCGAGTACACACTGGATCTTTTTTGCTGTTGACTGCAAGAAGATGTAGAGGAGCGATGACTTTCAGTGGATTCTCTTGAATCGGTATATGGAGGAGAATGAGGGCCACTTGTGCTGCTGTTGCTGTTCACTTTGACGAGCATAGACAGTGAGCTTCTCTTTGTTTGTTGCAGAGATGTAGGTCTTCTGGTTTGCTGCAATGATCCTCGAGGCGATGTAGTGGTACCACCGTTGTTATTAGCCGCTGCTTCATACTCGACCAATCTAAACTTGGTTTCGGCTAGTAGCTTCTCCAGCTCTCTGCAACGTAAATCACTTTCAATGTACTTTTTCTGATACGTATTGTCATTTGAGTCGTCTAGAGATCCAGTACTGTTGATTGCTTGGACAGTATGACGACGACTCATTGGAGGAGCTTCAGGCTTTGATCCAAATAGGGTCTTGTGGGCGGCAAAGACCTCCTCTGTAAATGAGCCTCGAGGCATCAAATATTCTCTGCGTTGATCTTCCAACTCTTTGACTTTATCTTGCAGGCGCTGACAATCGTCGTCCAGGGATAGTTTCTCCAGTTGCAGATCAGCACATGTCTTTTTGGTTGCCAATGTCTTTTGCGTCAACTCTTCATTCTCCTGCACTAAATCGTCTCTCTCCTGCAAGATTTGCTCGTGATCAATCTGCATGGATTCAATGGTAGTCTGGAGTGACATGATCTTGTTGACAAGAGCGGTCTGACCTTCGGTGGTAGCTTTCAGATCTCGCTTCAATTGCTCGTTCTCTTGACAGAGACTCTGATACTTGAGACCCATTTCAAAATTAGCCAGTTTAATAGCGACCAGTTCTGATGTAACTTCGTCGAAACCGGTTCCGTTACTGTCGGCATGAGGTTTCTCTCCCTGGCGTTGTTCTGGTCGTTCTTGTTCTTCCACAACAGAGGGCAATGTTTGTTGTTCTTGGACCGTCAACGCGCCAGCAATGAGGGTACCAAAGTCACCACTCAGTTTCAGCGAGTCAACAAAACCCCTAAATTCAGCTTGTTTCTGTAATGACTGTAGCTTGTCTACTTCTGCCATGTCCATAGTGTCTCCGTCAACTGATTCAACAGGGCTTGGCTGATCCTGATCTGATACTTGGTTCATCTTTCTCTCCAGCGAAGAGTTCTTTTGCAAGAGATTATTGCGCTCAGTCAGTAAATCCATTTCCTTCATCTGTCGAGCCATGATGTCCTCTGATAATCGCGTGTTCTCCTTTTGCAGTTGAGATAGGGCAGTAACCAGATCTTCAATTTGCTCGTGTAACATTGGGATGGTGCGATCTTGTTGCTGATGTGCTTGTTGGATGTCTGTTTGGCTGGATGTCAATGAAGATGGCTCGCTCTTTTCTGAACTAGGAGTACCGTCGACAGATGCATGTGATGCAGCAGCAGCAGAAGCATTGCCCCAAGAAAACCAAGAATCTCTCTTATTCTTTTTGGTGGTACTCGTAGGCGAGGTAGGGGCTTTGTTTCCCCAGCCTCCAAAGCGAATGGCCAAGACTTGCTGTGCACGAGTTTTCTCTTGTTCAATTTCACGATAATAGGCTTCCGAGATATTGTCCATCTTTTGCTTGGTGATCACAGCACTCAATGCCATTGTGTCCTCCATGACAGCCTCAGGGTCGGATTGATATGCAACGTGGTATAGCTTGCGTGAGCTAAGATACAGCATGAGCTGCTCAAAATCATCAATGGCCAGTAGTGTATCTTCGTTCTTTTGCATGATGGCCACAGCGACTCGAGTGATGGTCTCGACAGCACCCTCTGCAAAGACCAAATCATAGATTCGTAGCACCAGAGAAATAGGGAAGGAATACGCAAATAGAGTCAGGTACCATTGGGATGCATACATGGCTGTGTGAATAGAGTGTTTGTTCAAGTGAGCGTCCAAGCGAGGACAGAGCTGAGACAGCAGTACTCCAAATTGATGCAAACGAAGATGCAACCCCTCCATGTTCAAGGTGAACATGGTGCGCATTTCATAAGTCTCCATGAGTCTATACATCACTTTACATTAGACACTAATGAGAGGGTATTACATGGACCAAGAAACTCACCTGACGAATACACAAAACGCTTGATTCTCTGGCATCTAAAGGCATCTTGTCAGCTTAGTAGATTAGAATGTACACATGAGCACTCACCGTCATTAATAGAGGCCCTACAAGAAATGCAAGTCCCTGACAGTAACCGACGTGTGCATCGTAAAGACTGTATGCTTTCAGTAGACGACCCATGGCCAGTTGTCCTTCACCGCCATCATCCTTGAACATGTCTAATTGAGGGAATGTTCGAGATAGATCTCTTTGGATGACTCTTTCGTAGGAAGACTGTTCGCTTTCTTCAGATAGACGAGTGTATAGCGTCTCCAGATTCAATGAGCTGGATTGTGCCATTGCCTGCCAAATCACACCACGAATACGATGGGGGATGCCACCACAGCGAAGTTTAGCAGCCAAAAGGTGAGGCAATTTAGCTACAGCAGTAGGAAAATCACGCACCACTTCTTGCCAGAAATCCCAATCGTCGACACTATCAGTCTCCGTAAGAGGTGCCTTTGCTAACATGGCTTGGATGGATTGTTCGTAATCTTCTCTGGTGGGTGAGAATGTTGCATCGCTGACAAGATTTCGAATTGTATCGAAATCAGCTTGCAATCGATTGGATTCGATACAGACAGACTTGGGATCAGCGTTCAAAAGAGCATTCTGTCTTTCCAAATGAGCTACCATGTACTCTTCAGAGTACTGTTAACACAAACAAATGACAATGAGGACCTTGTCTAAACAGTAGTACAAAAACGATACACTTACTTGAGTTGGTAACTTTGCATTTTGTTCTTCCAATCGCCTCAGGATTTGGCTATCTTGTTGAGTTGAATTATTGCTGGTGATCTGGCTGTAAAGTTTCAATTTCTCGGGATTGAGTGGTAATCTTCTACGTTCGGCCAAGGTGCTCGTGGAGACTGACTTCTCCAGGTTACCAATGACCATCAAAGAAGATGGCTTCTTGGTAGCTACTGTGGATGTCGATTTGCTTGGTTGCTGTTGCGTTAAATGGTTCAGATTGGCAGCAACGAGAATCTCATCGACAGACACAGGGCGGTCTTGGTTTTGAAGGATCTTGAGACGGTCGATGACTTCAGGTGCTAACGGGGCTACTGTTGTCATGGTATAGGATACGACTGCTGGTATATGAACAAAGGGATGTAATAAGAGAGAAAGAAAGAGGAAATGTAAAGAATCAGACGAGAAAAAGAAAGTCGAAAAAAGGGGACAGCAAGGGGTACCAAAGTAAAATGATGGTGCACAAATAATAAATTGATGGGTAAAGTACAGCAAGGTTTACTTTTTGTGTGGGCATTTGAACGACAGGTACAACTGAACTATTAAATGGTTTGGTTTTGTGTTACTCTCAGTATTACATGTAGCTAATTTCTTGACGAGTCTAGTAATGGGATGTGCTCTGGGTTCATTTTCCCGGTTTGCAGACTCTTTGCCATCCTTGGTTTCGTCCTCGACGTACAGGCACATGAGCAATCTGCTATACTGCATTTTTTGTATATCCCAATCTTGTTGCTCTAGAAGGCTTTCACCGGGGATTTTTTAAACGTGGTTGACTATGTAGCTTGCTGCTGACGAAGCACGTTCATGCGGCCTTTCTTTAGTGGCTTCACATAAAGTTATCTTGGACTGCAGCATTTACGAGATTGTGGATACATCCTTCATCATGTCATATAAACATGAAATATGAAGTAAATCAGTGTCTTTATTAGACATTTGGCTATACCAAAACCCAACCAACATCTGTAATACGCTATCGACATGTATGCTCTTACTAGACGAGCATGAGTGGACCTCATCGTGATGTGCTCTGTTGAAATTTATAGCGTTGCTAGACTCCATGTTTTCTATGATCTAGGTAACCAACACGTTTATAAATGTAATTGAGGAGGTATATAGCTTATTGATATATGATCATAAGCGATCACTTTCTTATTTATGGCGTGGACATTGTCCTGTTCTAGCATTGGAGCCATTTGTGCATTCCTCCTCATTATCATCATCTGAATCCTAATTCAATACATCCACAAATGAACTGTTCACCGAATGATAAGCGTCAGGTGTAGACTATGCAGATGAAAGGAAAGGACAATTTGTAGTTTTCGTATGTATCTCACAGACAGATCACCAATTCAATAGTTTGACAGCGACGTCTATTGAAAAAAGGTGGATCAAACCTCTACCCTTTTTAATACTATCTCCGGCAAGCCCTGCTTCTTCTCAGATATACCCTAATCGAAGCAACCTCGATCTGGGCTACATTTACAAATCATGACATCAAAACATACCATCTGGTTTGCTGTATTTGTTCTTGATCCAGATCTACGCGATGGATTAGGATTGGCTCTATGGTTAGGACATCCCATCCTGATCTTTCATTTGATATCTAATCATGGAAGTTTCTAATCACCTTTTCAAGTTTGATTGATGTACAATTTGCACGCTAAATAGGCATGACGCTACATATCGTAAGGCGCTGTTGCTCCATGTACCTCTTTGTCAAATATGCGGAGCTTGTCTTTTATTGACACTCACTTGCTCGCAATCAGATGAAAAATCATGTCGTAAATCTATGCGGAGTTGCTCAGATGAACATGCAAAACGTTGAATACACATTTTTGGGGGGGGGGGGGAAACAGAACGAAATGTTTACTCATCATGGAACAAGTGGAATGGTATTTTTCATGAAATCTGGTTTATGTACAAGAAAGAGAGATATGTATATATAACACAAACGAAAAAACAAAGGTAAAGGTACAATGAGAATGGGAAATGTGCTATCGAAAAGAGGGATAGGATGCATGTGCTTTTTTTTTTCTGTTTCTTTTGCTGGGTGGAATAAAGGGAATAAGTGCGTCTTTTTCTTTGAGCTTGTTTAGGATGCATGGGATGGAGTAGGAGAAGTAGCTACGTTGGAAGACTCTTCATCGTCTTCGTCCACGTTATCCAACACCCATCCAACCTTCCAAGGCTTACCACACGTCCAGTATTTAGGGCTACAGACAAAATGCTCAATGTCTTCATTGGGATCAACTTCGCCGTCAGGACGCTTGCGACGCATAGCATCAATGTGTTGCAAGGCCTTGCGCTTTTCTTCTTTACAAAAGACCCAACGACAATTGCGGCAAACACATCCACCGCTCTTGTTGTATCTATATATATATATATATATACACATTCAGGATTAACTATTTGTTATGATTCTAAACATGTACACAATAAACATTACCGAAGGCCACATTTGTTGCAGAGATAGACAAAAGGTTTTCCTTTATCGTTGAAGATCTGGCTAGCAGGGAAGGGCCAGTTGAATGCCTTACGCATACAGCCATCGGATGCTTCTTGACAGGCTTGACAGGGGCCTTTGACTCGAGAAGGGCGACCAGATGATTGACCATGAGCAGTGGATGATTGACGACGAGCTGTATTCGATTTTTTTACACGTTTCACTTGATGTTGATCTCCTTCTTCGTATACGCCGTCTTCTTCATTGGGATGTGGATAGGGTGGCTGCTGGTGTTGCTGTTGATAACAGAATTGTTGATCTGAAGGTCGATGAGGAGAGAACATGGCAGAGGATTGCTCCGTAGCACCATTTGAACTACCAGCACTCTGATCAGATGAGGTGCTAGTGCGACGATGAGCTGATCTGGGAATTTCAATGATACTTGCGGTGCGAGTACGCTTACGACGGGACATACGAGGGTGCTTTGCTGGTAGCTCATCCTCCTGCTTTAGACTACGAGCATAAGCAACTCTTTTGCGCAGAGCAGACAACAATGATTGACCACAGATGACCTTGGATGTGCACTTTATGTCACATGCATCTCCGCAATCTGGACATGATTGATTGGCTGTATAACCGCTTTCATCATGATGTGTCGGTGCTGATTCCGTGGTATTAGGTGATTTTAATGATGAATCAGATGTGTGAGGCTGTTGCACATTTAATTGAAACACGACGCTTTTATCTAGAAGCGATGCTTGGAGAGCGTCGCCCACGATGGAAGGCGATCGATGAGGCACTGACTTTCTGCGATGATGGAGTGCTAAAAAGGGACGAACAGCATCACCATGAGAATATGATCTATTTTTATGATCCCTTGTGTTAGTCGACAAAAATCCCTGCTTTGGCGATAAAGAAATAGAGGGTGTAGACAATGAATCCTCGTCATCTTCTTCAGAATCGTGCAGTAAATCAGGAGGAGAAGCTGCCTGGTTGTTCACAACGACGGCATCGGATCGGGTCACAGCTTGATCTACTGAATCAAAAATGCGATTTTGTGATTGTGGCAGTTGCTCTGATGGTTGCTGTGGTTGTTGTGGTTGAGGCTGGCTTGATGTTTGATGAAGGTGGCCAAACTCATATGGTGTTGATGTGGATACATTCATTTTTTTAAAGGATAAAAAGAAAGGCTGCCAAGAGAAAGAAAAGAGATATTTAAAAGAATAAAAAGAAGAGAGAAAAAAAGGCGCACTGAACGTGTGTCAACCTTTTTATACAGAACGCTTCGGATAAGTTCGGATTTATATAGAAATCCTGGCTGAGACACTCAAATGTAGCGGATCAAAATAGAAAAGCAGACTCACCATGGCCCGCTCCAATGTCCCCGAACCAGAGCAAATAGTTCAAGCGAGATAAAAAAGAAAAAAAAAAAAAAAAAAAAAAAAAAAAAAAAAAAAGAAAAACAGAAGGCGAATGTTCTTTTTAAATTTGATAGATCGAACCATCATGCCCTTTTCTGATTTGATATTTTCCCAGAAATTCATGCTTTGGGCAAATCGCTCTGATCCAAGCAATGCCATCACTAGAATGAGCTACCCGAGATATCGAGCAAAGGATCTACGGCTATACGTTTTGTAAATAGATGCGTTATCATGTAAATTGTTTAGTCAGATGGAGAAATCTTCATTTAATGCCTCAACGACTCGTGGCGTCTCTTTTATCGGTCTCCTCCCTCTTTCATGCTGTGTGTAGGCAAAGTGCATGGGTTCATTTTTGAATGGCCGTCGATTTTGGATCAAAAGTTTGTTTGGGCTAAATGTAAGCAATTACTCACACTATTTGGTATATGCTTAAGAATCCCTGTTGGGAACATGTCTCTGCAAAAGAGCAGTTGATGTCAATTTATGCATAGCGAACTTCTTGAATAAGCAATCAATAGTAAAAGGACGTTGTTTGGATCAGTCCGATGACGGGCGATAAAGGAAAAAAGTAAATGTGCAATTTTGAATCAAGCACATCTTCAAACATTTGCTGCCAAAAAGTGTGAAATTTTATCCGGATCCTTATTTTTCACTAAATCCTCAATTAAGCAAATGAAGTAGACGGAGCATCATACGCCATGGATCAAGAATCGTGTACACATTGACGTTTTGAATTGTGCGACCACCATCTTGAATATGTTGTTTATGGCATTATTTTTGATCCCTGAAAAAAACGTCATGCTTATAAATGATGGGTAAGGAATACGCCGAGCAAATTATAGCCTTTTATGATGGGTAAACTATTATTAGCTGGAAGCTTAGATTACGAAGAGAATGAGCAAGAAGAGCAAGGATGAAGTCAAGAGAATCTGACACCAAATGCAACATTTGGGTATCAATGACGTTCATCTCCGCTGTATGTAATCGCCATCTTCCTTCTATCTTTTGGAAGATGCTACATTGCATCTGTAGATCACCAAGGTAGATCAGCAGAATGGCATTTGTAGCCTAGGGACAATAAGTTGCCTAGTAACTAAATCTAATTGTTACAACAGAGGCATAGCAACCAATGACCTAGCAGCAAATTGCCTAGCGACCAGGAACCAATATTTATATTTGGGGTGGTGTTTTGATCGCAATTGAAGTCAATCAGCTGCTGCATCCCTTGAAGATAAGTGATAATTTTGACATTTGTCATTGGGCGACCAAATGGACATGTATCCTCAAACTGATGGCAGGGCCACTCAATCTTTGATTCCATTGTAATTGGCCGGTGAATCTGATTTACCCGAATGATATGTTGGTGCAACTTTGGATAGGGAAGAATCTTCTTTCAATCACAGTTAAAATCTGATTTCTTTTTCTTGTTAAAAGCTATACGGATGTAAACATTAGAGTTATGACATGATGACGTTTTTTTTCAATCAAGGTACACGGTGCTAATGAAATTTCAACCTCACTAGTTGAAGTCTCGCCATTCACTACATGATCCAATGCGTAATTTAATAGGCCTTCTATTTAAAAATAAGAGCATCGGGCATCTATTTTTGGTACCAAACAGGTACGAAAAATCAATCTCGTTGTAGCACCCTTTTTTTGTTCATATTGAAAAATAGACCTCATTTCTCCTTCTCAAGCACCCCTACTACTAATAATAATAATTTATTTGGTTCCTCTTTCCTTCTTTCTCTCTTTTCTTTTCTTTACATTGCAAGAAAAAAAATCAAAAAATGGCCCAACCACATCCACAAATGGTACGAAATACACCTCCGCCTCCACCTCCAAAACATTTGGAAGGTTTAGGTTCGCCTATGCCAACTCATTATAACCAGCAAATGATGCAGCCTCCTCCTCGTCAAAATCAATTTCATTATTCTGCTACAAACAACTCTGCACCCTCATTATCCATTAATCGTCAATCAAGTCCTTTGCCTCCAAATGAAGGGTCGAAAACACCACCAGGCACTCGTACAAGTTCAGTTGCCAACTTGTCTATCAATGGAGATCAACTATTAGATCACTCTCATCTAAAGCCTGGCACAAAGGCTTCACTATTATCCTATGCTCAGACCATCAACATGTACAGAGAGAACGCTAAAAAGACAAATAGCCCCGATATTCAGTGTGATTTTGCTATTTTCATGGTAGAAGCTGCTAAACCAATTCAAGACGATGATGAAACTCGCTGGGAATACTTGGCTGAGGCAGAAAAGCTATTGAAGCAGTTGGCTGCTCGTGGTCATGCTGAATCACAGTATTACCTTGGAAACCTGTTTGCTTCGGGTCTATTGAGTAAGAAGGGAAAGAACGAATTTGACAAGGCATTCCCATTGTTTGTGCAAGCAACAAAGCATCACCACGCTGATGCCGCTTATCGGTAAGGTTAACATTTGCTTGGTAAATGTCTTGGTATATTTATTAGCTATTTATAGTGCTGCCAAGTGTTATGAGGATGGCTTGGGTTGTAGAAGAGACTATTCCAAAGCAGTGCAGTTTTACAAGTAAGAAAGAAAGCATCTCCTTTTTTTCTAGCAAAAGATTCAAACCATTGACCATTATATAATTCTATATATAGAAAAGCAGCTACTCTCAATCACCCTGGCTCAATGTATAGATTAGGAGTGGCAGACGTAAATGGAGAACTTGGGATATCAAAAAATCCTCGAGATGGAGTCAAATGGTTGAAGAGATCAGCAGAAGCAGCTACAAGCGAATACCCACATGCTATACATGAACTCGCTTTGTTACATGAGAAAGGTATACCCAATGTTGTGTTTGTCGATTTGCCCTACGCCGTATCATTGTACGTTCAAGCAGCAGAGCTTGGTTATGCACCTTCCGCTTTTCGATTAGGCGAATGCTACGAATATGGAAAACTTGAATGCAACCCTGATCCCGCCATGTCGATTCATTTTTACACCATTGCAGCTCAGCAAGGTTATCGTGAAGCTTGCTTTGCTTTGACTGCTTGGTATCTAGTTGGATCGCCTCAAGTGTTACCACAATCTGATGAAGATGCATATTTATGGGCGAGACGTGCTGCTGAGAAGGAGCTTCCCAAAGCTGAATATGCTGTTGGTTATTTCACTGAAGTAGGCATTGGCATTGCGAAGAATCCAGCCGAGGCTATGGAATGGTATAAAAAGGCTGCAGAACACGGGGATAAGCGAGCTATTCAACGTCTACAGGGGAAACATGTTGAAACAAAATCAAAGAAAAAGAATGGCTCACAAGACGACTGTAATATCATGTAAAAAAAAAAAAAAAAGAATAATAGCGCACCTTTCCATTCACAACTAAAAATCGAACAGCAACACTCACAACATACACGCTTTCGCACAATTCACAGCAAATTCATAAATAAACAGGACTCTTATTATTCTTTCAAAAAGGTGGGCGCAATTGCAAGATTCTAAAGAGATACACTCAGAACTTCATGAGCTGAGGATGCAATTGTTCAATTATTAGTTGCCTCATTCCTGAATGTTGACAGGTATAGCTTCCAAGTGCATACATGCCTTGATGTCCTTATATTTAGAAAAGCAATAGCACCTTGTATAGTGTAGTCAGGCAGCATTGCTTCAGTCAAAACCCAAATGGACGTAAATGCTTATATATGATATAGATTAAGTACCTGATCCAGATCGAAAATGGTAACTGTAGAGCCCAATCCTTCAATTTTGCAAAGCAGCATGATCTGACTGAGAAATGTTGAAAGTTCCCAACGAAAGCAGCAATTTTTTGAGAAAGGGATCATATCGCACTTGCTACAGTCAAAACAGCTAAATTTGCCAAAGAGTTACACTCTTCCGATGCATTTGCAGTGAAATCAGGTGTAATGGATTTCACAAAAAAAAAATAAAGCAATAGTAAAATACAATAGAAATCAACTGTATTTTAATTGCGTATAAAATGAACTCAAGGTCCTGGAATTGAGTAGAAAAAAAAAGTATTTATACATTTGCAATTAGCTTGCAAGATTAGCGATGATAGAGAGCAATAGGTGCTGCTATTGCGATGTCTGGCAAAGGCTTTTGATATTTGATTTAAAGTGGTAATCAATGCAAGAGCAATGGCCATAAGGGTCGACTTGACTAATAACCTTGATGGGCTTGGGTGAGCTATCGTCATAGCATGGTTTAATGTAACCTTGATAGTTTGAGGTGTGATGTTTGTTATTCAAGTGTAGAACCCCTTTCTCTAGAGTATTGTGAAACTATGGCATCAAGACATAGTTGTCATATTTGAATATGCTGCTTGTTATTGATTTGATTTCATTTGGATAAAGATAGCATCACTTATTACGACCATCAGGAGTGTGATTGAATACGCTGTGATCAGAAGTGATCCATTCACACGATGTGCGAGATAAGGATGTATCATTACTTTAGTATGTTTAAATGGTATTTCGATGCACATTTGAGTAAATTCAAATAGCAGCATGGATTTGAAAGAATGGTAATTAATGAATTCCGGCTTTCAATACGGCTGCTTTTATGTGGCTATTGCATTACACCTCGCATAAAACTGTGTGATAGACGCCAGATCAAATAATTACATCTTATCTTACTTTTAAAGAAAGAACCTAAACTGTATCTATGTAAATACCCGTTTATTATAAAAACTATAGCATGATATATGACAGATCAATAGGAAATCAACTAGTTGTAACCCTTCGCTGCTTCAACCTCTTAGCCAATCAGATTGCTTGAATACTTCGCTGACCTAAAAAAAATTTTGCGAGGGTTTCCCCCCTGTTTTGATGTGAGGCAAAATTTTAAGCGCCGCTATAATAGCAATATAACCGCAGCTATCATCAAACTTTCCCCAGGTGCTAGAGCATGCCTTACTTACATCACCTAGCTTTAGATTCAGGCGTTGAGACCCTCAATCATCACTAAAGTAAGTAGAGATAACCAAGTGGAGGCGGCCTATCTACCTCCTAGTCTCGGATAAAGTCTTGTTGAGCTTCAGGGATAGGCACATCCACACAACGTAAAAAAAGGTATGCTTCAAAGAAACATATAATAATAATAAAAGAAAAGAAAAGAACATATTACTATAGGAGTATAGTAATAGTAGGTAGGCAAAAAACGGATACTCACACAAAGTGAGTACTCAAAGAAAAGTATAACAAATACAACATCAGAGACGTTCAAAACAGCTCGTTGTTGTTGCAACAAAAATGCATACATGAGCAACATGCATGGTAATAATCGGATGTAAAGCAACACAACCAACAAAAGAAGAAGAAAAATGCAACAAAGAAAACATCATGAATGCATTATCATGAGAAAGGAAGCAATGATACAAACGTTCAAAGACGTTTTATATTATTGCAACCAGAAGAAGATACTTACCACTTACCGTCACCGTAGATAGACCAGAGGATACGCAACCACCGAATATAGACCAGAGAACGAGCATGCACCAAACACAATAGACCAGGAAAGACCATAATAGCAACAGTAGTAGCAATACCAGCGCCATAGACAAACCAAAAGACAAGCGACATCGGAGGACGAGCATGCGCCAAAGACAGTAGGCCAGAAAGACTGTTGCATACAAGCATGCATCTTAGGCTACATTCACTTTCTCCTCAAGCCACCTTTTACAGTGTAGCAGCATAGATGATGTTCATCGTATCACATCACATCTATGTTTACAAGTCCAGTCAATTGTGTGTGCACAGGTGCCTCAGGAACTACAATACATTCAATCTCCCCAATGTCAAAATATCGAGATCCACCTACACTACATGAAACATACCGACTTAGGTGGCCTCTCAACAAGCTATACCAACAATCCATAAGGCCCCAGTGGCCTGCTATTTATATACCATCTCAACGTAGTAGTCATTGACCAGGGATCTACCATATTTAAGCAAGCTAGATGCCCTGTAATAAAGAAGCTCTTTGCTTTCGTTTTAGATACAGTTGACAACTGATTATTATCATCGACTTATTATTACGAATTCATCATTTTTTTTAATCAAAACCTTGATTGTATCATTGCTACTACTCTTACTACTACTACTTCTCAATTTTGTATACTCTGATGTCTGCTCAAAGTACCACCACACCCCCCAGTTCCGAATCTAAGCCTGCTGGAAACACTGAGCTGCATCCTTCAGACGCCAGTGCCACCAAGGCTGTAGATATTACTGGCCCTTCTCAGTTTTTTCTCGCTGAAACGTCTCAGAAATTGGGTGGTCAAGCTGGCGAAGCTCCCACTACTACTGCTAGTGATGCGATGGACCTCGACCCCCCTTCCTCTGCTAGTTCATCTTCTAGTGATGTGGATCTTCAAGGTCGCACTGATCAGTTGAAGCTAATTGTTGACAATCAGCTCGCCGAAGTTCAGCTTCTCTCTACGACCTTGCTCCTCGAGCAAAGTGAGGAGGCCAGAGCCCAGGCCCTAGCTCGGTTGATCCAGTTGAATACGTCCATTCAAAGTATCATACAGATTCGAGATTGTTTGCTGGCATCCAAAGCTACTGCAAATGATAACCTCGTTTCTTCGGCTGCTGCTTCGTTTGGCTCATCCTCAGTCGATGGAGTCAAATCCAACAAGAGCGCCTCAGTACCGGTTTTCTTTCCCAACAACTTACCTGCATTTCAGTGGGTTGGTATGGATGAATTCGACCCCAAAAGCCCTATATTTCCTACAGTCGACGCTTGTCTGTTGAAGTTTGAGGATGTCATGTTCGCTTACAAGATGGATTTCGACAAGGAATATGCTCGCTTAGTACCACCTATGCTGTCTCCAGAACAACGTACTTGGTACGGCTCGTTCACTTCTGCTTGCACTGCTCCTGCATCGTGGAATGATTTCAAGTCGGCTATCAAGGCTCGTTATGGCATTAGCGTATTGGAAGAACGTCAACGTTGTGCGTCTGATTTGTTGAGCATTCAACTTTTGCCCGGTGAAAACGTGAAGGCCTTTCTTGATCGTTTTACTGACTTGCGTCGTCGATCCCTGGATCAAGCCCCATCCGATTACTTGTTGGCTAAGTTGTTCCTGGATGCCATTCCTTGGGTAGTCAAAGATAAGATCAACACCATCCGTCAATCCAAGGGCATCATTGATAGTTACGATGTTGACATTATCGTCAGTATCGCTCGTGAATCACTATCAACTATGACCGCAAATGAGATTGCTGCCATCTCAGCACCCGCTTTTGCTCGCACTGCTGCTGGATCTGCTGCATCACAATGGGCTCCAGTTGCGTCCCCCCGCCGCTCACATACCATGAAGGCATCATCCTCATCTACTGATGGTCCTGCCGCTGTGTCTCGTGCTGGTGTCTCTTCTGGCCGCGTGGGCAAGCCTCACTTCAAGGCTACCAAGTCGTGCACTTTCCACCATGGAAAGCCTCACAACCATGACACCTCGGAATGTAAGCTCTTCTTGGAAGAGTTGAAAAACAAAGGTGGTGCCAACTCAATGCCAACCAGCAACCAAGCATCGGGTCGTCGTTACATGATGTCGCTTGCGGATGCCAAGGCATCAGATCGATGCCGTACTTGTGGTGCCCACAATTACTCTGCTGGTCCCCATGAGTGCAACACGGCTGTGCGTACTGGTGATGCTCCTACTAGTACCTTACATCGTTTTGGTATGCTGCGCCTTCAAGAGGGCGTGGTGTCGTCTGCTACCACCGCTGGTAGCACTGCTATTGCAACTGCTTCTGCTGTTGATCCTACTGTGGGCTCGTTGTCTGAGGCTGGTGCAGCCAAGTTCTGCAGATACCATCCAAATAGCAAGACCCATAGCACTGACGACTGTGTTGAGCTTTTGCAAGTGATCAAAAAGAACCCTCCGCGTTCTCAATCTCGTCTTGCTGTTGAGACCAATGGTGGCCGCAGTGCCGCATTGTCGTCATCGTCTATTTCGTCTCCTCAGGCCCAACCTACTACTGGTAATTCTGTTGTTGTTCAGGAAGATCAGCAAAGTAACAACAACTCGAGTGAATCTGGTTCCTCGTTGTTGGTGCCCGCTGCTGTTGCTAAACAGAGTCGTCACGATCAAAGTGATTGCCACTCGGCTGTTGAGCCTATGGACATTGATCTACATACTGCAGTTCATGCACACAAATGTAAGGATAATCAACGTTCCATCTTGCCTGTTAATAAGTCTAATTCACTTCTTATTCCGCTTGTCGTAGAATCGCACAAGGTATATGGTGTTTTAGATACGGGATGTACATTTTCAATTTGTTCCCCTCGTTTCGCCAACCAGCTTGGTGTTCAAA